TGATCAATTCAACCTTCCCCCATCCTTGATATAAGGGTGTGTTAAACTCAACAAATTTCACTTGATATCAATTTGATAATCAATAGTAAAAGAGTATAAAATTGGAGAGATGAACTTGTATGATAAATTCTCAAGTAATGATATCACACTTTCAACCATAATTCATATATTTCTACCATCTTTCTCCTCCATTAATGATTATATTTTTATTTTTTTTTGCGTAATATTTTTGTCCATCTACATGATGTTGGATTTAGAGTAAATTTTACTTCTATGTTGGTCATATTTATAAGTACAAAATGTTATTTGTTCATTAGTGAATTTTAAAAATGATTATCAAATAGAAAATGTTATTTATAACCATGATGATACCATAGAGAAATTACATATGTTGTGAAAATTTGAAGTTGAACAATTGCATTTTTACTTCTATAAAATGATGGATTGACTCACCTCATAGGAAGAAAAAATAAAAAAAAGAGTGCAGCAACTAAGAAGAACTACAAAATATGCAAAATTTAAAGAGTTCTAGTGCTTGTGAATGAGTTGTTGGAAGAACTAAGAGCATAAATTTTTATCCATTCTATACTCCAAAAAGGAGAAATAAATCATGTGTATAAAGAATTATTTAGGTATTTAGTTTCAATTTTCCTATTATGATTTTCCACATATAGCGAAATGTGCTTATTAAATTAACAACTTGCATCAAGCTTTCACTTTCAAGGCTCACATATTAATTCAAGGAATCTGTAGATTCAAGGGCAATATTTATTTATTTTTCACTTTTTGTAAAGGTTACTTGACATCAATTACTGTAACTAGCAGCAAACACTAGTTATATGTGAGTGATATATAGATTGACTTATGTAGGAATGGTGAGGATAAAACTAATATGGCCTCCTACATACATAGATATAGAAGAAGCATGAGTTCATGTCTTAATGTACAACCAAAGTTAATAAAATGTAAGTTTAAAGTCCTCAAAAGAGTAAATTAGGTAAGAGGACCAAAGTAGTATAAAATAAGTCATATGTTCAAATCTAGTTTCAAAATATATGAATTATCCTTAAAATTTTATTTTCCTTCTCATCCTTTAAATATTAAATTGAGCTTAACAGATCTCATTAAAAAGTTAGAGCACCACTTAGAATCAAGTTTTCATCTCTCTTTAAAAACTTCACATGATAACCCATGGATTTTTTTTCAATTTTGCATGCAAAGTGGTCACATTTATGTGAAAGAAATCCTTATGATTAATATATATAAATATTTACATCAAAGTATCCATGCAAAATAACTGATTTTTTATACATTTTATTTTATGTAGGACCATGTCAAAATTAAATGCTAAATTGATGATTATTTTTCATGAGGCTTCCTTAAAAAATTGAGAAATTTTCTCTTAGAAATCAATGCCATATTTTAGTAAACCCCTTAATAACAAGTTTAATCATATATTTCTTGGCATTACCCAAATTCTCTTTTTTAGTCTAAAAGATATATTTAAAGATGGTTGCTTTAACTTTGTCGAGTATTTCTATTAGATCACAAACTCTTCTCATGGTCATAAAGTTCACCTAGACCTTAGATTGCCTTTAATTCTCATGTAAAATTCAAATTGTGGAAAGTATACCAAATAATTAGACTAAATAAATGATATAAAAACCTAACATAAGTCATCACTCTCATTAGTTGTTTAATATTTTTGGTACATTTAGGGGTTCTTTAATTATAGTAGGCTTTGCATGTGATGCAACATCATCTACATGATTTTCTTCAACATGTTTATATTTTGAATTAAAACATCACATAGATTTTGAATTAATTCCCAAAGCATCATTAATTTAATTAATAATAGATAAACACACAAAATTTTGTAATTATTTAATCAGACTTACTATTCCCACTCTTAAAAGTATTTCTTGTTCATACACCTTTTTGGAATTCAATTGAGCGTATAGTTGTCAGCAACCCATGTTTGAAATTATTTATGTCAATATCTACTCCAAGGAACTTGGTCTAGTGAACTCACCCCTTCAACTTACAAAAATGTGGCCTCTAACCTCTAACTAGAGTGCATTGACCTACAAAAGTTTATAAGTCTAGTTAAATGATACTAATTATTTTGACCTTTGACAAATATTAATAATAACTAGTATAGTATTAAAGTAGATGCACAACTAGTCTCAACTAGGTTTAAGTTGATTCATATCATACACAATATTTTGAAGTCCAGAAACTAATCAAAGGACTTAGCAAAGTGAACTAATTCCCAGAAAAAGATCACTCATCATATTTTGCATAAGGCCAGTACATTATTGACTTACTAAAAAGTCAACTTTAATTCATAAGCTAAATCAATATTGTGATAAACTTTTTAGGATATGAATCTAATGTAGCTTAAGCTAACTTGAAATAATATGTATGTGTCTACAATTTGGAGTTAAAAGTGACTTCAACAAACTAATCAAGTTCTTCATTGTCTTCAACTTCAAGGTAAGGTGTTTCAAACTTAGGCTTAGTGAAGGCAAGAATTAGGGCTGTAATAATAATTATAGGGGCCTCTAAATTTTATGAAATCAAACAAGAATCAAGTCATATTAGTTTTATACATTCATTATTTAGCCTAAACTTTTTTTAAGTATATGAAGTAGTGTATGAAGTAGATTCAACCACTTTGAACTCCATTTAATAAACTCTTGCCAAAAATGGGTTGACTCATCATCTTCAACCTTGGGTTGTGGCTCATTATCTTATCAAAGATAGTGATTGATGATTTGACATCAAATATAGAGTTGATTAACCTTAACAAACATAAATTAGATTGAACTAAATAAGTATGAGTCAAACAAAGTTCAGAAAACTCAACCAAATCAACTCACAACTTGAACATGAGTCATGTGGTTCTAATACTAGTTTGAATCAACCCTAACTAATCTCATATGTTCTAACTTTGCTGAGCAATTCTAAAAGCACAATGCAGCCTTAAGAACTTGGTCAAGTCATACCCCAAACAAGTTGACTTATTAACTTCAACGCCACCGAGTGAAGAGGCAATAATCCAAGCTTGAATAGTAATTAAAACTGCGGCCTCTTCAAAAAAAGGGGAAAAAGACAAAACAAAAGGAGTCAAACTAGAACCCACCTCCGGGCTGTAGCTCTTCAATAACACCTTATTTTTCAATGACTACATGGCAAAAAAGGGGACCCGCACTTTGTTTTTGCTTGGTAAGAACTAATGAACGAAGAAATTTAATGCCTCATTTCACTGAAAAAGATTGCTGTACTGGAACAAGGGCCAAGATGTCCCAATCTCGCCCAAGCCGGCCCAACCAGCCACACCCAAACTAGGCCAGCGACCGTTTGATTCACAACTAGCCCAGCTAGAAACGTCAAAGCTGGGTCCCTTCTTGGGGAGCAAGTTACGATGACCGCGTGTCCTCGTCGGAAGCTTTCGGTTATTAAGGGCCATAGCGCCTGGTACTCGGACATTGGCTGGACGCATTTTCTCTTACCCTGAAAAATCGAGGTCATTATCCGCGAGGGATTTTGGATGACTTCCTTATCCACTGCATCGACGGGGAGAAGTCACGCCCACATGCCCGCTGGCGACCGCTCCGCCACCTGATCGAGAACGCCCTGCCCCCACCTCTCCACCCAACGACCAGACCCAGTTGGTGCCTTCCCGACCGTCGGTCCCACCGTCAAATTACTCGACAAGTCCACAAGCACAACCCCCCCCCCTCCCCCGGTTCGACCCGATCTTATCTCTCTCCCTCCCTCTCTCTCTCTCTCTGTCTCTCTCTGTCTCTCTCTGTCTCTCTCTGTGGAGGAGTTTAATTCCCTTCTTCGTGTGGTGTCGGCAGCGGCCTCCACAACGGGCCACTTTGACGCCCTTCTTTCTAGACGGGTACTGAGGGAGAAAGAAAAAGGAGGGGCGGCGGAGGCGTTGACGCACGTGCGAGTGGAAAATTCCAAAAAGCCCCACTCCCCCGAGAGACGCAAGCCGTGGCGTGAGGTGCGTGGATTTTTGACGTTGGGGGCACGACAGCGTCGGGAGGAAGGAGAGGAGTGATTTCCGGCCGACGTGCCCAGAATTCTGACGTGTCCAGGAGCTGCGTCAAGAAAGCGACGTCCGGACGTCACAAGCGTCAAACAGGCCATTCTCCGCATGTCGTGGGAAAACGGTTTTGCCCGCCATCCCCCCGAGCACCCCGTCAACGTAGGGGGAGGGCTGGGATCCGGCAGTGCGAAACGTGGCAGTATCTAAGCCCTTCGATTTCGTGACGTGGCAGAGGGCGCCACGCGGCGACCGGACAAGGAGCGGCAAGCGGCGCACCTACCTTCTCCTCTCAACTGCATTTCGTGGGATCCGGACCTCAACCGTCCGGCCAGCGTAACCTGTGGAGAGATGGGCCCCGCGATATATTTATTTACTTTTAATCACGGTTTGGAAAAGGGTTTTACGGCCAGCTGTGGCAGCTGTGGCTCCGGCCTATATAATACAGGCTCGTCCCGTCACGAAGATCTCGCGCTCTTTCCTTTCTTCGTTCGGGCTCTGCTTCTTTAGTCGCTGCCTCGCCGCCGGTTTCTCAGGTCCCGTCCCGCTTCCGTGCCTGAGTTATTGACCGAGAAGCTTCGCCGGCGTCGGCCGCGCTGCTCATCGTCTTCCGCTCCTCTCCTCTTTCAGACCGGTCAGCGGTTGCGTTCTCGTTTCTCGGCAACGCTTCTTCCCTGTATCGGCTTTCCTCTCTCCCTCGTTTCATTTCGCCGGCCATCTTCTTCTGACGGCTAGGGGTGGGGATATTCGTGTCCGCTTAAGGGTCGTCAGGGTTCCTTTCCTCGGTGGATTCCGACCTCTCTCTGCTTCTTTTGGGGGGGAGCCGGGGCTCCGGCCTCGGCGGCTTTGAAAGCCCCCTTCTCACAAATCTGCATCCGATAGAACCCTAGGATATTCTTTCCTTTTTGTTTCCTAGTCCAGATTCTTTGAACGTGTAGAGATGCCGGCCTTGGCATGCGTAGATGCTGCTGCCACCCCTCCCCCTGGGTACGCGTTTGCCAGGCATCCTAGCTCTCTTCTCGCGCCGGAGGCATTCTCCGGCGGCGCTCCACCGGCGGCGAACGCCGCCTCCCCTATCTTCGACTCTGTCTCCTGTCGCTGGTCGACGGAGCTATCTGCCGAGCTCTACAAGATCGACGGATGGGGAACCCCGTACTTCTCCATCAACGCATCCGGCAACATTTCTGTTCGTCCACATGGCTCGGAGACTCTTCCGCACCAGGAGATCGATCTCATGAAGGTTGTCAAGAAGGCCTCCGGCGGCAAATCCGCCGGCGGGCTCGGCCTCCAGCTTCCTCTCATCGTCCGATTCCCGGAAGTTCTGCGGAACCGCCTCCACTCCCTTCAGGCTGCCTTCGACTCTGCGATCAAATCCTACGGCTATGATTCGCACTACCAGGGCGTGTATCCCGTCAAGTGCAACCAAGACCGTTTCCTCGTTGAGGATATCGTGGAGTTTGGTTCGCCTTTCAGTTTCGGCCTCGAAGCTGGTTCCAAGCCGGAGCTTCTCCTCGCCATGAACAGTCTCACCAAGGGAAGCCCCGAAGCGCTCCTGATCTGCAACGGGTACAAGGACGAAGAGTACGTCTCCCTCGCCCTGACTGCTCGGAGGCTGGACCTCAAAACGGTGATCGTCCTCGAACAGGAGGAAGAGCTCGACACCGTCGTGGAGGTTAGTCGAGCTCTCGGCATCCGGCCGGTGATTGGCCTCCGGGCGAAGCTGCGAACCAAGCACTCTGGCCACTTCGGTTCTACATCGGGCGAGAAGGGAAAGTTTGGTCTCAACACCATGCAGATCCTCTCGGTGGCGAGGAAACTCGAGAAGATGGATATGCTGGATTGCCTCCAACTTCTGCATTTCCACATCGGATCCCAGATCCCGTCGACGGCCTTGTTGGCCGATGGTGTGGGGGAAGCTGCGCAGATATACTGCGAGCTATCGCGGCTCGGCGCGAACATGCAAGTCATCGACGTCGGCGGCGGCCTTGGCATCGACTATGACGGTTCCCGTTCCGGCGGCTCCGATATGTCGGTTGGGTACAGTCTCGACGAGTACGCGGCTGCCGTCGTCCGGTCCATCATGAAAGCTTGCGACAGGAAGTATGTCCGGCACCCAGTCATCTGCAGCGAGAGCGGGAGAGCGCTGGTATCGCACCACTCCATCCTCGTGTTCGAGGCTGTCTCCTCGGCTCCGTCGGACTACGCCCCTCACAACCTCGAGCTGGCGCATCTTATGGAGGAGCTCGGAGACGAGTGCCGTACGCATTACAGAAATCTGATGGCTGCTGCCGTACACGGCGACTGGGACACCTTCTCGGCGTCCGCGGACAAGCTCAAGAGGCAATGCATCGAGATGTTCAAGGATGGCTCCCTCAACCTGGAGCACCTGGCGGCCGTCGATGGTGTCTGCGAGCTGGTGGCGAAGTCGATGGGTGTCTCCGACCCGGTGCGCACGTACCATATCAACCTCTCCGTATTCAAGTCGGTGCCGGACTTCTGGGCCATCGGCCAGCTCTTCCCCGTGCTGCCGATCCACCACCTCGACCGAAGGCCAGCGGTGAACGGCGTGCTCTCAGATCTCACCTGCGACAGCGACGGGAAGATGGACACCTTCATCGGAGGCAAGTCGAGCCTCCCTCTGCACGAGATCGGAGGGGGAGGCGGTTACTATTTGGGAATGTTCCTAGGCGGTGCCTACCAAGAAGCCCTCGGCGGGCTCCACAACCTGTTCGGCGGGCCGAGCGTCGTGCGGGTCTCGCAGATCGACGGCCCCCACTCCTTCGCCGTCACGCGGGCGGTGCCGGGCCCTTCCTGCGCCGACGTCCTGCGGGCGATGCAACACGAGCCGGAGCTCATGTTCGAGGCGCTCAAGCGCCGCGCCGAGGACTGTGCGGCCGCTGGCGGGGACGCCCTCGCATGTGGCCTGGCGCGCGCCTTCCACTCCATGCCTTATCTCGTCTGCGCGGGCGGTGAGGCCCACGTTGACGTGGCCGACTGCGTACTCGTCGCCAACAGTGACGACGACGACTCCGCCCCTTCACGTTACGGCTCTACCGACGGTCTCTCTTCCATGTTATCCTCCGCCTGTAGCGACGAGGAGTGGGATCTGTTCACCGCCTGATCCTCACCTCCCCCTCACCCTTCTCAAATATGTTCCCCGGTTTCGTTCACAGCAGCCTGTGGAGTGCTTCGCTTTTGCTTACCGACTTTCCAGGGCTATCCTTTTTTTCCTACATATTCTGTGTTCGACGTCAGTTAACGACGTCGTCCATCTCGTTTTATTAACGAAAGCTCTGGCTTAACTTAGCTCCTCCTCTTCGTCTTGGATTTCCGGATATCCGGTTAGCTTTCGTCGGATCCGTGAGGCCCGCCGTCTCTCTCTCGTTGCTTGGCCAGCAGGAAAAGACTTCCACCGGTCAAAGAGGGGAACGTGTCGAAAGCCACACCGATAGGATTTTTTTTATTACTTTTGACACGTTTCTCTTATTTATTGATGTACAAACCCCGAATATTAATACTATTTTTAAAAATTATATCCGGTAATATATAAGTGAGGATGTCTAAATTTAAAATGGGAGCCTTTCTTGTGACAGAAGTTAGCGACGATCCATTGAAGCAACAGCTGCTTCTCCTGGATGTTAACGACGGCCCGGGGCGGGAGAATCGCGCGGGGGTGGGGGAAGAGATCGTCGTCCACATCATCGGTGGTTCCCGGGGGAATGGCAGAGAGCGCTGGCCAGTCGAGCGCCGGGGAGGTGCCAGCAGTCCGCGTCTCGTCATCCACCCGGTGGCTATGGCCGTCCGTCCTGCGCTGGATCCCCACCTCCACCGATCACATCATCGCCTCTGAGAAGCGCCTCCTCTCTCTCGTCAAGTATGTTTTCCTCCTGTTATTCGTCTCACATGTTGCTGTTTTTTTTTTTCTAAATTGCGTTTCTTTGGGGAACCGGAAGCCGTGAAAATTCTGTTTGACCTCGGAGTTCATTGCATCTCTGGGGGGCCGGGGGGGTTGGGGCGGAGCGTGGCTTGCGTCCCCAAGAAAGCAACACAATGAACGTTTTTCCTTGATTAGTTTCTGATGATCTTATAAATTCCCCGAGGTTCCCAGGAGTACTCAACTGTTTAAAATGATGGATGATGTAATGGAACGACATCGTGGACTTCTAGGATTGATGAGCATCTCTGGGGGGCGGGGGGGTTGGGGGGGAACGTAGCTTGCTTCCCAAAGAAAGCAACACATGAACGTTTTTCCTTGATTAGTTTGTGATGATCTTATAAATTCCCCGAGTTCCCCAGGAGTACTCAACTGATTAGAACTATTTGTGATGTGATCGGACGACATCGTGGACTTCTACGATTGATTTTTCATGTTGCGGTTGGTTGTTTGATGAGCTCTTAGCAATCCTCAACTGAGACATAGAAAGCCAAACGATTGGTCTTGCGGTGTTGTTTGTTCTCCATTTATTTGGTTTAGGTTTGACGTTTTTGAAATTTTGGTGATGTATTCATTCAATGAATCTGGACTCATCGGTCTGATAAACTTCATCCTGAGCCCATTTTCAAGCTTCTCCCAGAGATGAAGTGGAGCTTCCAGCTGGAAGCCCAAGACTATGGAGAGGAATCGTATTTCACGGTTGATTATTCATGACCGACAAAAAACAAGCGAGTTGGTGAAAATCAAACATCAAAAGAGCTAGATTTCATGATCACGTGCCTTTTAAAATCTTCATGCTTTTTTGTATTATCATTGATTCGTGGGTTATTGGAAGTATCTGTTGAATATGTATTTTTGTTGGCTAGAAGAAATCGATCACGTTCCAGAACAAAACACTTTATGAGCTACAAAATTTTGGCTACAACAGTTTTACTTCTTGAAGAAACCCTGTGCTCAACAGGGCGAGGGATGCCAGCATTGCTATGCTCGCTGAGCCATTGACCAAAGAGTAATTATAAAATTTAGTTTTAATGTTTTTCAGGACTCCATACGTTCAAGAGCAAGTGAATATTGGTTCAGGTCCACAGGGATCGAAAGTGAGATGGTTTCGCTCGTCCAGTAACGAGCCAAGGTTTATTAACACGGTCACATTCGACAGCAAAGGAGAGGCCCCCACCCTTGTCATGGTTCATGGCTATGGTGCCTCTCAAGGCTTCTTTTTCCGTAATTTTGATGCTTTGGCTGGCCACTTCCAGGTTATTGCCATCGATCAACTTGGGTCAGTCTCTCATCCTTTAATTTTTTATTTCAATCTATATTTTGCATGTCTAATATGCTTAGATGTAGATTTCATGCCGTCTTTAGAATTATATGTTTTCTTTGCAATTTCAATGTTACATTGTTTTTAAACGACAACGAGAGGATATATGCCAAAGGAATCCCTTGACGGGCATGCATTTATTTTAACTTGTTATTGAAAAAAAAAAAGTTCCTCGAAAGATCTGTTCTTCCATCATGCGTGTGGCATTATGTGTTAGGCTTGCTTTAGGAGGTCGCCTTTTCCACATTATGACTTTATTAACAACTTTCCAGTCTAGACGTAGTTGTTGTGTTCATCTGCTAATGATCATATGTATTCCTGTTTAGGATTGGCCGCGATATGGTTGGTGGTGCTGTGATTTCTTTGTCGAAAACGTACCTCAGTTCCTCGTGTCATTTGGATAATAAAGCATCATGTTTCTATATGCATTTACCAAATTCCTCTTGATTTCATTTTGGACTTCAGATTTTCTTCTGCATTTGAAAGCATTCCTTTTTTCCTTTTGGAACTCCCCCAAATATTCTTTACGACTTTGTTTTCATTGCTGGACCAAGCCATATCATGTTTACTTATAGAAAAGTCTGAATTGAGAAGACACCGAATCATAAAAAATGCCTGAAGCTTGTTTTAGATTTCTATTGTCGGAACACTTTTGTATAATCAATCCTTGGCGTCATTCTTCATGGCATATTTTCTAACAGCGGTTATCCCCTGCTGCAGTTGGGGTGGATCAAGTCGACCTGATTTTACATGTAAAAGCACAGAAGGTTCGTTAAGGTTTGGAGTTTTCTTTATAAATCGTCATTTATATGCGTTCCAGCACTTACCGTTTTTACATTAGAGAAGAAATCGACCATTCAGGCATAAGTTTGTACGGGTCTCTTATGAAGGAAAATTTAATCCATGAAAGAAATCATTGGGTAAAGACCCACAATTTCTGCAAAAAGATAAATCCTCCAACGTTGAATTTAATGGCCCACAGGAGCTGCTGCGTCTATTTTTCCCAATTTCCTTCCATTGTCTCCCTTATGGCCCATTTGCAAATGAAGCAAAGCGCAGATCTTGCAGGTCAACTCTGTTACCAGAAGGCACCCGTGGGATAACTCTGTTTCCTGTTATCACTGTCCCTAGGGAGGAGGAAGCCAGTGCGGATCTTATATCCGGCTGTAGGCTGACGACCCAAGCTTATTATTTTTCATCTGTCTCTTTTTTCTAAACCTATAAATACCACGCATTAAATCTCCAAGGAGGGCGTCTTCCAGAGTTTTTTCCTTTTTCTTTCTACACCTTCCTCCTTTCCCTTCCCATCTTCCTATTTCAGAAGGTCAAGTCAAATCCTTCGAGATTTCTTATTGCTTCTGAGTTGAAGCAGGAAGGCCGACTCTTTTGAAGCTTTTTACCTAAATCTTGGTTCCAAAGTTGGCCGATTATCAGCGATGGGCCTGAGTCCAACCTCCAACGATGCAAGAACAAGCATGAAAACCCGCTCAATATCCCAGGGAGTGTGCTCTTTTCTTCATTTTTCCTTTTCCCCATGTGGAATTATGCTCTCTTCTTTCTCTTCCTCCCTCGCTTTTCTATCAGAACCACCTACATTTGCTCCATTTTATTCTGTTAAATCTGAAATCTACGAAACGTTTGGGATCCTGGGCTCTATGGACTGTCAAGCTGACTCTAGTCCTTTTATTATGTTCTTCACCGTTTGCTTTTGCAGAAACGGAGGCCTGGTTCATCGACTCCTTTGAGGAATGGCGCAAGGCAAAAAACCTCAGCAATTTTATCTTATTAGGACATTCTTTCGGCGGCTATGTCGCAGCTAAGTACGCCCTCAAGGTGATCTTTCGCAAGCGTTTGACCTCATACCCATAGATGATAAACGTTTCCTCTCTCTCTCTCTCTCTAACTGACGATGGTTTCCTCTGTAGCACCCCGAACACGTACGGCAGCTAGTTTTAGTAGGCCCAGCTGGATTTTCCTCCGAGCAAGAGAATAAATCGGAGTGGTTGACAAGGTTTCGTGCCACGTGGCAGGGCGCCATAGTCAACCATCTCTGGGAATCCAACTTCACTCCTCAGAAGATTGTGAGGTAATCAATCACCTGGGGGGGGAAAAATCCCGGGTTTTTTTTCTTCTGTTTAATCGATATGATTATCACTCGATTTCTAACGCAAATAAAAATGATGAACTTGTTTTCTTTCAAACCATTTCGTGCTTCAATTGCAATCCGGATGCAGATTGAAGCCACTTCAGTAAAGTGGGTAGATTAATTCCTCTGGATGGCAATTATCTGCAGGGGTTTTGGGCCATGGGGGCCGGAGATGGTTCGGAGGTATACAAACGCGAGATTTGGTTCATATTCCACGGGCAACGTGTTAACCGAAGAGGAGTCTAAATTGATGACAGGTGGCTTCAGTTTTTCCTCCTGAACCATGTTTCCCCGTGGTTTTGTCCTGATCGCGGTTGTCCCTGTGTTTGACCTGAAGATTACGTATACCACACTTTGGCCGCAAAGGCCAGCGGAGAACTCTGCCTCAAGTACATATTTTCTTTCGGAGCATTCGCACGTCGGCCGCTACTGCACAGGTCGGTGGCCATCCCTCCTGCCTTTTCCTTTCGAAATCAATGCATGGTTCTAATAACAGTTCGTAATTGATTAGAAGAAATCTCATGAAATCTTCCGTGACAATGTATGTATGGGTCCATGCTCATCAGGATTATCTACTCTTTCATGAAAAAAAAAGTCAACATTGTGGCCATCCATTTTATCGATTCGTTCCTTAATCCCCCCTCCTTTTCCTTTCGAAGTCAAAGCATGGTCCTAAGAACAGTTCGTAATTGGTTAGAAGAAATCTCATGAAATCTTCCGTGACAATATATGTATGGGACCCCACCCATGTTCATCAGTATTTTTTACTTGTTCATGAAAAAAAAGTCAGCGTTGTGACCATCTATTTTATTGATTCTTCGCTTAATCCCGCACATTTTCCTTCGAAGTCAACCCGTCGTTCTAATAACAGTTCGTAATTGGTTAGAAGAAATCTCATGAAATCTTCCGTGACAATATATATATATATATATGGGCCCCATGTTCATCAGGATTATTTACTTGTTCATGGAAAATAAATAAATCGGCGTTGTGGGATCCATTTCCATTTTATTGACTCTTCGCGTAATCCCTCTGACTGATTGATTATTCGCCTCCAATGGCAGCGCCTCCGATTGGAAGGTGCCGACGACGGTCATCTACGGGTGCGAGGACTGGATGGACTATCAAGGGGCGCAACGGGCCAGAGAAGACATGAAGGTCCCCTGCGAGATCATCCGCGTTCCCCAGGTCAAACCTCCTCATCTCTTCTTCTTCTTCTTCTTCTTCCTCCTGAGCTCGGCCTCACGGCGGGGGCGCTACTTGCAGGGGGGGCACTTCGTCTTCATCGACAACCCCTCTGGGTTCCACTCCGCCGTTCTCCACGCCTGCCGCAAGCTCCTCTCGCCGGACCTCGACGCTCAGTCCCTCCCCCCTGGCCTGATTTCTGCCTAGCATAGTAATCACCCCCTTTTCCCTTCTCTAGTATATATTTTTACATATATATATATATATATATGTATGATATCTGATCACGAGGACCGCGCCGACGTTTGCCATATTGGAAGACCTGTGTGTAGAGATAGAGAGAGAGAGAGATTGTTTGAAGGCGAGCGATGAACCAGGAGCATATGTCTGACTATTCTTCTGCAAAATGCTTCCTCTTTCGGACGTATTATTGCCGAAAGCGTAGAGTGAGATTGGGCGCTGTTCCCAAAGAGGAAATCACCCATCAAGTAGGGCAATGTTTCTCGAAGAGGGTTCAGCCGATGGCCCATTACATATCTGGCGGGGAATTCATCCATCCGGCGCTGCAACGAGTCTTGGATTCTGCCCGGTGTGCCTCCTCGGAATCTGGGAGACGAAGCCGGGGTTTTCCGAGACGACGAGCCGAGATTCCGATGCCTCCTTAACGTTATGTCTGAACCCTGTTGACCAACAGCCCCCTAAGCAGGAACCAGGCTCATTCAGGGGACAGAGAGAGAGAGAGAGAGAGTGGAGGGTAACAGAGTTCTTTGTCCCCACACAACGGCTAGTCACCAAAAAACAGACACACGTGGCGAACCGATTTTTTTTTCTTTTCTTTTTGTCATATCTCGCTCCCCGACGACTGAGTCAAACCTAGGCGCACAGCGAGAATAGGATAAGCCACCTGGCGAAAGGAGGGACATGACAATGCGCCGAAAAGCGGCGGGGAAGGAGGAGCCGTCCGACGTGGAATCATTCTTCCAAATTGGTGGAGAAGAGGAAGAGAGAGGGAGAGAGACCGGCGGCGCCGCCGGCGGCCGAGATGGTCACGGCGGCGACAGGCGGGCCGTGGGATCGGCGGAGGAGGCGACGTCGGCGCTCACCCGGCAGCCCTCGAGCATGAAGACGACCTCCGCCATGGACGGCCGGTCCATCGGGTCCGGCGCCGTGCAGAGGAGGCCGACCTTCACCCCCAGCAGGAACTCCTCCCACTCCGACGACTCCGGGTCCAGCTCCAGTAACCCCGGCTCCATCATCTCCGATATCTCCCCCCTCTGCAACTTACTCTTCACCCACTTCACAATATCCTCTTCCTCCTCCGACGACGAGAACATCACCGCCCTCCTCCCCGTGAGCAACTCCAGCAGCACGATCCCCAGGCTGTACACGTCCGCCTCCCGGCTGGTCCGCCCCGACGCCGCCGCCTCGGGGGCCACGTACCCCAGCGACCCCACCGGCGGCGCCGCCGAGGTGGAGGTCCCCGCCGCCGCTGCGGCCGGCGTCACCGCCACCACCATCATCCGGTCGAGGCCAAAGTCCGAGAGGTGGGGCTCGAAGTCGGCATCGAAGAGGACGCTCTGCGGCTTTACGTCGCCGTGGACGACGGCGCTGGCGTGCAGGAAGGCGAGCCCCCGGGCGGCGCCGACGGCGATCAGGTGGCGCATCGGCCAGTTGAGGACCTGCCCGTCCTGACGGGAGGCCTCCTGCAGCAGCGTCCCCAGGTCGCCGTTCGGCATGTAGTCGTACACCAGCAGTCGCACGTCCGGCGGAGGGCCTGCGTAGTACCCCCGCAGGACGGTGAGGTTCCGGTGCCTGATCTTGCTCAGCACCTCTGCCTCCTTCCGGAACGTCCCCTCCTCCACAACGACGGCGCCGCCGCCGTCGGCGGAGGCGGAGGGCAGTCGGAGGACGGAGAGCACGATCCCGTCGACATAACAAGCCTTGAAGACGACCCCGTGCTTGCCCCTACTGAGCACGTTCTCCTCGTCGAACTGCTTCGTCGCCTCGACGGTGTCGGCGTAGGTGACCCTGCTGGTGAACATCACCAGCTTCGGCCCGCCGCCTTCGCCGCTGCTCGCGCTGCCGCTCCGCCGCCGCGGACTCCGCTTCTTCACCCCGGCTCGGGCGTCCAGGAGCCGCCTCCGCCGCCGCACCAGGATCAAAACGCCGCAGCAGCAGAGCACCGCCACCACGACGACGGCGGCCGCTCCGGCGACGCAGATGAACAGGATCTGCCTCGCTCGCCTCCTCCGCCTCCTCTTCTCGCTGCCGTCGCTGCCGGTGGCGCAGGTCGCCGCCAGAGGCCTGCCGCAGAGGCCAGGGTTGCCAGCGAACAGAGAAGGATCTTTGAAGCGGAAGCCCAGAGTCGCCGGAATCTCCCCTTCCATGTCGTTGTCGGAGACGTTCAGGTACCTCAGGGAGGGTATCAGAGCGACTCCCCCCGGGATCGCCCCCGTCAGGTTGTTTGCAGAGAGGTCCAATGACTGGAGCGAGCTCAGAGCGGAGATCTCCTTCGGGACGACGCCGGAGAGCCGGTTCCCATCCAGAAGAAGAGCAATCAAGGAAGAGCACCCGGAGATTGCAGAGGGTATTCTGCCGGAGAGGGCGTTCTTGCTGAGATCGAGCACTGTCAGATTAACCAGCTGAGAGACCTGCCCGGGGATCTCACCGGAGAGCTTGTTGTGCGACAGGTCAAGGATCGTCAGAGACCTGAGGTAGCCAAAGGTCGACGGGATCGAACCAGAGAAGGTATTGAACGACAGGTTCAGCTGACGAAGCCTCGACAGGCTGCTGAAACCTTCGGGGACCTCACCGGAGAAGGAGTTGTCGCCGAGGAAGACGAACTGGAGGTTCGGCAATCCGAACAGGTCGTTGGGAATCTGGCCGGAGAAGTTCTGCCCGCTGAAGTCGAGGGATCTCAAGCTGAACAGCTTCCCTATCGAGCTCGGGATGGGACCGTGGAAGCTATTGCTGCTGAGATTCAGGCTCTGTAGAGCTCGGAGGTCCCCGATGGTGGCGGCGATATCGCCAGAGAGTCCATTCCCGGAGATATCCAAGAAGGTGACGCTAGTCATCTGAGTCACCTCTAACGGAATGTTCCCCGACAGGTTGTTCTCCCTCAGAGAGAGGGTTTCCAGCCCGGAGAGCTTCGCCAAACTCGCCGGAATCCCGCCGGAGAAGAGATTGCCACCCAGCCAGAGATCCTTTAGACGACCGAGGTCACCAAGAACAGGAGGGATCAGGCCTGTCAGGAGGTTGTCGGCAAGATCAAGAACTTGCAGAGAAGTGCATCCAGCGATCTCCGAGGGGATGCCGCCGTCGAGCAGGTTTCCCCCCAGCCTCAGCTCTTGGAGGTTCGACAGCCTCCCAGCGGCCGCCGGCAGAGGCCCGTGGAACTGGTTCCCGGAGAGGTCCAAGATGGCCAGCGTCGGGAGGTACATCAACCAGGCAGGGAACTGGCCGGCGATCCTGTTGTTCTTGAGGTCCAGTATCTGCAAGATACTGGAAGATGGCAAAGCTCCGGCAATGTCAACCGGCGGAGAGGCCAGGTCAGTGAAGTCGTTAAACCCTAGCTGCACTATCCGGAGCGTCGGAGAAGACGAGAAGCTCGACGCGGTGAAGAAGATGGAGGAGGGGACTGAGCCGGATAGGTTGTTGTGAGAGAGCGACAGCACCTGGAGCGTGGGGATCTCGCCGATCGCCGGGGGGACGATGCCCTGGAGGGCGTTCCCCTGTAGGCTAAGGTGCAACAGAGAACTGCAGTTGGCGAGAGCCGCGGGCAGAGTCCCTTCGAGCTGGTTCCAGTCCAGCCAGAGGTACAGAAGCTCCTGGAGCTCCCCCATGGCGGCGGGAATCATCCCCCGGAGGTGATTGAAGGAGAGGTTGACGAACTGGAGCCTCCGCGCCGCAGAGATATCGCCGGGTATCTCGCCGGAGAAGCCATTGGAGGAGAGATCCAAGTAGCGGAGCAAGGGAGGGTTGCCGGAAGGCATCTCGCCGGAAAGTTGGTTACCGGCGAGGTTGAGGACCTGGAGAGCGGTGAGGTTGGAAGGGAAACCAGGCGGAAGGGGACCGGAGAGATAGTTGTTCTGCAAGAAGAGGGAGCGGAGCTGGTGGAGACGGGAGAAGGAGACGGGAATGGTGCCATTGAAGGCGTTGCCGCGAAGGCTGAGCTTGCGGAGTTGAGAAAGATCTGAGAGGCTGCCGGAGAGGGAACCAGAGAGCTGGAGGTGGGGGAGACGGAGTTCGATGACACGGGGCTCGCCGGAGATGGAGCAGAGGACACCGCGCCAGGAGCAGGGGGAGGACGGTGAGGTGGCGTCCCATCCTGAGAGACCTCCGAGGGGATCGCGGAGAGAGGACCGGAAGTCCTCCAACGCTCTGATCTCCGCGAGGGTCTCCGGCGAGAACTGCTGCTGCTGCGCTGTGGCGGAGATGAGGAAGAGAATGAAGAAAAGGAAGAGGAGGAGAGAGGGCGCCATGGCGGCGGCACAGAATTAGTCCGGCGTGGTCCTCCAAGGCTCCTCTCCGTAGGAGAGGGCGCCAAAGCCTTTCAGCAGCGATACTGCTGCGAAGCCTTGCCCTTCTTGGAAGGAAGAGAGAGAGAGAGAGAGAGAGAGAGAGAGAGAGAGAAAGAGGTGATGGAAGAGGTCTGTAGGGAAGAAGAAGCCTTGGTGGTGGCGGGGACGGACAGAAGCAGGGCCTGAAACAATGGCAGATACCACAGGATCTCTCTCTTTCTCCCTGTCTCTGTCTCTCTCTTCCTCTCTCCGTCCCCCTCTGTGTGTCTGTGTCTCTCTCCCCCCTTCCCTCCCCCGCCTTCTCCACTTTGATAAAGGCTCATCGTCGTTTTGGGCCGGACCAGCTTTTCCACGCCAAAATCACCCTTTTGAGCCTGATTCCCATCGTACAAATGGGCCGTTCCCACAGGCCCATTAATGCTACGTTTTGACCTATCAGCATCCGTAAGAAAGCTTAGGCTTTACACAGGGAGGCCCAGAAGGCCAGACCCAACCATCTCCTGCCAGGTGGCCTATCCAGACTACAGTTGGGCCCATCGATTTATCCACTTTCCAGGCTTTCGGTTCGAAAAGGCTCGTTAACACCGCTCCTAATATCAAAAAATAATAATTACCTAAACAAGATATAATATGGAAAATAACTCTGCCATCCTGGAACTCGTGATCTCGCATCAGATAGATAAATCGGGGAACTTTCTCGTGATATTCACAGTAAATGGTGAGTGGGCCCTTACCATCTGACCCCGCCGGGGCCACCCGTGTGAAGAGACCGCCGACATCGGCCGCCGTCCGCCGCCGCCGGCGCTGGCGACGCCGGCGCTGCCCCACAACTTTCATAGGCGGCGGATAAGTGACGTCATTATTCCTTTTTTGAACTTATCCCCGAAAAAATGTTCCGCGTGAGGCCGGCCTGACGAGTGGTCACGTCGCCGACGAAGGCTTTGACTTTGCAAGTCCCGCAGGCACGGGTTCGGTCGGGCCCACACGTGTCTGTCTCATTGAACACATGAGAATTGCATGGATCTTAGTCCAATAGCACCCAGCTTCTCTAATGTTGGTGCACCGGTGACGTGGCATCAGGATGATAATTTTAACCAATCAGAGACGACTACGCGGATTTCGTGCTTTCTTTGGAGATCTTCTGGCCGTCCGATTGATCCGCCACCCGCCGTACTAATTCAAAGTAAATGCCCCTTGGCATCTCTTTCTGCGACCTCCACCCGTCGCCCTGCTGTAGCCGTTTACTTTTTTCATTCCTTCGTCTTCATCGCCGAGATCTGATACCTCTCCTACCTCCTCCTGCAACCTTCTCGGCATGGCTCGTACGAAGCAGACCGCTCGCAAGTCCACGGGCGGCAAGGCCCCCAGGAAGCAGCTCGCCACGAAGGTAAGCTTCGCTACCCGCAGTACCGCTTTAATCCCCTACAGTTTGTTGGGGTTCTAGGGTTAGGATCTGGATTTATTTCCCCTGCGTTTCCTCGTCATGATCTCTTCGCCTGAATGGTTGCAGGCTGCGAGGAAGTCTGCCCCGACAACCGGCGGAGTGAAGAAGCCTCACCGCTACCGTCCTGGGACCGTCGCCCTCCGGTAGCATCTTCATCGTGCGCTCCTGAAACTCAGAATGGATATAGGGTAAATGCTGATGCCATTTGTTCTCTGATTGTGGCAGGGAAATTCGCAAGTACCAGAAGAGCACAGAACTCCTGATTAGGAAGCTGCCGTTCCAGAGGCTTGTGAGGGAAATCGCGCAGGACTTCAAGACCGATCTGAGGTTCCAGAGCCACGCCGTTCTTGCGCTCCAGGAGGCGGCCGAAGCCTACCTCGTAGGGCTCTTCGAAGACACCAATCTCTGCGCTATTCACGCCAAGCGGGTCACGATCATGCCCAAGGACATCCAGCTCGCCCGTCGCATCCGCGGCGAACGCGCGTAAGGGATCGGGGCAAACATCCCCCCGACCAGTTATCAGAAAATATTCTCTAGGTTTCTAGTCTTCTGTCGTCGTTCTTCCTAGTTCCCTATATCCGTCTCCTCCAGATTTGTATAATAATTTCCCCCTATATCTCGGATTACGGGTTGTGGCCGGCTCTGCAAATCGCGGCCATTCCCTTTCTCTGCTCTAATCAGGTAGTTCTGATCGTTGCCGTCCCTGCGATTCCGTCCCATGATTCTTGTGTTCCTCTGCTTCTGAAGGAAAATGCTGTTTATCTTCGGTAAATTCGAAAATCCTGAACTAAATTCCATCCGGTCAATCGTTGAACCTGATGAATTGGATGGCGGAAGTTGTTTCACGGTCAATTCCGGCGATTATGTATCGGGTCAACTGCGCTTTTCCAAATCTCTACACGATTATTAAAAATATTGCTTTATTTTGATTGGTCTGTTCTTATATCCAATGTCTTTGGAGAAAGAATTTCTGTAATTTTTCTGTTTATACCTAATTATGAAAATTAAGGTCAGAAAAACGCGTCTATTCGACGGAATCCGACATTTTGAGCTGCCGCTCTTTCGGTCGATGATTGGAGAGAGGTTTGGTCAGCGTTGACTTCAGATGCTGCACGGGATTCGCGTAGTCGAATGGGTGCCACGTCACGAGTTGGCAGCCTATTCCAACGTTTAGTTTATAATCACATTTTTTCTGTTGTTTTTAAGGACGGAGGAGTCGTGGAAATTACTCTATTTTATATTAAAATAATACAAAATGTCTCTCCGTCATTTGTCAATCCCGTTGTGATTACTTTTAGATTTAAAAGTAGCTGACGCCTTTAATTACGATGCGCGGAGCACCAGATCGGATGGGTGGGGGTTTTAAGGGGGGGTGACGGTAGCCCAGCACTCACCGCCGGTCACACGAGCGGAAGCCTAATGAAATGCGTCGGAATGAAATTGAAATTCAGGTCCGTAGGCGCACGCACATGCGAGCACGCGCGCCGCCGTCAGCGAGGAAATGAGCCGCTGCCGGTGGAGCGCTTCACGGATAATCGAGAACCCGGCTTATACGCAGCAAGCGACCCATTTCTGGAGAGGGGAGGAGGCCCTGCCGGAGGAAGAAGGCGGAGCTTGGAGCGGAGGGAGTGGCAGCTCCATTGTGCTGGTCAGAGGGAGCTCGGTGGCCGGCGGAGCTTCCGTATTGCGCTCTTCTCCGGCCTGATTTGGTGCGGTGGCGGGCAGATCTCCTCGTCGTCGGTCCTTCGTCGTCGTCGTCATTGCCAGATTCTGAATGTCGTCCGCTGCGGTGGTGGTGGTGGTGGCGCGCTTGGGGAGGAGCTAGCTATGTGGTGTAGTCGCTGTTCAGGGAGAGAAGTGAGCCTTGTGGCTGGCGTCGAGAGGAAATGGAAGGGGATTCCGGTAACGATGTAATGCAGCGGCTTCAATCGTCGGTGACGGCGTCGTCTTCGTCGCAAAGCGGGGATTATCAGCAGCTTTCGCAGCATCTCTTGGGAAACCGTTTCGATGCTGGCCAAGTGAGGCTCTCTGGAGAGCCACTCCGTGACTTCCAACTCGGTGGATTTGGCGGTCTCCGCAGCCATGGCGTTGGATCGGTTCTCAACAACAGCAGCGGCGGCGGCAATTTCACGTCCGCTGTGAACAACAAGAGGCCTGCAGGTATTCCGCCGTCCCGTCCCCACATCCCACCGGCCTCCCCTTACTCCCAGATCCCGAGCACTTCTGCTGGATCTCCAGGACAGCAGTTCTATGGCCATGGTCCGTCCCATGCCAGATCGCTCTCCCAGCCGGCCACATTCTTTTCGCTGGACTCTTTGCCTCCTCTCAGCCCCTCGCCGTACCGGGAATCGCCTCCTGCGGGGACTTTTTCGGATTCATCGTCGGTAGATTTGCCCATGGAGGACCGGGACATCAACTCTCAGCCTGGCGTGCAACTTCCCGGGCGTTTCTCTAGGCCAAATTCTGATAGGACGGCGGAGAGCGTCCCTCCTCGGAAGGCCCATCGTCGCTCTCACAGCGAGGTGCCTTTTGGCTTCTTCCAATCATCCTTCTCCACGGTCGTCCCAAATCCCTCGCAGAGGGCCCAGGGTTTGATGGAGTTTTCAGCGTCTCCGGTTGGTAACATGGAATCCGGGGGATCGAAGCAGTCCGTGAAGAAAGAGCCAGTGTGGGATCGAAACGTGGGTAACAGTACTGGAGGCACGGCAAGGAAGCCTGAAGGGGACGCCGACGATGATCTGATCAACTCGTACATGAATTTGGATCGATTTGATGCCATGATTGCCTCCAGAAACGACGACAGATGTGATGAAGCTAAAACAAATGGCGCGGAGAGCAGCGAGAACGAAACTGAGGGCAGCGTCAACGAGAGTGACAGTAGCTTACAGCAGCTGAAGGAAGGTGGGAACCCCTCTGTGGAGAAGAAGGAAGGAGTCAAGCGAAGGGCGATCGGTGATCCTGGCCAGAGCACCAATTCCTCACGCCATTCCAGAAGTATTTCGATGGATAGTTTCATGGATAAGATAAATTTCGCCGACGATTCTCCAAATCTGTCTCCTTCCCCTGTGATCAAGGCGGGGCAGCATTCACGCAACAGTTCACTGGATGAAAGCGCGAAAACTTTTGACTTCGAGCTCGGAAATGGAGAATTCAGTGGCCCAGAACTTAAGAAGATTATGGCAAATGAAAGGCTCGCCGAGATTGCCTCATCAGACCCAAAACGCGCCAAGAGGTGCCCTATTTATTTATTTATTTATTTTTCATTAATTCGGTTTCCTTGATCTTGGATTTCCTTGAAGCCATCTATTCTTTCTAATCCCTGACCCACCGATTCCAGGATTCTGGCCAACCGGCAGTCAGCTGCTCGCTCCAAGGAACGCAAGATGAGATACATATCAGAGCTGGAGCATAAGGTGCAGACGTTGCAGACGGAAGCTACGACTTTATCCGCTCAGCTCACGATGTTGCAGGTACCTTCCTCCGGGGATTTATTTATTTTATTTTCTTGAAGTAATTTCTACGTTATTCAGCTTATCTAACGCATTCCAACCCCAACTTTGAATCCGACACAGAGGGATTCTGCTGGTCTCGCGAACCAGAACAATGAGCTCAAGTTTCGCCTTCAAGCCATGGAACAGCAGGCGCACCTTCGAGACGGTAACTTCTTCGAGATGGCGTTGACTTTACTCCTTCCGACCGATAAATGTCGTGTGGATCAGCTACCTCGCAATGGTCCTCTTCTCATTCCCTTCACATTTCCCGATTCGTGCTTTCTTGCACCGCTGATCCACAGCATTGAACGAGGCGTTGACTGTGGAGGTCCGGCGTCTGAAGATAGCCAATCGCGAACTCGCCGAGGGGAACTCATCCGCTAACGTGGCTCAGCAGCTTCCAGCAAATCCTCGCCTGTTCCCGCCGCCTCAGCAGCCGTCCCCGCCGCCGGGTCAACTGCGGCACCAGAGTCAGCCTCCGCGGGAGAACCCTTCGCCGTCGAAGCGCGAAACCAGCCACCCTATAGCATGAAGGAGGCCGCCGAAGAGACCGTGTTCTTGTGAGTCTCGCTCTCCTCTCTCTCCTTCTCTCTCTCTCTCTCTCTCTCTCTCTCTCGCTAGAGATATATAAATATATATATTTAAAATTATCATGCATCGAGAGGCCAGATTATTTTGTATGGAACGAAGGTCGTGGAATGCTGACGTGGAACTGCGCTAGATTTTATATTACGCAAATGGCCCCCTTTGTTGGTGTGGTGACCGTTCGTGCCATAAATCAGAGCTCGCGGAACCGGCCCACTAGATTAGTTAATGGAAGGCCCACTTGATTAGTTAATGGCCTGCATTTACTGCGGCCCGTGTGGTGTGGCTCGTCCGGTGGGCCTTTACCAGTCGTCGTTGGCCCATTTGTACTCTCTCTCCCTCTCTCTTGCGGCTCTCTCTGTCTCTCGCTTACCGTCTCCCTGGGTTTTTCTTTTTTAAAAAATAAAGAGATAAATATTGGAGCAAAACGGATTTTCTATTTTCCAAGAAAAAACCTACGATTACTTGAAACGTTGGAGTGAAATCCTCAAATTAAAATTATGGGTATATTATTTTACATATTTCAGTGGAATATTTCTCACTAAAAAAAATCATCGAAGTTATTAAACATTATTATTTAAAAAAAACTGAGATTCGATCCGAGGCGTCCTTCTCCAACATCCGTGGAAAAGGGGCGGGGGAAAGGGGGGGGGGGGATCTGTGGCTCTTCTTTTCCGTTCAGTGCGGTGAGAGAGTGAGTTCTCTCTCTCGTGGAGATGGGATCGGTGGAGTCGTCCCTCGCGCAGTCGCAATCGCAGGTTTCTTCCCTCCCTCCGTTCCGATCGCGTTTTCCGGCGTGAAGTTTCTTTGGATTATCCTACTCTCCGCGCCGACCCGCGCCCATTTGTCTCCCTGTTCTTCTTGTTCCAAGCTGCCGATCGATGAAATCACCACTGTTTCGCGGAGGATTGAGGGCGCGGATCCTCTGCTGGAGAAGCTGCAGGCTCTGAAAATCGTGTGGGTTCTTATGTCTCTCTCTGTCTCTTGTTCTGTTCAATCTACCACTTGCTTTTTCCTTTTTGTAAGGCTCTTTTCTGGAATTTCATCTTCCTGACGTTTCTCCGGCGTCTTCTTTCTGACTCGTAGGCTGAGCCGCTGCTGATATCACCGCCGCCGTCGGAGACCAGCTTGACGGATATCCTCGTAAGGAAGCCGTCGAGTTCTTCAGTTTCTGGTACGCCTGTGTTTGGACATTGTTGGAATAGGCTGGTTGCCTTCGTTTTTTCCCCGCTCGATCAATGATCTTGACGTCGGTGCAGCCGACTGATTCTTAAAATCTGATCGCCCGGTGTACCATTCAGACAGAAAGTAGTTATCCATAAATATTTTGCGGTATATGAGCTATAACGATGGTGTCGTCTTTCAGTGTGATGAACTGTTGGAGCAGAGTATGGATTTCTTTCGTTTAATTATTATTATCTTTGTTGTTGTCGGTTGATGCACACCGTTCTCCCAAACTGGCTGCCTTAACATTTGGAGAAACCCTAGTCACGAGTATGATGCAGAAGAAAATCGTCAATTCACCCGTGCACACGTGGGGAGTTTAATGTGAAATATTTTCCTAATATTAAAAAGGTGGCTACTCCGACAGAAATGACCTTTACTGACCTATTTTTGGGGAGTTTTGCTTCCATCCGATGAATCGACACACCTTCCTCGAACTTTATTGCCCGTTTGGGGGGGGTTAGAGGAACAACGTCCTGTTCAGTTGCTCTAGAAGATTATTTGAACTTTTTTTTTTTTTTTGCTCCATCTACAATGGAGTTCTTCTAGGGTGATGAACTAGTTAATTTCGTGATAGGGCATACAGAATTCCCCCCTTTATTTAATTCGAGAAAATTGAAGGGCTTTATGTCAGTTTTGCGAGAGTTCCTCACTGCTGTGGGATTCGGTTCACTCTTCTTCTTCTTTTTTCTTCTGTGTAGGGGCCTCTTTAGAATCATTTCCTTTATACTTGCATTTATTATTTAATTTTATGTTTATTATGGGTCAAATTGAAGGAAATGTATGACTCCCAATCGTGTTTCATTTAGCTTCCATGTAAAAAAAAACGAGTTGGTCGACCTAATACTTGCTAGAAAAATTATTTTGAAATGTCTTCTTTTTTGACTTCCTAGTTCTATTCCACGACAGAATCTTTATGATAATCCTGTTGACAGCAGCAGGACTAATATAATGAATCCCGAGTATTTCCTTTGAGGCTTGGCTGTTACTACTTTCCCACATTGACACAAAGTCTTAACAGCCATCTACTAGCAGGCTGGGGATCCCCTTTAAACCTTGAGATGCCAGACCTTCCTATGTAAATGGTGATTACTATCTGGTATATAGACTTTGTAGGGTTACACTGCAAAGGCGCATATCTCTATACTGCTGTTAAAGAAACCAAAAGGGTGCATCTTTGTCTTCTTTCGAATGTTCCTTTCCCTTGGTCTTCAATATCCAGGGGGGCCTTCTGCTTTTTCCTGCATGTTAAACCAGTATTTAGTTCGCGGAAGTTTTGATTTATATTGTCCTGGGGAAACTTGAATGCGATAGGTGACTAAATCTAATGCCTTTTTGCGATTATCATGAATCCAGATACCTACCTGACTCCATCTTATTTGCCCTTTATCTTCTAGTTCAGTCCCTGGTGTGTGCAGCTGATAGTATGTATTATCTTTGCTTCTTTAGGTTCGTTAAATCCGCAGGTTCTGTTGGAGCTGTTTTCCATATATTGTGAGTGGCAGGAAGGAAAAACCAAGAACATAAGCGGGAAACAGGTTTGACTTGAAGTTGCTTGTGTTCTTCTTCTAGATATGGATTTAGAATTTCCATTCATTGAATAACGCGAAGTAATGATTTTTTTTCTTTCTTAAACGAATAAAGTGTCGTGTTAAGAGTTATTGACCTCTTATTATTTACTAGGTTTCAAGAACCTGTTTTCTTACTTACAGACCTCAATGGAACTTGAGTTTTGCGAGTGTTTAGGGAATTTTCAATGACCTTCCCTTGGGACTAAGGATTGGGAAATAATATCATGTTCGTAATAGAACTAGCATCTTCCTTTTTTCAGGTGGTCGAAGCTACTATGATACTAGTATACTCATAAATTGATTCACTTTCTTTCATGTTATGGGGGTTAATTAAGTTTCCTGATGTAGTGACAAGAATATGATGTAACGTCTAAGCTTTCTGAGAATACATGGGAAATTTCTCTCTCATATTTTTTACGTTTATTTATTTATTTATTCACCTTTGCAACATTTGATTCACAAAGTAAAATAGAGACAAATCCTGTTATGTACATTTTCTGGTTTTTTTTTTTTTAATTTATAAAGTTGGGTTCTGAGCCTTGAGGCCTTTATCACCACCTTCACGGTGATCTAGGCTGTTGCTAATTGTTTTCAATAAATGATTTTTTTTCCTTTTTTATGTTCTGACACAAAAATCCTCCCTCCCCGAAAATAAAAAATAAAAAAATAAAAATTATTACATGAATATTTTAATAAGTGGAATTTTTTAATGAAATGACTTTGGATTATTGCAGGAGGAGATAGAGAACAAGATTGAAGTGGCGGATGCTTTGGTTCTCAAACTCCTCAAGCGCTTCAACTATTCTGTTTCAGCCATGAAGGCGGCCGCTCATAATCTCTCAGAAGGTACTTACTCAGTACAACGATCTATTCCCCCACCCCCATCTTAGTCAAGAGAGAGGAGTGGGACGAGGAGGCAGAGACAGTAGGTTGCGAAACCTGCCAAACGGACGGCCCGGATTTTACTGGGCTTGGGCCTCTCAATCAACTCTGGGCTCATAAACAGGCCGAGCCTGGTCCGGGCTCTACAGAGGTCCGGTCCATTGATCTGCCACGTGGCAGCACCTCTACCCACCCCTCCCTTATATAGCTGCCTCCCGGCCAGTAGCCCTTTCTTCTGTCTGCCCCAGTGGTCCCGCCCATCTCGGTGACCCACGTCAGTAGCCTCCGGCCCGAAGCCCGTTTTCCCTGGGCCGGGCTTCATAGGGCCCCATGTCATTCACCATGGATTTACCACCACTTCGTAACTCAGAAAACCTCCCCAAAAACCATGGCTCCCTGGCAGCCATTTCACAGCCCCTGTGGTTCGCGGCGTACTTATTAAAATCCAGAGAGAAAAAAAAAATATATATATATATATATATATATATGTATATTTATTTATATTATTGATGTTACGACTGGAAGCATCGCACTGATTATTGTCCATATAACTGAACTCGTTTTCTAAATTTCGAAATTTTGGCAGCCCACAGCCTGCAGGTCGAGGTGGGCGAGCTCAAGGGCCGGCTGACGGAGGTGATGAGTAACTGCGACGCCCTCTGCCGGAGGATCGCCGTGGACGGGCCGCCCCAACTGCAGTCCTCGGTGAGACCCTTCTCGTCCGATGATTATGCTGCGGACCGCGATCGGACGGGGCCGCCGCGTTGACCGGACTTGAATTTGTCTGAAAGCGTGCCCTGCCCTTTTTATTTCTTATGACTTGTGGAGAGAGAATCTCATCATCCGATCCACGCGGCGTTGACCAGCCGGGCCCCTGTTGAGTACGGTTTCCTCGTTTACTAACGGGAGCTGGCCGATGGATCGAGTTACGCGCGACGAGTTTTATGTTCTCTGACATTGAGAAGAGTTGACCTTATTAAATCAAAGTAGGGAGCACATTTGGGGATGCTCGGCCAGGGCGGGCCCACCGAGCGAGAGCTCTACTAGAGGAGAAGAGTAGGAAGGAGAAGAAGGGGGCCCGCGCAGTAATGGCGGAGCACGCACACGAATAGTGGGAGGTTGGGGTTTGACCGAACAGATTGGCGGACGGGGAGAGAACGAAGTGAGGAGCGCCTGAGGATGAGGGGAAAGAACGACTTACCGGGCTCGTGCGAACTTTTCTCGAATTCTTTGGTTGACTCTTCTTTTTGCGTCAAGGCTGCTGTTGAGGATCGATGTATCCGGCGTCCGCGAGGACCTTCTCCCTCTTGGCGAGCTCCAGGTCCCTGTCGACCATCATCCGCACCAGCTCCGGGAAGCCCACGCGGGGCTTCCAGCCGAGCACCCGCCGGGCCTTGGCGGAGTCGCCCTTGAGGTTGTCGACCTCGGCGGGGCGGAAGTAGCGCTCGTCGATCACCACGTGGTCCCTCCAGTTGAGGCCCACATAGCCGAACGCCGCCTCCAGGAACTCCTCCACCGTGTGCGACTCCTCGGTAGCGACCACGAAGTCGTCGGGTTTCTCCTGCTGCAGCATCAGCCACATGGCCTCGACGTAGTCTCCGGCAAAGCCCCAGTCCCGGGAGGCGCTCAGGTTGCCGAGGAAGAGCTTGCTCTGGAGGCCGACGCAGATGCGGCCGACGGCCCGGGTGATCTTCCGCGTGACGAAGTTCTCGCCGCGGCGGGGAGACTCGTGGTTGAAGAGGATGCCATTGCAGGCGAAGAGGCCGTAGGCCTCCCGGTAGTTGACGGTGTACCAGTGGGCGGCGCACTTAGCCGCGGCGTAGGGCGATCGGGGGTGGAAAGGGGTGGACTCCGACTGCGGGGGAGGGGTGGAGCCGAACATCTCAGAGGACCCGGCCTGGTAGTAACGGATCGAACGCCCGGGATTGGAGGCCAGGTGAGATCGGACGGCCTCCAGGAGGCGTAGGGCACCGGTGGCGACGACGTCCGCCGTGTAGTCGGGGACCTCGAAGGACACGGCGACGTGCGACTGAGCGGCCAGGTTGTACACCTCGTCGGGGAGCAAGACGTCGATCCAGCGGCGGAGGGAGGAGGCGTCACTGAGATCTGCGTAGTGGAGCTTCATCTGCGCCTTGCCGACGTTGTGCGGGTCGATGTAGAGGTGATCCAGCCGCGTGGTGTTGAAGTTCGAGGACCGGCGAATGAGGCCGTGGACCTCGTATCCTTTCCCCAGCAGCAGCTCCGTCAGGTACGATCCGTCCTGCCCCGTGATCCCCGTGATCAGAGCCACACGCCGGCGATCCCAGATCGACGCCGGCACCGACTCCAGATACCCCGCCGCCGCCGATCCGTCGAGAGCCGCGCCATTGGATTCAGATCTGGCGGAGGCCGCCTCGAGAGGGCCGTTATCCGAAGAAGCCATTCCTCTCTGCTCCTCCGCGCGACGAAGAAGAAGACGCTGCCGTTACTTCCCAGGATCAACCGATACTTACAGCTGCTCTAGAGTATGTAGGTCCCACCCTACGCTGGGCAGCTCGAGTTATTGGTGGGGCCACTAGGCGACGAATCCCAGATCGGGGTCTCGGATTGGCCCGGCCCATTGGTTCCCTTCATGACTGATACCTCTAACCAAAATCGGTTAATTTCAGGCTAAATAACCTCCGTAATTAAGGCTTGCCCCCCACCGTTTCCGGCCAACGCTAGCCATCATAATTCTTTCAGCTGGCAACCAACTACTTCCAAACCATAGAAAAATATGATATTAAATCGCAAAAATCTTTCGGAGACCACTCAGAACACATTAATCACCATACCTGGATCATAAGCAGCACCGCATTTATCTGCTGACATCACCAGCTTTAATTATGTATTAATTTCCTAAATAGTAAAAAATATTATCGATCACCTGGAAAATAATATTTTAAGAATAAGGGAGTTCGCAGCAAAAAGACCCACCACATTTAACTGATTTAATACCGTTTTAAAATCATTGAGTCATGAAGGTCAACGCCAAATGATATTTCTAAAGCTTTTGATGCACACCCAAATCACTCATCAGATAATCCAGCAATTCAAAGGCATAAAAGCTATAACACCATGTAGATTTTAAGCAGTTATAACTGGAAATAAGAATATAGCCAGTGGTTCAAGCCAGTAATCCCAGATACCACCAAAGTCAACGTCACACGTGTGTTCCTCCTCTAAAAATGAGAAGCTCCGTCCAAAGAGCATGGGGGCTATGACCGTGGCGAGTGGAAGTCAAACACATGAAGCAGGCACCGATCATGGGAATGTAAATCTGGGCCATTTACCCGGCAGGATGAGGTCAGGCGGTTCTCAGGATGATGTGGACCCCACTATCCGTGTCCACGATGTCGCTGATCTCCCCAACGTTCAGGGAGAATGCGACGTCCTCAAAGGCCCTCTGCATCTGGCCTCGCTTGAAAGGGCCTGAAAGAGGAATCAAAGGAATCAGGACACGAAGGAGAGCCAAACAAGAGGCGGAGGATCTCCCGCTCATTGAGATTCCATCATCCCCATGAATGCATACATACCCCCCCCCCCTCTATATCTACACTTCGAAGGCTGAAGGGATTTATGTAATGTCTTCACATGCCACCAATGGGTCAATCTACAGTAGCTTGAATGTGATGTGGAGATGAGTCAAAGGTCAAGGGAAATCCAAAACATGGGAAAACTATTATTATTATTATTATCAGTATTATTTTAAATACCCTTTTTTGTGAGAAGTTATAGGAATCAGGCTAAATTCATCGACCTACTTCCCCAAAGGTCAGTTAAATCCTTGATGTCGGTGTATAGAAAGATGTGAAGAGTACAAAGAACACCAAGGCACCTTCAGGCATGCTAAGCATCAATGGCCACCAGTAACATGGTCAAAGGCACCACCCAGAATCTTACAACTGAACGAAGTTGAACACGAGGAAGTATAACATCTGGAGAAAGCTGTGTATTACAGTGAAAAGATGGCTAGGAAGATCCTCACTTAGATTTCCTTCTGGATCGTCAGAAGAGAGAGCTCCATCTGCACTGCTTAAACTGTAACATGTGACCCAGGGTCTACTAGAGGCATTTGACTGAGGATGTCATAGCATGCCAACACAACCAGTTATATTATCTACAAGTTAAACATAGGGCCATTTGAATCTTAGACAAATGCCAGGAGACCCATTAATCAGAAAATGAAGAACAATGAGCAAACCTGGGCTGAGATTACAAGCACAAAAAAATTGTTCCAAAGTGGAACCAGGAATGGGCTCTTCAAGGAATCAGAAATTTAACATGATGGCACTCCATTAGCCATTGATAGTATCTGGTTAAACACCTACAATGGCCCAATTTTAAAGTATTGAAATAAATTGATGATGCTGCCGACAGTGAGTGAGTGAGTGAGTGAATAAGAGAGAGGGAGAGTACACAAGAGAGAGAGAGAGTAAGCAAGAGAGAAAGAGAGATGCTACAAATAGATGGGTACTAGTGAGAGTGAGAGAAAGGAAGAGAGTGAAGGGGGGCAATAAGAGAGAGAGAGAGATGGTAAGCGGTGAGTGTGAGAGAAAGAAAGAGAATGAAGAAGCAGTGAGATAGAGAGGGGGAGAGAGAAAACTTCACTAACACTGATGTTAGTGATAACTGAAATCAACTCAGTTCTAAAAGAAAAAGTTGAATTTAAATCCAACTTGTAGATGTGCAGATATTAGTAACATAAAAAGTGAAGTCAGGGCCTACGATAGGATATAAATGTGAACGACTCAGGGGATTATCTTACCAAAGTACATTTCCAAATTACTTATTATCCCAAAGATTTTCCTTAAGCCCCAAATATGTGACATGAAAATTACTACAAAGGAGACTATGGATAGCATGAAAAAGGAAAAAAATTCGTCTCTGGCTTAGTTGTTATCCACATACATGAGAACCATTCACCTGCTTCATACGATCAGAAATAGAACAAGCAATTTAAAAGAGGACAGGAAAACATTGATAAGAGGGTACTGACCATTCAAAAAGTACATACTAACTTAAAACACACAAATCTATCATAACCAGGTAAATTTTTAGGCAATCAATGCAAATCAAAGTCTCTTAACTGGTGTGATCTCTCTCTTTGTTTAACACGGCCAAAATATGAAAAACAACGTAATCTTACTTCGGCCACGATGGATACGAAAAAAAGGCATCCTCCGATATATTTTGTTATTGTCCAAACGCTAATAATCCCAGAACAACAGTTTACCATCATTCTCTTTATTTCTCTCACACTCACCGCTTACCGGGAATGTCTCCCGTAAATCACTTAATGGAGAAAGGTAATTAACAAATGCAGTCCCCCTCCCAAAAAAAATATAATTAATAATTTATGAGGCCGTGAATGGGAGATCTATCGTGACCTAGCAAACTCGGATGAGAATATTCGACCTAATTCTTTACCCGATGTGCGGACATCTGCGATCCATTCACCCCTGGAAGGAAAATTCGATTCCCAGTGTCTACGGATGCTAGCGTAACCGCAACAAAGATTTCATGTAACAAGCTTACCAAGATCCCCGCCACGCTTGGCAGAGCTGCAGTCGGAGTGGCGGGAGGCGACGTCCTCGAACGTCGCCGAGCCTGAGATGATCTCCTCCCGAAGGGCCTTGAGCTGCGCAACGGCGCTGTCCCTTCTCGTGCTCTGGATCCTCACCCCGTCCGGATCCTTCCAGGAGGCCTTCCGCCGGGACCCCTCGTGCTTGATCAAGATGTGCGAAGCCTTCACCTGCTGCAGCTGACGGGACGACATCTCGACCCCCCCGGAACGCCTACTCTTCTTCTCCCGGCCACCCGATCGGCCCTCGCTTCGATCCTCTGCGGCAACAGTAGAGGGGCTCTTCCTCTTCCCAAGCGTCTCTCTCCCCTCCCCCCTGATTTTGCCAGTCCTCTGAGAAACAAGACAAAAAATCGCGGGGAAAAGGGCATTTTGCCTACATATGGAGGAAATATACACAATTTGATAATTACAAGGTCACTAAAATAATTTCCTGATAACGTGGGAGAAAAAAATATATCACATGATCGCTTCAGCTTCACGAGATTCGGCAGCCGCCCCCGCGGTAGGTTGCCACTTCGTCACAGTTTTGCTTAAGAGGGATCGTCCGTGGGTCCCGCACTTTTACCGGAATCTTACTAGACTCCGCCCCCTGTATTAGAGCGAAAAAAATAGAAAATTAAAAATAAAAGGATAGAGGGAGAAGAAACATTTCTTAAACTAGTAATTATTCGTGGTAAAATGGGGGAGAGACCGCACCGACAAGCATCCAGTCTTCACTCCCATCATCTTCATCTTCTTCCTCGAGCTCGCCACTTTTACAGTCTCGCCGCCACCGCCTGTGGCGAGGATCCCACTCCGGCCGAGCTGGCACGATGGGGGCCGTCACCCTCACGATCGGAGACGGGACGGCGAGGTTCCGCAGGGCCTCGCTCTTCTCCCCCGCCCTCCGCGTCCTGATGCTACTCTCCGTCGTCACCACCAATCTCTTCGCCCTCTACGCCTTCACCTACTCTCCGCCGGCGTCCTCCGCCGCAACCGCCGGCGGGTGGGACGGTGGCGATGTGGAGGATTTCTCCGTCTTCTCCGACCACGTTTCCCAGATCGTGCGCGAGATAGAGATCTCCCAGAAGCAGCTCAGGCAGATCGAGAAGGAGCTCCTCGGCTACGAGACCCTGGACATCTCCAAGCCCAGTGTGCCGCAGGAATTGAAGATCTTCCTCGGCCGCCATCCCCTCCCCCTCGGCAGGGACTCCCGCACCGGCATTACCGAGATGGTCTCCTCCGTCGGCCACTCCTGCGGCGGCGCCGCTGACCTGGTGGCGCAGTATATGACCTACTCGCGGGGCGACCGCTGCCCGGAGGATGCCTCCCTGGCGGAGAAGCTCCTCTCCAGGGGATGCGAGCCGCTTCCCAGGCGGCGGTGCCTCTCGAGGCGCACCGCCGTGCCGGAGCTGCTGCCTCTGCCGCTCTCTCTCTGGGCTCCGGCGAACCAGGCCGCCGCCGGCGCCTTCGATCGCCAGATGTGGGTGAAGCCCCGGGGGAAGAACGACTTCCTCATCGACGACGTGCTCTCCCTCACCAGAGGAATTCGGATCGGCTTCGACATCGCCGGCGGAGCCGGCAATTTCGCGGCAAGGATGGCAGAGAGGAACGTCACCGTCGTCACCTCCGCGTTCAATGCGGCAGGCGAGTTCGTCGCCGCGAGGGGGCTCTTCCCGCTATTCCTCACCCCTGGCCAGCGGTTCCCCTTCTCCGACTCTGTTTTCGATCTGGTCCACACGGGCAACGCTCTGGACGGGGCCTCCGCCGCGGTGTCGCCGTCGCCGGAGAAGATGGAGTTCTTCATGTTCGACGTTGACCGGGTGGTGAGGCCCGGGGGTCTCATCTGGCTGGACAACTTCCGCTGCCCCGACGAGAAGATGAAGTCGGCGTTGACCGTCCTCATCGACAAATTCGGCTTCAAGAAGCTGAAGTGGGTCGTCGGAGAGAAGCTCGGTCCCTCAGGCGCGGGGAAGAGCGTCCTCCTCTCGGCAGTACTGCAGAAGCCAGCGAGGTCGTGAACCGACGGCGGAGATGGAAGCCGAGCGGTGACGTGGCACCTTGACATTCTTTTTATGCTGCTATTTCCGTTTTGCCTCGCCCATTTTCCGGATGCGATCTCGCCGGATCGCTGTACCAATAAACGCTCTTCGAAGAGGAAATATATGTTTAAGTGCCCCCCGAACTTACCACGATATACAAATATAACAAGTTATGGGTCGAGACGTAATTCACGACGAGGAACACAATTTTTTTATTTATCTATATATAAATCATATTTCTTAGAGGTAAATTTATTCTCGTATTTTAAATAATAATAATTAGATCCCCATTCGAGCGTGCCCTGCCGGGGAGAAATTGTCTTCTCCGGATTATCTGAGCCCACCACCCCGCCGTGGGACCCGCTCAAACGCCAGAAGAAGAGCATAGGCCGGTGGGACCGCGTAGGAGGATGTAGCGGCACGTGGGAACAGGGGGGGAGTGGAGTCCACGTCAGCGTGGCGCCAGCAACGGCCTTGGGGGGTGATTTATTTTCCCGTCGTTTAATCCCAGCTTTCCAATATTTCCGGATGGCCTCGTCTACCGCAGCCCCACCTTCTGCATCGACGGGGTCGTTGTCGCCGATCGAGGAGGAGATGACGATGGATTGAGATGGCCGGTCGGGGGACATCGGAAGATCTTCCGTCTGTGCGTTGCTGGTGCTGCGATTGGGCGGCGAGAGAATCGGAAGGATCGGAGTAGGAGGGGTTATGGAGGGAGGGGGAGACGGCAGGGATGGCGGAACAGCATTGTCGTGATCGCAACTACGCCGTCGCCATTGCCGCGGTTGCCGGTGGGATTTTGGTCGGGAGGTTCTCGGTGGCGAGGAGTTGAGGCGATTTGCGAGAATGAGTGATCTGGTGGCGCGGACGGGCCGGCATCAGCAGCGGTACGAGGGCGGCTACCGTCTCGTTGCCGGGTCAATTCCTCGCCCCTCAATCCTCGAAATCTAATATGTTTTCTATTTTTCTTTGCTTTCCCTCGCGTTCGTTTTATGGGTGGAAAATGAAAGGAAGCTCGAGCAGTCTCCTTCACGGCCTTTGTACGTCCTATCGTTGTCGTCATCGTCGCGATTGTTATTTTGATCGGCTAAATCAATTGTTTTGTTTGTTTATTTTGTGGACGGTGTGTGGCTCACGAGGAGACCAAGATTATCCTCGATTGGCTGGTTGGTGGACTAATAATGATCTGTCTCTGGGACCGAATGTTGTGAAGGCTTTCCCATCGCTCCTGCTTATTTATGTTCTACATTCTATCTGTTGCTTCGTCTCACTGTGGTCAAGATGCCTTCCCCTCTGCATATTGAAAATATGTTCAACTATTTATTTTTTATTTGGTTCTTTATAATATAGATGTGATGATTTTGTTCTCTGATTACAAATATGCCTCACTATCATTATATCGGGACAGAACATCCGGATTGCATTATGTGAGGTGACTCCCCCTTAGGGTTTCAGCGGACCGCAGACGTAATTTCTCCCACCATCTAGTGAAGTTAGTAAGATGCGTCGTTTAGATATCTCACAAAGGATACCATATTTAACGTCATTGTTATTGTCATCATCATAAACCTTTCTCCCAAAACTCGTGGATCTGGCCTAGTACTCGGATGGCCCGGTCGTAAAATTTCACATTCCAGTCAGCCATCTCCTAGCTTCATCCTGGTTGAAGGCAACGCTTTACTCTAAAAACCGGATCGTTGTCAGGAGGGGATCATGAAATGAATGGCAGAGTTGAAGTTCTGTGAAGTATCTGAAATTTTGCATGCTTTTTTGCATCATACGTTCCCTTTCATACCATCGGTTATTGATAGATAAAGACAATAGCTGCTTCTCAATCCACTTTTTTTCGCATGTAATTTTGACCTGGATTTGGACTACTTTGTCTGCTGTTTTTCTTCGTTTTCCGTTCACATTCTAAGTCTAAACTGGCACCGTGACTAAGTTTCCCAACACTAAACCCAATTGCGCTAGGACGAATTGTTCTAGCGCGTTGATGCAGGTAAAAAGCACAAATCTTTGACTTTAAAAAACACATCTGAAAAACCTAAATTCAGTTTAACTTTTGCGTCTAGCTCGACCAGGAATTTTCACTTCCCTTTTTTATAGTGACATGTTTCCACGTTGCTAACGGTCCAGCCAATAACATTTTCTTATTTTAATACTTCAATAAAATGAATCTTTGCCATGTACCAGCATGAGTAACGGCCAAGAAGAAGAATATATATGCTCGTTCTTCCATGAAAACCTCCCTTATTTATGGTTATCTCTGACACGATCTACTAATCAGTCTTTTTTCTTTAAAGTGGCCTTTTTTGTAGCCATTCTCATCTCTCCATCTGACTTTAGGCTTATTGGGAAATGAAATACAGAGACAAGCCAAGAAAAATTGGCTTTTGCAAACTTTCATCTCATTGCTCACTGGGAATATTGCTTTTCAACTTGAGAAATCTCTCATGAGAGTTTGCTACACAATCATGTAACATATTTACATTATCTGAAAAGATTGCCCAATTAGAAATTAAGATGATAAGTGGGACATCAGAAATATGAAATGATGTTCCATTTCGGGCTGTACTCGCGGCAACCCTGCCCATCCCGTTTCCATTCCTGGATCGTATATGAAATATATCAGTGAATTTCTCTGATTAAATGATTGTTAAAAAAAATCATATTTTTTCAGTACATTTATTGTTTATCCATATTTTAAATCTAGATTGATCTTGTATAATGGGCCCTAAAAAGTGTAAAATTTAAATTTATCTTGATCTTGTTTTCGCAGGACTTTTCCTTCATTCTGACATCTTTCGGGAAATTGTTTCTGACTATAGGACTCTATCCAGGGATGTGTATGATATTATTATGGTAGATTTTTACAGAAATGTGACTTCCTAAGTCCAGTGCTTTGCCTGTTAGAATGGGGTTTCTATCAGGGGATTCAAATAGCTTATGGTTCGTGCACATGCTCTCATCTAATGTTGTAAGGAAATCCAGCAAACTAGAAAACCCGAGTAATTTCTAAAAAAATCACATTAAATAGTTTCTGCAGTCCTTGTTCATCTGATGCATACCGAGAAATTCCATCACCGGAATATGTACCAAGTTCTCATGCATGCTTTTTTTTTTTTTTCTCGAGTACTAAAAAATGTTTGTGCAAGGCAATCACTTGAGTAGACGTCTTAATGATTTCAGAAGATCATGCTACTGCGGAAACCAACTTCATTATGGCTTTTACCTGTACTTATCGATATAATGCTCGCTCATCTCCAAAATGTCATGTGACGTATTGGCTGAAAGATCCCAAGTTGGTCTTGCTTGATATTTTCAGGCTCTTAGCATAAATATGTATTATCATTCATTTTAATTCAGTTTATTCTCTATTTTGGGGTTAATTTAGTAACTCCCTAACAAATCTTTGACCTCAAATGCCTAACAGTTGCATTCCATATAAGTATCGGAATCCTGATGAAAATTGCGGTGGAAAAATGAAAAAGACCGTTGAGGTCCTTATGATCAACTCATCTAGTGGTCCTGGTCTTTTGTTTCCAAAGGTATGATCAATAATAAATCTTATCTGGTATTTTCTCTATAACGTTGACTTTGCCTGATAATATACAGACATTTCTATGCTTGTGGGACGCGTGATAGTGAAAGAGGGTGTTGACCCAATCTAAATGCGCACCATTTGTCAACGCAGGGAGGTTGGGAGAATGACGAGACTGTTGAAGAGGCCGCTGAACGTGAAGCTCTGGAGGAAGCAGGAGTCCGAGGGGAAATCAAGGTATATGATCTCTCAACTACGATCAGATGTGCTCTTTTCTTTGCTTGTATTCACAGCATCATGATTTCATGTGGTGGATGATCTCATAAACCTTCTAGAGCACGGTCAGGTCAACCATGATTAATCATATCTTTTTAATCTTTTTCCATTTTGAAACAGTAAAAATATTGCTAGTCAAACCTGACTTATCAAAGTGATAAGTCAACGGCGTAGATTTTAGCTGACGGCATCCAAAATCCTGTGCGAAACATCTTCAACCTCCCTCATGTGCTATCCCACGTTCCAGGATCTACTGGGCCACTACTACTTCAAGAGCAGAACCCTGAAAGACGAGTTCTGCCCAGATGGGTCCTGCAAGGCGGCCATGTTCCCGTTGCTCGTCAAGGAGGAGCTCTGCTCGTGGCCGGAGCAGAGCACCCGGCAGAGGAAATGGCTGACGATCCCGGAAGCCGAAACCCAGTGCAGGCATTCGTGGATGCAGGACGCCCTCGTCGAAGGCTTCTCCAAATGGCACGCCAAGAACACCGCTGACAACTGCTGATGCCATCCCCCCTCCTGCTCCTTATAATGTAAGATCCTCTAGACCCTTTTTTTTTTCTTTTTTCTTAGAGTTTCCTGAACCCTTGATCATAATCACCCAAAAGACTCTATCTTGATCCAGCCGATCTATTAATGCAGTTTCCTCTTCATTTATTAATTTCCAGCAATAAAATTAATAATAATCCAGCCGAGATCAAACCGAAATTAGGGAAAAATAATCTCGCCGACCCAATTTCGACCGCAAATCAGTAGGAATTCTCCTTGATGGATCTCGCCGCCTTTCAGAGTCGCAGCAGAAGGAAATCTCCTCGTTCAGTCCGGTTCTTCTTCGGTCGAAGGTGATGTCTACAGCCGCCGTTGACTTCCCCTAGCCTGCGAAATCTTGCCCTCACTTGACGTAGATGACTCCGTCGTCCACGTCATCCGCGTCCCAGTTGTCGTCGTCGTCGTCGTCGTCTTCTCCTCGGGAGCTGTTCGACGCCCCCGCCGGCGCCTCCTCGTCTTCCTCTTCCCCGTCGTCCTTCTCGTTCTTCAGCCTGTCCAGTATGGCGATCACCTGAAACCATAGCCACCAATGTTGGGTCATAAATCTCTCTCTCTAGATGTAAAGAGAGAGAGAAGGGGGGGGAGGGAGGGGATTACCCGGCTGCCTCTCTCAAGAGACTCGTCCTCGATGAATCGGATCTCGGGGGTCAACCGCAGCTTCATGCGCCGCCCTAGCTCGCTGCGGACGTACTTGGCCTTTGACTTCAGCCCGGCCATGGCCACCTCTCGACCCCTCTCGTCACCGAAGATGGATACGTACACCTTGACCACCTGCGGCAATGTAAGATTAAGAGGGTTATCGATCTCCACCCATAGCCATGGCCATAGCCATGGCCATGCATGTTCTTTATCCAATCGAACTCTTCTTTATCAGGAAAAATCTGAAGCCTCAGGTCGTTTTTTATCTTTATTTCTATAAATGGAAAAAGGGCTGACTTTCATAGGTAAAAATAATTAACCGAAACGTAAATGAATCTGATATTGTGGTTTAATTGTTTATTTCTTGGGTCATCATCAGCCTTCTTCATTCTTATGAGGAAGGAGGATCTTCCTTACCGAGGAAGAGCACAAGCTTGATCTTTCTGATGTGTGAGGAAAAACCTTAGCTGGACTTCAGCTGTCTGTCTGTACACTGAACACAACGGTCAAATGATCGGTCTCGATCTTGCCGGCAGATAAGGAAGAACATCAGGTCAAATCTGATTGACCAATTGGTCAACCAGCCGGCAGGACTGCCTCAGGTTTCTAAAGTTGACCGAACATCATGAGCTCGTTTCTATAGGATAGAATCCTACGGCACGAATCCAATTTTATCAATGGTTGCAGCGTCGTCCATGAGGCATCGGCGATGGAGTAGGCCGATGCCTCGGAATTAGGGTTTTCAGGGTGGGGGGTAAAATCGCGCCGACCGACAGCCGGAAGGGAGGCGGAGATGGAGAGAAAGAAACGAGCGGCGGCGGTACCTGGAGGTCGCCGGAGACCTCAACGTCGCTGATCGTGGTGAGGGAGGAGAGGTACCGGTCGGCGCCGAGAGAGGCTTCGGGAAGAACCGCATACTGCAGAACCTTATCCGTGAGCAGCATATCAGAAAGCTCCCTCCTTATCTGCTTCGCCACCATCTTCACCCTCCGAGGGTTGGCCATACACGTCGGCCGAGGCATTCCTCCGCCACCGCCCCCGGCGCCGCCGCCGCCGCGGCGAGTGAGCGCCACCGGCCAGGCGTGGCGAGGGACAAGACGATGCCCAATCAGGGAGGAGCGGCAAGACGATAGGAAGGGATACGCCGCCGTAGGCAACGCTCGGAACCTCGCCGGCGATGGTGACGACGGCCGCAAGGCCTGGCAAGGAGGAGCCATCTCCCTTCTCCGCTGCCCTGTGGGACGCTCCTCATATCCAAAACTCCCATATATAAATTTATGAAATTTCCATTTATTACTAAATAAATCAATCTTATTATCACCACCGTAAATGGGTAATTGTGGGCCTACTGATAAGGCCCAAAAATCCCATTCCGGGTGTATATGGGCCGGACCCCTTTCTTCGTCGATCTTGCGAGCAGGGGTCTTGTAGGCCCATACCCACCTTATTGCACAACCGACCAAGAATGTGATCCGGCCCATACACTAAAATGGGCCGTGTAGGCTTGATATTGGGCCAAGCTGAGACGACACTCTTATCCTCTCGGAGGCCCATATAACCAACCGTATTTATTTTATTCATTTTTTTCGTAAAATATGTGATAATTTATTCCCTGATTTTCAATTGGGCGAATTATCTGGGTTGTTCTTTCGTGCACGTGCGAAAGTAAACAACCGTCGTCCGCCGCATTTAACGCCTGCGACAAGATCCGGATCCTCTCGCGGGTCCTCGTTCTCCTCGGACCCATTCATCCTTCCCCTTGACAGGCTACGGACCGGATCATCGCTATCTCTCTTTCCCCTCTCTCTTTCTAGATACTGTACGGCTCGAACCCGGCCAAGGTGACGTGTCCTACAGTGGAACTGTCACGCCACCGTATGATAGAGAATGGCTGAGAAGTCATCCCTCTCTCTCTCATCACCTCAATGGGATCCCATATCCAAACCTGGGGCCCAACGGGCCGGTATTGACCGGGCTTTGATGGCCAGGCCCGGGCCCGCCGAGTTGACCCGTCGGCCTCCGTGACAGCGCCGTACAACAGAGCACCTGCAGGAACCAGCTGGCCTTCATAACTGTTAAGATGTCAATTATGAGTACCAAAATTTACTCGCCTGTCACGTTGACTTGGACGCGCAGATCTAAGATCCACGCAACGCTCGGGTCGGGCGATCCGGAGACTCGACCGGCGGACTCGGCGGCGATGACGTCGTCGGGCTTTACCGAAAAAAGCGGTGGACCTGAGTCGTTGGAAAAGGATCCCGCATTAAAGTGGGGCCCAACCGCCGCCGAACGCTGCCGCCGGCGCGCTGTCCATTTCCGCCGCCGCCGGAGGAAAGAAAAGTATTTTATGCCTCTGCCACGTGGTCCTCTGAGATGGCGCACCGGCGGAGAAAATAAGAGTATCAATAGTTCGTAGAGCATTCGATTAAGAAAGTAATTGTAGACTAATACGTTAATGTCTTGTTCACCTGCCTGCCACGTGTCAGCTTTAATCCCCGGTCCCACGTGGGGACTTCTGCTTCCTTAAATGACAGCTCACTTGTCGGTGTCGGGGTGGCCACATGATATAATGATGTGAAATTCAGGGCGGCGAATTAATTACTTTTTAAGTATTCCATTAAGAAAAATTACGTCATAATTACGGTTAGAGCTGACACGTCAGAGAGGGCCCCACTGGACTGAGACCTGCCCCTCTGCACAACTGTAAAGCTCAAAGGCTGGAAAGGTGACGAGATGAACACCGGCCGTGGTCCATCTTAACTGCAGGCCACCCCCCCCGAGAAAACCCCACGCTTATCCTCGGGTGTGAGAGCGATCACAGTTCGTGGATATTATAACGCGGGGCCCGGCCCCCGTGAACCGCGGTCCATTGGTCCATCAATCGGAATCGCCCCTCTTAGTACGCCAGCTAATGCAGAGCTGAATAGTGGCCATTCCGGGTCGTAAGGTGGACCTCGAAGCGTCCGAGTTGACTCGGAGAATCTAACGGCTCTCGATCGGCGGGCCCACCGTCGGTCGCTAGGCCGTAGCCATCGGACGGCTGTCGCTGTCATCACGGGCTCGGTTTGCCAGCCAACCCCGTCGAGAATCCACCCTGTCAAGTGCTGTGGACCGGAGCAGACTGACACGGTAACGGACGGTGCAGATCACTCCACCTGATCTGACCATCGCCGTTCAGTTTCCCGCCCTCGGATTCTTCCAGAATATCTGGCCTTGCCAGGGGATGGACTCCTCCGGCCACCACGTGGAGAACTCGCCGCCGGCGACTCCATCGTCCGGTCCAATGTGTAATTTACGGATATTTTGGGGCTAAATTTGGGATTTGAATCGGGAAATTACAGATAATTCTACGAGTGAATTTAATTCAAATTTATTCAAAAGATGGAGACCGAGCGGAAGATCCACTACCGAACTCTACGGGTCTTCGGATCTCTCTCTCTCTCTCTCTCTCTGGTTTTGGTCGTGAGCTTCTCGTAGACATCTCGTCTGCAGTTCAGCAATCGGTGGCGGGGTGACCGGTGCGGTCCTGCAGTTCTATCTCTCTCGCTGCGGTCCTGCAACTAGGAGGAATGTGGGGGGGTGACCGGTGAGGATTTCTCGAATTGGTGGCGGCATCGCCGTCTCTCCATCGGACGTTGCCGATCTCTTGGTCCGTGTATCTCTGTCAGTCGTGTGAAAAATCTTCGGAATCAGCGTGGCAGGGGCTGTTTCTGCTCAGATCTGGTGCCTGATTGTCGTCTCGCGAACAGCATTGCATCGAGTGAGCGCAGTTTTCATCCCACCATTGATCCTCTCTTTCTCACTCTGCTACCCCGTGTCCCCCTCAGTTTCTGTATACGAGTCCTGTTTCATGGTCTGAGAGTGGGGAGTGCTGGGCCTTCTTGAGGATATGGGATAGCGATGGGGGGAGGCTGATTGCCCATGAGCAGTTTTCGAGTCTTCATTCTTACGCGTGTACTGTATATTTACCCTCGGTTCTTTTTTAATGTCTGATTCTTCGTATCCGTGCATATGTTCCTTCTTCCAAGGAACAAGCATCCTGAAACTTTTTTTTCTCTTTTGCTTTATCATTTCGTAAATTAAGTGGAGGAGAAAGTTCTCATTCTGTTTAAAATAATATATCAGAACATCATCTGTTTCCGAAACGAACCTTTCCAACAATTTCTCTGATACATGAGTGTCTCCTGTTACTAAAGCTTATTTTCACCTACTTCCCTCAATATTTACAGGTGACACGGAACCTGCAGCTCGACGAAAATCCAGTGCTGCCGACACCGTCTGCAGCCTTACTTCTCTGGATTGGGTCTGGAATCGGAGCAGCCGCATCAATCTCGATCTTCTTTCGTGTTCTGGAGCCTCCTACTCTGTGACAATTTCAAAAGGTTAATGAAAACTAAAGATCCATCGACTGCCTACTAACTATTTTTTGGGATCCTTCTTCTCTTAGTTTAAATGGAGGAGACATGTTATCTTGGTTTTTTTTTTTGTATCTGAATATACGAGGTCCTTTGTCTAAAAATTTTCCGTCATTTCATTCTTTTTGTCTCTGAATACACTTCGTCTGTCTAACCTATTTTGTTGGTCAAATCGTCTGCATAATTAATGGACGGTGGGTAATTTACATTTCACCGGAAAATAAGAGTTTGCTAGTCCTGTGCCTTGGTTTCACAGTCGTCGGATTTCTGACGCAGATGTCCTTTTCTATGCCTTGGTGCCTGTTGCCGTGTGTAGTTTTCCTCTGTAAGGAAACAGTTGGTGTTTAAAGAATGAAAAAGCTATTACATCAATCTTCGTTCTTCCGTTACATTCTGGGCCGTGAGAATTATGCTTCCATAATTATAAGGATTGGAGTTTTTAGGATTGGGGTGCTCGATGAGGCGTTCGTTTTTATTGGGCCAATGCATCTCATCTAATTGCTTCATGATCAATGAACAGATGTCAAATGCTTTCTATTCCCCAGCGGACATTTTTTTTTTAAAACTTTGCCCCACCTCTTTTGTGCATGCAAATGAAACCCTCAAGAAATTCATGCCTCTTATTTCAACAACCCGCATGTTAGCCAGGCAATCCAGTGATTTGACGGGATAGATATTTGGATTTTATCTCACAATGTTCTCCGTTCGGTTATGTTTATTGCATCTTTACATACTCACAAAATTCCCCTCCCAGGGTACGCTGTTTCATAATGGATCGCCGAAGTTGGCCATGGAAGAAGAAAAGTTCAGATAAAAGTGTTTCTGCAGATTCTGCTGCTGTCTCCTCAGCCAGCTCAGTTGGGAATCAAGGCGATGAGGTCTGTGATTTCATAATTATTTATTTGTTTTCTTGTTCATATAGAATAACTCTGCATCTGTCTTTTTGGAACCATCGTCTTTTCCTTCAGATTCACGTTTTGAAAAAGAAAAAAAAAAACTTATTACTAGATGATGAAATAGTTGCCATTTCAAATAATCGAAAACAGTCCTCGTGAAGCATAAAGGTCAGAGGAACCATACTAAGAAGCTAATGATCATCAGAACGCTTTTACTGTCATAAACCATTGGATATGATAGATCACCGACTTGGGAAAGTTTTTCAACAAGTCCCTTATTTGACATCAACTCTCTACTAGTTGATACCTGGTTCCTACTTTGAGGTAACTTTGAATCGGAGAGAGTAGTTAACTTTACCATTAACTCAGCATAATCTCATACAGCTAGGGATCGTTGTCATGCGGTGATCAGGTGAGGGTTGTCACAATCATACTTTGGAAAGTGCCACAGACGTTGGAAAATGACTAAACAAAGAAAGAAATAAGACATTTTCTCGTCCATGTGTTAAGTATTCAGCGGCATCACCCGGCAATTGGATAGAGTTCAATTAAAAAAGGTGTTGAAATAGATTCATGCACCTCATTCGTTCCTTTCCATGCCGCCACCTTGCTCAACTGCCGATTATGACGTGTACTACCACCCGGCAATTGGATAGAGTTCAATTAAAAAAGGTGTTGAAATAGATTCATGCACCTCATTCGTTCCTTTCCATGCCGCCACCTTGCTCAACTGCCGATTATGACGTGTACTACCGTACACCTCAGAGCTGATAATTGGAAAAGTGACCTTGTCTGGGTCACAACCAGCCAAACGTTTAGGTGTTGATGTAAACCATTTTTGTAACATCCTTGTAGACATAACGCACATGAATTGTTGAACTTCTATCTTTAGACTATTCAACATAGAAATTCACAAAATCATTCGTGGCTTAGATGGAGTTTCCTGTGTTCTTGTAGAAGTGTTTTTTTATTGGAAATATGTTGACTGGAATGGTAGAAGTGAACTGGTTAGCCCTTACAGTTGAGGGAGAGAGAGAAAGAGAGTATTGGGGCATCAAGCTTGTTTGTTCGGAAGGACTGAGCTGTTAAACTCACTCTGGGATTTTAATTTAGACACATGACCCGAGATTTACCTTTCATTGTGGGATTATCCTGCTTTGTCAGAGTCACTTAAACCCACGAGACAGTTCCTGATCATTAGACTGGTCAATTCCAGAAACTCCGATTCATTAAGTAGTTGAAATTACGCTTAGAGGGCAAATCCATTGATGCATTTTATGATTCGTATATATACATATATATGCACGCTTTTTAATAACATCACACATCATTTTTTTTGCCGGAGAAAGGTTTATTTATAGTGGTACATTTTCAATTTGTATTATTTCCTTCTTCATCGCATCAAAGAACATGTGTTTTTTCTCTGATTAAATATTCTTCCTATAAAGCTTAATTTACTGAGATATGCGTGGGCTTGCTTTACTGATCCTTTTTTCACTTCATCTTTGTGCAGGATAAGTCTAAAGATTCGGATTATGTGCGAATTTCTAAGGAAATCCATACACATTTCATGAAATTGGAGGATCAAGTTCACGTTTTGGACAATCAGTCAAAGGCTTTAAATGAAAAATTATCCACAGCCCAAGCAGACTTGCTAGCTAAAGATAACTTGGTAAATCAGCATATAAAAGTTGCTGAGGAAGCTGTCTCAGGTAACTTCCTTTTATCTCTGTTTATTCCTCCAATGAAATAGGATGTCACACCTTGTTCATCAATACTCGTCTATGTTTTCAATCGTTTTTAAAGCGACTTCCTTGCTTCTAGATAATGTGTAACGTTTCTTTTGTTGATCTTCCTTTAGGCTGGGAGAAAGCTGAAGCTGAAGCCTTGGCTTTGAAAAACCAACTCGAATCTGTTACTCTGCAGAGGTTAACTGCTGAAGATCGAGCAGCCCACCTTGACGGTGCGCTAAAGGAATGCATGAAACAGATTCGTCTAGTGAAGGAAGAGAGTGAGCAACAGTTGCATGATGTGATCTTTGCAAAAACTCAACAATGGGAAAACCTCAGGTTTGAGCTCGACTCGAGAATAGTTGACCTTGAACAAGATCTCCTCAGAGCCTCGGCGGAAAATGCTGCAATTTCAAGATCTCTTCAGGAGCGTTCCAATATGCTAATGAAAATCAGTGACGAAAAATCTCAAGCCGAGGCAGAGATTGAGGTTCTGAAAACTACCATTCAATCTTGTGAAAAGGAAATTGGTTCGCTGAAATACGAAGTCCATATAGTAACCAAGGAGATGGAAATTAGAAATGAAGAAAAAAATATGAGTGTGAGGTCTGCCGACGTTGCAAACAAACAGCACCTGGAAGATGTCAAGAAGATAGCAAAACTGGACGCCGAATGCCAAAGGCTACGTAGGCTTGTACGTAAAAGGTTGCCTGGACCCGCTGCATTAGCTCAAATGAAACAGGAAGTTGATAGTTTTGGTCGCAATCCAGGAGAATCCAGAATCCGTCATCCTTCCGGTAAGAACCTTGGCCCGCATTTTGGATCATCTCCGGATTTTACGATGGAGAGTGTTCAGCAGTACCAAAAAGAGAATGAATTTCTCACTGCCAGATTACTGGCTATGGAGGAAGAAACAAAGATGCTGAAGGAAGCACTGTCGAAACGAAATAGTGAGCTCCAGACGTCAAGAACTATTTGTGCCAAGACATCCAGCAAACTTCGAAGCTTAGAAACACATATGTTGGTCGTGAATCGGCAGAGCCCTTCAAAGTTCAGTCCCGAAACATATGTGGATGGTTCTCTGAGTCAAAACGGGAGCAACCCACGAAGTCTGACTTCCATGTCGGAAGATGGAATTGATGAACAAGAGAGTTTCGGTGAGTCTTGGTCCACAACACTGATTTCAGAGTTATCCCATTTCAATAAAGAAAAGGATGCAGATAAGCATGAAAAGCCCGACGATTCCCATCACTTAGAACTCTTAGATGATTTCTTGGAAATGGAGCGGCTGGCGTGTCTGTCAGCTGAATCTAATGGAGATCTTAAGAGTCCGGATGCTACAACGGACATGGTGAAGGCGAAAAATGAGTTCAATAAGGCTTCAGCTGCAGCATTAAAGGATGGGGATTTCCTCAAGGAACGACAATCTGGTTTAGGGCAACCAAGGGATCTGACTTACTCTAGTGAAGAGCAGTCCTCTGGAGAGCTATCATCCGACAAAAATCAGGTTTCACTGTCTGAGCTTCAATCAAGAATAGCATTGATTGTCAAGACCCAGACCAAGAACTTGGACATGGAGAAACTTCTCGAGGATATTAAGACGATCTTGCAGGATGTACAAGAGGAGATACCTCAACAATGCGTTGGTTGTGTTATCGATGATCCCAACCCACAGGGAGACGATCACTCTTCTGCGGACATTAGAGAAACCAATGCCCCTGGAGCTTCTCCTGTCCATGGCCAGGATGCATCCCCAGACAGCAAGTCGCCCATTGGCCAGAACTTGAAAAATGCCATCGCTATAATTCACAACTTTGTCTTGTCATCTTGCAGAGAAGCTATGGAAGCTCAGAGAATCTATTCCGATTGCCGCCAGATAGACCAGAAAATCGGAGAGCTTTCTGATTGTGTCAACAGAGTTCTTCGTTGTGAGACCGGCTGTGATAGTTTGATTGTTGCCCTGTCGACCATACTGTGTGACATGAATGAATTCAAGCTTGCGACGCTGGGAAGAGAAACCAACGGTTCTGTTTGCGTGGACAGAGTAGCATTATCAGAGAGTGAAGTTGAACCAGGGAAAGAGGGGTCTTCTGGTCCCTGTGCTCTGCCAATTCTTCAGGCCACAACCCCCCTTCGCTCCGCCAGAGAGCTTGAGGAGCTGAGACATGAGAAAGACGCCCTGCGAGATGAACTGGCCAAATGCACAGGAAAATTGGAGCACGCGAATGCCCAGCTACTCTCGATGGAAAGTCAAGTGGAAGTGCTTAGATCACAGCTAGATGCCTCGGAGAAATCAAGCAGCCTGGCTGAGACCCAACTCAAATGTATGACGGAGTCTTACAAGTCCCTGGAGTCGCGTGCCCGTGAGCTGGAAGCAGAAATCAGCCAGCTGCGGGAGAAAATAGAAACTCTGGATGGCGAGCTCCAACAGGAGAGGCTTCGTCACCAGGACGACCTTGCCAGATGCAAGGATCTTGAGGAGCAGATAGAACGGTTAGCATCTTAAAGACGCTCATACTTTAGACAACAGCTGCGGTCGCTGTTGCTGATTTATTTATTTTTTAATGTATTTTCTGACGATCTGGGTTCGTTTTTTTATTTTATTTTTCACCAAGGAACCAGAAGTCCTCAACATCTCCGGTCACATCAGATGCCGATGTCGACACCAAGATAAAACAGGCAAGGATTGAAGTTGACCCGATTCTTTCATTCTGTTTTTCTTTGCATGTTTTTTCGATAAAATATCATATTTTCTACTAGACCACTTTGTCAAATCCATGTCGCCGGATCATTCCTTCATTAAATTTTGACCCATAGATCGCCCGGTACTCCAACTTTAGTCAACTCTGAGCTGATCTCAATAGCAAGATCGAGACCCATATCTCAGACTTCTGTGATTCTCCGGTGATGATGCTTCTTGCTCCGTCGCTCGGCAGGACAAGGAGATAGCGGCGGCGACGGAGAAGCTCGCCGAGTGCCAAGAGACGATCCTCCTCCTCGGCCGGCAACTCCAGGCGCTGCATCCTCCTGCAGAACTCGGCGCGTCTCCTCCACCGAGCAAGGCCCTCCAGATGAGCGAAGATCTCCTGGAAGCCCTGCTCGACCGGAGCGGCGGTGCCGGGCCAGGCCGGAGGAGCTTCCAGCTCCCCGATCACGCTGACCGGAGCGGCGGTGAGTCACCGCTGAACGGCTACGGCTACGGCAGCGCCGCCGAGTCGACCCCGATCCCGATGTCCCCGATCAGCTCCAGGCGCCCCAAGCACCGGTCCCCCGTTCCCTCCTCCTCCTCCTCCGGCTCGAGCTCCACGCCGGAGAAGCATGGCCGTGGCTTCAGCCGGTTCTTCTCCAAGGGCAAGAGGGACAGCGACAGCCTCCCCCCCTCCTAACCCCCTGCCCGACTTCGTCCCCAGGAAGACTCCGCCGTGGTAACCATTCCCTGTGTATTTTCTTCTTCTTCTTCTGGTTTTTCCCTCTCTGACAAGGTGATCTCTCTCTGATATGGGTGTATAGACATTGAGGATACATAAAGAAGCAGGAGAATTAGATCTTCACTCTGAAATGGTGTTCCTCGTTAGGGTTCAACCGCGTGTGTTTCGGTGGTGGATAAGAGAGTCAACGAGCGGATTGAGAGCTGACTGAAATCCAGGTCAACCCATCCATGCTTCTTTGGGGATGTTGAGTGAGATTCAGCAGGTTGAACGTGAGCCAATGGGTGGAATTGGTAGCCACTAAAAGTCCAATCTTGTCCCGTCTATGACTTTCATGGTGGGTTCTGACGGAGTCCTTGAGTCATCTGTAGGATGATGGAATCAACATGTATAGATCGAGATCTACTTAAAATAAAAGTCAACGCTCGACGCATTTATGTTTTATGGGTCGTGAAAATGGGTGAGATTCAATGAGCTGCTTGTGATCCGAGCTTAACCCATCTACCATTGCACGTTGGGTCAACGTTTAACTCACAAATCTTCCGATTTTGTTTAAGACCAGTTGAATCTCTGCCTCAGAGATCACATGACGCCGTCACGATGTTCACAAAAATAGCACGTGAGGTGCACGTTCTCTCTCACAAAAGATGTTATAAAAAAGTCCCTACTTTTTCCGTTTCCTCCAATCTCTAGCCATTCCGGGTCAAACATCAATTCTTTATTTATTTGTTTACGCTGGCGAATTGGAAGCGCGACGTGCAGGAATCTATAAAATTCAACATCTGGATGGTCAACTATTGGGGACGTTCAAACAACAGGGTACCTCCCTTGACTCTTCGTCCACTTGGGAACCGCTTAGTGGGCGAGGTCGAGTCCAACGTGTCGTTCAGTCTCACCCAGCACAGAACGGTAGCGGTCAAGATCGCCGGCGGAGATGCCACCGCCACGAGAGATTATCGCACCGGCGATCACAAACTGTAGAGGGGAACTGGTCAAGCCCATCTCCCTCTCACCATTTTTCTCTCTCCTCCTCCTATCCACCGACCTTCCATCTCTCTCTCAAACTCTCTCTCTTCAGATGTCGATTGGGGGGGGTCACTGTCGGCGTGCTAGGCAGTTCGTCTGTCAGGGACTTCCCCAATGAGAGGTTGCTTTGACGGCGACGGGGTTCCGGCAGCGGGTCGACCTCCCGGGAGAGCCGTCGCCATTCGGAGACCAGCGAGCGAATAGAATCCGATCCTTCTCTGGGATCGAACAGACCCTTCGATGCTCGACTTGGACCTCAGAGGTAGGATCGGACGGCTAAATCTGGCGGCTAGCGAAGACAGTTGTTGACTAAATATCCATTCAAGACCGTCATTACACGAGTCAACGCGCGGTAAACTCTCTCTCTCTCTCTCTCTACGAAAGCGCATCTGGGCATTCGTGTTGCCTAGAATAAGGAGGTGATCGCAGAGAGGGTGTCCGAAGGATAAGTGGGCCTGGCCGTCTCATAGGAGGTGGCGTGGGCCTACTCTACTCGCACCGATTCTTCCCCATGTGCAATCGCAGGGTGCGCCATGACATGCAAGTAGCGAGATTTTTTTTTTGAGAAAATATTTTTATAATCTCGGTAATGGTAGCTGGATGAGAAGCTGATATCCGTCATTTTTATTTATTTAAAAAACTATTACTCGCTAAATTATTGGGAGTATTTTTAAGCTTCCATGGTGGTTTAAGCTTAATATCTATGTCACTTGACCGTTAAATTAATCCCTAACCACGGTTAAGTTAAACTTCTCTCTCTACCTAAGCCACGAGGTCAAGTAGCAAACTATTTACATTTATCCCTAACTACGATATGTCTGAACACGTTCTTTTAGAGAGAGAGAGAGAGAGAGAGAGAGAGAGAGAGGGTAATGACGATTGTCGTCGCAGAAGCCATGCAAGAGAAAGAAAATTTTTGACACCCGGAGGATCCGTCCATTGCGCCGCCACCATGGGGTGTGAGCCGCCAGCATTCCCATCGCAACGGAGAAGGGGTGGGAGGCCCACAGAGTGCCCCCCCCTCCCTGCAGACGAGGACTGTCGGCCGCCGGTGGCGGCTCCGGTGAGAGAAGAGGGAGAGGAGAGAGAGAGAGGGTGAAGAAGATCTCAAGATGGAAAGTTGGAGTTGCTCTCTCTCTCTCTCTCTCTGCCTGCTGTACGGGTCGTCATATGGGGGTGTGAATGACTGAAAGAAACTTTCACAAGGAGTCCACAGAGAAGACCCACCATTAGAGCAGGCCGCCGCCAATCGGGCAGATCGAGGGAAGGAGAGGAAAATTTCTCGAGCTTCTTTAGATCGGTTGCGATCGTTTCGACAGAGTTTGGACTAAACACATTGAGAGCTCATCGCGGCGACGACGCGACGAAAGAGAATACGGGAACTAAGGACAGCTCTCATGGAGGGCGCGCAGAACAAGCGCCGCTTTCACTGTTGTGTAGATCCAATCCCAATCCCGCGAGAAGAAGAACGATCGTGCGAACAATGGAGGAAGAATCAGAAGAGAGAGATGAGAGGCCGAGGGGCCGTCTCCCTTCTCTCTCCTCCGCCTCAGGGGCTCCTCCGCCGTCACCGGAGCAACGAAGTGAGGGACCGGAAGACGACCTCTTCGCAGGGGAGCGTGATGCCCATGTCGTGGTCGAAGCCGAATTCCTCTTCTGCACTGCGGAGGAGGCTCTGGAAACCAGGGTGGGTGAGGAAGGAGATGGGGACGATGTGGCGGCTCCTGTTCTCCCCAACGTAGACGGCAAAGTGGCCCTTGGGGACGTCGAGGGGGAGCCCTTCTTCCTGTTCGCCGGTCCTCCCCAAGCTCGAGCACCTGCGCACGATCTGCTTCAGCATCGCCGTCTGGCTCAGCTTGTTCGCCTTCCTCAGCGCCATCTCTCTTCTCCTCTTCCTTTCTTTCTCACACCTCCTCCGCCGACGACGGCGAGCAGTGGCGGCGTTTAGCGAGAGAGAGCGACTGGAGACCTGCCGCCGACGTTGAGGACCGCGGTGCCGCTGTAAGAGTTGGCTACGTATTTATCGAGAGAGAGAGAGAGAGAGAGAGGAGGCAAAAGCATGTGGGGTGTGGGGTGGGAGAGAAGGACACCAGGCCCCGGTTGTTTGGACGGGTGATTGGGGTGGTGTACGTGCGAAGGACATGCCGTGCTCTCTCTCTCTCTTTCTCTCTCTATCTCTCTATGGTCCCCTTCCTTCTCTGTCTCCTTGTCTCCCTCGCTCTGTCTCTCTCTGGCCCATTTCCTCTCTCTCTCTCTCTCCTCTCGTTGTTGGGTCTCAAGTCAGTCTATCACACCACGTTAGAAGTAACTCTAGGGTACGCTATCAATTGTCGATATTGTTCGATATGAACACCTTGTTGCACCATCCTCATCCCTGTCACCGCCCATCTCTCTCTCTCTCTCTATCTTCCCAATCCATGCTTCTGAGAGAGAACCAGCTGTCTCCCACACTACGCCGCCTACACGGGACGAGGAGACCAAGAACCGACTGTTCGCCCACGATGTTTCTCTCTCTACCAACCTCTCCTCCGCCTCTCTCTCTCTCTCTCTCTCTCTGGCCTCGTCCTGGGCGGATGGGCATTAAGTGAGCTCGGAAGCTGCGGCCTCGTGCTCCGGATCTATCCGCAAGTGGGATTCATCGCCCCCCTCCTTCGTACGGAACCCCCCCTCCTTCCTTCTACGTCTCCCCTCGGCAGCTCTTCATTAAACGCCATGATGCAGAGCCTACTCCTCTCTCTCTCTCTTCCCTCCCCGCATTTAACAGGCCTCCCTCTCTCTCTCTCTCTCTCTCTCTCTCTCTCGCTAGGCCTAATCGTACTGTGAAGGACGCCCACAACCCTCCCTCTCTCCCTCTTTCCCCTCTCTCTTTCTCTCTCTCTTCTCACTGTCAAACACATTGAAGGGCACTGTAGCTCGGGTTTGCGGCTTTAAGACACCATGTGGCCCATCAATGCAAGTCGTAGAGGCAGCTGAAAGGAAGGGAAGGGAAAGGCCGGGGGGGGGGGGTTCCCACGTGTGGCCTAGCACGTGCTGAAAGCGCGTGCGGTGTCTCATGGCCGTCGGATCATTAGAAGCTTCCAGGTTGGAGACAGGAAGGGCCCTATCGCCGGTGACCCATTTGGCGACCTCCCAACAAGAGAGAGAGAGAGAGAGAGAGAGCTTGGTGTACGGTGGGAGATAGACTAAGCAGGCCCAGTGGGAGATTCTCCAATGGGCCCGTGTGTCATGTCGGGCCCACTAGGTAATTCGTTCGGGCCCATAGATCAACAGTCCTGGCTCGGAAAAATATCTTATCCAAAGAAAATCGTATATTGGGCCTGGGCTTTCTGATTTTCATTGGGCCTCAGCTGGAATAAGTCACGTCGACTCGTCTACACGGTCAAAAATATTGGTTGTTAATTGGCCGAAGTAGGACCGTATTCGTTTATGATATTGGGCCGGAGCATTGATGTATGGACTAGGCCTTACGTTTTTATTGGGCCAAATGTCAGATAAGTGGATGAAATGGACTGGGCCGGAACGGGGTTTGCAGGAAATCCTGTCTCGTACCATTGGATTGTAATCGGACGGTGGAGAGTCATCAATCTGCGACGAATGGCGAGCCGGCAACGAGAAATGAGGGCGCTTCCCCCGTTCCATTGGCCCGGCCTTTTGGAGCTCCCAAGGAGCTCTCTCCTTCCCTCTCCATCTCTCTCTCTCTCTCTCTCTCTCTCTCTCTGGGTTGTCTTCGTGCGTTAGGGCTGTGGGTGTCAATGGGTGCGAAGAAAGAAGGCCTCGGTGCGGGGAGGGAGGAAGAGGAAGACGAGGACAACGTGCCCATTGCATTATCGCGGGGCAAGCTCGCGAAGAGGCGTGAACTGCATCATAGAAAGAGTCACGACGAAGACGACGATGATGACGACGGGGACTTCCCTATCCCCTTCCGTTCTATTGAGAGCAAGGAAAGGCCAGGGCCCCAGAACGGCAGAGGGTCTTTCAGGTTGAAGAAGGAAGGTGATGAAGAAGAGGTCGATGAGAAGCCCCCGAAGAAGGTTTGCTCCATTTTCCCCCTGCCCTGCCCTTTTTTCGTAGTGGCACTCCGTTTTAGGTGCCAATTTTTCATGATTTACGCGCCCATCTGTGTGTGAAGGAGACGAACGTTAAGAAGAACGAGGGCCCTAAGAGCAGTCCCGTGTCTGCTAGGGTGAAGGAGGAGCAGCCTACTGGGGAAGTATCGTCTGAAGATGAGGATGACGGAAAGGTGGCTTTCTCCTCTAGCTGTCTGGTTCTGAACGACGTCTTTTCCTTGCTATTTATTCTTAGCAGCATGCATCTCATTGCCCTTTTATTGGTTCTAGGACTCGAAGAAGAAGATAAAGAGAGGCACGGTGAAGACGAAGGTAGAGCAGAACAGCAAGATCGTCAAGAAGGTGAGCAAGGTCAAAACTGTAGAAGACGGGAAGAAGAAACCGAAGAATGTGTATGATTTTCCGGGGCAGAGGCACGAGCCTCCCGAGGAGGTGCATTTCTTTGATCACAACGCCATTTGGATGTGTATTTTCTGTGCAGACTCAGGCTAAATTGTTCTGTGTTGATTTGTGATATGCATGAACTTGCAGAGAGACCCATTGAGGATTTTCTACGAAACACTGTATCAGCAGCTGCCTAGCAGCGAAATGGCGCAGTTCTGGTATGAACATTTGACCGCACACTGCTTCTATGTTATTTCTCTTCATCAATAGCTGAGGTTGTCCCCACTCATAGCCGATCGGAAGCTTTTTTTCCCCCTTGTAATTCAGAATTGTACTATTTTTTCACATTTCTGGGCTTTTTTTGCATTTAATTTCTCACTGAAAATTAAACTCTTAAGGGCTCCAGTTGGAAGCTGTACGCTGAAAATTAAAATCCAAATAGCCATGTTTTGAAGGAAGTGATTTGCAGTGAACTTTATGCATATTATTATTTCATTATTTTTTGGGAATAATCTCTGCTGGCTGTTGGATCATGATAAAAACCTCGTTGGTTCAGCGTCATATTTGTTTCTAACCCATCTCCAGACTGTCGTGTTACTTGTATCTTATGAGGATGAGTGATGATCATGATATCTAGAAAAATAATAAAATCTTAAAGATGCAGTTAAGGTAATTAGAGAGATGTAGGAAGGACATCAACCGATCGAAGAGAATTCGATGAATGGAATCACATGTCAAGTTAAATTAAAAGAGAGAGAATAGGTGATGCCCATACCCATTGGGGTTATGACCCCTTAAATGCTTCATCTTTAAGGAGGCACCTGAATAAAGCCGGAACAAGATACCATACCAGTGGTGGCCCTTTGCCGAAAGGCTAGGACAGAAGTAACGGGCAGTTCGAGCAACGGGGATATTTAGTATCAACCCAATAGCAAGAGAAGGCATTGCCATGTAATGAGGAGAGAGGTGGGAGTGAAATGGACGTTTTTGAGGATCTGTGAAGAATGAAAATAAGTAAATATTATAAGAGCTAGAATTTTTTTTTGTCCAGATGATGGTGAGCGGGGCTGTAAATGAAATCAGAGGTACAACCAAGAAATGAGTCGAGGAGAAATCGAATTTATTACCTTGGAAGATTATCTCAATCTCTAGGTGGAAAGCGTTCATGGAATCGTTATGTGCCTCGGCTGAGGGAGTTCCAGAATGTGAGTCATTTTTGTCGCCCATTTGATGGAAATCGGGTGAATGAAAGAGGTTTATTTTCTGGAATCGTATGCCTTCTTCGGAGATTGCAGAGGTGAGTGCCAGAGTTCTCCGAAGCATGTCGCTCTCTCGTGGGTCCATGTGAATGGGTCTTGGTGAGTAGTGATTAAGGAGATCGCAGAGGTGGTCGGTCAGTTTACAGGGAGGGAGAGAACAGGGAGAAGGCCCACCGCATTCTTCCTCATATGGCTTCTAGGATGTGGGCTGTGTCTTCCATTGAAGTCAGCGTCGTAATTTTCTTCTGCTCGCAGGATGATGGAGTACGGCTTGCTCCCTCCTGAGGCCGCACACAAGATTTATGAGAAGAAGTTGAGGAAGAACCATCACAGCAAGCAGAGCTCGCCCGTCAAAGTTCCGCCGTCTGAGCAGACGGTAGATTCCGCGAAGAAAGCGAAGTATGTCTCGGCGGGGAAGACGGCGTCGAGGACGGCCGTTAAAAGGAAGGTCGACGACGCGTCTTCCGATGACGACGACTTCATCTCTTCGAGGAAGAAGCCCAAGAAGCAGAAGCTCGCCGGCTGAGGACGGGTTACTGGGCTCGTTTGTTCAGGGCAGAGGTGGCATGGACTAGTCCAATTTTGGCTAGGAAATCATCTGACCCACGTAGCCAATTTTATTTTTATTTTTTTAGATTTTTATTATCTGAAGTAGTCGATGCCCGTATATCGATCTCTCCATCAGTATCCTGCAATCAATCCTAGATGTTGCTTAAAAGTCTATTCGGGATATTGTCTGCTTGTACATGAACGCTGGGCCAGGCCGGCGCATCCGACCCATAGCTTGTCGGATATCCGGAAGCGCCAAGCGCCGCCACTTCTGGCGGGGGAAGGCGTTTGGAGTTGCCCCCGAGCCCGTTGATCATTGCCCACCGAACCGGATCCAACTTACAGCCGTGAGGGAATCTTCTGCCCCCCGGTGTGTAGGCCAGTGCCGGAGTTGACCGTGGCTCGGCACTAGGAGAACTGCTTGGAATTGGTCCGCACCTGTCGCATCAACGCGTGGCTGAGGTTGTCACGGCGGAGGGGATGGGCGGACAGGGTCAACTTGCTCCGTCGGTGGCGGGTGTCCTGTGTGACGAGACTAAGACAGCGAACTTTGAGCGTTGTCTCAATTTGGAATCGACGTGGGCAGACGGGGATCTTCGTCTGCCCAATGGCGATGGTGGTCCGGCTCTGGCGCGGGCTCTGTCTAATTGCAGCCAGCGCCCGTTCTTTTCTCCCCCCCAATGGAAAGGAAGGAGCTTTATTGGTGCCGTCGGTCGCTCTATCTCGAGGGGGTAAATGGTGGGTTTTTTATATCTGGTTGAAGAAGAATGCGGCCGTAGAATATGAATTGACGAGGGGGGCAAACGATGACGGAGGAAAGCGAAACCGGGTGAATGAGGAAGGAGGAAAGGGAGATATTTCTGTCGACCGCTTTTCTTCATTGTTTTATGTTTAGTTATTCCCATGTGCAATCGCCTCCGTTGAAGAAAAGGGTAGGGGGCAGGAAAGAGACAGAAGGAGAAGGGTGGGGCCTGGTATCGCTGATCCTTCCGCACTCCCCTTACACCTTCCTATCTTCCTATCTTCTCTGGGAAAGTCTTCTCCTTTGACCCCCCAACTTCCATCAGCGGCTCCGTGTACATCTGTCCCCGTCGATCGCACTGCGTGTCCTCTGTACAGTTTACGCGCTGGATTGATGGTTATCTTTGAGAACCCCAGAGCCGAGGGGAAGGAGCAAGGAGAGGAAGCGGAGGGAGCGGGAGGAAATGGGCGCTTGCTTTTCCACGGTCACCAAAGTGAACGGCGCGACTGGCGGCAAAGCCGCTTCGGCCGCCGGCAATCCTCAGGGCCAGCAGCAGACTCACAGACCTCGGGAGGCGCAGAGGAATCTTCCTCAGCCCCAGCAGCAAAATCAGAAGCAGGGTCAGAATTGTCAGCGGGATAAAGGGCAGGAGAAGAGGACGGTCGGGGCGATTCCATACGGGAAGAGGACGAACTTCGGGTATGATCGGGATTTTGAGAGCAAGTATACCACTGGGAAGCTCTTGGGCCACGGTCAGTTTGGATACACCTTCGTCGCCACGCAGAAGGCGAATGGAGACCGGGTGGCTGTGAAGAGGATCGACAAGAGTAAGGTAAATCAATTGATCTCTAGCCCCTTTGTGATAGAGGTTTCAAATGGCAGAAGATTTTGCCTCTCGCTGTGTTTGTTGGACGATCATCTTGTTTGCAGAGATCCCGTAAAAAAAAAAAGAAAAAAAAGAAAAAAAAGAAAAAAAAGAAAAAAAGAAGAAGTTTGCTTTCAACTAAATACAGATTCCGATTGAGCTGTTTCTACTTTCTTCCTGCCCGGACGATGCTGGATTTCCTCCCAGGTTTTGAAAGGATTTCAAAGGTATCTGAAGGCTGAAGTCACTCGGGCACCAACCAGACAGTGTTTATGAAGTTAGTTTGGCATAGCTTAAACAAATGTAGATGGAAACAATTTTCGTTCTGCAAATGAGAAATATTTTCTTGGAAATACTGAATTTTTTCTTCGATTGATTCAAATTCATGGAATCTTTTTTACCGGGTGCTGGCTATTCAGATCATAATTTAGGTTGCAGTTCTTTCAGGATAACTATGATGTGAAATGATGAGTGCAGGGCAGTGATCATCACTCTAGTCTATGAAATATAATCTACTTGATAGGTCAACTGGCCATTTTTTCCATTTGTGGCAGATGCTTCACAGTGTTGCAGTGGAGGATGTGAAAAAAGAAGTAAAGATATTGCAAGCTCTCACGGGTCATGAGAATGTTGTGCAATTCCACAACGCCTTTGAAGATGATTCCTATGTGTATATAGTCATGGAGTAAGTTTTTCAATCTACATTTTATGAAAAAGACGGAAAGTGTTATGTTCGAGTTAAATAAATTTACAGTACACGTTGAAAAATAGATGCTAAATAATTTTTCAAAACATACCTTTTATAGAAGGCTGGAAGACTCCACTGGAGCATGTCGCATCATATACCTTTTCATCACAATAATGGTCCGCTTTTTAAGATTTTGTTTGACTAGAGTTTGAGCTCTTTTTCTGTTTGTTTTCACAAAGTGAACTCTCAAATTCATGTTACCTGGCATTCTCATTTTCTCTAAGAATAGTCTCATATATTTATTTTATAAATAAACCTATGATTATGATGATGGGCCTAATTAACTCCACTTATAGCTCTTTGACTATGAGTTGAGTGGATGGGCCAATACTAGGAATTGTCCTTCATTGGTTGGTATATGTGAAATAACCTTTTTGAACCTTTAGATCATGCAACTCCTTTAAGGGAATATCTCATGCATTTTTCACAGTTCTTGAAGTATTAGAGGTGATAAATAGTGCTCTATAGGTCACATTATACGGCAGCCGTCTGTCGAGCTCCATTGGATATCCTTTTTTTATGAAGTTTATTTGTAAGTTTTGTGCGTTTCTGTTCAGAGTACCTCAACGAGCTCACTACTTAAATTCCTTAGGTTATGCGAAGGTGGTGAGCTGCTTGACCGCATACTGGGCAAGTAAGAGCTTTCAACTCTTCTCAGTCTCTGTAAATCTCCGTACAAAGATATTTCCCTCCTAAAAGATTCATGTAAATAATGAGTCACTGTACAGGATCATTTGAATATGCTGAATGAATGAAATGAAATGATGTCTTCGAGTTTGTTGTTAGTTATATTTGAATCGCATAAATGAGCAGTCTGCTGCTTAGAACAAGCTTTGAGATGTTAGTATGGTAAGTGCTAGAAAAATGAATGGACGAAGACCTATGGCTACCTACATGGCCACCAACTTCTTCACATATTTATAGAGAGGAGAGACTTGATGTCGGCCTAATGACCATGTACTAGCATACTTGCATCATAGTGGGCCTATTCTAGTAGACTTTCTAACAGTGAGATTCACCCTGAGCAGAAAGGATAGCCGATATAGTGAGAAAGATGCCGCGGTAGTGGTGAGACAGATGCTCAAAGTCGCAGCTGAATGCCATCTGCATGGATTGGTTCACCGAGACATGAAACCTGAGGTAGATTCAACGGCCTTTCAGAAAACGCTTGCTGGGTTCGTTCTAGCTACTGCTTGACATTGATGGGTCTCTATTTGCAGAATTTTCTCTTTAAATCATCAAAAGAAGATTCACCACTCAAGGCGACAGATTTTGGCCTTTCGGATTTTATAAAACCTGGTACGCATAAGAAAGACTTGGTTTCATGACATGGCGGACGCCTTTTAATCTCTGGTTGCCGTATAGAACGTCCAATTTATCTGGATATTTGCAGACAGCTTGAGAAAATTGAAAGTAAACACGATGATGATGATGATGATGATGATCAACACGGAATGTCGCAGGTAGGAAGTTCCATGACATCGTTGGGAGTGCCTACTATGTTGCTCCAGAAGTGTTGAAGCGAAAATCTGGGCCTGAGTCGGATGTCTGGAGCATCGGCGTGATAACATACATTTTACTCTGCGGAAGAAGACCATTTTGGGATAAAACCGAGGACGGCATATTCAAGGAGGTACACACATCCAAAGCTGTGATCTTCCAGTAGCTGTTATCGAGTTATTAGTTTGCATTTGGTGATCAGAAGCATTTCGTGAACGTATGAATACTTGAAAAACATACTGCCTCATGCCACTGGAACTATGATAAAATGCTTAATATTCCGTGAAAGAATAATACCAACTCCGGTATTCTTATAAGTCAAATGGGCAACTAACAATGGGATATTCATTCGTATGGATCATTGTGCAGGTTTTAAGGAAGAAACCTGATTTCCGTCGAAAGCCTTGGCCTAATATTAGCAGCAGCGCCAAAGATTTTGTTACCAAGCTTTTAGTGAAGGACCCACGCGCAAGACTCACAGCCGCTCAAGCACTGTGTATGTATTTATATGGGCTGTTCAAAGGAGACATCCTCAGCATGCATGAATTCAGATGATCATATAATCATTTAAGAAGGAGTGATATAATACGTTGTATTTCCATCAAAGAATCATTAGATGTTTTTTATCTGTAAGCAACTTGCTTTTGCACTATTCATGTGACGACGTTCCCTCTGACAATTTTTCACACATCCTCATCATGGTGGGGCCTTTTCTGACAGTCTTCTTTTGATGTATACCCTGTCAGCTCACCCTTGGGTGAGAGAAGACGGTGATGCATCAGAAATTCCATTGGACATATCCATCTTGAACAACATTCGGGAGTTTGTGAAGTACAGCCGTTTGAAGCAGATTGCACTAAGGGTAAAAAAAAATAATCAATTTTTTTAATTTTTTTTATACAGCCTTCACCGAACTTGTACTGCAACAACATAAATTGGCATGTTTTACATCAAAATTTCAATGTTTTTTTCTGTCCAGGCGTTAGCCAGCACATTGAATCCTGAGGAAATGGCCAATCTCCGTGATCAGTTTGATGCAATTGATGTAGATAGAAATGGTGCCATCAGCCTTGAAGAAATGAGACATGTGAGCCCTTGTCATTTCCTTATTTCATTGGAATTTCTCAATCTATGCTACCATATATTCGATCTTAATGAATAGATGATGGCAGTTTTTTTTTGCTGTATGCACATAAGTGATCTTATCCTGAACTGTAGCCAATTTAATCGAAAAAAAACACTTCTACTAAATTCGCTCTGCTCCTGCCGATAAACGTAACAGTGTGCTTTTGAGTTTTATGTTAGTTTGGTTTGATAAAACTGGGATGCATTCAATGATGAATAATGATTTAGATGCTTTTGAAATGTTTTTAAGTAGGTATACGAACCCTAGGCTGCATTTTTGTAAAAAATATAATGGCACTTTCCTGTTTATTCTTCATTGAATCCTTGAATAACTGGGAACACTTATGATGGTATTTTAGTCATATTTTTAGCTTGGTTTCTAAAATATTTTACTAGACTCTATTTGGTCCTTTTTTCTCTCTCTGGTTTAGCTGGAAACCTTTCTGAAAATTTATTTCAAAAGTTATTTTGCAATGATTTTTTCGGTATTTTTCTGGCTTATTTTGGTTCATCTAACTAGTTCTCCTTTTACCCAAGTTTAAACAAATGGTTACTGATCTGCAGGCTCTTGCAAAAGATCTTCCGTGGAAGCTGAAGGAACCTCGAGTCACGGAGATTCTTCAAGCCGTAAAACTCTAGCCACTAACCCTCTACCTTTCGCTGGTTTCCCCTCAGTCGGAGCTTTTACCTGTGAGATCGATCTTGCTTTCAACTAGGAAACAAATCAAATAGTCTTTTATGTCTGTATAATAATTATTATATCCAATGATTATGGTCCAAGGGCTTTAGAACTGTGGTAGAGAACAACAATTCGACAGTTTTCATGCATAATCTTTCTAAGGTTCACTTAATCTGGCCCATCAAGTTAGAGCTTTTTTTCTGGAAAAAAATCAACTAAATAAGAAAATATTTACCATAATCATCTGGGGGAAAAAAATTGAGATGAGATTGATCAAAACGGTTTCCCTAGCTTCACTTCCTCCTACCTTTCCTGTTTCTTGTGAATCTCCAATGTGCTTCTGCGTTTGAACTTGAGAATTTCTGGGCAAAGCTCTCTAGAGGATCAAGAACAGACGATGTCTAGAATCTTAACCCTGATGAGTACCACTCCTCAGATGATCCGTTTCACATTCCTGGGTTGTTCTGTCATGTTCTTATATGCCATCCTAGGACTAATATGAACCTCTCGTGAGCAGATGGACAGCAACACCGATGGGCTGGTTGACTTTGACGAGTTTGTGGCGGCGACCCTCCACGTGCATCAGCTCGAGGAGCACGACTCCGAGAAATGGCAGTCCCGCTCCGAGGCTGCATTCCAGAAGTTTGACGTCGACGGGGACGGATTCATCACCCCCGAGGAACTCAGAGTGGTTAACCCGAGGAACCCATCTTTGAGACATCCGGCAGAGTTCGAAGATTTTCCCCAATGGGCTGATTCTTTGATTCTTTCCTGTTTTTTTCTTTTTTTGTGGTATCCGCAGCACACGGGGCTGAAGAGCTCCATCGAGCCGTTACTGGAGGAGGCCGACACCGACAAGGACGGGAAGATCAGCTTGTCTGAGTTCCGTCGGCTACTGAGGAGCGTGAGCTCCCGCAACATCCCCGCTCCTTCGGTAGCCCGAAATTCCCGCAAAATGTAGCCCTCGAGCGCAGCGGGGCCAACATTCTTTTAAAAGAAATTTCCTCTGCATTCGGACATGAAAAGGTCCCACCTTTGGGCAATCTGCAAATCGTCTCCAGCCGCCGCGCCGATCTTCACCGGAGGAATCTGCCTGCAGATGCAGCTCCTGTGGCTCCGATTTGAGTGGCCATGATCCATTCTGTACATGTTCTCAATATATATACCGCAATTAGAATCTGGAGGCCTTACTGGGTGTCTGAAACAGGGTTTTGAGAAAGATCGGCTGACTGCTGCTCAAACCATTTGGATGTTGCCCACTCTTGTGCTTAATAATATGTTAACCATCTTGAGTCTCCAACAGATATATCTTTTCGGGGGCTATGAAGGTTGGTGCCTGATTTTTCTCCTCTCTGATGCTTTTGTTAGATGCCATGTGTAATGTTTTTTTTCTTATCATTCAACGTATTACCAGTGCAAAAACCTGAATTGGTTAAGTTTTCATGCAAGGAATTTCTAAAAATAGCAGTTGATATGAACAGGGAAATCCCCCATCTCCAAACAATGAAGAGAAACAAAACACTGGAAAGGAGGTCTCTTCTTTTCCTTCTTCTTTTGTTCTTGGCCTAGCACTTCTATTGACATGGAATAGTAGTCAACTCGTTGACTTAGCTTCTGGGGGTGTCTTGCTGGGAGCGGGAGCTCACTCTTGCTTCTCCAGCTCGCCCATTCTCTCAATAATCGCCTGCAAAGTCGTCAAGGATCTTAATCTTCTGATTATATGAGCATCCGGGGGAATCCATGGGACAAGTAGACGTACCTTCTTGCTTGTCTCTTGAAGCTCCCCAGCAAGGATGAATTCATCAAGAATCAGATAAACCTGCATTCATACGAAGACATGCAGTCAAAACCATACGAAAAATAACTACGGATGGTAGATTTCTATGACATTGTAAAGGAGTCTCCACAACATGACGTGAATCAAGAACACATATTCCATGAATTTTTTTTAACATGGTTGCAATGAGGTCAAATCGTGGTAGAAACCTGAAAGAGTGTGGCAATCATGCAGGGGTTTTATTTGGTCAAACATGAAAAACTATAATAAATCTAAATTTTAAATTCTGCCTGATCAACATGCATTCCAGTACATAATAAGAATGACTCTGAAGAGAGACTTAAGGGATAATCAGCAGGCTGGTATTTATTTTCCTCTTTAGGAAAATTTATGGACCTCCAGAAAAACCAAAACAAGAGTAACATTGTAGAATCCAGATTCAGCGGGTCGTAAAATATTGTTGGTTGAAGAAAGAGGAGTGTCAAAGTGAGAAGGTTAGAACTTGAGCATGTCACATGGACTTACCAAAAAGAGTATGTTAACAGGGGTTCTAACATCATTTCGAGATGTCTGTCATCAGAGCAAATGAAAAAGGGAAGAGATTCCGTTTAGGATTGGACGGGCTAATTGAGGGTTAGGAGGGGAGAACAGGAAGAGATTGGATCCAAATGGGATGCAACATCCTGTTGAATGGCAAGAAAATCTGGATGGTTGGGGAAATCAGTCACATCCTAATTCTAATCTGAATTAGGATCAACCCGAATGGAAAAATACAGGAAAAGAGAATAATTGTAGAACCAATTTAAATCTCACAAGGAAACAAGTGAGATGAGAAAAATGGGAAATCAGAAGCATGATAAGATTATAAATAATAGAAAGCATGCTGCAGAAAATAATTATTATATACTCATAAACTTATCACAAAAACTGATCCCAGATATATTTCTAATTCTTCCTCTCCGTCCCCATCAGAACCAACAAAAAATGAAGCAGTTGCCATTTTATTGGCCAATTCCAGGCTCGCATATTCTCCACTTCCTCCTGCTCGATCCAAGCATATCTAATTAAGCTGTACCTGGCTAATCTGATTCAACCCTATTATGCCAGGTTTGGGCCCAACTCTGATCCTTTCTTCAGACTAAGAAGAGAAAGTCCTCAGCCTTGATCGTAGAAGTACAGATGAAAATCCTAAAGAACAAGCAAAATAGATGCTATAATTAACTATTACCAAGGAAACAAGGGCAGTCTAGTCCTTTAATCGAGAATTGCAACGTAATCCTTCCTTTTGTAGCGATTTATATAAAATATTAACGCCCGTAAGGAAACCGTAATTCCATTGGGCATGATTTTTAATTTTTCTGTCCTATTTCCATTTTATCATCACATAAACGAAAAAAATTCAGTAAAAATTGAGAAATGCCAAACTGGACTCAGACAGTAATGACGAGCAGGCATGAACAGAGTCACTTGTTGGCGTAATTGATAAGCACTGCTGCTGGATTGAAGAAACCAAATGAGGTAAGCCATAAGTTTCTAGATGACTACCCAATAAGAACGATCGATTGTGGTTCCAATAATATAAAACGTTATATTTCTTGCGAACGTTTATTAATTAGCTACTTTTGTCGGCGCTCCATAAGACAGTTTTTAGAACACAGTAAGATAATATTTTATGCAAAAAAAAGGTATGGGATCATTAACAAGTGGAACATGATAAGAAACAGAGCAGAAAACGTAGGAAGAAAAATTCAATTCAAAAAAGTTGTCTGAAATTGGAGGAAATCTGATATTTTTCTATAAATATATTTACTAGAAAACCATTCCAGTACCGGCGCTTTTAATTCTAATAATCCTCTGAAAATGATTGATCTTCCACATTCTTGTATTCCCTTCTAGAAGAAATATTCTCTTGTGGGCGGTCGATTTTGCATTGGTCGTGGAGAGTGGGATATATGTTTAAAATGAAAGCAGACTAAGAGCAGCCTAACCTCATGGCTCCCATGCGTGTTAAAGCCGCAACCAAATCAGACAACAACCTCAATTCAACTGCTCTAAGGATCACGCATCTGACTCGATTCATCAAAGCTTATCTCTCCTGTTGACCAAACGTTCCAAGGGCAATGCATGGACAAGGTCGTAGTCCAAAACCGAGATTTTTAGACAATACAGTCCCCCACACAGAGATGTGGAAAGCAGCAGTGCGTGGCAAGATCATGAGCTATCCTCATGAGAAAGCTTAGAAAAATTCGCAGACTGGGTGGTGCCTTGGAGCTAGAGGTTGGGAGACCTGTAGCTGCATGAGAACCCTAAGCTCAGGTTGCTCTGGGGCAGTATTGTCTTGATTTGAGGTCGTTCAAGTAATTATGAAACTGCCATTAAAATACAAAGATTTTTCTTTTAATTTTATCTTGCAACTTCAGACGAAAGATCGACAATACTTTCCATAGATAGATCTGACCAACATGTAAGAAGATTAAGCATGTTTCTCTAAGTCATTAACGCAGAGAACCATATGTACCTTCTGAAAATTGAACACCAGATCGAGTTCACACACATTGCTGAAGAAATGGTCCAGTATCTCCACGAATAGATGGATGCACTCCAGATATGCTAGCTCATTATCTGTGATGTCAACGCACATGGAGAAAAACAAGCCTGCATATCTCCTGTAGATGATCTTATGGGTGCGAAACTGCAAGAACACATGCAATCGCCTCAAATGAATCAGACCATTTACATGCATCAGCAAGAACAAGCTGGAGGAGATCTCAAGTAGTTTTTTAAAATCATAACAAACGTTGGGTAGAGACGGATAACGAAATAAATGGCGGCGAAGTTTTTCCTCTTGGAAGCAAAAGTTGCAGGTGCCTCCTCCCCAGAATCCCAAACTTGAGGAAAATATTAGGGCTTTTTCTATTGAAACAGATGGTAATCACACGATCATATGTCAACGAGCATACATTAAAGATGATCATACGCATCCAGTCACAAAAATCCATGTCTTCCATCCCATCATCTGATAGAAAACTCGTTAATCCTTTTGAGGGAGAGAATCTAGTCTGGGGAAAAAAAACTCAACACAGAGATTCTAAAGAAAAATAATCTCCTGACCAGAATCCCAAATTCCTTTTCCAATCTATAGCTTTCAATTGGCATCTGCCGACTGTAGAGACCACAAAAAACCATCTTCACTCTGAAATTGTTCATCCGTAATTTTAAAATTGGATGTGACCGATTCTTCCTCGAGATGCCATTAAAGATACTAGGCAGTTCTTCCTCTGCGCATACTGAACTTGAATCTTTCTATTTAAGCGTGTGAAGCTAGACCTAGAGGAAACTCATCGCCCCAAAAAGCGAGGAAAGGATGAAACGGGCATTCGATCGACATGAAACAATTGGGCGAGGAGCCGTGAAACCAGCGGCAGGTTAAATAAGAAAAGGGTAGTAGATCTGATGAAGAAGGGAAAGGTTAACCAGAATGCGGGCTCCGATCGCCTCATGGCAGACCCACCTCGACAAAATTGGTGAATTTTGGATCCCTGTTGACCACCAGGCGGTGAACCTGTGGAAACAAAGCCAAAACTATCCAGATCATCAAAAGCATCAATAGCGCCTAAGATCCGTCGTCTGATTTAGACGGAAAGAGGGAGAGGACGAGGGAAGAAGACGAGAGCGGGAGGAAGGATCCATACTTCGTACTCGAGCTTGTGCTTCTCGGAGTCCTCGAGTGGCACGTAGTATTTCGCGAGACGGGTCTTCCCCTGCCTGTTCTGCAGCAGTATGAACCGAATCTGCCATCGCCAACAAGGAAAAGCAGCGAATTAGATCAGGGGGAGGTAGTTTCGAGGGTATTCATATCTGCGGCAGCCATCCATTCTCGAAGCGCAGGGTAAGACGAGCTTCACCATCGTTCTCGGACTGGGGAGAGACGCGCCACCAGTCTCTCTCTCTCCTCCGGAGCTGGGTTCCGATGCCCGGAGAGAATGGCTTCGACGAGAACGGAGAACTGTCGGAACTCGAACTCGACGAATCCGGAGAATTCATGGCAGCGTCTAAATGAAGACCCCCGGCCGTCTTCAAAATATCGAATTAAAAAAAATCAAAACGATAGTAAATTCAGATGGTAAAGATTACTTTTTTAGAAAAAGTTACGATGTCAACATATCTACAAATTTTTCCAGGAAACCAATCCAAATCTTCACAATTTTTATGAACGATGATCACAATTTTTATTGATTAATAATTTTACATACCCTGTACAGCTCAAGACCAAACCAAAAATATATTACACATTTTTAAACGAGAAATATATTTGAATAATTATTGGGTTCCTTCTCCAGCTCACTCGATCAATAACTGCATAATGATTTTAATGAAAATCATAAAGATCAATAACTACATTGTCGGAAATAATTTTTTTTGCTGCACCATTAAAATTCAGATGGGCTGCGTGTATATATGAATCTAAACAAATTCGATACAATATTTAATCAGATAATACATCATTTTACGGTAGAACGGGGATATCTAGCGCATATCCCCGTTCATAATCCGAGAATACCCATTGTTTTCTTTTTTGGGCTAAATACCCATTGTTCATAATCCGAGAATATTATAAACAATCATTTTAGGGCATATCTGACAAATGGGAGACCGCCTGGAATTGCCTAAAAATTGTAACTTTTTCAGTAGAACCCTAATTCGCTTCTTCGGTCGTCGACTACCCCAAGAAGAGACGACTTCAGATAACATGGCAGAATCGTGAAAGAAAACAGTGGAATCAGAAGAGCCAGTACAGGGCACGACAGAGAATCAGGGTCCTCGAAAGGAAAAATCGACGGGTCAACGCCCGTCGTCAATCTAAGTAGCAACCGAGCCACCGACAGAGGAAATAAAACCATAAATGGAAACGAATGATCTTACAGCCTGGGTTCATACATCACAGATTCCCATTTGACTCAGAAATAATTGAAACCCGGGCCCTCAAACCTCCCAATTAAGTAAGGGGCGATGCTATCTACCCCACATACTTGGAGTTCGCCGCCGCCAGCAGCGCCGCCCCGATGCCCGACCCGTCCTTGTTGTGGTCGATCACGATGTTCTCGGAGGTCTTCTGCCCTAAAAGCTCTGTAACAGCATCTTGGATGTACCTTCTGTACTGGGGATAGTGCTCGTAGAGGCCGCCGTCCATGGCCACCACCGTCCTCCTCCCCAAGACGAGGCCATGGGAGTCTTCCTCCATCTTCTGGAGGATGCCCACAATGCCCGCCCCTGCCAGCCTGCCGGCCCTCCTGACAATGGTGTCGCAGACCTCCACCACCACCTCCCTCTCCTTCAGGGAGGACTGCGCCTGAAAATGGGATCATCATCATCGCTCAGGGCCGGATATGGAGATTAATACCCCCCCTTAAAGGGGAAAATATTGACTGGTGAGTACCCCAGTGGTGTCGCTCAGGATGGCTCCGACGGCTGTGAGATCATCGGTGTCGTCTTGCTGCATGGCGCAGAGACAGGGGGTGCTGCAAATGGAAATGGAAGTAGCTCAAATGGTAGCCTCCTGATCTTGTGGAAGAATATGAACGGAGATTTGAAAAATAAAAAAGAATGTAAACTTGGTTCCGAATAGTAGAGAACGCCGTTTTTTGGTAGAAAAATGGGAACTTGATGCAAGCATAGGTTGACTTGGGATAATAAAGATGGCCTCGGGGATCAGGTTGAACAGAGTCTTTGGCAGAAAAATATACACCCGGTTTACAACAGCATAAATATTCATTCAGGGATCCGTAAGAACACTGTTTCTGGAAGAAAAATCTCAACACAAATGCAAAATAAATGCGAGCACAATGTGATCTAGAAACAGATCACCCAGTTTTTTTGTCAAAAAAAAAAAAAAAAAAACAATTCCTTCGGAGATCAAGAGGAACACACTACTCTGCATGAGAATCAAGTTTTTCTGTAGAAATGTAAAAATAAATCAAAACAATGTGGGTGGAAAAAATAATTTAGAATAAGCACTTATTCAAAAAAGTAATTTTGCTCAGATCACTATTTTTGGTAGATAAATGTGAGAATAAATTAAAAAAATAAATACTAATTTGGTTAAGATTGAGTAAAAAGGTATTCATTCAGGGATCATGTAGAACACAGTATTTGGCGAGGGGAGACAAGCATTCACCCCAATATGAAAGGTGTGGAGAGCTTCTGGGGAACTGAATCACCGAACAAAGCGTTGTCCTTCGCCATTTTGAGTAAGATTCTTCGTACAATCTCTCCTAGATACATTCCTGATATTGTTTTCTCAAATATCTACAGCCCAAGATGAGGAGGCGCGCATTACATGGTAATCCAAATGAATTGACAACAGGTATGGGCAAGAAATGGGTACCTGCTCGCCGGGGTTTACACTGGCAGAATCTACGTCTTTGTCAAACTCCGTCAAAGGGAGCCCACCTGAGAATGCTCCCCATTCAGTATTGATGATCTGCACTGTAGAACACTGTCAAAGCAAATCTGGCAACCAAAGGGGGATGATTTCCATTTTGAAATTTTTCTGAATGGAGGGGGAAACTATGCGTGATTTATTTTTTTTGTATGGAAAAATAATTTGAAAAGATTTCATATTTGGAATTTTTCTAGAAATGAAATAATTTGAGCGGATTCCAGATTGTAAAGTCAACTACACACCATTTTTCCAGATCTTGGTTTCAAACCCTGCAGTTTCGGGATAGCATCGGCCCGTTCTATGTAGCAAGCATTGGTGCCGGTGCCCAGGATCACTGCAACCATTACATCTTCATCATAATAGTGTGCTCCGGCCAAGGTGGCCACCGTGTCATTGACCTGGTTCATGAGGAAGATTATATCCATCAATCATAGCCCAAAAGAATATTACGCACAAGATGGAAATATTAATGATACTGGTTTATAAAGATGGAATCGATGAGCATAATGGATATATATATATATATACCAGTGCTGATACACGCATATCGAGTCCTTGCCTCTCCATTGCTTCGTTCAAGCAAGCAACCACATCCCTCCCTGCCTGTCAAGAGCATGAAAATATTTCATTTTATGAACCAATGTACTTGAGAGACAAGAAGAAACAGATGCATATAGCCACATTTATGAACTAGGATTCCCAAAAATTCGACGATTATTAGATCCAAAATGATAGATGTTGGTGGGCAGCTAAAGAATGGGAAAACTAAAAACTTTAATCCAGAAGATATTGCATATTCTGAACCAACATATCTGAGAGATGAGAAGAAATAGACTGGGTATAATCGCAGCTATGAACTATTAGATCTTCATCAAAACATGCTGGTGATACAATGATTTAGCTGACATTGATGAAAGATGTGAAGAAGCTGATTTATGTAAGTCACAGTTATGCACTTAGATCCGCAATAATCGAAGATTATAAGATCTTGAACGACAGATGCTGATGAGAAGGTAAAGAATGGAAGAACAAAAACCAGGTGAAAGAAGAAGGGATGCAGACCGTTCCAGAGACGGAAAAACCCTTAGTCCACTTGATTAGTATCCCTGAATCAACGGAGGTCTGCTTCACTGGAAACGAAAATGTGAACCCGAGCTCCCATTTCTTGCCTTGAGGAAGGTGAAGGCTTCTTCCGCCCTCCTTGGAGACGAATCTCGCAAGCTCAGAGGCGATGAAGTCGAACAGTTCCTGATCGGCCAAGATTTCTGGTTAGGAAAGCCGCCGGGCAAGATCAATCCCCACGCAGCGCCCGTAGTAGAAGAGGTGATCAGGGAGCGGATCGACCTCTGTGGTACCGAACATGAGTTCCTGAGGAATCTGGGCGTACTGGAGCTCGGTCTCCACGACGCGCCCGTCCCTTCCGCCAAGCTGCACCTTCAGGACTCTGAAATTGGTGCCGCCGAGGTCCAGAGCGTAGAACGCCCCCTTCTCGTCCCTGCGAAATTTCAAAACACGAGCATCGTGATCAGACGCAGAGATGGAAGAAGATGGGGCTGTGGGAGTGAGTACCCGCTCGGCAGGGAGTCGACGTAACTGAGGATCATCGGGAGATCGCCGGCGCCGTCGGATACCAGCCCGGCCCTCATTTCCGCCGCCATCGCGTCCGCCACTCGGCGGAGCACGGGAAGCGGCGTTGCGCACCTCTCCCGCAGGTGCGTGAGGATCGGCGAAGTCGCGACGCCACCGGCGCCGATGGCCGCCATCGGCGGCGCCGCCCTCCGCCGGCGGATCGTCCCCCGCCGGCTGACCAAGGACAGAGGTCCACCAGCGGTGACTCCTGCAGAAGACATGCCGTCGACACTACTTGGAGAGAAGGAAGAGAGAGAGAGAGACAGAGAGAGAGGGTACTGGGAGATCCCGTCTTCAGGGGTCCCAGAATAATGAGCTCCGAGCATAATTACGCCATGGATTTAAAGTATTCCACCTCCCCCCTCCGCCACTAAACCAGAAGTACTCACAGTAAACATCGCCGTCGAGAACGGCGACGCTCTCTTCCCTCCGGATTTCCACTCATGGAAGGGGCCGGCAGGGAAGGTAGCGGAGCGCAGACAGATCAGATGGCGACCAGCCGCCTGTCTCGGAGCCTTCGGTGGCCCCTGCACCGCCCAGAAAACTCCATCTCCCTCAACTTCAAGGGCGGCCCCGATCAACGCTCTTGTCAACATCTCTCTGCAACTCTCTTTTCCCCCTCTCTGTACAGATGGAAGATGAGAAGAAGAGCGAGATGCTGTCGACGTGAAAACCATCATGGAAGACGAAGACTGCTTTCTAGGTGAACAAGATGAACTGTACAGGCATATTTACCGAAGGTCGGAGCACTAATCGCCGACTGGAGCGGAGACAACGGGGGGGTCCTCGGGCTTCGGCCGGCTGAAAGATCTCTGCGTTTCCAGCACGGGCATGTAGGGGGCGGTGGTCTTGCGAAGGAGATCCGCGGCGGGTTTCTCAGACTCCCGGGGGCTCAGCAGCCTCTTCTCCACGGCGTCGAACTTGGCGGTGGCCCACGGGGCCGTGCCGACGTTCCCTCCGGCGCTCGGCGCGTCGATGGTCAGCGAGGAGATGGCGTCCCCGGAGGCGTACCAGGTGTACCCGCAGGCGATGCATTCCAGCTGGAATCGTCAAGCACAGAGGATTGGAGGAAGAATCAGAGAAGAAGATGACCCAGCAGGGATCGAAAACCTTGAAATCTGAACATGAATCAGCGAATGGCAGATGGACGGATTGCCCAATAGAGCAAATAAATTCAGGTAGACTGGGTTTTTTTCAAACTGATGGTTAAATTTTATATATAATATTTTCTCACCTGATACCGATTACCAGATCCACCAGCATGGATAATATCAGCAACACCCACTTTCTTTTCAGAGCACCTTGAGCAAACAGCATCAGTCATCTGCGAGGGTAGCAAAAAACAAAGATTAATGAGCATGAACGGAGGAAGATAGATCCACCTACTGAACTGGCCTTGTATGCAGACTGACGGGTCGGTCATGAAATTATCCCCAATACCTTTCATATCTCAGGTCATGAACCCACAGATATGAGGATCGATGATGAAGAGCAAAGAAGACTTAATATAGCCCAAAATCAGATTATTAAGTAAAGAGAAACCTAATCTGATGATTATAATAACAACCTGTATGTAGTGTGACGGCTCAGGCTCCTGGGTTTTCTTCTCATCTGCCGTCCAGCCGTCCTGAAATCAAGAAGAGACATACTCAGCAAGCAGGAAACTAGTTATTGTAATCTTACCGAATAATAACTGGTAAAACCATGAGAATAGTATGAGATGACTTCAAGACGAAACCGCAGAAAAGCATTATTTATTGATAACATTGTCTCTTTGAAAATTTGCCTTTTTAGAAAGAAAAAAAAAAAAAACTGGCCAGAGAACGCTTCAAACCAATGCCATAGCATTCAAGAACACCATCTTCCATTCTTGACTACAGATTCCAGATGAGAATGATGTTCCTGGGAGAAAGTAAACAGTTTACAAAAAAAAAGAATCAGCCTGATGCAGGCAAGAGTCTCTGCACAATCCCAGTTCCCCGCCTCTGTGGATCTCCCCCAATGGATTTCCACAGTTTATATAGTTGGTATCCGCAACAAGAAAGTGGGGATTATATTTAGACCAATTCTTTTCACTTCGAGAGCAAATAAATAATTTACTTCGCCGTGCTACATTTTTCTAGCCTCTTCAGGAAAAAATGCCCGGGACCCACAAACAAGCAGCCCCTTGGCAAGCCAGAGGGATGAGTTTTTATTTCTCCATCCTAAAGTTGAGATTAGCAACTATGAGTAAAATTACATAAGATGTTGACTGCTTCATTATTTCGTTTATTAAATATTTGCAAAAAGGTCTGAAAGTAAACTTAATCATAGCTTAATCATAGAAAACAAAGATTCCTCGCATATTTCCACTTGTAAATTTACACAAAAGATATTCGCAGGGATAATCATATCAGCCTATGCTAAAATGTTACCACAATAATGATTATCATCCCATAAATGGTATGGTTGATCCGTATCTTGCTCAAGAAGATGGATGTCCGACGATTTGGAACTCAATATTAAGAAAATAAGATGTTCAAGATTTAACATTGGAATCCATATTTTTCCCTAACAAGTAACAAGAAATTTGGAGAAAGGAACAGAATTTATCTCCACCCGTGCAACTGACTTGGGGATCATTACTTCATGACATGAAATTTATTTCTTAGATGTCTTCCAAGAAATACGAAGAAAAACACTTCAAGGATGGATGAGTGAGAATGAAAAGATATACCTTCAGTTCCTTTGGAGTCATATTAAGAACCACAGAAGGCTCCAGCTCCTTCCTGAGTAACCGGCGTGCCAACAATGCATTGTTCTGTCATATCCAACAGTCCAAAAGAAAAACCATTAAAAATCGAATAGTATCAATACTGTGACTTCTGAGAGGTAAAAAAGAAGTTTTCTTTAAACACGTATAAATTAGTTTTCACAATAAAGAAGGAAATATAACAAAATGAATACAGAAGCCAATCAGATGTTGCTTCAATATCTCAACATACACTTTGCAATTATGTCGAGCATTAATTAAATTGAAACAAAAGCTAGCCTATCCGTGGCTCTTCAGTACATAAAGAGCCGACAAGAAAAGAGGGTCTCATTGTTTTTTCCCCATAATTATAACTCATATTTATCTTTGCATCTTTGGGCCACCCCTTTCTTCTTCTCATTAAGTCGCTTTATTTTAAATGCCGTTCATTTATATCCTACAAAAAAGAGGGTACCATTGGTTACCAAAATGATTCAAAGGTATATTGGTATATCCAGTGACAGTGCATTTTAATGGTGTTTGGCAGCACTAGAAAAGGGTAAGGAGGGAAATGTTACAAAAAAAACAACAAAGGTGGGAATAGCTCAGGAGGGGATCGTGCACGACAGGCTACAATGAACCGTCCAAAATAAATGAACATCAGGCCCGTTTAACTGACATAGCGCATCTAAATATATGAAGATATATTGCATGATCGTCACTTAAATCACAGGCATTAGAATTTATTAAGTTCACAAAGATGCACCAAAATGATTCACGATAACGATAATGGCACAGAAGTCTTTCCATATCAGTGTCCATTCTATTAGATACCACTATAAATCTAAGCAATCTGGCATTCATAGGCTTCAAAACATATTTGAAAGGTTACATGGTTCACTGCATTCAAAACAACGTCATATGCATTTGGAATATTTCTTTACTGGTGCTTCCTGGCAAACCTATGGACAATGGTGCTACCCGGTACCTTTTATACATATAAGTTAGAAAAAAACTTCAACACATAGGAAAAAAGATAAGCATAGCAGTCTAACCTTGAGATTGAAGTCCAATTGCCGCATCTTTTGATTATATTTCTGGAAATCAGAGCCAAGAGCTTCATGGACAGTCCTCTCAAGAACGGTTATTGCTGACACAGCAACATCTGGCCAGATGAGGCTTTCCCCACTCTAAAAGAGGACACGAATTCAGACGAAGAGAAGCATGATCAGAAAAATCATATCAAACAGAAGATTTTGTTGAATATTTGAGGCCTATCGAAGTCGCAGCCATATCGACCCATATGGGTATGGCCCTATCGGTCCATCTAGGTCCCTTGAGACTCTGGTATTTAAATTCAGACCAAGAAGGAGAGTGATCAGAAAAATCATATTAAACAGAAGATTTTGCTGAATATTGTAGGCCCATCCAAGTCGTGGCCATATCAGCTCATATGGGTATGGGCCCTATCGGCCCATCTAGGTCCCTTGAGACTCTGTTTCTATCGATTAGGGTTAAGTGTCGAGTCCTTTGTCTCTCTCTCCCTCTCTCTCCTTTGTGTGCTCTTTGCTTCTATCAGATTTAGAATTTAAAATGCTAAACAATGAATGTGTTAGAAAAAACTGCCCCTACATGGGACATCCTCAAAGGATAAAAAGAACGGTGCAAGCCATTATGTATGTCAGGAAAGGGGAAACTCTGAGGGACAGATTATAATCATATCTTAGAAACATTAACGACATTTCAAGGAACTCTCAAATAAATATACTATCATACCCAGAAGACCATGAAAAGCTTAAGCTAACTACAATCAAAATATCCCCAAAATAGGAAATGAGAGAGAATAATTGACACAGGAGTAGTAGTATCTGTTATGAATCTTTAATCGTAATCAAGTAAATATACTCTCTATATCTATGTAGTTATTCAGCAATTGTCTTAGAGAAGCAGTTAGATTAAGGGTAAAACAATAAGTACAGAAAAGTTTCGGACAAAGAATGCATAATAAAGCATAAGTACCGCCGGCATCTTTTGAGGTGAAATTAGGTCATTTTTTTCATCAAGTTTCAGTAAAAAAATAAAAATAAGCTTTCCCGTGAGGATAATAGTCCCTAGTTAGTAAAACCTGGAAAAATAACCTGTCTAAGAAACTATGAACATTGATGAAGTATTTCTAACGACGGAAATTCATAAAATGTAAAATTCTTACATTTGAATTCTCTTCTTGAGAACCATTAGCTATTTCCCCATCATTGGTTGTATTAGTTGCGGCATCACTGCCCCTTTCTCTGTTCAGCATGGAATCATTTTCCTTTGAATTACAAACAAGCTGAATTCCTTGAAGAATTTTCTCCAGCCACTTGTCACGATATGTATCTCCTGTCAGTGCTTTGAAATTTGTCAAAACTGAATAAAATTCAGAAGCCTCACTTGTACAGCTTCCTGGTGTTTCAGCCTTAGATGCTAGGTCAGATCTTGAGGTTGCATTATCATCTCTAGAAACATCAAGAGGGACCATGCTTTTCTTCCGGAGATGTCGCTTACTCTTTGTTGAATCATCTTGTTCACCAGAGGTATCCTCAACTTCAATGTCTGGAAGTTCTCCCAAACGTTTTTTTGTTTTTTCAACAAGCACATTGATCTCTTCTTGCTTACCATCTTCATAATCTTTGTCGGTCAGTTTCCAAAGCTTTCTCTCAACAGTGTCATAAACCTTTTGCACAATAAAACCAGGGTGCTGGGAACGAACAGGCAACTGCTTGTTTAGAGGTACAAAATGAACAACACACCGATGCATGACGGATTCAGCGGGAACCTCGTCAAGATGAAAGCTGTAGAAAAGCTCCCTGGTATCACGTGTCTGCCAAGTTCCGCCTCCCTTTTTTTCTGCTTCTTCAGGCCGGTAAAACCACTGACCAAGAACCATCATACTTCCCTTTGTATCCTGTGTTATGTCCTGTGGGAAGAAAGCCATATTCCACGAGTCCAAAAAAAAAACAAATAGAAAATTACTGTCTTTGAAATTTCAAGAAATATATATCAGTAGAAAAAATATTCCTTGCATATGCAGGTTGACAGGCAGTTGGGGGAGACTCCATATACATGTATTTATTCGGGATAGCTGATCATTAAAGGAAATTCCCCCAATGCAAATGAAAACCAAGACGAATGGGACAACTACTTACAAAGGACGGTGACAAAGTTAAAACTACATCTTGTGACAGCACCACGTATATTGGAATTATGTTGTTGTCCTTGTACAGAAAGTAGATGAAAAAAAGGATAAAGAGGGCAAGATATGATGAGAATCTTCATAACTTGCAGGTGAAAATTAACGATGGGCCAAAAGAACCTTAAAACATCCTCTTTAACTCCGAGATCTCACTTGGGATTTCAGACCTTCGCCTTGCTTGAAATCATTTGTTGCGGTATCCAAATCCAACATCTTTTCAGTCTCATGGTGGAGATACCACAACGAGATCTATTGAAATAAGATGAACGGGATAAAGCAGAGATGACAATGAGAAACATAAGCTGCAGGGTTGCAAAGCTAGTCGTAGATGTTTTCCCTGCTAATTTTTTTTTCGAACGGAATCCATTTTTGTCAAAGAAACTTCTGCCTAGTAAAGTTAAGTCCTGTTTCCGTGGAATTGTCGAAGGGAACCCAAAACCAAACTGCATTGACTAATATCAATTGAAATAAAGAAGCACTACATAATTTTTTTGATGTCAGGTAATTCCACCTGGAAACATTACGAAATATATACATTCCTTTACATTTCAATAGGAAACGCTAGCACAGGAATATTAGGTACCTTAATAATGGCGACATAGGGCTTTTGATTTTTCGCCTCAGGAGACAACATCACCGGATCCTCCTGCCCAAAGAGAATGACGGAGCTGAGCGAAAACATTTGAAATATTTCGTAATCCTACCTTCACAGATTCGTACACGTTTGAACTAAATCAAGAGGTACTAGGGCCATAGGCCAAGGAAGAACAGGACCAGGATCTTACCAGTTCGAACTGGAGCCCATCGTACTCGAACGCGGCATAGTGCCTTTTCCTCTTCCTCCCCTTGCCAGAGACCTTGACCACGTCCCCCACCGGCTTGGCGTCCTCCAGGACGCCCCCATCTCCCGCCTCGCGCCCCTCCTCTTCCTCCGTCTTCCTTCTTCTCCCTCGCCTGCTCTCCACGTCCTCTGGCCCCCTCCCCCGCGGCTTCTTCGGGCTCCCCTTGTCCTTGTGCCCTCCCGACCTCGGCCCCTCCTCTTCCTCGTCGCTCGTGGAGACCTGCGCAAACCTTCTCTTCCTCATTTCCCCCCGGAAGACGCCACCAGCTGCCCCTTGCCCGAAGGGGAAGAGCAGGTTCTTCCCCTGGAACCAAGTCGACGTCCCGCCGATTGACCCGAGTCTGCCCCTTATAATAGGCAAAAAGGCAATCCCTGAATTATGACGTCATAATTCCATAATATGACGTCATCGTTCAAACAATCCTTCGATATTCATAGCGGAACCAAACGCCATGGGGTCAAAACCCGATTTTGATTCGAAAAATAATTTAATTTTTCGATCTAAAAATACATATTTATTTATCCGAGAAGATAATTATTTATCTAAATAAAACCGATGAATAAATATAAGCCCTCCCATTTTTTAAGAGGAAATAGTCAATACTAATTATGACGACAGAAATTATGGAAGAAATTACCTAAGAAGGAAAAACGTGGTACGCGATCGTAGAAAATAATCCACAGTCGAAGTAAATCGATTTTTTTGAGTAAATGTGTACAATTATTTTTTGGTGTGGAGAAAAATAAATTGTGGCGCCCCTTCCCCTCTCCCTCACGTGCGTATTTAGGTAGGCCGCGAGGTCGCCACGTACCTCACAGGGAATACCAGTGAAGTGGAAGCGAAGAAAAGGTAGCACAGTATTTCTTTACGACCCTACGGCTTCCCTCCCACGCCCAGTCCAAGCTCCGGCGAGCCGTTCACGTCGCCGGAGAAGAATATCCAGTCAGCCATGGAGAGAGAGGACTCCGACGACTCCCTTGCCCCCAGAGCCGAGGTAGACACCAGAGCACCGTTCCGGTCGGTGAAGGAAGCCGTCGCTTTGTTCGGAGAGAGGGTCCTCGCCGGAGAGCTCTACGCCGGAAAGCTCAAGGAGGTATAACTTCACCCTCCCTCCCTCCCTCCCTCCCTCCCTCCCTCCCTCTCTCTCTCTCTCTCTCTCTCTCTCTCTCTCGCTCTTGTGGTTTTGAGGTTTGTTCTTTGTTCTTGCTCAGAGGAGGAGGGAGGGAGGCGGCGGCGCGATGGGTCTCTCTGTTCTGGGTACGGTGGCGGCGGAGCTGGAAGAAACGAAGCGGGGGCTGGAGAAGGCGAGGGGAGAGAACCTGGTAATGGCCACCACCATCTTTTCATTGCGAGAGGAGCTCCGGAAGACCAGGGAGGAGCTGCTCCAGTTGATCATGGAGCTTGGTTCGGAGAAAGAGGCGATGGAGGCCGAGGTTGAAGACGTGAAGTTCGTGGAGAGCGGCGGCGATGGACGGCCGGAGATGGAGAAGGCGAGGTACGTCCGGTTCGCCAGTCCTCCCTCTCTGGCTCAGGTGATGGCACCGCAGCCATTGGAAGCCCTGCAGAGCCAGTTTTCCCCCGACGATTCCCCGACGACGAAGGAAAAGAAGAAGAAGACGATGACGATGACGATGACGAAGACGAAGACGAAGACGAAGACGAAGACGAAGACGAAGAAGAAGAACCCATTTCCGCTGCTCGTAGGCCTCTTCCCCAAGAAGAAGACCAATCACCTTTAGAAAGCTGCATTATGGCTTTAATAAGCAGCCCGACGAGCTCATCTTCTTCTCGGATTTTCCCAAACTCATGAACAGATATCTCGTAATAGCAACAGCATTAACTGCGTCTGGTTCGAATCCTCACCGTGCGGAAGCACCAAACAACGATAAGACCACCGCTTGCCGGCGGCACATGGTCTCCCCGGAAAGGCTGCTGCGTGACGAAAATAATATTCTACCCCACCGACACCACCGGCACGTGGCGGCGCCGCCCTCCCGGATTGCACCGGCGGGGAATTCCGGCTGCTGCCAGGCCCCTACACGGAAGAAGCCCTCAATCATAGACGACTGAACAGCTGCCAGTATAAATCTCCGGCCCGGTAAGGGGACTCTCAGCGGGGAAGCTGCCGATGGAGAGGAGGAAGAGGAACGGCCCACCGTGCGTGAGCAGGCCGAGGCAGCGCCGCCGGTTCTCGACGGTCTCGCTGCTGCTGCTCCGCCTCCGCGAGGTGGTCTTCAGGCTGATCGCGCCGCCGCAGGCCATCCCCAACCCCACCGCGCCGAGGCAAGCGGAGAGGCCGCCGGAGGGGCACCACCGGACTGACCCCTGCCGCAGCGAGGGCGTCGAGGACTGCATAGAGTTCTTCAAGAGGTCGTCGGCGGGGGAGGAGACCGGCGGGGAGGCCGCCGTCGCTGCGGCGGCGCCGCCGCAGCCTTGCCGTCTATGAATGAAGCTTCTTGACTTCCTTAAATATTGTAGAAATACTGAAGTAAATAAATAAATAATCGACTTTAGACTGTCGTGTTTTCGAACCCTATTTTAAAAAATATTTAACGGGAAAAACAATAAAATAAATTATTGGTAAATATTTTTCGTAGAAATACTGGAGTAAATACAAAAAATCAACTTTAGACTGGAATGTTTTTCAAATCCTATTTTTTAATAATTAGTGGTAAATATTTCTCGTGGTAAAGTTCTGGGCCAGCGATGAATATGGGCCAATTTATTTGATGTTGGGCTCGAGAAAGTCCATTATGGTAGCGGGATGGATCCAGTTCTCCACGCCCAAATTTTTCTCTACAGTATAAAAGGCAGAGATGACTCGGCTCTCAGAGGCGCAAAGCTTCTTCTTTGTATTCCCCGTCGCTCCGATGTCGTTGGGTGAGTTTCGCATCCTAGGAGGATGCTTCCGGTGAGCTGAGGTGGGAGGGAAGGACATTGCGGCTGCTTTGGTAGAGGATAAGAAGTGATCTATCCAGTTTTCTTGGTGGTCTGCGAGCGCAAGGAGCCTGGCTAAAGATGGGAGGTCAGTAATCATCGTCTGCAGTTCTTTGGTGGATCATGCTGAGGAGTTCGTTATAGGACTAATTTTGGGTTTCCATATTGGTGGAACGCTCGGTCTTGAGCTTTTGTTTTTCTGTTTTGTGTAGCAGGAGTAGGAGGCCTCGCGGGCCAGCCGGAGAGGGAAGAGAAGGTGTCGCTGGAGTTGACGGAAGAAATCCTTAAGTGCATGGAAGTCGGAATGGCCTTTCGCGACTATGTAGGTTCCTCCTTCCTCGACACGCATAAACACCGCTTGATTGCCCTGTAGCTTTCTTGTATGTGCTCAAATATTCTTAGTGTTAGCATTGGAATATCACTCATTTGAGCCTGGTCTGTTTCAAAATATTTCTTTGACTGGATTCTTCGATTTTTTTGGTGCTTCCAAATTAATATTAATGACCGTTACATTTGAGCGCCATACCTATGCGTATTCACAAGGCGGCCGACAGATCCAGTTGTCTTTGAGGTTATGTCAGACAGCATAGATATTTGTGATTCATGAAATTGGCCTCCCCAAGTGCTTTTATATCTCAAAACATCATTCCGTAATTTATATTGAATGCACTGTTTACAGTCTTTGTACTTGCTCTGTGCGCCCAAACTTTTCAATTAAGTCGCAGGTTTACATCTTGGGTCAGTTCTCTTACCTTAATATGACTTTGAATGTTTCTTATCGTATTTTGTTAATATCGTCCAGTCAGTTCTCTATCTTTCTCTTCTGGTTAGGGTCATGTGAATTTATATTCTTTAAAGCATGTGGAATGCCCAACCTGAGAACATTCCCATTTACCATCCGAATTTATTGACTATATTGTCTGTAAGATTTTTCTGAAATTATTGAGCATATTTTCTGTATATTGCAGAATGGTAGAATCAGTTCAATGGATTTTCATAAGGCTACAAATTACCTGGTTACAGCAAGTGATGATGAATCAATTCGGCTCTATGACGTCCAAAATGCAATGTATGTATTTTTCTCTATGTTTTTGAGTTGACTGGCTTTCCTAAGCATTATCACCCTTTCTTATAGACTGCTCACATCATGAACACTGCGGTGGATTAGCCTATTAATATTTGTGTCTGTTGATGTGATAAAAATGCAAACGGTTGCACAGAACAGGGAAAATACAGATTAGCTTGTTAATATGGCAGCGCAGAGATTTCTAACGATGTTATTGACTAAGAAGAAATGAAGTGATGTGCATGCCAAATTTTATGAGCCTCTTATGTTTCCGATTTGTTTTGGATATTACCCAAGATAGATGAATGCTTATAGGAACAGTTCAGATACTGAAGAAAAAATATGGTCTACTGTCATAAGGCTTGGAGGAGCCATAGTTTTCCTCATTAAATTGGACCAGAATTGGCTGAAAAGGCCTCTTGAGGAATACCATTCATTCGTCTCTCGAAAATTGCTCGAGAGTCACAGTTTTTTGGTCGTGCGACTGCATGTTGGGAAGACCTAATCGAAAACAGTTTTCTTATAGATGCACATGTGGGAAAATATGGCCCACATAGCTAAAAGTGGCCACAGGTCACTGCATAGCATCTTTAGAGTCGTAGATTATGGCAAATGATAAGATCTACATGACCATCCTATGTACCAAGTTGATATAACCTGGGAATAAAGTGAAGATTAAGGACACAACAGAGATATGGATCACATCAACGAAGAAGCTATCACTTAATGTAAAATGCAAACACGAGTTGAATAGAGCATGGTAAGATCCAGATTGAAGCTGGCGAGATTCTAATGTAGGAAAGAAAATAAACAAAGGATAGGTCGACTAGTTTTCCATATAATCACTAGGATACTGTCTCTAGGTTTAATTAGAAGATTCCCATCTCTCTGTAGCTTCTCAGGAAGACAAGAAAAAACCTCTGGGAAGACGGCTATCTTATAATTAACCCCGGTTATAGTCTAAACAGAAGCCTTACCCTCTCTATCTTTTGGCTCGATATTACCACCTGAAGGGCTCCGTCTGCAAGAATTCTTTCTCAGATATCTAGCTTATGATTCTCAAATCTCATTAATTGAACTTAATGCACATTCAAACCGAAAGAAGCTCGTCCATAACATAAGGAACGTACAGTAAGTCAATTTTCTCCAAGCACGGTGTTCTAAAATCGATTTTTTTTTCTTCTGTCAGATAATTTTTAATTGTACCGCTCAATTTTTAACTTCTGCTGCTTGGGGTGGCATACAGAATTGAGTTTTATCACATAATAATGACAGTAAAAGTGGTAGATCCTTGCAAAGGCTAGCCATCACCTCTTCATTATACTTATCTGCTCCATTTCTAGCTCGAAACCTATTCCTCAACTTGTAAATGCTCTCCTGACTTTTATTCTCTTGGATGTTATTAAGTTCAAAATTTTCAACTTTCCAATGTGATCCTATTTTAATCGTTCTGAAATGCCATTTTTCTCGTCCTTCATTTTTAGGTGTTTGAAGACCATAAATAGCAAGAAATATGGGGTTGATCTGGTGCGCTTCACTTCTCATCCTACAACAGTTATATACTCTTCGAAAAATGGTTGGGATGGTACGTGAGAGATGCATTCTTTTCAATCTTCAGTTTGGTGTGAACCATTTATTTATTTGATCCACTGATCCAGAATCATTACGCCTTCTTTCATTGAATGACAACAAGTATTTGCGGTACTTTAAAGGGCACCGTGACAGGTATCATGATTGTCATCTTACAATTCATTATCCATGTGAATCCCATTTACGGTAATAACACATCCATAAGCTTTTTTTTTAACGATTATTTCTGTTTTTTAAAATTCCTTTTTAGGGTTGTTTCACTGTCACTGTGCCCTCGAAAAGAATGCTTCATCTCTGGTGGCCTTGATCAGACTGTTTTACTTTGGGATCAACGAGCTGAGAAGGCCCAGGTCGAGATGATCATTCTAATGTTAGCTGCAGAAGATTGAGTCCCCCACCAAACTAGTAATTGATGACCCCCTTTACAATATTGCAGGGTCTTCTCCGTGTGCAAGGAAGACCTGCGATTTCCTATGATGACCAAGGAATGGTCTTTGCAATCGCATATGGAGGACACATAAGAATGTTCGACATGCGAAAATATGAGAATGTACAAATCTATGGTTATTTCTTGCGCACGAACAAGACCCTGCAGTGTTCGAAAATGGGCAGTAATTCTTTCTGTTTTGGGGTGGCAGGGTCCTTTTGAAATCTTCTCTCTTGGGGGAGATGTGTCGGACGCCAATGAAGTCAAATTCAGCAGTGATGGTAGGCTTATCCTGTTGACCACTTCAGCTGGTCAAATTCATGTGCTTGACTCCTTTCGAGGCATAACTGTAAGCTTCAACAGCTGGTCAAATTTGCACCATCTGACTGCCTCACATTGACCTCTGAGCAAAAAAATAAATAGTCTAACATCCATTTATTTGCATGCACATCCGGTAGATATCCACTTATAATGTGAAGCCGGTTTCTGGCAATGGCACCCTGGAGGCGTCCTTCAGCCCTGATGGGAAGTTTATAGTGTCAGGTAATATCTCTCGTTGACTTTTTGGCTTCGTTGCACAAACCAAGAAAAATGTTTCTCGTTGACTTCTTCCTATCTGTGGCAGGTTCAGGTGACGGTAGTGTCTCTGCCTGGAGTATCGCAAAAGGGAAAGTACGATAAGTAGCATCCATCAATCACCCTGTTTCTCTCGTCTTGCTGATCGTTGACTTTCTCTCTCTCTCTCTCTCTTTTTATTAATGGCAAAGGTTGCATATTGGTCGAGTAGCGATGTTGAACCCCCGCTGATAAAGTGGGCCCCTGAAAGTCTCATGTTTGTGACTGGGTCAACGGAGTTATCCTTCTGGGTTCCCGACTTGTCCAAGTCCGGATCTTTAATCGGCGCCAAGTAGAAGCGTTCTACTCTGAAGGTATCATCCCAACTGCTTGCATGTAATCATTTTTATTTATTCATTTATGTTTTTATTTTATTTTTTTTATTTTTCAGTCCCCATTCAGTATGGTCAAACCTTCCTTCCTCTAGAACATTGCATCTCATCTGCATTTCCTTGTACAGCATCATTAGCTAATAACAGGAAAATAACTCCCACATTTTTATTTTTATTTTATTTATTTATGTATTTTTAACTCCTACATTTACTATAATAGGATTGAAGATTTTCATATCACACCCTGGAGACCTCTGATGAACATGGGGCTTATTCTTTCATGTCTCTAAGAAGCGTAGTATATATTACTTTATGCTAATATCATATATTGATTTATTAATAACATTGATAAAATAGTTTTATTGGCTTTTATTAATAATATTAATTATTTCATCATATTGTGCTTCTATTGTATTGATATTTTTGTCATTAAATTAAGGTATATAATTTGAAAGTAAAATTTTAAATCCTTCATTAATTCAAAGTAAATAGTGTAGTAAATGGTTCGATCTGACTTGCTTTTTTTAGTCATAAATTCATTTTTTTCCTCTTTAAACTTTTATTTTTAGTTTTGAAATAAATTTATAAATGGCATGTATATATATATGAAGATAGAATCAATTGAAGAAAATCATCTCAACTAGATCTAACAATATATATATATATATAATAAAATAAACTACTAGAAAAATATAATTTTTGCCATCCTCTCAAAGGTGGCCGGCCTGATTGCACTCAGTCAACTGCTGTAAACTGATCTGAATTAGAAAATCTGATCTCTACATTAAAACCTAAATCGATGGCCTTCTACATTACCTTTAAAGTAGGACACGTCCCTTTCGTCTGGCACTGCACATATAGACAGTACAGAGTACGAGAGAGGGAGAAGAAAAGGTAACCTAATGCCGTTGACTACATGCAGACAATCGATCATCATCAGCACAGCTCATAGCGGCGGTGGCGGTGGTGGCGGCGGCGCTGCGGGGCCGCCAGATCGGGTCTTCCTCAACCTACCACGAGTGACTTTGACTGCCTCCTCCATTATCACCTCAGGCACAGCTTCAACAACTGAAGTTTCACCGACTTCGGGTTGCTTCGGCTCTGTTTCACTGGATGGGGCGGGGCTGGCGGCGCCGCCAGGTTTCGCTGGGCTCGACCGTGCCGCCTGCTGCGGCTGAGCAGGTGGTGCCGCTGGACCAGGGCCCGATTCTGGATTAGGATCGCGGGCTTGGCTCTTGGCAGGACTGGGAGGTGGCCGTGGGTCCTCGGGCTGCAGGGTTGGAGCAGAAGGAGGTGGTGTCGGCGCTGTGGGCGGTGGTCGACGGGCCTGCAGCCACCATTGAAGGCAAAGACAAAATTATGGACCTACAAGGACCTGAATAGGTTAATGACAGTCATAATGCGATGCAAGGCACTGATTAGAATGAGCATGGCAGATTAGTTGACTTTAAGGTCTTGTGAAGATAGTCATTATCAGACATGCCCTCTCCCCCTCCCCTCTGTGTTTGTGTGTGTGTGTGTGTGTGTGTGTGTGAGAGAGAGAGAGAGAGAGAGAGAGAGAGAGAGGGGCCTGCAATGACCCAAACAGGAGGAAAAGTGTCATTTGATGAATGAATTAAATGTCTGACCCAATTCCAGCAAGACCAAAGATGGCTCAGGGATGAACAGCTCAAGAGCAATAATAGAAGATAAAGAAGAGGGTAGGACGGGGAGGGTTCCCTCCCACTGATGCCACCACCATTGGGGACAAGGGAAAGAAATAGCATATAAGGAAAGAAAAAGGAAAAAGAAAAAATGACTGTAGCACAAGATCTGCACATCTAAACTGCTGTGCACTGCCTTCGATATCTTTCAGAATCAAAGGCCTAAATCATGTACTAATCACAAAACAAGATCCTGCTCAGGATCAACACCCTGGTTTCCAGTATCCAAAATATCGGGAGATGATTAGACATGGGCATGCGATCTTGACGGCAGAGAACTTACTTCAAGTGACATAATGTCCAAAATCACAGTAAAATTGATGCAATTGATGTTTAATATTTTGACAAAAGACAAGGGGAAATGGAAAATTGCTTGCTATCATATGGCCCTGGTTGATGGACAAAAGAGCCCATGTGAAACAAGAGTTATAGTAAGACAAAGGAGAAAATTGGAATGACTCCAACGGATACAACGAACGAAGATCAGATTGAAAATAATTTTTTTTTTATAAGTATACAAATAAATAGAAGGATTTTCTTGCAGAACAACAGGAAACATAAGTTTGATGCAGTTTGTAGAAACAAGAAAATATTTTATTGATCGTATAATATATATCCTCAGTTTGCTCGAATGACATGGTAAATATTTAGATTCTAGGTCTAAAAATTAATGTCAGTGTTCAACTGATACCAGAAAATGTCAGTGCTATTGACAATTTTCTCCCTCTCTATCTCTCCAATACATTTCCTTTCGTAATCTTTATTAATTAACAATAGAAGCAGTCAATGAGGCTTAAAACCAAATAACCATGATTTACTCCCTGTATTTAGAATAACCCTAGTTCCTCACTTGCACCCCACAATTAGAGTGATAGATAAAGATAACTAGCAAACTACAACATAACTACTTAATGATTGCAGAATGCTTACCACAAAATTGGGTGAAGGTTTTTTTACTAATAAATCTATATTCAAAATCATTCCATTCGGAATCTTTTGTTCTATCAAAGCGTCGGACTTCCAAATTTTCATAGGGTCCCCCCGGAATTCCTTCTAGAGCCTGTTGAATTATTTTTATGGATTCCCTCATTTCATTCATTCGTACTAAGTAAGGAGCTAGTGAATCCGTATTATATTTTCTTCCATTAAATCACCTCATACAATGTATCCCTACCATCGGACAAGGTTCTGTTTTCAGTAATGCCGTTGAGTTTCCTCAGCTCACCCCACGTCACATTCTCCAATCCCCACATAACATCCCCAACTGCCCCTTACACAGTGTTCTAACAGACCAACCCCCCCCAATCCCACTCTTGTTTCCAACGAACTAGCCTACCGCCACAAAATCATAGTCATGCAACCCTATTTTGCCTACTTATCATGCACAGCACACCATCTCCTTTTCAGCAATCCTCCCACCCCGTTTGAACCCCTGCTGCTGCAGCCCCAAACCCACTGTCTGCGGCAGCCCACTAGGTCAAGGATCGTATGACAAAAAATTCGAGACAAGGAGACTTGTTTCAGAAAGAGAAGACCTAGTTATCATAACCAGGGAATACCTGAGGAGGTCGAGGTCTAGATGTCTGAGATTGAGAAGCAATGTACTGCAGAACTTCAAGGAACCGCGTCTGCCCATAGTTTGAAGCTTTTTGCCAATACAGAATCATAATGTCTCCTGCCCTAGTTTTTAATTCAAGCAAGCTTCGGTCTATTTCTGGCTCATGTTTTGAAATTACAGGCTGAAGGAAGGTATCATAGACGTATGTTGTCCCCTGCAGACATTAGCGACTGGAAGAGTAGGTAAAGCAATATCCTGAAAATTTGGTGAGTCATTGGTGTCTCAGGCTACATACCCTTGTTTTGGGATACCAGAGATATATAAAGAATGCCAGCTTTGCTTCACTGTACATGGGCAACCTTCAAAACAGGACGGGGGGCAATTGATCACATCACTGCCCAGAAAAAAGACCAAACTAAAAAGGAAGATGCAGCTTACCACGAAACAAAGGCGTCCCCGACCTTCTCAAAGACCGTCAATACTGCAACTAAAATCCTAGTAAAATGGGATCAATAAACAACTATGTTGTCAGCCATCTTAGACAAAATATCGACACCAAGGCTGCACTACCAGTTGAAAATGGAGAATTACCAGTATTGACACCAAAATCGTAGCTGTTCGATCTCTGGCTTATTCTTCTCCACTGTTTTGAAGCATTCATAAGCCGGATAGGCATATCCGAGAGCCATTCTGTGATATCAAAAGCCACATATATGACATTTCCGACTAGCAAGAGTGAAAGGAATGGCCAACAGATTACGTACGCAAGGGCCCGAGTGAGGAACGATCCTATCATTCTGAATCCAATTATATATCAAGCAGAAACACCTTGTTGACTAGAACTCTCCCTGTCAAAGCTTGACTGAAACGGACCTAAAATAGCAACAATACAGATTATTCGCTTGTGCAAGGAAACTGACGGAAATACATTCGAGATGCCTCACACAAGGGTTCCACGGGCAATATCACAAACATCACATGTCCTAGGTCTAAGTCGGAAGAACATAACTGGGTAGGAATATAGCGGAAGTGCTGATCAGACAGCAAACAGAAGCACCAAAATACAGATGCATCCCGTTCTACCAAACCGCTCAAAACGAAGGAAAGTATGGTGCAAAACATTTTCAACAAGGAATAAAAGGAAGAAATAGTGAAAAATTGGTTAATCCACAAGACTTCAGGCGACGATCCAGTGAGGAAGATCGAATCAAATCAAGTTCCCGAGCCTCAAGACAGAAGCAGGAAACCACCAATTCGCAAGCGAAAAACCTCAAACATTTTTGGGTTTACCACCGATCATCATAGCGAGAAACACTCATCCGCGTATTTGAAAACTGGTAAAATATCGAACCGACACAACACACGAAATCGCAAGAGAATAACTACTTGCGATCACGAAACCGCCCGCCACGACAAGACAAGGCAGCAAAGTAAAAGTGGCAGGCAACCCACTGATTACAACGCGTCTTCCGTTCACTCTCTCCCCCCTTGTAGACGAAGCACACCAAAAGTCCCTTAAGACCAGGTGATGCAAGCTTGGTATACTATGAGGAGAAGCGAAAGGGCATAGAAAAGCGATGCAAGCTTGCCCATCTATTAAAAACATTACGAAGGCATCCGCAGGCGGTGCTCGTGCCCACATAGCCGGAGCCCTGAGGCGTCGCGTCCGTACCTTCACTGGAAACCGCCAACCGAAGCCGGCAGCCTTCGCCCCCTCCTGGTGAAGGCAGAGGAGACGGCGATGGCGGACTGCTCCAGACGGTTTTAAACTCTCTCTCTCTCTTCTCTCTCTCCCGTCTCTCTCTCTCTCCTTCTTCCCTCTCTCTCTCTCTCTCTCTCTCTCTTCCCTCTCTCCTTCCCTCTCTCTCCTTCTTCCCTCCCTCCCTCTCTCTCTCCTCTCTCTCTCTCTCTCTCTCTCTCTCTCCCCGCTCCGCATGTGGTATGATCCACCTGGTGCGCTCAATCGTGTCCCATGCCGTCGTTAGTGGGACGAATTGAGACCGGGACGGAACGTGAAGCTGATAATTTCCATGATCCGCGGAGTATCAGAACACCCTGCGGCCCATGCGACGCCACTTCCGAAGCTCGATATGACGTGAGAGTCCAAAGTAATCGGTTTAAATCAATATATTAATTCCAATTAATATATTTATTGGTAAATTCATTTACGGTAAACGCTCCCCCAGGAAAGATACAAAAAGATAATAACCAAATATAATTTATTATATTATATTATCTTTTAGTGGATGAGCGTGGGGATAAGAATTGCGATTAAAAATATATATTTCTCTGAAATAATTTCTCTAAGCGAATAACTTACACCATTTAAATCGAGGTTAGCTCTGGGAATTTTTATCAAAAATATTTATTATCTTATATTCACAAAAATAGTAATTAAGGCGATGGCTGTGGTTGATTTAACTTAATTTCACGCCAATATAAAAAAATAATTATATGTTATAAAATATAAAAAAGTATTATTTTCGATTTGGAAATGATCCAAAATATTCCGCGTGGGTTCGTGCTGAGTTCTGATAGCGCTCGGAGCGATTCCAACGGTAAACTTTGAAAGTGGGCCGGTAGGGACCACCGCTTTCGAACCGGTGTGGGGGCCAGCCTACGCACGTGGTTGGTGGTGCACGTATAGGAGATGACGTCACTCGTCTTCAACCTCCGTCGTCCGGGCGGGAAGGAGAGGAAAACGAGGGAGGGGGGGTGGAGCCCTAAGGTCGCTGTTTCTTTCCTCCCACAGGTAAGCGACGACAGCACTGATCGCAGCCACCTCTGGTTCCTGCTTCGTTTTCGGTCATTCACGTCGCACGAAAACCCCGCTAGATCTCTGGATCTTTCTGTCTCGCTTCCCCGAGTTGATCCGACATCGCGAAGGGGGGACAACGATTTTGGAGCGGGCTCTTCTTGGAGTTCCTTCCCTTGATCGCAGTAGAAAGAGTGGAAGGTAATTGCGAAGATCCGACTGAGGTTCTATGTGGCTGATGAAGCATTGGAACCATTGCGTGTTAATGGCGGGCGCTAGGGATCGGGGAAACGGAAAGAAGCTAAGCCAAAATTGAAACCGATGGCCGATCACAAGAGGAATCCTGCCCGTCTCTCTCTGGATCTGTGTTTCTATCTCGTTCTCACAATTAGATCTGCTCCAGACATCGCGGATGGGGTCCCAGGATTTTGGACCGGCTCTTCTCAGAGCTCCATCCCTTGATCGCTGTAGACACAGTAGATCAGCCCCTGGGAGGGATTGGGAAGGTGATTGCGAAGATCGGACTGAGGTTCTGTGTGGCTGATGAAGCATTGGGACCATTGCGCGTTAATGGCGGGAGCTAGGGATCGAGGAAGCGGAGAGGAACTCGGCCAAAACTGAAGCTGATGGCCGATCACAAGAGGAATCGGTGGCGAATCCGCCGAATGATTCAGTCTTCCTTCAAGAATCCAGCCTCTTCTCTTCAGTGCCTTTCCAGGTGGAGCAATGTGGGATCCTCAGCACACGACTGGAAGCATTCTCCACAGGCACAGGCTTAGGCGTACAACCCCAGAAAGCAAAAACTCTTCTCACAGCCTACAATATCCAGGTATCATACTCTGCTTCATTGACCTCGTTCATGCCGTTTTTAAGCTGAAAACTAAGTCAACCTTCAACAGAGCTAAGATTTTGTCAAACAAAAAGTCAAATATCGAATCTACTTCGTTCACACACATGTTAAACCCAGCTTATCCGGCTAGAACTAGAATAATATGGGTTATCCGAGTTTATCCGGGATAACCCAGCTTATCTGAGGCTCGATCAGTGGATGAACAGTGGAACCCGTTGACAAAACCCATAAAAGAACCCCGTTGACTTTGAGTCAGCTGACGGGTTGTGAAGTGGGATATTTATGAATATTCTACATTTGCTTGATTATTATGTTGGGATTTATGGCCTCCCAAGTAATTTAATTGAATTTTTATATTCCTCCAAGTTTCATCATCATTGTGAAATTAAGAGTTAATTATATTTTCTGGTGGGCGAACAAAAAAATGAGGCAAATTTTTCGGATGCCACTCTGCTGATTGATCCATCAATTATTTGTTATTATTTGAAGAATGCTTTCACAAAAAAATAAAAAATAAAAATAAATAAAAAGACCATAAACAGCTACTAGCCCAGCTCATTGGCTTCTTTCTCTAGCCGCTCTATCTCTCTCATCGTCAGCAGCGAGAGAGAGAGAGAGAGAGAGAGAGAGAGAGAGAGAGAGATTATATGTGTATGCCTATGGATTTCCAGAAATAGAAATATTGGCGAAATCTTGCTGTGGATAATGGACTACAAGTAATGACCAATATTAGATGTGGGCTGGAGTTAATGGGCCTTTATAATGGGCTCTTAACTAGGACTCGTTATAATTAAGTGCCCGTTGGCTTTAAAAAGCACTGAAAAATTCATCCAACGGTCATGTTACCGTTGAAGTTTGCGAATTTCAAATAAGTCAGAGGTTCTCCTCCCCTATTCGACCCGTTGCGATCGATCATCCTCTTCTTCATCGTCTCCTCTGCTCGTCGTTCTGCCCATCTAGATCTTCCTGTGGGAGCAATGGAGACGCCGTCGTCCACGAGAAGAGTCACGAGATCCCAGGCTTCGTCCCTCGCCTCCGGTAAGAGATCCCCCCATCACCGTCCCTCTGCGTACTTTCCTCACCATCTTCTGATTCCCTTTTCCTGCTACAGAGATTTCGGGGCAAGAAGGAGGGACCACCCTAAATCCACAGTCGTCGTCGTCGTCGTCGTCGAGATCCAGGACAGCTGTGCTGGTCGACATTACCAACGATTCTCCCATCGTGGGGCTAGCGGCGGCGAGCCTGAAGACGCCGCCGTCCGCGGCCGCCGGAGAGAGCAAGCTCTGGATCGGAGGGAGGACGCCGTGCTCCGGCGAAGCGATTCTCCGCGGCCAGGTGAAGAACCTGTTGCAGAAGGTTGAGGAGGAGGAGGGAGAGCCGTTTCTTACGTTCCTCGGCCATCTGGCTCCGACCACCACCAACACGCCGCAGATCGTATGTCTCTCCGGCGACGAACCAGAGCCCGTTCCGGCGAGCCCCCCCGCGGGGGAAGACGGAGGCTACGAGTTCCCAGAGGTCATTAATGGAGGTTCTGTTCTCTCCATCAGAGACCTCGACTCGGTTGCTTTACAGGCGGCGCCGAATTGGAGGAAGGAGGAAGAAGCCCTAGATCTCACAGAGTGCTTCATCAACCGGGCTCTGCTGTTTGACTCGCCGGAGGAATCGTACTCTTCCTTCTCCTTGTCGGCGCGGACATCCCAAGAAACCGTCTGCCCCGAGGAGGTGCCCACTGAAGAAGAAGACGGCTGTTCTTCCGCCTGGTCTCTGCAGGCGTACGATGGCTCCTCTCTGGAGGATGACGACGGCTCTGAATGGACCGAAGAAGATGAAGAAGATGACGATGAAGAAGAAGAAGATGAAGATGATGTTCGTCTCGTTGATCTCTGCGAGGGGGTGAGAACGATGTCGATGGGCCAGAGCGAGCTGCCCGAGTTCGCCGGGAAGCACACCAGGTTCACCTACGACAGCGACGGCGAGATCGTTGCAGAAGTGGAGGTCACGACGGCGGCTCCATCGAGTGTTCTTCGGCTAAGGGGCATGCCGGCGCCAGAAGGGAAGCACCTGCGCTTCCAGGAGGAAGAAGAAGACTGAGGTCCCCCATCAAACTCTTCGCACAAACAAAGATACACGTGTTACTAGTAGTCATCAGAGCTCCTGAATCTTTCTCCACCTGTTCTTTCTCTGCTTTTTTTCCCCAGATTCATCTTTTGATGATAATTCTCGAATGAATCTATAATTTCAATTGTTCATCAGATTATATCCATTTCGACGGGAATTATCAAACTCCTCGTCCCCTCTCACACAGATAAACCTCCGAAATTCTTGGATGTATAATTAGATTTGTACACCAATAAACAATCAGCTTTGTACAGCGCTTCGAGTCATCGATCGTCATCTACTCCTCAGCCACGGACCCGTAGTCCCCGTTCGACGAGGAGCTATCCTGCACAGAGGAGGAGCACCTGCTTGAGCTGGTCGCCTCGCCAGCAGCGCCGCCAGATTTCTTCGGGGATTGCCACATCTCACCCTTCTTGGCTTTTGCGTCCTGAGGGAGGAAGGATGGGTCAGAAGAATGTCACCAACTTCTTCAAGGATCTACTGGAGAGGCAGGAAATCCGCAGCGAAGAACCAGTGGCAGCTGCGCCATTTTGACTTTAAGACTAACCTGCCCACGAGACGGCAACTTTGAAACAGGGAGAGCCGACCCGGGAGTTTTGAGCTCCAACTCTGTCGCGACATCGCTGAAGCTGTCACCTTTCTCTGCACTGCTCCTGCACTGGCGGTCGGGCAATTTGCCTCCTGCGTCGTTCTTCCCTGAACCATGAGACCTGTTGCTTCCGGGCTGGGGATTGTGCGGACGAAGGGCAGACGAGGGCTGCTCGGCATGGAGGTTGCAAGGGTTGGGGTACGACATGAATGGGTTAGGCATGGAGCCATGGGTCTGCCCTCCGTGGAAGAATGGGTATGGCTGAAGCGAAGGGTGCACAGCCATGGGGCCTGATGGAATGGGGACCGGCATGGGAAATGGGTAAGGCTGAGGAGGACCCATGACCACCGATGCGTCCATTGCAGCCCAAGGGAACACAACTCTGAGCCTCTGTTGGTACTGGGCACTGAGAACATCAATCTCAGACTTCAGCGTAGCCTTCTCTTCTCTAAGTTCGTTCTTCTCCTGCGTCAACTGCGAGGAGAAACGAGTGCCGAGATCACTGGGCGGAGATCTCACAGGCGGCGGCGTGCATGATTGAGCATTCTTGGGGAGAAAATAACTCACCTCAGATGATTCCTCCGAGAGTGATTCATACTCGGACTTCAGCTTGTTTACTTGGGCCATCAAATCTTTCAGCATCTGTATCGTGTCAGATAAGATGGTTGCCTTGTCGTTCTTGGGACGATCAGGATCTGGAATTTTATCAATATATCAGTTCCCCTTGACGAAAAGCACAGATCGCCGGACTCGAACATAAATAGAAAGAAATCTTCATAACTTACCTATGTATGTCAAAAGAGGCATGCATAAATATAGAGAAGTGCTCTTAATTTTTTCACAAAAAAAGCCCATGGCAAGTGACGTGAAGCATAACAAAGAAGCAATTTAAATCTCACACATGGTTGGGACTGTCATTTGGGGGCATCACTGCAGGTGGTCAATCATGTAGGCACCATCACAATTTGTCAACTCAAGATCAATGCAAAGATCGTATGGCACGCCGAACAATCGGTGCCAAGTAGACAACAAAAGCATCTGGCCAATATTTCTACTCGTCCTATGATTGTTAAATCGTAAGATTAATTTTCTTTTTTGGAAGCAGTCGGCGTGCATCTACCCATCAGAAAAATAAGAAAATTCTTAAATAGTTCCTGGCACAAATCACACACAACTAAAACCAATTGAAACCATCCAACTTAAAACCACTGAGTCCATCTTTACAATCACATTTTATTTCTATAATAAGTAATATGGGACTATTTTTACACGCCCACTGATACGCAAGCTGATTTTTGGGATTTACCACACGGACAACATAAATGGGTACTTGTTCATCCCAAGAACAACAATTAGTGATGAAATGTTGTATAACTTATAAGGTAATGGGCTTCATTTATAATCACAGGTTTACCTTACAATAACTGATAGGGGACTGCTCTTAGCAAGGGCACACTTTTGGCATTATGTTTTCCGAGTGCTGACAACTTTACTAGTATAATGAATTTATAACCAGACAAAACAGATCACAGATAACGATCGGCCTTTATTCTATACTGATGAAGAAAACCTCTCTGAATAAATTGGATGTGAAATGACGAGTTAAAAATGATCACTAGAATGCTACATGACTAGAAAAAAATAAAAAATAGGCGGAAAATAATAACCTCCGTTGGTCATAAAAGGCACTACATGATAAAAGAGTCAGATGCATCACTGCCCACGAATGTCATCTGTCATAATAAGAAATCAATCTTTCATCTGTACACTACTGGAACTGTCTGCACGAATGACGAGAAAAGTGAAAAGAAACAAAATAGCATTCGCCAACCAGCTTGAAGGATCTAGAATGCAATTCTTACCAAGGGCACTTCCCAGCTCCAGAAACTGCTCGTTTAGTCGGTCCCTCCTCAATTTCTCTCTGTCTGCTTTCTGAACTTTCCGGGCAGCCATGGGATTCTTAACCCCCTTTTCCACCCTTTGGCTGTAGAAAAATAGTTAAACTAGGAGTTGTAAGTAAACAGCGATGTGGACATTGGATTAAAGCTAAATGTAAAAGAGCTATTCTTCAACCGGGTTAAGTTTGCAAGCTAGGAACATAAAATCATAGCAGGCCAACGAAAAAAATGTACAACAGAGATCCCCTGCAAAGATCCCACAACGGAAAAATGAGCAACCTAGCGAAGATGCAAGAAAAGTAAAAAGAGTGTTTTCTCTATGAGATAAAGAATAATACTTCAGCATTCAGCACCACTATCCGCTGAGAAGCATTGCTTACCAAGCCAAGTCCCCTAACACTCAGTTTAACCAACTGCATATCAACCTCAAGATATGTCTAGAATAAAACTATAGCATAAAGCATCACAACCCAAAGAGCATGAACCCTTATCTAGGAAAAATTCATAAAACTCAATTTAGCCAACTTCATCATACTCATGAACATATTCCCAAGAGATACATCTCGAGAGAGTAGAAATAGATAGCTTAATAGTCTCTATAGTGCCTCTGCCAACCATTCAGTTTTAAGGATCTAGAATCCCAATCTGACTGGAAAATATATAGAAAGTGAGAGTTCATCTCGGAAATAAGAATATGTATTTAGCGCAGGGACTATGGAGAAAAGTTCTGATTTATTTGGATGTCTAAAATGACAGACTCAGAGGAAACATTGAGATGAACGTTTGTCTTCAATTATTTAAAAATTGTGCCTTTTATCAATTTTAATTTATTTATTTGACAGCTTTGATCGAAGAAGTTAGCAATTACGACATCTTGGTCAAGTATAAATATTCTTCTTCTCTGTGACATATCAATTCACATTTTCATTAAACTCGACATCCATGATATGCATATTGGGTGGGAAATTTATTCTGTTGGAAAAAATAAGACTGTAACAGAGATGAAGATATGAATTTTTTCTACAAGATCACTTGGAAGGTAATTCACAACATTCCCAAGATTGAAAAGAGCGAGATGATCGCACGCCTGTTAATCTTTCATCGTTATCTAATTGCCGCAATCTTTCTGTCAAAAAAAAAGTGCATATATCTTCATCCCTAGAAACATAATCGCTTCCCATTTATGAAAAGTAACCTGGGTTCATGGCTGTGCCAATTTTTTTGTTGAGAATCTTGTCATTTGCCTGACTTAAAACGTGGAAATAATCACCACATTGGGCCACAGATAAAAAGACTTTGGTCATCAACAAGCCGTTTCTACCTAAAATAATACCTGCTGCAGCCAATCCATACGAAAGTTGATAAACAAAGGCATTAGCAGCATCCTCCCTTAAAAATGAGTCAACTTTAGAGGACCAGATGGCATGAATATTGAAAGTGGCCATAGTTAAGGCTCACTCCAATAGTAGCAATGTTTCTTTACATTTTAAGCAGGGGTCTTTTACCACAAGAAAGAAAAAAAGGCAGCATGGAGAAGTGGGGGAGCTATGCAAGTAGTTAATAAGACAATAAATAAGCATATAGTGGAGGCAGTACCCGTTGACAAGTTCCTAGTAGTCTATCACACATTTTCAAAATAGTTCGATTTTTACACTAAAGACGCAAATACTTACCTTTAGAGAAAAATAATGAAGAACAACAAACATAAATTAGAAGTTTTGGACGTTTAACAGAGGTAACCTATAATAGAATCGGGTGGGTAACCATCAATAAAATAGCCTCTTTCTTAGATCAAAGAGGCCTTCTCCTTGGCGCAATTTTAGACTGAGTCTGTGGTCTACAAGTTTATGAGTTTAATTTATTTTGGAGAGTTTGAATTGCTATCAAAAGACCACTGAGTCAGGGAACCCGAGAGTATACATCAGATATTGACCCTGAAGAGTCAAATTAGTCTATCTTTTGCCTCAAGTCCAATGCCTACACGAGCCCCCTTTCTTCCACAGAGGTAAAATGACAAAAGGAGCTAAATTATCACAATTAGGCATAACCTGACAAGAACATTCAAAAGGTGAAGAAAAAAATTTGCATATAAGTTATTTCTTACAAACAGCTAAACGGTGAGGCACAGAAGCAATAATTATACTCGCATAGCTTCTCATCCAATACCATCATCAAAAAAATAAAAATCCTTTCAGAACACTAGCATGTTAAATGATAATTCCAAGTATGTTGTTCGATGGTCAAATATGTAATAAAAAAATACGTCCGACAAGGATAACTCCCAAATAATCCCTCATAATTACTGACTGGTAACATCTCATTATAATATGAGAGTAAAGTATGACTACCAGTATGCCGTCCGACCACACCCAACTCTGAAGGATCCCACAGAATAAGCACATGCAATAGGGATAATCCCCAGAGAATCCCTCACATGAGAAATTTCCATCTAACCATGGTGATATTCTAAATCATGGCTACCCTTTTGATCAAAAGTTTTTGGGGATTGTGGGTGCGGAAAGCAGTCAAATAATATGAAGTAATCCATTATTCGGCCTCCCACGCTGGGCATGCCGGATGGCTGCTTAGACAGCACGTCAGTTGAAACCAGGAAAGAATGATAGGTTGATATTATGTGACGAAGATTGGAACCTGGGTAGGGGCCTAAGACGTGCAAAAAGGACTAAACTAATGAGACAGAAGAGAAGAAATCGGGTGGGAGAGTTCGAACAGGTTGATTCACCGGATGCCAGATGAAAAAGATGATGAACTGAGAGTTTGGCTAACAAAATCATGGCTCCCCCCAAAATTTCCTGAGTAGGGGAGCCTCGAGCTGGAGGCTTTTCCTTTAGGCATGAAAGGGAATCTGCCGAGGTAGATCGCGGAGGACATAAGTCGGGAGAATTCAACAAGGGCAATTCAGCAATTGTGAGGTGCGAATTGGATGAATTCAGAGCTTCGTGAGAAAAATCAAGGATCCCCATCCCTCTCCTCAAATTTCCCATAGCAAAAAATCAAACATACAGAAAAAAATCGAAGAATTTTTCCGGAGCCAACAACAAAAACAATTTTCACGACACCATTTCCAATCGGCCAAACCTAGAATCGGGGCAGGAGCTTGACAACCGGCTGGACGGTGCGCAGATGTCTTCCCCCGGCCGCAAAAAACCTTGACCAGAGATATGCTCGACCGGAACGGCAGACTGGTAAAAACCCTCGGAGGGCTTCCACTGATCCATCTCTCCCACTATCCAAGACCAGCCCCCAACTCCCACAAAGCGCACTCAACCTTCCTCGATTCGAAGCTTTCGCGGAGGTGGAGCCACAGCCCGTGGATTCCACGCGACTCCGCGAGAGAGGGCTCTGAGAGAAGCAGCTTTATCGGCCGAATCTGTGGGCGCACATGCTCTGCGCTTCGCGTGGCCGCGGCCAATGAAAGAGGGGCGGGCATCTGAGCCTTCCTACCCTCCCGCGTCCATTATCTGCTATGCCAGCCAATTGGAGTCGTGGGACGGATCTAACCTCCGTAGACACGTGCTGCATTCATGGGAGAGTCAAGCCCAATAACCTAATGACACGTGGCTCATTATAAAAATAGATTTTAAAAAAGCTTAAATCCCGCAAAATTTATGAATCCTATTTTTATTTATTTTTAATAATTGATGATTCCACACTCACCCCATACATATCCCACAAAAAACCATGATGTAATAAATAAATAAATATATATATATTTCCATGAGAAGAATGAGCCATGAAAGATGGGAATTGGAGTAAATGTCACAAGGTTTGGTAGTGGGTACCTTACCTTCTTCACCTGATGTCACCATTAGTCACGTTGACTAACACAACGTAGTCTATTTACTAGGGAGAGTCAACTCAATTAGGGCATTTCCCAAGTTTACTCCACCAACATGTGCCCTCTCCATTAGTAGTAATGGGTTGCCTCACATGAGGCGTTGACTTGCCTTATTAGCTGGTGGGGGGACCACGAGCGAGATCATTTGCCCACCAATTGTCATCGTTATAATCTAGTCACACACATAAGATTAGTCTATGCCAGTTGTGCCATGTCATGCCATGTTGCATTGTTATTGAGCCACATCACACCAATGGCCTCTAGGTGTTCACGTGACTTCTACTTGAGCTCCACGTGTGCACACTTGCATTATCATATGTGCTACTCACATGCACTCTGCACATAAGGTTTAAGAGTGCCTTTTGATCCTTATTGTGTTTCAGTGGTGTTGTCCACCTAAGCTACATGGGCACATGCACTAACCATTATTGTGTTGAGCTAATGATAACCATACATGCAACACATCATCCCCTAACCTTATATCATTGGTGCAGATCAAATGAAAGTTGTTGACTTTTTTCTTTTTACATGTTATTAAAATATAATATTTTTGTTGTTGTTGGAGTAGAGTGAATTATTGTGCATTTTGACGAAGAAGGAAGTCAACCAACTTCACTTGTTATTATAACCTTTCCACATGTGTGTTTGAGCCAAATGGTTTAATCCTGCATGGACTAATCTTAGATCAACCAAGTCAACTCTTCTATAGGAAATTAAAAATGAGCTTGTATATATGATTTTTGCTATATGATCAGTGTATTTTAGATAGTATTGGAAAGTAAAAGGTTTGATCCTCTTGCCATAAGGAGAAATTAATATTATCTCAATTTATGTGCCTTTAGGTGTGTCATTTTATTCGATGCCATAGGCTAAGAAAATGTCAAAATTATCATTTTTATTAAAATATTATATATATTAGTAATATATTTTTTTTCTAATAGGTGGGAGGATATTTATTAGGTGGAATTTTACACAAATAATGAATCACAATTATATAATGATTTAATGACGTATTCATCCTTTATTATAATGTGAATATACTCGAAAAAACAGAAGTAATATTTTCCCGAATGAGAGCAGAAAATGACGGCGTGTTTTAGAGGGGGAAGGTAATTTATTTAATTTATAATAATTTCACGAGCCGAGTTTCACGGGAAGAAAAGCTTAAAATCAGTTATGGACGTGGAATGTAATAAAGCCGAAGCCTTCGGCAGATCAGGCCACCTGATCTTCTAGGCCATTTTGGGGGGGAGAGAGAGAGAGGGGGGTTATGGGCTTCGGGTTTACCGGCCCATTAACAGTCCCCACCTTTATTTCTAACGGCCACACGCCAGCGTTGCATTGCTTCGTCTCCATTTGCTCCTACGTCTCTCTCTCCACGCCTCTTCTACTCGTATCTTCTTCATTCCCATCTTCCTCCCCCTCGATGCCGATGGAGAATCGCAAGGGAGACCCTAACCCTAAGTCCGACCGGGAGCTTTCCACAGCCAAAGAAGCAGCACGGGAGGAAGCAGAGGCGGCTTCGAAGGAGGAAAAAGAGGGAGAAGATTGCGTCGAAGGAGAGGATGCCGATGAGGGCGAAGAAAAGGGGGAAGTCGATCCCGAGTCGGAAATCGATTCTCGTCCACGGAACCCGAGGACTCCGTTCACCAGCTTGAGCCAGGTGGATGCCGACCTTGCGCTCGCCAGGACACTGCAGGAGCAGGTTTGATTTTTCTTTTTCGAGCTTTGTCTTGTATTTTTACGGTCGAACGGTTGGTTGCCCGTTCGTTGTGATATAGGGATTTTGTGGGGTGACTCACGCAGGAGAGAGCGTATATGATGCTGAGGATGGGGGGCGGTGGTGGAAGGGGCTTTGTGGACTCCGATTCTGTGAGCGAATATGAAGTTCAGTACGACGAGGGAGATGATGAAGATGATCAATCAAGGAATCACAATAGTGTCGACGAGAACGACTACGACGAAGATGCGTTTGATGCCCAGGATACTACTGCCGAAATTGATCCATCTGCTTTTGATGATGACGAGGCTTATGCCAGGGCATTGCAGAATGCAGAAGCCCGGGAACTGGCTGCTCAGTTCATGAGCTTTAATGGAATACATGATTGTGCGTATAGAAACTTTTTTTTTTCCCCAGTCCAGTCGCCCTGTGTTGTTTGTTGACTACGGTTGGTTTTTGGTTCATGCAGGGGTTGTAGAAGATGCAGGAGACGGTGGCAACAGCACCCAGGTACGTAGCAGATTTTTGTTCGAACCCTGTGTAACTTGTTCATTGTAATTGTTTATTGGAACCATCTTTTCAGTGTGTATCTAAAGGTTTCCCCGGAACTTCATTCAGCTAATCTTCTAACTGTTGCTCCAGAGTAAGAGTAAAGCTATCCTTTTTTGGGTTGCTGGTGGTAAAATCAGATGAATTGGATCCATAGTGGCACAAAGACGTACATCAGGTTGGGCAGATTTTCTAAAATTAGACGGTTGCTTAAGCCTTTGAACGTTCCATGATAATTATACGTATACAACTTCAATATTAACAATAAGCATGCGGGTTAGTAAGTCTTGTTTAAACGAAACTCAATTAGTAATTTTCACGTTGGATGATGAATTCTGGTGTTTGAGTCAGGATTGTTGCACACAAGTGTATACACTGACTGCTTCTCGTCGTTCATTAAAAATGTAATTCATTCCTGTATTGTTCATTATGCTGGAGAAATTGTTGTCCAAGCGGACCAGTGTTTTGTAATGCTGGAGAAATTTAAGCCTGAGATCATTCTAGCTTCCTTATTTCTAGGGACATTGCTTTGGGCGTGACTGATTTACGTATTGATTTGACTGCGCACTTAGAGAAGATCATTGTTTACAAATCTTACCGGCACTCTAACCATTGGTTCCAACAATAGCTAAAATTCTAATGATTTACAAGATTTTGCAGATTTTTTCTGATTCACTCTCTATTACTGAAAGTATCCGCTGTATCTTGCCCAGCTCTGGATATATTATCTTTGTTTACCTTGGCGAAAAAAGGAAATAAATAACTGAAACAGTAAGTATGAAATTGGAAAACCGTGCTGGGCATGTTTCTGATAAAACGATTGGTCTAATTGTTCCTTTTAATGTTAAGTTTTTTGAAATATTTTATTCAACATTCGTTGACCATCACTTTTTAAACAAAGAAAAAATATGTTGATGCTTATTCTGACCAATGGAACTTAGTATCGTATCCTTTTTTTAGGGTACGTGGTCAGATGTCGATCCAGATGAATTATCATATGAGGTAATTTAAACCAGGCCTGGCTACATGTTCGTTAGCTTGACTGCTTATACTTAATTTAATGTGGAAGTTGGTTTTGATAGGAATTGATCGCATTGGGTGAAGCTGTAGGAACGGAGAGTAGAGGGCTAACACATGATAGAATTGCTTCACTGCCTTCTGTCAGCTACAGTGCACGAGATACCCATGAAGGGAGCAAAGAGAAGTGAGTTAGTTGTCAGTTTTGTGTCTTTAGTTTTGCATGGAGATCAATAACTTGCAAGCAATGCAATCTGCAGATGTGTCATCTGTCAACTGGATTATGAGGACGGGGACTCTCTAGTTGTTCTCTCCTGCAGACATATGTATCATCCAGACTGTATCAACAATTGGCTTCAAATAAACAAGGTATTTTTTTTCCCGTAAATTTGTGTGGCCTGATATCACATTACTTGAAGAAAAAGTACGTGTAATATGAGCAATGATGTTATCTTATTTGCCTCCCTGGAAAATAATTAAACGCTGAATACTAACTATATTGCATCAGATGCATAATAGATGCATAGTATTCTTCTAGTCGACATGATCCTGAAAATTTTCACATGCGATAAAATGCACTACTACGATGCACATATAAACATAATTGGTATTGTAGGCCTTGCAGGTCTTAAATAGAGAAGGCATAGGGTTGAAAGTTATACCACTCTCTCACCTCATGTGGTATTTCGGATGAAAGATTACTGCCTTAATGGAATGGCTACTTGAATTAAATTGCCAGATCAGCCTTTTTGTTGGCCAGTTTTATCCTAGAGTGATGAAGGGCATGAATGAGAAAGAAGAATTAGAAATGGAAGGATGCCTCATTAGCGGATGTTGGTGACTCCCTCTTCCTTTTATGAAGGACTTTGTCAGACCAAAATAATCTGATGGGGATTTATATTGTCCATTTTCAGATAATTTTGGGATGCTCAAGCAGAGTTTTAAATTTACATTTTATGCTTTTAACAAGAACCGAATATGCCCGTGCATACGGGCATACGGGCATACGGGTGGATGCCGTTTACAAAAAAACTGGAGTGTGCATACGGGTCACAGGCTCGCATGCGTTTGAGAATGTAACATTTGATTCTAGAATATAGTCCATGACATATCTGATGCCTATTTTTGATTAGACGTGAAGAGAAAATGCTGTTTCGTAGGGTAAGAAAGAGAAAACTCTGTGGCTGTGAAGAACATGGTATGGATATGGCAGGAATATTGGAATGAGATTGCGCAGTTATACATGACTGGTAACTTATTTTGGATGGGTTCACAGGCAAAGAGAGGACACTATGACGCTGAGTTGAAATGATTTCTTCATTACGAAATGTACATCCATTTTTGTCAGAGAACGAGGCCAAAATACATCACAGGAGATGGTTAGCTGGTGGCTGGTTGTTTGGGCTCACTTATAAGTATGCAGTTAAGAAATTTTGATTATTTAATGGGTATAATTTCTTTATTTAACACTGTCCAGACCATCCTCTTTATTTAATGGTTATAATGTGTCACTTATGGTTCATAGTATCTATAATCTTCACGGATAGGGAGGATGATATCTGATGCATCTTTTGTCAGTCTATGGTTCTCAAATTGCTGTTGACTTTCCACCAGTGTGGGTCCCTAAATAGATTCTATAAGAGGATGTAAACTCACGGGGTGTGTTTGCAACGCGGAGAGACTCATTCGGAATATGACAAGAGGATTTCAGAAACTCGAAAACTGAAGGATGGGGTTGGTAGGTGGTTGGTTCTCATTCAAGTTTGTTGTCCCTCAGGGTTGAGAAACTTATTTCAGGCTCTTGAAAAACCGAGGCATTTCAGTCAGTAATCCATTTGGGTCTTGCGTCATTAAAACTCTCCCCAGTGTGGAGGAGCAGGGGCTTCTTAAGCAGATGGAGGCTCCACTGATACGAATGGGATGTAGACGTCCCTTTTAGGAGTAATGAAATCTACAAAAAGTTGACATAATATGTGATCCTAGAATGCATTTTGCGTGCAGCATACAGATCTGAGAAATTATCCTATTATCCTTAAATGTGGACTTTCTTTAGAAATCGAATGTTGAGATATGAAAGTGTTGAAATTCTGCCCGGTTACGAAACACATTGAATGGCCAATCCGTAATCAGTTTTGCCGTGGAGCTTTCAGTTCAACACCGTCTCATCTTGTCGGTTAACTGTTGCTTGATGCATGTATGATTAATTTCCAGGAGAATTGTTTTTCTAGGGAGTTAATTCCCAGTATAATCACCCTTCGATCCCGCTAGCTTCTTCTTCTCAGGCGAACTGGTGGAGATCGAGATAATCTGACCGGATCTCATCGGTTTAGACAGAATTCACTCATCAGAAATGTTGATCTCTATCTCCTTGTGCGATGCTGATGAAGGCTACTCTTCTGGGTATCCTTTCTGGCTGTGTATACACTGTTGCTGTGGGAGGCATTTATTTACAGTAGGTTAGGGGAAGAAGCGGGAGACCCAGAGGCTGGGTTGACTTTTGACCAACAAGGGCCTCCAAGTCAAATCCCCCGAGTCTGACTTGACCAATCATGGTTACGATAATCGCCCAGCTATCAATTTTGATATTTTCTTCTTCAGGAATCCGATCCATAACTCATTTTTCTGTCTTGCATTTTTAGGATTTCAGGAAGTTCTATCTAGACCTCTGTATCTGAATGTAGCTGGGGGAGGGTGAATTCCATACTCGTCTCTTTGTGGATGCAAGTGAGATGAGTCAACAGCCTTGGTTGATGTGAAGATCATCTAAAGATAGAAAAATGCTTTCTTTTTTCCGAATTATATTAAACCATACTTCTATTGCTGTTTTTTCCATTTAGGGCACACTTTTGTTGGGTCATGGAGATTCTCCATGTAGCTCCCTTGGGTGAACATGCTGGAGCCGACCATGGAACCTAGGTAAGTCAACGGGCCCTGCCAATGGCGGCCTGAGTTGACCCTGGGCGTCAAAGGCCGGACCTTGTTAACTAGGCCTGAGCTTCAGAGAAAACGATCTCCTAGGCCTCTGGCCGGTCGTTGTTCAGTAAATATCTTGAGTAGGACTCTCGGACTGCTTTCCTGGAAAATGGGAACAATCAGCTGTATCTCTGTCATTGACTCCGATCCAGGGAGAGAGAGAGAGAGAGAGAGAGAGAGAGAGAGAGAGAGAGAAGAGCTTTAGCGAGGAGTATCCCCGTCACTATGTGTCTTAATCTGGCATTCTTTTCTTGGCCTATTGATGCAGACCTGTCCCGTCTGTAACGCGGAGGTTTCTACCCCGGAAGACCGCAGGCAAGGATGAGCAAAGAGCCGCCAGGATATCGCCCAATTTCCTGTGTCCAGGTTAGGGTTCATGATCCATAATATTTCTTCTTCTCCTTCTTCTTCTTCTTCTTCACATTTTTTTTCCTTTTTCAGAAACCCACCACCCGATTCATTGTGATCCTCTGCGTCGTTCTTGGTCGATTTGTCACTGGCCTTTATGAAGCTCATTTTTATTTTTTTTTCCCTTTGCAATGGGGAGCACTGCTGGGTACCTTTCTTATTAAATTAGAGGGCCTTTTAGCGGCAGATCCCCGCAAAAGAACTGAAATATGAGCAGAAATCTCCACTCATCAGATATTGTGTAGATCCCCCCCACTTTTTCTTAGAATGGGTATTCCTCCAATTATCTTATTTGAAGGGTCAAAAATATCCGACTTCTGATGGCGACAGGGTGGGTTTTTAGAATTCTCATCCACATTCCGCGAATCGATTCCCGGAGTGTGGTTGGCAGAGCATTATTTACTGAATATTTATGGGCAAAACTTACCTCTCCGGTTACTTTATTTACCAAAGATTTTAGGCCATGCAGATGAAGTGGGCTTGTGGTTTCTATCTCCGTTATTGGCAGTGAGTGTGGGGTTCTATCTATTAATGATGGCTTTAAATGAGTTCAAACGCGCTGCTGTCAGTCCCCACTGGTCCGCGGCACGTGCGGGCCTCGAGCTGACCCGTCCAACCTGGCTCGGCCTCTCACCGGTTGGGTCGGCCCGGGCCGGGTTCATCATGTCTTGTGATGGCCTATGGCCCGTTAATTGGGCCTGATTTCGAATTCGAAGAGATGTAGCAGAGAATGATTAGCCCTCCACCTACCCCTCCTAGGCATCACTGACTCCGCCACCCTTTCTTCTCCCTTCTACCTCCTTCCCTCTCGTCCCCTGTACTTACCATCTTAGAGAGAGAGAGAGAGAGAGAGAGAGAGAGAGAGAGAGAGAGAGAGAGAGAGATAGAGATACAGAGAGAGATTGGAAAATGGGCGCTCCGCTTCTAGGTCAGTTTTCAGTGAAGGGTAGAGAGAGAGTAAAATGGGCACGCGGCTTCGAGCCCGGTTTTCACTGAAGGGTAGAGAGAGAGAGAGAGTGGAAAGTGGGCACGTAGCTTCTAGGCCGGTTTTCACTGAAGGGTAGATCTAGCCGGGACAGGCCTAATTTACCCCCTCTCCTCAACGTAAGAGGCCAAGCGGACTTCCATGTCTCTCTCTCTCTCCCTCTCCTTCTCCAATGACGGGTCCCAAGCCCCAGAAACGGAAGGGACAGTGAGTGCGCCTCACAGGCCGCTCAACCCCATTTACCAACCCAGCAGGTGGCGGCACGGGAGAGAAGGTTAATGCGGCAGACCCTTCTCCCTGGCGGCGCCGGCGACAAATATCCCTAACCAACTCAGGCCAAGAAACGCCGCCGCGGCCGGCGGCGGCGGAGACACGGCAATGTGGGCGTCATGCAGCTGGTGTTGACTTTTTTGTAGGGGGAGACCAATATCTTTCCGAGATATAAGCGGGAGGATAACCATCATCATTAGCCGTCACGTCATGGAATCTCTCGAGTCGGTTGATTGGAGACAATTTTGTAGAATTTATTTCTGTCGTCTAAGCGAGTTATGAGGAGCTTTAACGAGACGGACTCCGATGTAGACAAAGAAGACAGTTCAATTCACTAGAAAGGGAAGATACAACGATCATCCGATGAGAGGTCAACCCTTCGCTCTCACAGCCTTTTCGAAATAAAGAATCTAACAACGCCATTGTTATTCCACAGATTCTTCAACCAGGGAACCGGCTGAGAGGAGGGAGAGAGAGAGAGAGAGAGAGAGAGAGAGAGAGAGAGAGAAAGAGAGAAAGAGAGGAGGCTTGGCCTAGGGTTTGGGGGTGCTAACTGTGTTTTCAGGGGTCTTGTTGGTGCTAGAGGGAGGCCAGCCGTCGGCGGGAGGGAAGGGCTTGTAGAATGTCAACGGCGGGAAGGTCTTGACGAACGGGGGGAAGGATGTAGACGGCGAAGTGGTGACTGGCGGCGCCGGCGTGTAACCCGTGTAGGGCGGGCTTAAGTCAACGGTGGACGGCGTGGTGACGACTGTGGGCGCTGGAGTGTAAGTCGGCGTGGTCACCGCCACCGGCGGCGAGACCACTGTCACCGGCGGCGAGGTCACCGTCACCGGCGGCGAGGTCACCGTCACCGGCGGAGTATTCACCGTCACCGGCGGGAAGCTTACAGTGACTGGCGGAGTGCTCACCGTCATCGGTGGCGTGCTCACCGTCACCGGCGGCGAGGTCACCGTGGTGGGTGGGGTGGTGAAAACCGGAGTAGCCGGCGGAGAGACCACCGTGACGGGTGGGGTGGTGAAAACCGGAGTAGCCGGCGGAGTTACCACCGTGACGGGTGGGGTGGTGTAAACTGGAACAGCCGGCGGAGAGACCACCGTGACGGGTGGGGCGGTGAAAACTGGAACAGCCGGCGGAGAGACCACCGTGACTGGTGGGGCGGTGTAAACTGGCGGCGCGGGGGCGTACTCAGGGGTGCTTGGAGGGTAGAACTTGGGGATGGGTTTGTACCAGGGGAAAGGTGAGTTCCACATGGTGAGAGAGGCGCAGGTCTCGGAGGAGGAGAAGGTGAGCTTCATGGCGGTGGAGAAGGTGTGCTTGTGGCCGGTTCTGTATTTGAGGGTGATCTTTGCGGCCGCCAGGCGGCAGGGAGAGTTCCGGGGGCCGCCATGAAGCTGAGCGAAGCAGTCCTCTCGCAGCTCGCCGTCTCCTCGAAGTAGCTTATTCGGGAGCTTGACTGTGAACTTTCCGTTCCTGTCAAACTTGCCGGTGCCTCTCAACTGGAACTTGCCTTTCCCGTCCTTGCAGCCGATGGCCACCCGCAGGCCTGTTGGAGTAGGGTTGGATCATTATGGGGAGAGAGAGATGACACGAGAGAGAGAGAGAGAGAGAGAGAGAGAACCTTTCAGAGCATCGGCGCTGTTGATGTTCCTGGAGGCGCAGTCCGTACATTCTCCGATACCAACTACCGAGACGATCTTATTTCTGGAGGAGGCGGCGGTGACAGCGGAACAATGACTCACTGCCAGAAACACTGCCAAGAAGGGCAGGAAGAGGTTTCTCCTCATGGTGGAAGAAAACCCTCCACCCGCAGAGAGAGAGAGAGAGAGAGAGAGAGAGGAGTCAAACGAAGGACCTTTCAGGGCTCTACTTCAGTCGAGCTCTATCTGCAAGCTCGTCCCCTGTCTATATAAGGAGAGGAGGGAGCTCCACCGGGCACACACACCGCTCTTTAAGGCTTCCCATGTGGGAGACCCCACCTCATGGAGGAGTAACGAGGATCCAAGAGGCGCCCGGTTTGGTAGCTCCGGCGCAATTTGCCTCATTTATTGTCCCTCTTCGTTCTTCCCTCTCCCCATGATAGAGATCCGAGGGGCTCCTCCTCCGACGCGGTAACCGGTAACAACTCTCAGACGTATTCTGAAGCAGGAAACCCTCCTCATGCCATACTTCATTATGAGCTCCACCCACCTCGTTGGACACCGTGGGGCATGAATAACAGATGGCGATGGAAGAAGACGACGACGGGCCACCTCTCGTTAGGGCAAGCTCCATAAAACTGATCAGTCGCAGGATGTCTATCTGGTTTTGGGTTCAGAGACGACGCCCAGTTGTTTTCCCTTCAAATGGCATGAATGGATCCCCTCTGAGGATGACCCTAGGGTCTGCAGAAAAACCCTTACCATGCGGAGGAACCGGCTCCGTAAAGTCAACGATAGAAACTCGGGCGTCACCAGATTATTTATCGACCCCAGAGAGAAGCCCCACGGTTTAAAGCAGCGCAGATGAGCAGTCCGACGAGTTAGTAACGCGGTCGGTGAGGAGGCCCCGCGACAGCACGGTAGAGTTTGCATGGGGCCGGAGAGGCCTCACCGGCGACGGCTAACGTGTTCTCCTCCTCCACCAGAAGAGTTGCAGAGTGTAGGATTCCCCCATGGTACTGGTTAGTCTCCCCCCCTCTCACCCTCCCTCACCTTTGCTTCGGTGTCTATGGCAGTGCCAGCGGAGCTTCCCCCGTTCTTGGGGCACCTTAGTTAATCAGAAGATTTCAAGAAACAGTCTGGAAGAAGGAGAAACTTGAGTAGGGTGCGAGAGAGAGAGAGAGAGAGAGAGAGAGAGAGAGTTGGTGCGGCACAGTGCCTCTGAGTAATGAAACCCTACTGCGACCTGGTGGAGACGATGAACAAGAAAAGCCAAGAAGATCTAGCCTTTAGTATAGGAGGAAGTATGAGAGAGAGACAGAGACAGAAGAATACAAAGATTTATTATAGAATTAAACACGGAATCATATCCTTTAGTATCGTATCGAATATTAGGGGTCATTCAATGCTGCACCTAGCGATAATATATTAGTCATACAATACGAGAACACTATTATATTCATGAATCGTTATATTTACTAAAGAAATTACTCCTCACAGCACATGATTGCTGGAGGGGGCTCACAAGATCCAAGAAGCCTCAAGCCGAATGATCTTTCCGCAGAGTTTGAATTGGCTGGTTCTGACTCACATCTTGGGGCGTTAACTGACAGTCTGGACTTGTCTTCCGCCATGCCAAGCCCAGAACAAGTCAAGCTGGAAGCCCGGAGAAAGGCTCCGAAAATGGCCCCAGGGCAAGAACCCTAACGAACCAGTACACAGAGAGAGAGAGAGAGAGAGAGCAGGGTGACCCAAAGGCTACCTTTTCTTTCCAAATTTAATTCCAGGGTTCGAGCACAGAAAAACAATGGCGGGTAGAGATGATCCGAAGATATGCGCGAAAATTCACAGATGGGTCTTGTGGTCGAGACCTGAGGGTCAACGGGGCCTGACGCTGACCGAGCTTGCGGCCACTAGTGGCCCCCACATAAGCCACCCCCAAGAAGTCCGTCAATCTCCGCTTGACTTGCAGCTCCACCATCCTCGTCCAGAACTGTTGGAATTTTTCCGCTTTAAAAGGGTTTAATGGCTCACCTAATTCCTCTTGAATTCGGGCAGATCATTAAACAGACGCGAGCTAGAACCCGGTCAAAGCTCGGCTCCGGCCCAAATTCATTACGAGTCCCTCACTACCACCCCCTTCCCCCCCCTCCCCACCTTTTGAAACCAGATTCAGGGGAGGACGATGCCCAATGAGGCACATGGCGAAGCCCGGGTTTTTTTTTCTCTCTAGATAGCAATCCACAGTCGACTGACACCCACCCACTCAAGCAATGGTGAGCTACAGATATTACCAACACAGAATCAGGTCTTTACACAGTGGATGACACGATAATTCAGAGAGAGAGAGAGAGAGAGAGAGAGAGAGAGAGAGAGTCTTCTTCATAGAACTGAAACCATGGTGGGCGATCAGAAACCTTCTTCAGTGCCGGCTCCAAGCTCCGGTATAAGCCTTCTGGGTTGAAGAAAGGGGAGTCCCGGATTTGTCCAGGGGGGACGTCGACGTCACTGCTGCCGAGACGAGGCCTCAATACAGTAACTCTTGAAGCTCAAGCACTCCTCGACCAAGAACTCGCTGGAACAATTATCGTCAGTTAATAAGGCACGGAGTCCTGATTAGGGCTGAAAGAAAAAAACGGGCCGAATTAATGTCTCAGGAGGGGAGCTCACAAGATCCGCTCGACCATGTGGCCTGTTTCCCATCTTGGGCTCCACGGGTATTCCATCATCGGCAGTGACTTTATTGGCCTTCCTTGCAGATCAACATGCTGCAGAATGACACGACTTCAGCTCAAGCCAATTCCAGCATCCATCCACTATATATATACATATATATAGTTTATTTATTTATTGATTTTCTACTCAAGGTAAAATCACTAGTTTGATTACTCTAATTTTCTTGCCTCAAAGACTTCTACTCTGAGGCATATATAAACACAGGCGCCAAAGAATGAGTAGCTATTTGTTGTTCATTGAATCTTGCTCCAATATATTGGGGGAAAAAAAAAAAAATCAAATGAAAGAAAGGAAGCACGCATGTTCCCATGATGCAGACGAGATGAATAGACATGGAAAGGCATTGCAAGTCCTACCACTTTGAATAAATAATTCCAAGTGAATTTGGTTCGAACACAAGAAGATGGGGAATGATCTCTTACCAGAGAACTTTCCAGGGTCAAGATCGGTTGATGCTTGGGAAACTGAGTCGGGATACAAAAATGCACCTGCAAGGATGAAATATTTAACTTGTTGGAGACTATCAGCTTCAGGAACTTGGATTATCGAGCAAAGTTTCGGTTTCACCCATAAAATCAAGGAGCATTGCACAGTATTTTTGAACCGGAGAACTCTTAATAGAACCACTTAAGTGGCCAGATCAAGGAGGCATCTACGGGCATTTGGTGCCAGAAGAGATCTCTCTTCCTGTACATTGTTCAACCATTTATTTGAAAAATCCAATAACTGGGGGGAAAACCCAGAAAAATATTTTCTCATTACTTTTTGTGCATTGGATGAGGGGGTCTGCGAATTCCTGATGAAAAAATATGCCCACTTTGGTATAAAAAATTCAACGGGATTTCAGAATTTAATTAATTAAAAAAAGGGTAAATTTAAGGTGTACCTAGATGGAACATATCAAGAATGGACAAAATTAACGTAGTCGGAGTATTCAGAATTTTATTTTCCTTGATGTCAATTAGAGCTGAACTAGTCCCAGAACCTGTGGATATTCGAAATGAAATAAAATATATTAAGCCCGTAAAAACGATTAGTCTTTCCATCTCAATCTACAGCTCGTGCCAACATTAGACCAGAGGATGTCGTCTCTCATAGTTTTTATGGTAAGAAAACAGGTTTCATATCATACCAGAAATATAAAAGCCCCAGAGACACAAAGAACGGTGGCAGTTCTGCAGAATACCTGCATACGCACATAACAGGTAAGACTCATCGGCTTCAAAATCAACATACTTTAGAAAATACTGGTTGAATGCACACGATCATACCGGATCTGCTTCAAGTGGCCTTCCAAATATTGTGGCAAGGGCCTCAATGAACTGTCTTCTGGCACCAACAGCCTTCACTGCTTCCAAAATCTTAAAAGATAATTATCTCATTAAGTATATCGATAATGCCATCTACAATATAATATAAGGCTGCCTTTAATTTAGAATTTCACAACATATAGCGATTAAAATCCAAATATGCTTTCTGAGTTTCCAGTAAAGATCTCCTTTACAAAAATCCTCAGGTATACACCTAAGATCTTATCCAAGATGAAGACGATTATGGGTATAAAAACTAGGGCTGCAGTGGAAAAATAACTACATGCCTATCGAAACTCAAATGCAGGATGTACAAAACAAGATCTTCATAAATGTATATATCATGCCGGAAATTTGGAGAAATAAATTTTTACAATCATCCTGAATAACATTAGAGTACTTTAAACCACTAGGTATGAAAATACCAAATGTGCCCCTTATCTGACCATTCTGTGGACTATAGAACAAGAAATAACACATTTCTAACTCTTTCCAATGTATATGATGAATCTGAGATGTTAACCCCGGGTACACCATAAAACTAGCGCCTAGCTAAATCCAAACGATGAAGCAAAAAAAAAAGAAAAAAAGAAAAAAAGCCCACGACGTTTGAGCAGAGTGCCGCTAATGTGAGAGTGAGATTGAAAAAGATCCTTAATATAAACAATGACCCTTCCCCCTTTTTAGATGAGGTTTTAACCCCATAAAACTTGGGAGCTGTCTGACTGAGAAAAACAATTGCAAGGTGCAGAAATTCACTCTGTGACAAACGTATCAATGAAAGAAATAAACTTTCATACGTGTTCAACATGGAAAAATGACTCCAGGGAAGAGCACATGCGATTTTCAGGACATTGTAAGAAGCATTGGGCCCTGTGATTCCAGGAAATATAATTGAGAGAAATCATGGTTCTCTTCTTACTTGTTTGATAAGCGACGATGATCATCCCTGAAACTTGAGCTTATCATTGACATGGTTGGCAAGGGTGACATCCCTAGCCTTTCACTTTTTCCTTCCTGTGAGTACAAGACTTCCTGCCTATGATAATCAGTGGCGGTGCCATTCATTTTTAATTTATAGTAGAGCATCAGAGAAAAAAAATCAGACGACTCAGCAGACTGTTAGACTTTTACTTTTCTTAAGAGAAACCCCAACTCCTAGGTATCATTTATTGATATTACTGGCAGCTCATCATATAGTCGAAATTTCAGTCACATAGTACACTCTAGATGACCTAAGTGTTCAATACATTGTCTCAGATCCCCAACATATCCTTCAAGAACTCCATTAGGAATTTTGTTTTAGAGAAATTTATAAAATTTACAGAAAGGAAACAAAATCGCTGTTTACCATACATTGTTTTAGCCAGAAAGGTACTATTTCGCTTTACGACAACAGCAGATTGTATGCATGAAAAGTCCAATTTAAATCTAAATTTCCACAAAAATTTGGCCTTACTTGTTCCTGTAGTTTCTCTTCTAAATTCGGAAGATATTCAGCCATGCACCTTCAATACAAAAATGGGCAACATAAAGAAAATATTTGGTTAATGTTCATACATAATGCTTTGGTTGCAAAACTGCCAACAATATCTCCCTCACGGATAAACAAGAATATTTCCTATATTGCACTGAAAAATTACATCCTACAAAGAAAGATGGAATACAAGAGAATTTACAATGAATATCCTCAAAAAATGGACCTTCGTACAAGAAGTCATGAAGGATGAAAGTCCAATCCAAAATTTCTTCGTAAAGGAATTCATTCGGCCATTTGGGTAAGGAAAAGTGCTCAGGCCATCTCGCAACATATCTTTCAGGATGGCACTAATTTAATAGAATTTAATATCAGCATTAAGTGGTGCCCAATGCACTCCCTCGTTAACAGGGATTAAACGTCAGTTAAAAATCCCAGAAAGGAAAATACTTTCGATAAAATGATGTATCCAAAGTTGGAAGAAATCATTGATGTTGATGAGTCTTTGAGTAACTTGGAAAAATGTTGATGAGTCATTGATGAGGGTGTTCTGCAATCTTCATAACTAGGGATAATTTAAAGTTTTGCTTTTTTATGATTCTCTCAGCATTGTGTAATTTTATTGGCCTCAGACGCTTTACAGTTTTTTTTTTTTTTTTAAGCTTTAGCGAGCAATAATCATATTTTTCTTATTGTCAAATTAACATTACTGCATTTTTCCAAGTGTAAACCGTTCTATGACTTGAGCATTTTCCCTTCACTAATGGATTGTTTTTCTTGTAAATTTTTCTCTTCCACAGGATGAATTTGGACACAAAAAACCAAAAGATATTATCACAATACGAAAATAAAACAGGCTAAAAGCAGAGGGCGGTATAAATAAAAATCAGATTATCCCAAGAAGATGCCTATATAAATAAATAAAAATTGGTGGTATCATGTTAAAGACAAGCCTTACATTCCATTTAACCATGGAGGAAGCTTTACATCGTCAACCGTGAATAACATTTTTAAATCTGGGGAAGAAACCAATTTTATTTGCGGGGGACTTGGTGCAGACAAGTGTTTTCTTGTAACAGGGAACACAGCCTGTATATTTCACAGTTAGAGATCAGCATCAAAATAAACACGGCCATCAATCATTCACCTAATTTTCCAACTGAATAATTAACCAATTGATGGCATATAAGTAGGTTGCTTGAGCATTCTATAGAGCCATCGAATTTAAACTGAAGTCAAGACACAAAAAAACATACAAAATTACTCAGCAACAAAAGAAAACCGGCAATATTGGCCATGCTGCATGTTCAGAGAGTATTGTGTGTGTGTAATGCAGGTGAATATGCTTTTAGAATATGTAGTAGAATTGCTTCATTTCAATTATTTTTTTCTTAATGTCATATTTTTAATTGACATAAAAAATGCCTCAACATTTTACATTAAAAAAATATAAACATAATTCTAGAACTCTATTTCTGTACTGAGTCAATATGTTTTTACTCTGATTAAATGGATAAATGAAAAAAAAAACCTTTTAAATCCTTGACCGAATCACTTCGTAACACTGCAATCTGATTTTTCTGCCAGTCTATCGAAACTAATCGGCTAGGGTTAAGTTTTGAAGAGTGCTCCACACTCTTAATTTTCTCATATATGAGCAATTGATGCTCACATTAAAATAAGAAAAATACAAGCCAATGAGATTCAAAGGTCCAGAAATGAATGAAAACCTGTTCAAATAATACAACACCAGCCTTTGAATGGAGATCTTAAACTCGAAACCAAATAGGAGAAACTCGAGAAAGGTGAGAAAAGCTAGCTATCGTTTTCACTTCAACGGTCAGTGAAACGCATATCATATCAGTAACCAGCAGTCAAGGTCATGCTTTGATTTATCTAAGCTATATCTTGTAGTTGAATCTGATGGTATATGCACATATCACAGTATAGGCAATAGGGATGGCCTTGAATCAAATAGGAGAGCAATGGCTGGGGTAAGGCATGCTCTCAAACAATTTGAATTTTATGTGTACATATTTCCAAATATGCAGACGTTTTTTGCGTCATCCTTGGTTCGGATCAATATTCAATTGCGTTTAACAGCTTACATAGAAAAATTTCGAACCAAATCACAGTTGTGACCATATTAACAGAACGCTTAAAAATAAAAAAACGAAAATATTGATACAAAGATAAACAGAATATTAATAAAAGACATGAATATTTTTCAGCACATAAGACTTTGATAATCGAAAAACAGTTTATTTCCTTTTGTGGATAAATTTCATAACGGAAATGCAGTTATGAAAACGGAGATTCAATAATTCTTGTCCTACATCAACTAAAAATGATAAATACCTGTAGATGGATCTTTTGTTGCTTCCTCCATGGGCATCCAGGTACCAGTTTGTTCAAGTCCATATCCAATAAGGGCACAGCAAATTTCACGCCTTCTGTCTGCACTAGAATTACAAAGCTGTGTCATGAAGGGGGACTTAAATAAAGAAATAATATCTAAACCACAGAAAAGAAATGCGAGGCCTTAAACTCTGGATATGGTTATAGAATCCGTAGGACTTACCCTTTCAGTACCAGAAATCCTACATACTTCAATCCCCTGCTTGAATAATAGGAATTTCAGAGAAAGGGAGTTCCATCAGAGAAATTATTGGAATGCAAAATTACACATTTAATACATGTCATAAAAACATGATCAACATCAAATACAAATCCATAAGCAGGATGATCTAAGTTTCCGAAATTGGAAAATAACATGCAGGACTACTTACGTCGTGGAAACTTCTACATCACTACATAATAAAATGCAAAAAAATATAAATGCACAGTTATGAAACCAAATATAAAAATTATGAGAACGAGATGATGAGCATAAACCTAGGTAGAATGTAAAAAACGAATAAAATGCATACTTAAAAGAAACAACTTAAAGTGACATGTATCTTACAAAAAACGGACCTTTTTAATTTAAATAATATGGTGCATCTTTATCCCTTCTAAGATTCTATACCCAATATTTTTTCTATACACTATAATAACTACGAAGAAGCATTCTGGTCTGGCAGGAGACAGACTGCTGCCAATAATCCTAGTACAGATTTCAACAGCAGGCCTATTTTATTCAATCTTGAAGCAGACAGAATTAAAAGAGAAAGATGGTGAGCAGAGAGCATTTATGAAAGCCTCCCAACAGTCCAAATCATCAAAAAGACAGACGAGATGCGAACTCTTGGACGATAAATATAATAACAGCTATAACATGGAAACTCCCTGCAGTCTGTGTCAGGGAAAAAATAAGAAAGCCATTGTATATCTGTATCGTTGTTGAACAGAGGAGAGATTCTAAAATGGCAGGACAGGGATCTATCCCTAAAGAGCCATGCATCAATTGACGAGTTTGACTTTGGCCACGAAACAAAGGAAAGGAAACTGTGTTCCCTTAGATGCAATAATGAGATGAAAAACAATTCAACTCGACAAACTATGAGATTAGCATACTTAAGGTCATTCCAAAAATCCTCAAGACATCACATGGTGTCTAAAGATCCAGTGGGACCTAAACTAAAATTGACGATGGCTCTAATAACATGTAATGAAATAGATTCAAGAGATATTACAGAATTTCTAAAATCATGAAAATACCTACAACAGAATATCTTTAGAGTAGACCACTGGATAGAAACACTTAAGACAGAGGCCTTGGCAAGACTTGAGAAGGAAGTAGAGATACACCACTTCTTTCAGTATTTTTCCATCAAATCTCTAATAGGTTAAATAAGAGGTTCAAAGATTAAGGTTTTTTATTCCCTTAAATTCTCTTGACTCATTGTCATCTAAAAGAGTCCGCCCATCTTTGTTTGAGAGGTTCATTCTAAGTGGCAATCAAATGTTTGTTTCATGTATGAGCCATGTAGGACTCGTCTTGGAGAGTGGGTACGGGTTTTCTGGTTTTAAATACTATTTCAAATCACAATTAAGAGAATCTAAATGGGAGAGTAGTAAATGTGAATAGTGCAGAAGCATAAAATCATGCACCACTCTTGAGCGCAAATGATTACGCGCCATCAAAATGTTAGGTGATGCCTTTACTGAAAAAGCATAATTATGAATAACCAAAGTTCAGACTTATTATTCAAGTTCCCCCGAATTCCCAGTTTAGTCTACAGGCAACAGATGAGAACAGACATAGACAAAAGCAGCATTTCCTCCACAAATTCCACATCCCTAAACTTCAGCAATTGCACATGCATATCTGACTTGCACAAGCAAAGAGTTTAAGGGATCACATTATGCAAAAAGACAGAAAATTCTTGGCAAGTTCTTCCAAGCATAGCAACTGAATCATCTTTGAAGGAGTGGGAACATCATTTAATGAAAAAATGTGACAATAAAATCACAAGCTTAATTATTTTTTTTTACATATACTACTATAGATGATAAGGGATAATTGACCAGATAGGTTGATAAATTAAATAAGATGCCTACAGCTTACCTCCCTGGAAAGAACGGTATTTATCTCAAATTTCAACCTTGGATCGTCAAGTTCTCCTACTCGTCTCCTTTGATGATGAATGTACAGGTACCTGGACACAAGCACGCAGGAAGAGTATTTGGCAAGCAAACATGATAGCATCTATAAACCAAGAGGCCTCATGAAACTCAGAAACCTCATCTCATGAATCAGAGCCAACAGTCGTGAAGGATCCTTGCCGTCCCAGTTGCACAAGCTGCTCTTGTCCGCTCTGGCTTCACCTCCCTCATCATCCTCGAGGAAAGGGAGAGGGTGGAAGTCCTCATCTTCAGAAGGAAATACAACGTCCGGTGCCGCGGAAGGGTAGTAAGCGTTGTAGATTATCTCCCCTGCCCATAAAACCACAGGGCAAAGAAAATCCCGACAAATAACCCGAATTAAAGAAAGAAAGAAACAAGTAGAAGATATTATATGGATTAACCACTGACACTTGATATGATCCAAGCAGAAGGGAACGAGTAATGTGAATCGGTCCGAATATTGGGCGTTCTTGCATCCGGACCATATTTGTTCGACCTACGTGATCGCAGTCCATCACAACCGGAGCAATCATATGAAAAACGGCGTCAAGGAGAATTCTCTCCTCGATTACACTCAGCACGCACAGCGTACCTTTACGGGGAGGGAGGAGTGAGCGAGGAGATAGTTGAGCTGTGCGGCGATCAGAGGGGGCAGAGATTCGAAGGCTCCAGACATGGTCCCGAGGAGGAGGAGGAACCCGCCCTCCGATCTCCGGCGAGGGCCTTGAGAACATCTCGCGATCGAATGCCGAGAACGAGTTTTCTCACTCGGATGCGTGACTCAGCCGGGTCGGTCTCTGCCGGTTCCCGATTCCAGTTCGACTCAGATCGGTCGATCAACCACTCTTTCACTATACGAAAATTCTCGTTGACTACATATCTTACGTTTTATTTTCTTGACTGATCAACTTTGACCGTGCACAGATTTTCTATTTGGCTTTCCTAAATCGGGATGCATTCAATGACGTTGCAAAGAAAACAGTCCTAGTGGACGATGACTTGTGCGGCGTTGACTTCCCGAAATATGGTGTGGTTATTGGATTCGCTGGGGGGTCAACCTGCCTCACTGTCGCTCATTTCTCCGCTGACGGCTCATTCCTCCTGCTCCATCCCATCCCGGAGAAGTTGCACCAAACTCATCATCATCATCATCAACTTCGACATGCATAGGAGGCTCTGTCTCTCTACATAACGCCCCACCGGTATGGCCTCCCTCACCACGCAGCCGGCAGACTTCTGAATCAGTCATGGAACTCCTCATGAAGGGTCTCGTCCTGTACCTCTCGCTCTCGTCCTCGCTCTCGCCTGCCACAGCGGGGGCGGCGGAGGAACAGGTTGCGCCGTCTGTGGGGACGATCAAGCGCCTGACGAAGCAGGACATCCTGGCGAGCATCCCGCCGGGGGAGGAGCCGGGCGAGCGGCCGTTCATCACCTCGCTGGCGGGGAAGTACTCGGCGTACCTCGTCCGCAGCGCCACCGCGCCCGGCGCCGGCGGCTTCGGCAACGACTTCTGCTACGTGCAGGTGAGGGGCGGCGGCAACGGCGGCACGGGGCAGAGCGTGTGGGAGTCGCCCTGCGCGCCGGCCAGCGTGGAGAACACCTGCAGCCTGGTGTTCACCGCCGCGGGCCTGGAGGTGTTCGACGGGAGCCGCTCGGCGTGGGACACGGGGGTGGAGGAGCGGCACCTGGAGACGCTGGAGCTGGTGGATGAGGGGGACATGAGGATCAGGACCGCCGGCGGCGACTTGGCGTGGAAGGCCGCCGACTATCCACTAGCCAACCAGCAGTGCGGCGCGCCGGGCTCGCCGGGTCTCGCCGCCGCACGGCCGCCGTTCGCCTCGCCGATCGGGGACGGGGGGAACCTCCCCTTCGGCCAGCCGGCGGAGGGTGACCAGCCGCAGCAGCCCGGCGCCGGCGCCGGCGCCGGCGCTGGCGGGCAGGAGCCTCTGGTAGACAACAGCCCCTTTGACAGCGCGAGCTTGAGGGCGGCCATGGGGTCCTCCTGCTCCTCCGTGGTTGTGGTTCTGGCCCTGGTTCTCGTCCTCTTCTGATTGCCACTGGTGGGGGTCTCTCTCCTCGGAGGAGCTCGCCGGGATTTGGTCTGCTTCTTCTTCACCGTCTGTCTCCTCTCCGGTGATGTTGTGGGTCTTCTTGGTCATTTTTCCTAACACTGTATCTTCCCAGTTCGTCGTCCTCGTTGCAGAGTCCTGTTACCAGGGTGGGTGGGGCGGGGGAGGTCGAGGGTCTGCCAGTAACCCGTGGGAGGCCTCCAGGGTCGACCTCGTGAGAGCGAGCGAGCGAGCGAGAGAGAGAGGTGGATATAACCCAAGAACCTAAGCAAGCGCACCTTATGGTTCCTATTAACAGCGGATTCAAGGGATGGTATTTTTTTAGGATATATCTAAAAAAAAGATTGATATCAACAGGAACCCGGGACACCATAAACAAATAGATTTTTCTCAAAATCACCAGTAAATCATCGATTTATTTGACGACGCCTAATTTATATGGGGCTCATAAGGAGGAGATTCAGATTATCATACTGAAATGGACACCGAATAAATAAAAGAACAGAGGAAAAGAAAACCACCCATTCTGAGTAATCTGAGTGACAGTAATCCCCACGGTCAAAATCATGGGTACCACCCAAGAACAAGATTCATGTTACCATCGTGAAATGAACACCTAATAATGGAACGGAGAAGAAATAAAATAAAATAAAATAAAACAAACCACCACTCTGAATATTCTGATTTCATTAAACTGTAACCGAACATCGTCATGTAACAAATGATAAGATTTGCGCTGCAAGAGGCCCCGATTTGATCCAAGAATGAAACTCTTCAGAGTATTACATACCGAGAGAAATGATGAAAACAGAAGCTGTTCATACAGATTTTCAACCATGCTCCATCACCGGGGTGAATGATAACAATGAGGCAGAAAATAGCTGTTAATGGATGGCATATGGAGGCAGAAAATCACATAATTGAAGGCGATTAATCTTCAGAAAGTAGTTGAAGTCCAAAAGATAATCACTCGTCAACGGATCCCCACCCCTTCCCTGATCTATGTTTCAGTCAAAATCATTCAATCGTCTACTAAGAAATCGGCTTAATCTTCAGACAGTAATTGAATTCCAGAAGATGCACAGGAGAACACTCGAGGAAAGCCCTTGAAGTGGAGAATTCTTGAAGATATGAATAAATTCTGCAAACTTGGCGATAAAATTGTGAAAAAAAAAGAAAATCTTTGAGGGCACAAATTACTCAACGGCGAAATTCCCCCTCTCCTAGCCATGCTCTATAATTTCAATTAAAATCATTCAATCGTCAACTAAGAAATCAGCTTATTTCAGAAAACACTCTCAACAAAGAAGTGCTCGTACCAGTCACTAAGAACCAAAAGGTTGGCAACACCAAAAGCCTTCTTCCAGCTGAAAAGTCCTTGATTCCACACCATCGCTGGCCGGCTATGAAGACAGAGAGGACTCAAAGGAGAGCATCCTCTGGATCCCCTTCAGGATCGGAACAAGGGCGATCAAAGCTATTTGGAGCTGCTCTGAACTATTCACGCGGATACCAACTTGCCCAGAACCTCTGTTGTTCAAATTTGCATGGCCAACCAGATTGGTATGGCGCCCGATGGGGACCTGTGACTGGAAATTGCAACCCACGGCAAGATCTCCATGCCAATCCACGACCGATGCTGCAAGAGTTGTCAGCATCCGCCCAAGCGGATAATCTTTGTCCCTCAGAACAGCCTCTACACGGCCCCCATAAGCAACATCGCCTCGACCCGTCATAGCCCCTCCGCTCATGACTATCCTGAACCTTTTGTTGAGGATGAGCTTGTCTTCAATCTTCAGGCCGGCGGATAGTGAATCACCGAGGAGGGTGGCCGAGATACCAGCCGCAGTGTTGTTGCACCTGAAATTGTCGAACCTCGTCTCCCCACGTACTGTGTATGCCATGTCCTTGCCGACAGTCTGCAAGTCAAATCCCAAAGAGGTGGCCTTTCCTTCTCCGTGCTTGATCGAGCCCGCCGTCTCCATCTGAAGATTGCATTCCTTCTTGTCCTTTGTAAGCTGGCCAGAAATAGATAGAGGGATCCTCTCCTTGACAACGAACATCCTCTCTACATTCAGACCCTCATACCCAACATCGTGATCCCAACCCTGCGTTTCCAGCACGGGTCTGACGATCCAGGGGCTGGAGGTATCAAGAAACCGGTAGCGGTGGCTGGGAGTGTCTGAATCAAAAGAGGCAGGCAAGGCTAGGTCCGCCATGGGAACTGGCACAGAAGCTGGGCCACCATTCTCATCTTCAAGGTTGTCGTTAAGAAGATCATCTGGCACGTCCTTGGCCAACGCCCCCATTTTCTTCAAAAGCCTCCTGCGCCTTCTCTCCTCCTTCAACTGTTTCTTATAAAGGAGCTTCTCTCTGTAGTCCAATTCTTCATAATATGCCTTCTTCTGTGCCCTGCTCAACTTGGCAAGTTGTGCCCTTGTCAGGCACTTGAATGGCGGAAGACTGTCATACTCTGACTCATCATCCGAATCAGATGCATCATCCAGACCATCTTCCATTGAATCATCCTCACCAAACTGCTCTTCGGGCAGCTTCAGCTGTGGCCTTGACTGAAGGAGGGAGGAGAGAAGGAAGGGCAAGGGAGGTGCTCTAACTTGACCAAACGGTTTGCCTGGTGGGCTGTCTTGCAACTTCAGGAGCTCATTGGCTTCGGCTAAAATTTTTGATGCAAATGAGAGTAGCAACAACTGAGGCTTCCAAACTTGGCCATTTGGCAGGACCCGCTGCCCAGCCCTGTTCATCCTACAAGCCGAGTGGTTCTCTACGAAGGAAACGGGGTTCATAAGACGCATGTCACCAGCAGCCTGACGAATCGCCTGCTGTACAACATGAGATCTCTGCGTCACAAACATTTCATAACTCATGGAGGTGCCATTGCTGCCATCAGGAGGAGCAGAACCAGCATGAGTTAGAACAATGATGGCATTGAACCAAATGGAAGCCCCAAATATCTCGGTTATGGTGCGCAATAGAGGCACATCTCCATAGTCTCGGCTCTGCATGTCCAACCGATCAAGATAAAGAACGATATCGGGTGGGGACTTCTTGATGAAATGCTTCACAGAGTGGAGGATCTTCTCGTTTTTCTGCTGATCTGAGGAGGAAGATGACAACCCAGGAGTGTCAATAACCCTAACCTTGATGCCCTGGACTGTCCCCACTATATCCTGGACCTTCTTCGTACCCTGCTGGAAGGCATTTGTACTGAACTTGACCTCATCAAAGATGGAGTTGATGGTCGCACTTTTTCCGACTCCCGTCTTCCCAATGACCATGATGGTGCAGGAGAAGTCCAGGGGCTCCTGCCCAGCTGCCTCAAGATTTTCCGCCATGGCACTTGCCCGGTCAAAGCTGAAGGCACCAGCTCTGTTTGTGTTTCTGCTGCCCCTCAGCTGTTCAGCTAGCCCGAGTCTGTACAATACCTGGGCAACAACGACATTATGGGGTGTCTGCCCAAGCCTGTGAGCAAGGCGTAGAAACTTCACCCGTATCATCTGAAGTTTCTCACGGGTTTCGTCATTCTCCTCGGCTTCCCCATTGGCAAGGTCGTCTAAGACTTGAGTATGGCGCAGAGGCATGGATCCATTTGCCCTGGGTTGCTGAACCGATCTTGAGGCAGGTTCTAGCAAGGGAGCAGAGGAACCCAGACCAGCTGGCTGGGAAGGCAGCGAAGGGCCCGAAGGCCTCCTAACTGATGAAGAAATAGCTGGTGGAGGCTGCGTGGTCGTTGTATTCCTATCAACACCAGAAGAGGTTGAACCTGACCCTCCTGCCATTACAGAATCTCTCTTAATCTCTTCCTGCTCTCCAGAATTTGCATCCCGCTTTTCTCCCTGCTCTTGTGGCTTCTGTTCTTCACAAGGACCAGCAAACTGAGATTGTTGAGCTTCACTTGTTTCCACATTTAAATGGCGTGAGGCAACCTGGGCTGCATCATCTTCTTCCGAGATAACCTGTGCGAGATCAACAGGTTCACCCAGCAGGCTGACAGCTTCCCCATCAATTAAACCATTGTTTTCAATCATGCCCTCATCAGTTCGATTCATCACACTGTGGCAAGATGCTGCATCACACTTTTTATCCGATTCTTCACCACAGTCAATTTCAAGCTTCATATTTCCACCATTCACAGGAAAAGAGGGAGATTCTTTTTCAGCAATGTCCTGTGCCGAATTGACAGGAACTGACGTTTCCTCATCAAGCAAAGCAACATCCTTGATCACAGACTCTTGTGTCTGATTCATCCGATCATGAAAAGATGCCGATGGATTCAACCCAGGAGTATCTATCCCTTCGGCAGTTTCCTCACCGGAAGTACCATTTTCATGAACCTCAACAGGTGAATTGTTCCTGTCCAGGTATGCGCTTTCTGATTTTTTTTCTCCTCCATTCGCAGAAGATGAGGAACTTTCTTCCACGACTAACCCACCAGCTACAACGCCATCGACCTCCAGGCCATTTGAGCTCCTTGCAGTCGCTTCATCTTCATGGTTTTCCTCCTGGACATGGGCTGGAACACCCGAAGACGCATCCTTTCCACCAGAAAGCTCAGACTCTGCTCCCCCCTCTGTTGTTAGTTCGGGGCGTTCATCATTAATATGGCAATCATTTACCTCGTCAGAGCTGTCACGTTGCTCGTCGATATTCTCAGCCTCATAGGTCGAGCCAATTTTTCCGTTGTGCTCGCCCACCTTTCCACTGTCTTCATCATCAACAACACTACAAACCTCGAGCTCATCCTCCGAAGGCCCACTTTGGAGTAGCTTCCGCTGCTCGCCGTCCATCGCCTCTCCCGACGACTCGTTATCATCGGAATCCTTCGACCGGACGTCCCCCGATACGCCGTCTTCCTGCGAGTCGCACGAGGACTCGCTTGCCAAACCTGGACGAGAATCTCCGGCAGCGGCCGCCGTCTCGCCCTCTTCCAGGCGCGACTTGACGTTCTCCATCTCGTCCCCAACATCCATGTTGGGTTCCAGGTTTGGTACGGCAACCCCTAAACCGGAACCCGGAGTGAGAGAGCTCGGTTGAAATACCTGCACCTGGAAACCCTAGACCGCACAGAAGCAAAACGAGGGGAGAAGAAAACAAGAATACACTGAATAAGAAGGGCTTCTAATGGCGCATCAAGGAATCATAGAACTGCATACTATCCAGATCAAGAGAAAAACCAAGTATCCCTCTGATCGACAGCCAAGATGACCACATCCCACTACTGTGATAGATCCGCGAAGAACGGGAGAACGGAGAAAGATGCACAAACCTGGGGAGTCGAGCCGCCGGAATCGTCTGCAGCGCTGAAAACGAGAACCCTACTCGGTCCCGCTTAGCCCCTCCCGTCTCCCGGGTCGCCCCACGCTATCCCCCCATTCTCCCAGCATTTCTATAAATAAATAGAACGACCAGGGTGGGCGAGGGGGAGATGCGCTCTCCTCTCGGGGTCTCTCTTCCCTGCTCGGATTCGGCAGCGTATCTACTTAGAGAACCCGCGAGGAAGGTCCATGGCGACGAATCCCCGATCCGCGTCCTGGAAGCCGAGAAGCTCCGCATCGGACGGCCAAGGTCAAAGAACCCCCGACCCTAGAGGAGATCCGCAGATCCTCATCCTCCCCGCCATCATCATCTCGACAAATCTCGGTACCCTTAGAATATAATTCTGGTTTCTATTCAGGAATCTTAACCGGGTAAATGTCCAAAATCTGAGCCTTGCCGATCATCAACTCAATCGAGAATGCCCATCATAGATCGGCCAATCTCCATTGGAACCGGCGGATTTCAACCAGATTTCAGTCGGGGAATCTCGATCACCGCACGAATTCTCTCTCTTCCTCCGTCACCGCCGCCATTGCCGACACCCTCTAACAACGCCGGCGCCGGTATCACTGCCATTCCCACCAATCAAGCCCAGCATCTTGGCGCAGTACTTGGAAGAAGGAGATAGAACGAGGAAGAGAGGAGACCACTTAGAGCCACATCGCCATCGTAGGTAAGTTTATACTGGTCAAAGAGAGGGAGGCATATATTTTTTGCGGCCTCTTAATATATTGATAATGTGCATATACTTTATCGCATTACTTATATACTCTCCTTATATACATTTTCATGATGTTTTTTTATAATTTGGAGGCTTCGTGTTGTATAGAATGAAGATTATCGGTTATTTAGCCGAATTACAAATAAATCCCCCCATTTTCTTCTGTCCTTTTAAGCAGGCACAAATTATGTGAATTTAGCTTTTAGTCCCTCATAAGCTCCTTGTAAGTTATGAGAAGGATCTGCATGGTATATTTATTAGTTTTTATATTACTTTTTTGGAAAGCATTACCACATTTAGTGGTCAAAAGAGATGAGCTCTTTCTTGGTATGTGAGAAGGTGGTGCCTTTGTTGGATATAGAGAGAGAGAGACAGAGAGAGAGAGAGAGAGAAAGGGAGAGAGGATATTAGGGCTTTCGGAAAAGAAACGTGAGCAGATATTTTTTTAATAATAATTAAATATTAAGTAGATTTGTCTTTACTTACGTCAATATCCTCATATGGACTTAAAAATATAAAAATAATATAAAGGAGGACTACTATGAAATTAAGGTGGGGACGATTCCCCCCGCCCTCCCACCTTCTGCGGCCTCGCGGGTGGAGCTTCAGCAATCCGGAAGGACGGGGGAGAAGGTTTATGTACCAGGAGTGAGGGGGACGGTCGATTCCCGCCGGAGATGCTGAGCAAGAAGAGGCGGCGAGTGGAGCGCCCGAGGAGCCACCCCGGCAACCGATACTCGGAGAAGCCGCCCGACTTCGAGCTCTTGGCCTCCCTCTACCCCTCCTTTCAGCCCTTTGTCTTCGTCTCTCGCAGTGGTCGCTCTACCATCGACTGGACCGACTTCGACGCCACGCGCGAGCTCACCCGGGTGCTCCTCCAGCACGATCATGGCGTTCAGTGGTAACCTAAGCTTTCAGACTGTTTGAAAATCAGGTTTACTTAGGGCGGCGGGGGGAGGGGGGGTGGCGGAGGGGTGCTCCTCCGGTTGCTTCCTTTTGGGATGGATACGAGAATTCGGCATATGTTCTGGAGGATTTCGCATTCTCCACCACTGCAATCTTAGCTTGGATGATCCTTTGCAGGTGGATTCCCGACGGCCAGCTCTGCCCCACGGTGCCCAACCGGTCGAATTACATCCACTGGATCGAGGACCTGCTGTCGTCTGGTATCATCCCAAAGAGAAACAACGATGATCCTGATGCGAAAGTGAGGGGCTTCGACATCGGGACTGGAGCAAACTGCATATACCCCCTTCTCGGTGCGTCACTGCTGGGCTGGAGTTTCGTTGCGGCAGGTGTGAGCTCCCTATTTTCTCTGTACAAGATTGCGTTCTGTCCGAAATCTCTGTACAAGAAATGGCTTCATCTTGTCTTCACAGATGTCACGGACGTGGCTTTGGAATGGGCTAGAAAAAATGTGCAGGACAATCCCCATCTCTCTCATCTGATCGAGATCAGAAACGCCAATGGCGGGTCATGTTCTAACGAGCTCAGGACGGGTTCTGAAGGAATTGCTGACATGAAGGTCGAGGCCCCTGAGGATTGCTACTGCGGACCACCCATTCTCGTCGGTGTTGTCAGAGAAGGCGAGGAATTCGACTTCTGCATGTGTAACCCGCCCTTCTTCGGGAGCATAGAGGAGGCGGGTCTGAATCCGAAGACTTCCTGCGGGGGGACGCCTGAGGAAATGGTCTGCCCTGGCGGGGAACGGGCTTTCATCACCCGCATCATAGAAGATAGTCTGGCGCTGAAACACCGCTTCAGGAAAGCGTCGAAACTCCCACCACGAATGGCTGTAGCGATCATCATGAAGCATCTCCATGTCTTGTTCTCCCTTCTGACTCTGGTCACGCTACAGGTGGTTCACATCGATGATCGGAAGAAAGGTCAATCTGAAATTCTTGGTTTCCAAGCTTCGTGAGGTGGGGGTCTCCATAGTGAAGACGACTGAGTTTGTTCAAGGCAGGACAGCCAGATGGGGGCTGGCTTGGTCTTTTATGCCTCCAAATATAAAGTCCGTGTCGTTGCCCTCATCAGAAAAGAGTAGCTACTCGTTCATGCTACAGGTTTCTTCAGAACAGATGCCTCTCTTTCTTCCATACAATCCTTGGTTCCATTCAGTTCTCCAGGGCTACATCACTGATTAATTATAGCGTTTATCTAGGGCAATGAGTTGTATCTCCTGATTTTTTCGGTTTCTGGCACATGGAAGATTATTTGATGTCATTATTTTCACGGAATGACACATCAATATTGATTCATGTTACGGGTATATTAATCATTCATGATAATAATAATAATTGATAATATGCTGAAAAATATTCTCAAGTTAATTTATAGGCTACTTGAGGATGAGTATTTATTCCCATTCTACTGTGGAATTTATGTTCGAAATAATTTCTACCCATTCCCAGCGCCATCTAATTTTCTCTGCCGATTTTATTTCTATTTTTATACATTTTACCGAGTGTTCTGCAGAGCTACTCCTGCTGATGTATAAATCATGGAAAGTGGATCCGTTACATTCTTCGTCATCTCTGTCCCCTGTGATCTTTTTATTGTCCCTTGCTTAGTAATGCATGATCCATGATGATATGGTTCCATTTCCCATACATCTTCATGCTTTTAGATATTTTCATGCATATATGCTTCTTCTTGGATAGATGCTGGGGAGTTGGCGATTATTATCATCTCAAAGCTCACCTTTTTACTGCATCCTGACATTATTTTTTTCTTGATGTTAAAGGGTCTTAAAGGGCAAAATCGCGCCTTTCAGACGTTGAAAACTGTGGAGTCATTTTTCCTGGCTTGTGGCTCCTGTAGATCTGATACTTCATCATTTTCCGTTAATGTTAGTTTTTTTTCTCGGCCCACAAATCAAAACCCTTTAATTTTTTTCCTAATTGGGCATTTCCTCATGTGTAAAATTTATTTGCTCCCCCAGGTGATCATGTCCAATGAACAGATTGTTGACCTAGTCCAGAAGAACCTGTGTGATTCTGATCTGCCAACCAGTGTGTCAACCAGCATCGAGCATTCATCAGGGGATCAGAATTTCAGCATTTCAGTACGCTCACATTAGCTTTAAAATCTCTTCGTTTCGTCATTTTAGTAGAATTGCTCCTGGTAATCAGATGGGCATCGATTTATTTTTTATTTCAGGTTTTTGAGCAAATTCCCGGGACCTTATTGGTGAAAGGATCATTGCTCGATAAAGAGAGCCCATTTGCAGGTTACTATCTTGCAAAAAAGCTTTCTTTATGTGTTATATACGCTCTTATGATCTTATCCCTTCACTGGCTATTTTTGAATGGTAGATTTAAGATAATTTACCTGTTAGAATTCAACTCAAAGAGGAAAAAAATCGTGTTTAGAAAAAAAATTAGATGGGTTTCGAAGAAAATTCGAATCACGTGAAGAACTTGTGGGTATGATGCATCGGATATAATTCGATGCAAACTTTGGAGCCATTTTTAATGTAAGTAGAAGGATCAGATATGATTCGATGCCACTTGCTGAGTTTGGTATAATCTTGTGGGCATTGATGTTCGATGAGAGTTTGATGATCTTTTATGATCACCAGCCATATTCTAGTTTTTAAATATTCCCACGAGAATTGAGCGTGGCTACATCATGCTGGCAGATCTCAAGTCAACTGCAGTAAGAATTAATAGAGGGGCGAGTTGATCTTTTCACTTTGAGTTTATGAGAAAACATAGCACCAAGCAGAGAATGAGAATTCGGAAACTCAGCGACCTCACTATTGCCAGGAACTTTCTTGATCTCACCAAGGGTGGATATTCTTTGTGAACTGTAGTTAGACTTAGAGAGAGAGAGAGAGAGAGAGAGCAGATAGGGTGCAATCTTTTGGGCCGGAACCAATCAATGTCGGGAGCTGGGGCAGGGCATTGTTTCTTCTGGAAAGATTTCCAGTCCCAATCTCCAAAGAAATTTGACCGGACTTTGAGCTTTGGCTGCTTCCTTTTATTTCTGGAATATTTTAATCATCCCAAGGGAGTCTCCTTTCTCCTTCCTTTTTTACTCTGTTCTGTGCTGTGTATTCTCCACGTCAGTCTACTCATATTCGTGTTCCTCACCATATCCTTCTGCTTCCTGATGCTTGCAGGGGTGTTTCCATGGATATTCCAGCTTCTAGAGAAAACTCTGCGAAGGGAGATCGTCCCAAAGCTCCATGGGCAGTGATAATCTTCATGACGACGATGATCTATCTGCTCATGAGCTTTTTTTGAAGATGGTATGGTCGCTGAGATATTATTGGAAGAAGACCCTGAACCAGGATCGATGATGTGGCCACGCATTGTTCCCGGCTCCTTAGAGTCAAGCTTCTAGAGAGAGAGAGAGATGGATGGATGGTTTTCTTGCAGGTGTTCCTTCTCGGAACCTTCTGTTATTCGACGGAGGGAGGATCCAGGAAAGCTCGAGTCGCACTTCAACGAGCTTCAGTCGCCTCAGTAGGTCTCTCTCTCTCTAGAAGTGTGACTCAGCGGGGATGATACAATCTTGGAGGCAAAGATTGAAGAGTCAGGAGAGAGATAACGAGAGTTAGAGAAAGAGAGAGGGAGTGAGAGCGACCGTTTGGCCGTTCTTCGAGGAACCTTCCCCACGGAAGCTGGAGGAAGTCGGGATCATAGTCTACCCAATTAACCGCCTCCACGCAGCTCTCTCTCTCTCTCTCTCTCTATCAGTTCCGCGGTCAAAAACTGTGTCAACTTTGCCGCCGTCGGCTCTTCACCGATGCCTCAGAGTCCGCTCCCTTTGTCTCATCCCCCTATAAATACCACCATCGATACGATAGAAGTTCGTCTCTCTCTCTCTCTTTCTCTATTGCACTCGGAGGATATGACAGCTGATTCTCTCTCCCTCCCAGTTTCATCGTTCCTCCGAGACTTCCGGAGGACCTCCTCTATTCCTCAGACTCGGACGTTCCGTCCTCCCCAGGGCTCGAGGTTCTCCGTCCTTCGCGCTTCCGCAGTAGAACGGGAGCCCGCGATGGCCGATAGCCATTATTCTCGGAGCTATGGAGGCTGCGGCGGTACACCAGAGGCCGCCGCCGTTGGGTTGGCGGCAGCGGAGACGTTGTACGACGTGCTCTCTCTGCCGGCTGGAGCCGATGCTCGGGAAATCAAGGCGGCGTTCCGTCGACTGGCGCGGCGGCGCCACCCGGACGTTGTACCGCCGGAGGGGCGAGCGGCCTCGGGGGAGGAGTTCAAGAGGATCCTCGCCGCCTACTCCATCCTCTCCGATCCCGACGAGCGCGTCAAGTACGATCGCCAGCTGACAGCGGCGGAGGCCCGCCGGAGAACCTGCTGGAGCTCCTTTAGTCGTTCGTACTCCGCCGGCTTCTCCCGGAGGACATGGGAGACCGACCAGTGCTGGTAGTTAAACGGTGGGACGCCATTTCACCATTAGAGAACCAGAGGGGGGATTGGTCGCTCTTCTTTTTCTTCTTCACGGATGGAAGTCCGTGTGAGGAGAGAGAGAGGCCGGTGAGAGTGGTCACCATTATTCGTCATCAACCTCTGAATATCGCCACCCCGGCGTCTATTTCGTCGGGATGATCCCCGGAAGGACGACTACGAGGAAGCTTCCGAGCGCCGGCGAATCCCTCCCCATTAATACCCGCCGTCGCTTTTGAAAAAAGTTATTTACTGGAATTTAATGATTCAATGTTTTCCCGATAAACTTGATTGAGAACGATCAAAAGATGAATTCGATAAACCAAAAGAAGGAAAAAATTAAAAAAAGGAAAATTTTGATGACATCATCCAGCGTCGGCGGAGAGCCGACGCCCATCCATTTCATTTCAGTCTTCTTCTTCTTCCCCTTCCTGGAAGCGGAGGTGCTTCCCTTTCGGCGCCGGCAGACCCTTGAGCAGGAGAACACTCGGGGAAATTTCGCCGGCGCCTCCGACCTCCTCCTCCTCACCCACAATCTCGTCGTCGCTGTTGTAAGCGAACCTGGTGTGCTTCCCGGTAAACCGAGGAAGCTCCCTCTGGCCCATCGACATTGTTCTTAGCCCCTCGCAGAGATCGTCGAGAAGACCAGCATCACCGTCTTCTTCTCCTCCTTCCTCATCACCCCTCTGAGAGGAGCTCTCGTTCACCTGCATCGACCACGCGGAAGAACGGTCGTCTTCCTCCGGCGAGTCGAACAGCAGGGCCCGGTTGATCAAGCTGTCTGCAACGTCAAGGGTTTCTTCCTCCTCCCTGAGATTCGCCGCCGCCTGCAAGCAGCAAGAGAGGGAAACGGAACCCTGGCATATGATCTGAGGCGTGTTGGCGGGGGTCGGAGCGAGGAGGCTCGCCGGAGACCTCAGATGGCCGAGAAGGGCTAGAAACGGGGCGCCCCATTGCTCCGACGAGGGTTTCACGACTTCCACTTCTTCCTCTTCGACTTTCTGCAAAAGGGTCTTCACTTGGCCGCGGAGGATTGCCTCGCCGGAGCCCGGCGTCTTCCTCGCCGCCGCCCAGGCCTTGCTCTTCCCGGCGGAGGAAGGCGTCTTCAGGCTCCCCGCCGCCAGTCCGACGATCGGAGAACTGTTGGTGATGTCGACGAGCGCCGTCGGGTTTTCGAGCTTCTTCTTCCCCCCTCTCGATCTCGACGCCGATGTCTGCGATCTGGTGACTCTTCTCATGGAAGACGGCGTCTCCATCGCTCGCCGGAGAGGAAGAAACTGGAGGAACAGCGGAGGGCGTTGGGAGGAGGACGGGATGAGGACGATCGGGGAGAAGGCGGTGCGGTTTTAAAACGTTCGAAAAACTGCGAGCTCGGCAGACCCTCTCTTCTCGGCGGCGCAACGGTCATATGACCGTTGCCTGCAGATCGGGAAAAGATTTTCCGACGGTGATGACAGTCAACTTGTCAGCGCGTACACACTCAGACTTATTTTCCGAGAATAACGATTATTCGTATAACGGCTCCCCAAAATATTTTCTATCTTTAACAAACATGAAATTTCGTAGATATCGAAAATATCTCATATTTTTATCACGTAAACTGCAGCTATTTTTTAAAATTTTTTTGTATTTTGACAATCTCGAAATAAAATGTGCCTTCATATGTTTATTCATTTTTTTTTAAAAATTGCATAAAAGATAGATAATACACTTATCTGTCTTGAAAGTGAATTATTATGTTTTTTTATAATACAATTTTTTTTTCGTGTTTATTCATGAAAGTGAACTTGAAAGGCATAGCCGGGTCTGGCTCCGTAGTGAATTATGCCCAATAATGCAATTTTTACACATTTTTCAACAACAAAAAATTAGAAAAAGTATATAATACACTTATCAAAGATAGATCATCATATAAATGCTTATTTTTATATTATAATGGAAACAAAGCGGAATTACTTTAAATCGGAAAAAAAGAGGAGCTCGTCTGGGATCACCGCCGTCCGTGTCCGATCACGCGGTTAGGGGCCGACGATCCGTGCCCGAGCTCGCAGGCTGGTTCGTGGGTTTATGGGGGGGTTCTGTCGGATGTAACTCAGTTTCGAACCTCTATGGGCCTGGGCCGGGCTTCGAGGCCCAACAAGATCAATATATTTGAAAATAAATAAATAAAATTGAATTAAAAATAATAATTTACAGGGTAGTCGCAAAATAATAAAATTGAATTAAAAAGTATTGACGACTCTAACCACCATCCAAATAAATTAAACAACATTATGCGTTAGATCATCCAGGTTGAGACAGAGAAATGTGAAAGAACCCAAAGTCTCTGAAGGGTCAAAGAGTCAACATTTTGGATCATAAAGTCAACGGCCAAATAGTCAACATCACAGGCCGCCCCCACAGCAATGAGAGACGATTGGATCGGAAAAAATCGCAGCAAGTTACCTGTTTGTGGACAATTTACAGGGCTCCCACCCGCAATCTGGCTCCTTGCGCTTCAGCACCATTCCTGTGCCAGCCGCTGGATGGGAGCTGGGCCTCGGGGGCTCCTCCGCCAAACCGCTGCTCCCTGGCATGAACAGCTGCCTCAGGGACCTACCTCCGGTCAATGCGGCGGTGCAATCCAGCTCCAAGTTGAGTGTCGGGGGCCCAACAGAAGTCAACGTTGATGGCGCAGCTGCCCTGCTCGAGGTGTCAGCTGCACTCTGTGGCACCACTGCAGCTCCTCTTGGATCTACCATGTATTGGAAGGACCCGGGTCCAATGGAAAGTCCACTGTACCCAGGTGGCGGCGGCGGGGGAGAGATAGGAGGATAAGGCGGTGGCCGCCTGGAGCCGGCCGCCAGATCCACACACAGAATGCTCCCGAGGAAAGCCTGTGAATTTTCAGTAAAAAGCTCCCTTCTTTCATCCTGAGCTCTTGAACCCATAATCAGAAAGTCGGAATATCCATCTGGGTAGTTTCGAAGTGAGCTTGTTCCTCTTGGAGCTATGCCGAGACCGCTTGAACCGCAGGCACTGAGCGCAGATGGGTCATCATTGAGGTCAAAATCCCTCGGTGAGGGCAGCCTCGAAGAGAAGGAGGAGGCGGGAAAGAGTCTAAGGCTTGATTCGTGGCGATTAGGGCTCCTGAAGGGCGACTGATGAGGTGAAGCATCTTCATTGCCAATGCAGTTGAGGTCGACACTGAATCTTTCTGCTCTTCCAGAGCTAACTTCCATGGAGGAGTCTCCTCTGCCCGACAGCTTCCCTGCTGCAACACCGTCATCATCGTCGACTACATTCAAATCGATGTCCATAAAATTGGGCTTCAATGCCGAACCAGGCACGGCCTCTCCACCATCTGCTGCCACTCTCTGTGGGGACGAAGGAGAAGAACCCTCAGCATCTTCTTCAAGGGAGATGTCCTCATTCAGGTCAAACCCACAGTTGCCCTTGCTGGCATCGCCATATGATTGTTGAACCCTGAAAGAACTTGGGGCTTCCGGTTCACCCGCATCAGTACGATCAGCATAATCAGAGGTTCTCGAGCTGTTCCCACAAGGAGGATCGTTCCCCTTCGATGGCCCAGTGCCAGCTTCCTCAGCTTCTTCTCCCAGATTAGGACCCCAAGATCTCTCAGGAGAAGAACTACAGAGTGGGTCCTTGGAGACTGGCAGATCATCCTCCTCTTCTGAAGCACCGTCTCCCTCACTCACTCCCAGTCCGGCTTCTGATCTTCTCTCTACTTCATTTATATCTGCATCACCTGTCGGTTTCAAGGAGGCAGACGACACCATGGAGTCAAGTTCATCATTCAATCTGCCACTTTCTTCTACCTCTTTAAGATCACCGGTGGTTCCTTCATCGCCCACATTGTCTCTGAAGGTGTCGATTTCTTCCGTATTCACCCCAATCTCGACGTCTTTTGAGCCATCTGATGAATCTTTACCACTCGAATCATCTACCCTGCTGTCAGGTTCTCCTCCACCAGGAGAAAAGCCGGCGACAGGCTCTATGCTGCTTTCGTGATGAACAGCAGGGGAAGAAACCAATGGAGAATTCTGATCAGATGGAGGTCTCACATCTTGAATACGATCTCCAGAGGAACCCTCTGAGCAACTATCACCATTCTCACCAGGCTCTTTGTCGGTGGGAGAATCCTCAAACCCAGGGTTGACTGGCCCATTATCACATGATGCTCCATTTTCTAGTCCACTCTGGGACTTTGAATCCGTACCCTCCTCATGATTCCACTTATTAAACAAAGTTCTCGCCCTTTCCCGGATATCATGGCTCCTGTGACCATACAGTTGAGTGACAGCTGACCCAATACCCGAAGCAGCTGACTTTTCCTTGTCTACAGGAAGCCTATCCAGTACTCCGAGTAACACATTGACCAAGTTCTCAACAGAGTCGTCACTACCATCGTTGGACCATTTATGACTCTGCTGAAGCCACTGGTTTAGAAATGAGAGTCCATTCAGCTGTACGAAATGATTGAGACACTCGCTCTTCTCTGTGGCCGATAAGACGCTTCCAACAGCTGCCCACTGTCTCGTTGCCTCGCTTGAACCAACTACTTCAGAATCTACAGTAGCTTTCATCACAGAAAGTAGCTCTTCGACTCTGGTAAGTGTTGTAAGCCCATCCTTCATCTCAGTTGCGGCAAAGAAATCTTCAAGAGTCATAGTTCCTCACAGCTCCCGTGCTTTTCCGATCTCAAGCTGAGAAACGTGCTTGACTGATTGTCCACCCCATATGACAAGCAGTTCAGACTATGGCTGTCGCTTGGCTCTCATTCTACATACTTCTTCCTGTGAATATCCAAAAGAAGGTGGTTCACTTTCAGAAGAGCCATAAAAGCTTGGAGATTCTTCATAAAATGGAGAAATATGACACAGTTTTCATCTGAAAGTGGAAGGGTTATGCGGTTGACAATGTTGCATCTGATATTCTGAAAATAGCTCATTAAGGTGAAGTGAAGAAAAGGAAAAGAGAGGAGCTTTTTAGAAGGTGATTACGACCCATGAACACGATCAAATTTAGAACCAAAGCATGCTGCCACTAAACACCTAGGACAATGTATAAACAACGTAGCCATTGCAAAATCTTGTCTACGATCACAGTGAATTCCAATGAAGCGACACTCATTTCATAAGCTACCTCCGTTTTCCTCAGCTCTGACATGAGTAAATAAAATGAAGTCAACGGCAATGTGTGTATGTGTGCATGTATGTGCATGTGTGGGTGCATGAGGGAGGGAGAGAGTAGCAGGATAACCAATGGTGCTAAAACTATGATCAATGGTAAATATGAAAATTAAATGCGCAGCACCAAATTCCAATTTTGTGCATAAAAAAGGAAGCTAAGCACATTCCCATGGCCCTTCCAGATGCAAATTGAATAGGAAAATGTAAACAGATCCCAACTCACAAGTCAGACTGTTTCGAAACTAATGGGAGCTCACCGACCCCATTAAGATTTGCCAATCGTTAGCTGATTTTCAACCCAATTCCCAGAGACTCAAGGCCAATCCAAACCTAATCTAAGAGGCTCTTGAGCTTCTTGGGGCAGCAAGTGTAGGAAGAAAAGCCATTGAAAGAGAAAAAGGGAGATGAGAAGAGGAGTCTGCTCCTCTTATAAGGATCTAGGCCATGCAATGACCAGCCATTTGGGGAGCTGGTCTGAATCGGCCGCCAATGAACATCAGATATACTCTCCCACAGAAAATGAACTAAAAAAAGTCAAGAACTTCAAGAATATGCACATATTTTCCCACTGTAAACTTTAAAGCCTTGCTCTGGTCAACCCGCTTCATATGATTTGATTGATATTATGAGCCCAAATGATTTGATTAAAATATGTACAACGGTGTTGATTGAACAGATAATGTCGACAACTAATCTGATTCTTGCTAGTTGACATGGCACAATAAATCCTTCAAGCTTAATCCACTATAAGATTGCATAGTTTTCCTCAACAGTTTGACTGCAATCGGCCTAGCTTATGATCCGCATTACCAATATACACCTTCAAAGCTCCAAAGGACTGAAAAAGAAAACCCAAATTCTATAAAAAAGGGTTTCCAAAGATATGAAACCCACTTTCATTTGAAAATAAGAGTCATGATCTGATCCAGGCAAGGAGGATGAATGATGATCTAATCCTTTTCCCCCCTTAAAACCTTTAGCTCCCTCTGAGGAAAGGTCAAGGCCCTCCAGCAGGTCAAAATATGCAGTTTGTCAGGAACAGGACCCATCATCCTCAGGTCAGCGCTAACCAAGAGAAAGCTTGAAGATCTCAGGAAGGAAAGTTGGGTCCACTGATTACAGTATGCTTTTATTTTCTTCCTTCTCTTCCTGTTTCCTGAATTTCTCCTTTTTTTCATTTTTCACGAGGACATTTTACACTTGGCAGGGATTCATTGGCCAATTCAGATATCCAACCTGATCATAATTATCATCCTAAGATACCGGAAGCTTCCTTCTTATTAAATTAAATAAGCATCATAAATCATAATCATTCATCATATATGATGTTGAGCACTCATTATTCTTCACCACTGCCAGAATACTGACGCAGAGAAGGAAGGAACCTTCTCTGGGGCCAATGGTCAAGCAACGGGACTAGTTCTGCCGCTACGTTTTTCTTACAAAGGCAGTAGAAACTCCAGAACCAGTGAAATAAACAATACAATACAGCGAATCAGTGAAGAGCTTAAGATCATCCTCGCTCATGTTAGAAGCTCTTGGTGAGTACAGAAGTTCTTGAGAGGCGGCTGATCAACTTATAGATTATAGGACACTATAAGTACTTCAACTATGACCAGCTACCAAACAATTCAAGGATATACGGTATTACTACTGATCCAGTATTAGGGATCCCATTGCCACCCTGATGGGATTACCAGCGAGAAATCAAGGAAATTATCTCAGAGGTTGACCACATAAAATTAAATTATTAACTTTTTATATTAGTAATTTCTTGGACATGACAGAAACCCATTTCTGTATTTTCTATAGACAGATAAAACATATAAGAATTTCATATCAATTATAAAAGCTACAGTGGAGGTATTAAATATACGAGGACCTTTTTATAGTAAATCTCTGAGGGTCTTCCATGTGTGTGGAAGGATAAAACATTGAGAAGATCGGAGGAGCAGTCAGAATCCCATTCATACGAAGCTCCACTGCCCCGACCAGAAAATTAAAAATGAAACATGCATGAACCTACAGGTCAATAAACGGATCAAATGAAAGAAGATGATACGTTATCATAATTCAAATATGTGAACAGAGAATCTGGAAAAAAAAGCATCCAAGAAGAATAAAATAGAGAAAAATGCAGATCAGGATCATAATGACGCGATTTTAGCAGAGGAATTTCGACCAAGTGAAATGTGAGATCGAAATGAACAGAAAGATGGATTCGATCAGCATAAGAACCCTAAAAAACTGGCATGGATAACAGAGAAGACAGACAATGTGAGGCATGACTATAATTGAAACCGAGAAAGGGTCTCCGGTTTTCATGCTGTACATGAAGTAATCCTCGGTTATAAAACCAGTCAAGACGAAGGTTAAAAGAGAGGAAAATAAAAAAATGGAAAAAATGGAAGCGATTTCGCGAAAGAACATTATAGCAGAGAGCCAAATAGAAGTAGACTGGCCCCGTCGAAACCCTAAGGGTCCACGACGGGGGTCCAAATCCAGGGCGAACCCACCTCCACAACCGAGGACTAGGCCACACCTCGACCGCCTCAGCGTCTCTCACACGCCTCTATTTCATCCTCATCATACACCGTCCCCACGCTCTCACCCTTCTCATCTCAACCCTCCATGGAACCCTCTCTTCTTGACGGATCCTGCACAGAGCGGAGCGCAGCCACCTCCTATCTCTTTCTCTCTCTCTCTCTCTCTCTCTCTATCTCTCTCCGCTCCCACGTTTCCTTTCCGTATTTTCTTCACCTCATGGAGATAATCTGCTCACCTTCAGCTGTCACGTGCGACGAGCAAGAGGATTGATCTGGGGAGATCGACGTCAGACGGATGTGAAGGGGGTCGGCCGACGGTCGGCCACAACGCGGCCTGCGCAGCCGGACGAAGCTGTACGGCGGCGCCAGTCGATAAAGACAACAGCTTTGGGGGGAAAGGACAACGCTGCCGACGGGGGAGCCGCAGTTGCAGCGCTTCTGCCGCCGACGTCGCGGGCTTTTTCAGGGGAAGGAGAAGAGAAGTCAGGGGAAATGGCGGACCGTAGCAGATGGCTCAGTTGGGCCCGATTCGGGCGGGCTTCTCCGCCGCCGTCCCCGGCGGCGTCGCGACCCTCGGCTACTTCGACCCCCTGGACCACCGCCGGGGCCGATGATAATGGCACCGTAAGGGGGGGACCGCTGGACCGTCCAACAGGAAAGAAGGAGACTTTAAGACTTTAAGTAGGGATGTCTCCTTGTCGCCGGCGTCGCCCGTTGATAGTCAAACGGCGGCCGCGGGATCGCGCCGTCGGTTTCCGCCGTCGATCGGGGTGGGAGATAGGTTGGGGGAAAGGAGGGTCGCACGGTCGAAGATTTCGGTCTCACAGTTGACCTTTGTGGACTGGTCTTGGGCCCACATTCTCCACTTGTCTCGGTGATACGTAATGGGCTGCACAGGTCAATGCTCCGCCCAAACAAGAACACCATGGGAAACCTGGGATCAGGATGACCCAATAATAGCCCAATAATAACCCAATAATAGCCCACATAATATTTGAAAATAACCCATAACTAAGGCCCAGTAAAACGTTGTATCGGCCCATTCTCTCTCCCTTTCTGCATACAAAGGACTGGGTCGGGCCCACACCTAAGCTAGAAGTCGCTGGCAATAGAAGCGCACCGTTTTGACTTCTACACAGACGGATATAATCGAACTAATACCATTGCGTTGACACCATGAGACCAGAGAGTCAAATTCCAAAAACTTTCTCTTATGATTGGGCGAAGATGATCTGATATGAGCATAGTTTTTTTGTCTAATGCCTGCACATAAATCGGCCACGAGGAGATCACAGAGAGGGAGAGAGAGAGGGGGAGAGAGAGAGGAGAGAGGGAGAGAGAGAGAGGGGAGATAGAGAAGGAGAGAGAGGAAGAGAGAGGGAGAGAGAGAAAAAGAGAGGGAGAAAGAGAGGGGGGAGAGAGGGAGAGAGAGGGAGAGAGAGAGAGAGAGAGAAGGAGAGAGAAAGAGAGAGGGGGAGAGGGAGAGAGAGAGAGAGGAAAAACAGTAATGAGAAGCCTGAGGAGGAACTGCCCGTTGCAAGTCCAAGGACGGTTGGAGATGGCCGCTCTTTTCTCCTCCAGCGAGAAACCGCTCTCGTTGCTGCACCAATCTGAAGTTATCCTACCGGATCTCCTCTCTCTCTCTCTCTCTCTCTCTCTCTCTGTCAGTACTACCTGCGGCCCATCGCCGTTGACCCAGACCGGAATCGGCAGGCTCAGGGCCCTTAGCATGCAGACTAATTACTCCAAAAGTACGTATGACTAAATTCTAGTGATCATTTAAGTGTAATGTATTCGGTGTATCATCATCATCATGCCTCATCTCCTCGGATTCAGTCTCTGCTACAGCCGTATCGTCTTCGTCGTCAAAACATGGAACGTATGAGAGAGAGAAGATAGAGAGAGAGAGAGAAGGGGGGGAGATCGAGATGATATGAAGCTTTATCCTATGAATAGCATGTGGGTTGTGGGATAATATTCTTTGCAGAATCTGGGTGATCTAAATCTAGGATCTTTGAAGGCCAAATCCTTGTCCAATCCCCTTTCCTAGTTTTATAAGAGGAGTTGCTATCCCGCTTAACCTTGGCGAAGGAGAGAGAGAGGAGAGAGAGAGAGAGAGAGAGAGAGAGAGAGACGCCACGTCGTTGGTTACTTACTGTAGAGCTTAGGCGAACGTTTCTCCTGATAGTGCATTTTTTTAAGTAAAGGAAGCTAAACTCACAGGTATGATCGATGCAGCCTGGCCCAGCCTTCGTGTTCCTCCCACCACCAGACCGCCGCCGACAAAAGGCGGAAGAAGGTTCTAAAAAACCTTTCCTTTCCGGCTGCCCGCCGTCCTGTTCCTCTCCTTCTCTCTCTTCCTCACCTTTGCCGCCGCCGCCACCGCCCTGGGAGATAAAGCAGCGGGAGGAGGCCAAGATTCTGCAGACGTGTTCTCCCCACCATATCTCTCCACGGATAGATGAAGTCGCCGCCTCCTCCTCCTCCTCCGCCGACGGTAGAAGGCCTTCTTCCTCTGGTGATCGGTCGCCGATACGGACGATAGAAGCGTATCCGAGTCAGGAAGGTGGAGTGTGACGGAGCAGAAGGAATAAACAATCAAGAACAGGAGGATAGATTGAAGGATCTCAGGGCGATTCATTTCAGTCCTCTGGTTCTCCTCCTCCGGCGGAGGTCTTCTCTGTTGCAGGAGTGCGGAAGGCTGAACGGAACAGGATGGCTCATGGGATTCCCTGGTCCTCAGAGAACTGGTGCGGCTTCCTCGGCGCGGGGGAGAGCCGTCGGCTTTCCCTCTGCCGGCAGCGGCGGATTCTCCGCCAGGAGAAGCAGTCGGAGGATCTCCGCTACGGCAGCGCCCCACGGTGCCTCTCTTCCTACTACAGCGTCTTCGTCGCCCGTCTGGCTATCATGGTACTCAGAAAGTCAACTTTCAGAGAAAGAGTAGCAGCAACAGCAGATTACTCATGCAGGGGGGTGTCGATTGTAGGTGATGCTGGCGATCTTGATCGCGACGATGACGATCCTGACATGGCACTTCAGCAAGGTCTACACGACGAGCTCCATCCGAAGCCTGGCCTACGGGCTCCGGTACGAGCTCCTCCAGCGGCCCATCCTCCGCATGTGGAACATCCTCAACTCCACCGTCGAGATCACCGTCGCCCAGGTGAAGCTCTCAGAGTACGTCATCGACCGCTACTACTCCCCTACCGCCGCCGGCGATCAGAACCCCCAGGTGCGCCGCCGCTCCTCCTCTTCCTCCTTGGCGGGTCGTCTTCTTCCTCCGCGCTGATTCAGGTTGTTTTCCATGGTGGCAGCTCTACGAGGCGATGAGGAACGTAACGTGGGTGCTCTTCGCCAGCAGAACCGCGCTCGCCTCCATCACAGTGAGCCACCGGGACGGCTATGTCCAGGCTTTCCACAGAGATCCCCGGAGCAGAAGCATTTACTACATCTTCTCCGCGCCGCCGGAGAAGCACGGGAAGAACGCGTCGTCGGTGTGGTACAGGTTCTCACTCGACCCGGCAACCGGGAGGGAAACAGGCGGCCGGCGGAAGGTCCCCCCCGACGACCTCATCAGCATCGCTGGCCTCTCCGAGGTGAGCGACGGCACGGCGGCATGGCGGGTCGCCGTGAGCAAGTTCACCGACTCGCCGCTGCTCGCGGCGGCGCTTCCAGTCCGGCGACCCGCCGACGGCGCCATCGTCGCCGCCGTTGGCGTCACCACCTCGCTGCATAGCGTGGGCCAGCTCATGCGGGAGCTCGTGGGCTTCCACAGCGGCCACATGTACCTGACCTCCCGCGAGGGCTTCCTCCTCGCTACTTCCACCGACGCCCCACTTCTGCGGAACTCCACCGCCGGGCCGGCGCTGATGCAGGCCGCCGACTCAGACGATCGCATCATCAGGGCCGGCGCAGAGTGGCTGCACCGGGCTCACGGGGACAGCTTCCCCATCCGCCATGAAGTCCACGATGAGAACGTTAAGATCGGACGACAGAGATACTACGTCGACTCCTTCTTCCTCGACCTGAAGAGATTACCTCTGGTGAGCACCCCCCATGGCTCTCCCTTCCTGGACCGCCCCTCACCGCCGCCGTCTCCTCTTCTCTGCAGGTCGGTGTCACCATCATCCCCAGAAGGTACATAATGGGAAAGGTTGACCAGATGGGCACGACCACGCTGATCATCCTGGTCAGCGTCTCCGTGTGCGTCCTCGCCATCGGGTGCGTCCTCATCATGGTACTCACCAGTGGGGTCTCCAAGGAGATGCGGCTACGGGCGGAGCTGATCAGCCACCTTGACGCCAGGAGGAGGGCGGAGGCGTCGAGCAACTACAAGAGCCAGTTCCTGGCCAACATGAGGTCAACGAGGACCTCCCCCACGTAAAAAGTCCACAGCTTCACATTCATTTCTCTCATGCTGATGAAGTGAAGCTCGCTGTTGTTCTGGGCTGCAGCCACGAGCTGAGGACCCCGATGGCGGCGGTCATTGGGCTGCTGGACCTACTTATATCGGACGATTGCCTCACAAATGAGCAGCTTGAAACGGTGAGCCAGATTAGGAAGTGTTCTACGGCCCTGCTGAGGCTGCTCAATAGCATATTGGATCTCAGCAAGGTGAGCTCGCAGGAAAATAACCTTCGATCAGGCAAGCTGATTAATACACAAGTAGAAATATTAGTTAAAGAAAGGGACTGTTAGATACTACACGAGAGTCAATCTCGGCTTCTAAGGTCAACCGTCTCCCTGTTTTAAAGCAAGCAAATCTCATCTGTTATGCCTTTTTTTTTCATTTTATTGTCATAATCCATGAAAAAAACTCCAGATTGCGGATGTTTTCTTCTCTTTGGTCTTCCAAATCGTGAAAATTAATCATGTCCAAAGAAAAATATGTAATGTTTTCCTTCAGTTGATCGTCTGATAGAATTTCAGAGGAGAGGAAATTTCATAGCCTTTTGCAGAAGATTCAGCTTCTACTCCATGTATTCCAATAAATGAAATAGTCAATTCTCTAAAAGCTGAGTATGATTTCCAAAAAGTATTCAGAAAATTTTACTCATTGCAGCTTTTCTGTGAACCCAAAAACTCTAGTTTCTTAACACTTTATTAATAAACTTTCTGAAGGTTGAATCAGGGAAGCTGGTTTTGGAAGAAGTTGACTTTGACTTACAACGAGAACTGGAGGGGCTGATGGATATGTTCTCAGTGCAGTGCGTAAACCATAATATGGAGACTGTGTTAGATCTCTCTGGTATGTTCCTCCACCTTACACTTCTCAGGTCTGATTTCCCGTTTTTCAGGGAACCAGGAAAGAAAAAACCGCAGTGATTGACATAAAAGAAATTCCTGAAGAATCAACAGATATTAAATTTATCCAGTGAAGCTTGCATACATCTGTTTTATGGAATCACTTTTCTGATAAAAAACTTGAAATAGTGGGATTAATGAATTCTGAAAAAAAAATAGCTTCAAGGGGGGATGATATTTTCTAACTGAAAATTGAATTTTGATGAAACTGGAAGCGGATTATTTGATCAGAGAATCGACACGTAGAAACCCAAAGCAAGAAAATATTAAATTAAGAAAAAAATGTGTTATCACATGTTGAGCATTAGGATTCTGATTTTATTAATCAAACCAAGAGCATGATATGTTGTTCTTTTTATTGTTTCAACTTCTGTGAGTAGTTCTGCAGAATTTACGCTTACAATTATTTTTGGAATTTAAAAAATAACCATTGTATAACCAATCAGATTATTCAAAGTTTCTGATAATTTTTTTCTCAAATTAAGATTTTTTTTCGGGAAATTACGTTATTGAAGCCAGTTTTCCCAGAACCACATCTTCCTACTGCATTCTGACCCTGGATAAGCTTAGCATCAACAGATGGGAAGAAAACACTATGTGATCCCCAGAAGCTTCCAGGAATGAAATTATATTAATAGAATTAAATTTTATAGATAATTATGAAATTAAACCCATGAAAGGTTTACTGTGATAAAAAGATCTCCGTAAACAGAGGACTGAAAGGGAGCATTTTTTTTTACTATAAAAAATCCCAAAGTTACCTCAACTTTGGCTTCACCACAAGGTGAATGAAACTTTGTCACTTTGCTAATAAAATGAAACTTTAGTGACCTAGGTTATAATATTCCGATCAAACAGCTGATGAAGGGGATGAGCGGAACAGGGAGGTATTGCTTGCAGAGACTGTTGGAACGGTGGTAGGTAAATTAGTAGAATTTGAAGAGGGTACCGTAGGTATTTCTCGCCAAAATCAAGAAATTTTTTAGAACCTAAGATCCAGATTAATAAATTTTCTTTATCATGTTTTGAACTTAGTTAAAGATCTTGCTCTTTTATTTTGAACTGATGAAGTGGACTACATACATTCTACAGATGATATGCCCAAAGTTGTTCGAGGAGATTCTGCCAGAGTGGTTCAGATATTCACAAACCTCGTCAGTAATTCCATCAAGTTCACATCATGTGAGTCATGCTTCGAATTTATTTTCTTAGTGATTATATTCCTTGAACCCACAGTTATGACTCAAACCTTGTGCTTAAGGACTGAAGGAACAAATTACCAGGTATAGTATTCGAAAAATTCTAAATGAAGTAATAATTAAACAAAAAAAAAGAATTTCACCAAACGAAGACGAAAAGGGCCAGAGCTCCTTTGTATCCATGCATGGAACATCAATAGGACAAAATGACATTATAATTCCATTTCAATTTCCATAGTTATCGAGGGCTGTATTTGATTGAAACTTGGTCCATTTTCTCAACAACTCTCCTCTATCCTTCTTAAACTTGTCCACCTGTTTCTATTTGATTTCTTCACACCTGTCCTTTGCATTAACTGGCAGAGGTTGTGCTAAACCAGACGGGTCCTGCTGCTTCCTTCTGACCGTTTCTTCATTGATTCTTCTCTACCTCTTTTCCTTATTGGCACGCCATGAGTATTTCCATTATATTTCTTCATAGATCTCCTTTTATTAACTTCTGAAAGTTGTGCTTAAATCTTAAGGAAAACCAACAATTCTTCATGGCTGTAACGTTAATGAATAAATTTGATGGTTCTCAATTCACCTGAAAATCCACAGATATTGCAAAAAAATAATTATAAAAGTGGATTTCAGATGCCGAGTCTAATTCCTTATATATAGCGTGTAACCTAGTATAGTGCCAGTTAATCTCTACTACTGAAAGAATTGTGTTTGTAAATATGATCACATATATACAATTCGGTGAAGAGGTCTTTTTAGCTAAAAAACTGAAATCAACTTCAGCTGGTCACATTATTTTGCGAGGATGGTGTGAATATGGCGAAACTAGAAAACAAGATTTGCCACAGGAGAAGTGGTCCCAATGTTTCATCAAAACCAGGGGAAATCAGGACGGATTTATCACAAAGGAAGTGCCTGACAACTGCAATAGAATCACGCTTCAGTTTGAAGTTGATGACACTGGATGCGGTAAAGCTTTTTCTACCCAGCACCATACCTTAGTCTTCCGCTTAAAAAATGCAGAATTTAGTTTTCTAATCTTTACTAGGTATTGACCCAAGCAAATGGGAATCTGTTTTTGAAAGCTTTGAGCAAGCTGATCCATCAACAACCCGAATGTAAGTCGTTTCTAATGAGATTTTGTTGTACCAAAAAATTATTAAATCAATGCATAACATCTAGTATGTAAATTTATAATCTACCGCCTCACCTATCCAAATTTCCAAAATACATTTTCTAGAAGAAATATTTTTTTCCAAAAAGACATTATAAAATTTCCCCATCTACAGGCATGGAGGGACTGGTCTTGGCTTATGTATTGTGCGTAACTTGGTGAGTCTAGATAATTTCACTATCCAGGATCATGTTGCAGAGACAGAATATCGTATCATTTACTGCTATCTTATAGACTGTCTATACTGACATCATCCATGGTTGAATATACTATATTGAATGAGATGCTATCTGATTCCAGGTTAACAAGATGGGAGGGAAAATCAAAGTTGTAAAAAAGGATGGCCCAGGGACCCTAATGCGACTATCCTTGGTCCTGGGACTACCAGCGGCCTACGCTGGAAAGCGTTTTGAATTAAAATCGGATCAGCATAATTTAATGGTGAGTCGTCTACCATATATCAAAATATCAGCCAATTTAGTCACTGTTTGGTGTTACCTTTGAATTATTTACACTGGTTTGATAACACAAAAAGCTACTCTAAATTTGTTCGAAAGTAGACGGGAAATCATGTTTCGGGATATGATATCTTCTCCTCTTATTATTTTAAATTTTATCGTATTTGATGGCACTATGGCCTCTTTGAATGGCCTACACGCTGGCAGTAGTACATTTAGGCTGTAAACGTCTAAGGTGCTAAAAAAATCTGTAAGTTCTATGATTATCATGTGTATAATACGTCAAATAAAGTTAATTATAAAATATTAAATGCTCGTTTGATGGTCTAATCTTCAAATTAGAGTCTAGAATGTCATTATTATGTTCAAATACATACGAAGGATATAGACTATCACACTTGCAAAGCCTAGTCTCTTCTTATCTTCTTTAAGAAGTTGCAAAACATAGTTCCAGGCAACGTGCAAGCAGGATTACTCCCTCAGCATAAATATCATCCCACCAGTCTAGGGCAGCTAGATCCAATGATTTACAGAGGTTTTGACAATCGGGTATCCTATCTAACATTAACAGTCTACAAGTTTGTCGGGGTGAGTTACATGATTAAGAAAGCTTTTAGGAAAAGAGGGTTTATCAGAAGCGTAAGACAATCTAGCATGTAGTTCATTAACCTCTGAAGCTACCTCATTAACGATTCCCAGACTTTGAACAGAGTCTAGACCAAAAGGGGGAGCTTGATGTTGAGATATGAGAACTCCGGAGCAACTATATCTCAAATGATTAATGGGAAGCTGGTCGCTACTAAACAAAAAAATGTTTCCTTTAACAGATGGGATAATTCCATTATAATTATTCAATGATTGAATGAGAACCATCAAAATTTACAAATTTCTGGTCACTGGTCCGTGTTTCACTTGCAACAGTTTCCTTCATCTTTTTCTTTTCTTATCACCAAAATTAGTTTCTTTTTTTTTATGCTGATATACATTGTGTTCTATGCATTAAACTTGTCAGTTTTATGTTAGCAGCAACCTTATTTACATGTACTAAAATTCGTTTCAGAAAGCTCTTTGACCATGGGCATTGGAACAGAGTTGATTTTGATACCACGGGGAACTGATTCTAAACTTTGACATGAGCAATGTTCCGATTATTTTTTTATCCCATCTTTGAAAAAGTAATTAGAATGAGCAGACTAGAGACCGTGCCCAGCTGACATACTTTAATAGGGGTATAAACCGCTCATTCTTGTTGTGTGATTCTTGGATATGTCGTCATTATATCTTTCCAAGGAGAGCATCAACGTAATTCCTTTACAGATCCACGGAGGTCGTATATGAGAGTCACTGCTATTGATCAGCATCATACAGTTCCAGATGCTTAAATTTAGATTACATGGAATTCTGTCTGTCATTTAAGCTAGCTCCTCTTGGGAGGAGGGGGAGGGTGTGGTGAGGATATATTCTGAGAAACATCGAATTCTTAGTGATTAGAAGGCTTGTCACGATCTTGAGTTTTGATCATTTTTTCTTCATCGGATGAACAAAGTTATGTCTATTCGAATGAAAAGACAGAGGTTTCCCCCCAAAAACGTACAGTGGAGCCATTTCCTCTTTTCCCCCAGGAAGCAATCTTACAATGCAGTATGGTGCTAAGAAGTATCTATGAAGTCTTTACGCAGAAACTGGTGCACATAAGGTTATTAACGAGGTATATAAAATAGACACATTGCTTGTAAGTAAGAATCATTCCCTGTTTTAGATTTCTCTTCACTTTTTCATCGTTCTTGACGTCAAACAATGCCTCATCCATATAGTCAGCTTCCAAGAATCATGGGCTTAAATGAATAAAAACTTCAGGTGGTATCATGTGCATCTTCATCAACAATCAGACACCAATAATTAACCATCTCAAAGACACCAATAATTACAGAACGGGAAAAGGATAATACTAATGAAGACGAATAAATTCGCATAAAAAAAGGATGCATTCTTAGAAATTATCCAATTCATACTTCACAACTCATTTCTTCACAGAAAAACTTTAGTACATGCTAGTCTCTGTTCCTCAAGTACTTATGTTTTGTGAGGGCCTTAACTGTACACGCAGGTATTGCTTGCAGTGAAAGGCACGATTGGCAGGTCTACCATTTTTCAATGGTTAAGGAAAAAAGGAATTCCCACAATTGAAGCGTCAGACTGGAATGCCCTAACGCAAATACTTCAGGAAAATTTGCAAGTCAATAAAACTGATAGAGATGAGTATGCAGCATGCTCAGAGAGTGAAAGATTGAGAATGAAGATACTGAGTTTTCTGCCTGAATATAGAAGTTGTGGCGAGGGGATGGTGACTTCGAATACTGTCATTGTGGTAGACACAGCGCTGTTAGATCTCAGAACTGATATATGGGAAGAGCAGCTGAATTTCCTAGAGAAATATCGTCACAAGGTGCAGTTTGCTTGGTTACTCAGTCGTGACACATCCAACAACTTCAAGGCCGAGCTGAGGAGAAAAGGGCATTTTTTATTGGTTAATAAGCCATTATATAAAGCAAGGATGGTGCAGATCTTGGATGCTGTTCTAAAAGAGAGAAGTTCAGAATATCAACTAAACTGGAGCATTCAGAATTCAACAACTGAAAACGATTTGCATGAGTGCCATGAGGTGGATCCCATTAAATATGGTGTTTTCAGCTCAGAGAGCTCTGACAAGACTGATGTGGAAAGGGAAATAATACAATCTAGCAAAACAGAAGGCGAAAAGGTTCAGGTCCCTCATTATCCTGAACAATGGACTGGAAATTCAGTGAAAGAATCCATAAGTACGAGCTGCACAAATAGTGTTATCCAATTCTCCAGTTTTCCAGGCGAGGACACTGCTGTCACAAAATTGCCAACTAATGTTCATGATCTTGAGAAGTATGAATGTGGGAACAGACACATGCATAGCTTAGAAGAGAATGAACAATGTCAAGTACTGGAAGGAAACACCAAGGACGACCATAGGAAGGCATCACGGATATCAAAGCCCGAAATCGAACCCTTTAAAATGTGTACAAATGCCTGGACAACGTCCAACCAGGTGGACCAGATGGAGATAAAAGACATTGAACAAGATCTGTACAAGATAGATCAGGTATTAACCGATTTGGATGGCTTCAAGCAGCAACATCCATTATGTGAAAGTGAATCAATGGCGTCCCCACATATAGACCAAGCAAGTAGCAGAAAAAACAGTCGAGGATTAAATCAGCTTTCTTGCAGAATCTTGAAACCTGATGTTCATCAAGTTTCCAAGGTGAAGGACTCTAGAGATTCAATTGTAGATATTTCTTGCCTGAGACCTCTTGAAGGTTTGTGCATACTGCTTGCGGAAGATACACTGATACTACAAAGAGTCGCAACAATAATGTTGCAGAAGATGGGAGCAAAGGTTGTACCCGTTGGAGATGGACAACAAGCAGTGGATGCTCTGAGATACATGCTTCATGAAGAAGAACGTAGAAGACAAACTTCAAATAAACAGCTGCAGAGGATAAGTTTTGATCTTATACTCATGGATTGCCAGGTATGACAATATGAAAGTGCATTTTTTCATGTTTTATATGTTATTTATATATATGAGTATTTATAAAAAAAATGCGATTTTTGTCAAAAAATCATAGTAAAAGAACATGTGCTAACTATGCCTAAAGAATCCTGTAAGGAAAAGAGGCCGTAATTAAGTTCAAGTCAAAACATAGTTGATATGTCAAAGTGTTTTAGTCTAATATGGTAATGAGAATTTCTTCCGCGAAATCCTCGTATAAAATGTTCTTTATGCGATACTTGTCCGATAGTTTCAGAGAAAACCTCTGGATTTCGTCCCATTGAACAATGGCCCTATTTGGTTTTTTTATCACAGAGATAGAATCATCCTCCTTCACTAGGTTCTGCAGCTTGAAAGAACGATACGTATAAAGTTAGATTGATTGAAGCAACAAGCTGATAGAATAGTGGAACGAAATACTCACCGTTCGAAGCTCTTCAGCTTCTTCAATAGGTACAGGAAAGAACCTTCTGCTTTTTGGGTATCTCTTGCATAGGAGACGGTATCATTTCTTCTTCTGCAACTGATTTCAAAGACATCGCCATGGAATGTGTGTTGTCCCCTTGATGTACAACAACAAACTAGGAAGAATCTTAGGTTGAATGGAGAAAGAAATAGGTTTTCGTCGAATGGAGAATGTAATTGCAAACATTTTGATACATTAAACTCTGTCTATAGATGGGAAAATACAAACCCAAAAAAAAAAAGATTGGATGGCGGCCGGAATTTTGACCCATAAACTAGAAAAGATGCAAACGTTTTGAAGCTTAGGAATAAGGGCTCCATAGTTTTCCACCTTTCATTGGTCCTAATGGAATAATTCACCAATCCTCAAGACTACATACATAAAGATCCATACGTCCTATGACTTGGGCATTATCTTTCCGCCAACAGAGTTGGTCAACTCAGTCAGAATCCAAAACTAAAAAAAAATGAATTTTTCGTATCAAACTCAGTTGACCCGGTGGTAACTGGCACATTTGGCTCTGACCCATACGAGTCTGCACAGCCAATTAGATGACTGAAATATTTAACTTAAAGTAAACTGTGAATCATCAAGGGTTTTCGCTAAAGCCCACTTCTGTTAACCCAGGCTGATTCACATTTAAATATACTTTTCTTCTTCGACCACACTGTAACTCTTCTGGTGTAATATCCCTTTCACAGTATCCAACACACTTGAAATGTGTAGGATGATTTCCATTGCTTTTTTAAGATGAAATAATATTAAATCATCAGATTATATAACTAAATCACAGATTCATGGATGCTAAGAAATGATTTTTCAAAGACATATCCTCTTAATATTTGAGAGTTAGAATTGAATCACTGCCAATGAATCTCATAAAATCATACTCTGTAGTTTTGGGGGATGATTTCAACGTCTTGATGTCATTATGGCTACTTAAACTTGTGGCGTGCCAGAATGTTCTAGAGTTTCACAATTGTCAGGACATCCTCTGAATATTTGGTAATCGATAACCAAGTATCAATAATAAAACAAAAAAAATTCCTTTTATGTCTTCAAAACTGCAGATGCCAAAGATGGATGGCTACGAAGCAACAAAAGAAATTCGGAGACTAGAAGTTGGGACGGGCTTTCATATTCCAATTGTTGCACTGACAGCACATGCAATGTCATCTGATGAAGCTAGATGCTTGGAAGTCGGGATGGATGCATATCTGACGAAGCCAATTGACAGCAAGCTAATGGAATCTACAATTCTTTCCCTGACAAAGAGTTTCTCCTAGCACATGAGAAGCACGCGAACCAGTCAAAAAAATTACCAACTTGGGAATTTTTTCGGATAAAATGTCAAAACAACAGTAGAAAGTTGTAAGAAACGGATTGGGTGCCTTTAGGGATCTCAGGTTGACGAGGAATCTGCTGATTGAAATGAGATTGGTCAGTTTCCCACTTATTCTACCTTTTCTTTTATTTCAGGGAAGAGAGGGATTTCCCCTTGAAATCGGATTAGATATTTCTGTTTCTATGAACCATGGGCATCCTTATCATTCCGAAATTATCAAAATCATTTTCTCAAATTTCAGCAATCTTCGACATTTGTTGAAGAAAAAGGGGAGAGAAACTGAAGCTGACTGATTCTAACACCTTCAGATGAAGAAGAAAGACTAACATGACGTGCAAATTGTGTCATTTTATCGCTTATTCTGTCATGGAAAACCCTTCGAAGATCGTTTTTTTGGCATTACTCAACTATGGATCGGCGTAAATCATTTTTCATTTAGTCCCATCACATACTTTTCAGCCTCGCCCCCATCATTGTTCATATATTTACGGTTCTTCTCTTCAAACTTCATATTATATCCATGCGATTATTGTCGAGAAGAGACTGAATCAAAAGAGAGAATGTAAAGCGCCTAAGAAAACAGAGTACACAAGATGCCACGAATGTTCATCAGATACATGGACTTGAACAGAACCTTGAGGACTTCCACATCGGCACATGCTCAAATGAAGGATGATGAGATCGGTTGTTATTCATAGATTTACAAGCTAGATGATCCATGCTGCATATGCCATGGACACAATCAACATCACTACAGAATCAAGATTTTCTGGCCAGTGGTCTGCAGGTCAACTGTGCTTCTCTCTGAGGGCATTATCAAACGTGGTCAACATTGTTACAAGACTGCAACTTCCATACATAGATATCCGTACATATAGGCGGTGGATGCTTAACTTTTTGAGGCGGCTATCCACTGATATGGAACTGGTTGTCCACGGATCTCCTTGGACACATTCAGCATGTAACAGCTATGTTTTGGAAGCGGATTACACTTCAAGATGATCAGTAAGCATAAGAAATTCTTGTCAATAACTGGTTTTATGAAGGTATCTTCTCGGAGAGTTTTTTGACGTCCAAGGAACTGGATTATTCCCTCTAAATCCTCGGGCTACCGTTGTTGTTGACTGCCCAAACTAGTAGGCCAGAAACTACGGCTTAAAAGCAGAAAAGTGGGAAGTGTCTTTCCTTCCCTCTCCTTGCAGGGTGTCGGGGTTCAGCGAAGAAGGTAAGTGAAAGGCATTAGAAAAACCAGCGAGCTCCAGCAGCTCCATGGAGGAAAGAGCCAGCTGCTTTAAGGTGGAGGTTTGGCTCGAAAAAGAGAGAAAGAGGAAAGCCTTTCATGTCCTTTTCATCAGCTGTTTCTATTGACTTCAAAGAAGAGAAAACATGTGCTCCAAGCACTTGGAAGAAGGAGATCCGAAATAAGCATTCTCCTTCGTTTGTTTCTCCACTTTACTATATATTTCTCTTATTAGATATTATTCTAAGGTGATATGTTTTTAGCTTGGTTGTTAACTTCAGATTTTGTAACATTGTGCTTTGTTGGCTCATTGGAAATACTTTTTTATTAAAGGGGAAATACATATGACATTAGTTCCATTATGCTACAACATTTCTTGTCCTTGGGCTATGCTTTGATTGCTTACAAAAGTACATTTGATATCTGGAATCCAACTTTGACATCTTAAATTTTGATTCAACTCTTATCTTTCAAACCCATTTGTCACAACATTTGGTATTAGAGCCAAGTTAGTGTTTCTTGTATTTTGTTTTCTATAATGACAAAGTTTGAGGTTGCAAAAGAAAGTGAAGTCAATCATTCTATAAAAAAGTATTTTACAAAACTTTTTAGTTGAAATTATGTTGTGGATAAAAATAAAAATATATATGCAATAAAGATTGGTATCCGTTACATTTGAAAGTAGTTAGTACATTACAATTGTGTCTATATATGATGTTATTTATAACATGTCTGATATAAATATTATTATGTTTGTGTAGTATAAATTATAAATATTATACATGTCAAAGATATTTATAGATAAATTATATTTGAAGAAGATACTATATAATCCATGTATGAAAGAAATAAATTTATTGGCCACATGCATATTTCTAGTAAATTGATCTCACTACTTTGTGCTTTAGAAGTTAAGGTAGAGAAAGAAGATTATACTATTCTTCTTTTCTCATCTTCACCTCAGTCATAAGACCATTTGGTGACTACCATTTTATATGGTAAAGAAACTTTGAGAAAGGAGTAGATCAAATCTATATTATTATTAATGATGTTAGATCAAGGTAAGCACAATTTCCAAAAGCCTCATTGTTAAAGGTGTGGATCAAGACCTCGAAAAATAAAGAATGACAAGAAAAATAATTTTAGATCAAAAAGTGAAGGATGATGATATGTTCTGATACTATAATAAAGAAGGTCCTTGGAAATTAGATTATCTGAAAAGAAATGGTAAAGAGCTAATGTTACTTTTGATTTAGAAGTGTGAAAATATATTTTAACAATCTCTTCAAGCTTGAATTATTCTAAATGTGGATTCTAGATTCATATGTTTTCTATCCCACGTAACCAATTCAAGGTTGGTTTGACACATACACACCTCATGATGGTTGTAAAGTTAAAATGAGAAATAATATAATATAAAGCTATTGGGATTGAAAGATAAAAGTCATGATGTTTGATAGAGTAACTAGAAATTTAACAAATGAAAGATATGCACAATATTTGAAAAAGATTCTAATCTCTTTAATTACTCTTGATGTAAATGATTATATTTATACTATTGGAAATGGTATTATGAAAATAAAAAGGGATGTTTTAAATGTTACTAAATAAGATAACATTGAGTCACTATGTCAATTTCTTGAGATAGTTATATTTATTGGCACATATACTACATCTCATTCAAAAGATGAAGATGCTGTGAAGTTATACCATATTAGGGATGAGCATATAAATGAGAGAAGATATTAAATTATATAATAAAAAAATATTCCAGCATATTACATCTTTTAATATGGATTTTTAAAATCTTGTGTTTTTGACAATTAGTGAAAGATTAATTTTGTTGCCTTTTGTTGCCTTTATTAAGAGAAAATATATTTGAGTATGCACATTCAGATATCTCAGGTATATCTCATCACTTCATTGAAAGAAGCTTGATATTTTGTTACCTATATTGAAAAATATTTTTAAAATTTTATAATATTTTTTTTAGAACACAAAATAAAGGTGTTTGATATTTTCAAAATTTATAAAACCAAATTTGAGAAATAGACTTGTAAGTAAATTAAAATTTTAGGCACAAATAATGGTAGTGAGTACATCTCAAAGAAATTTTAAACTTCTTTGTTTGAAAGAAGACATAACTACTCATCTGATTATTCCATAAATAACACAATAAAATGTAATAGCTGAAAGGAAAAATATGGTAAATTAGTTGTCTTCATTATGATAAATATGGTACATCACAAGAAGTTTGGCCCTTAAAATTAGTTGATTATTCTAATGTATGCATATTTGATGTCGTGCTTACGTTTTTTCACATGACAATGAGTGAACAAAGTTAGATATTAAGTTGAAACTCTATATTTCCTTAGGCTATAAAATAAAGTGTCAACAAGTTGAAGTTGTAGAATCTTATAAGTAAATTATTTAATGTATGACTTATAATGAAAAAATTATAGATAATTTGATGAAGTATCAATATTGAAGAAAAAAATAAGATACGACATCTAGTGAAGAGGTCAATAGTAGCTTGATTAATGTAGAAATAAATGAAAACACAAAGTTAATCTAAATTTTAAAAAATATATACAACACAATGAATGTTTTGTACATCTAAATCATAATTTCATATGCTTTGTAAAAAGAGACGTAAAGATGTCATTATGATTTTTGGATTTTTTTATATATATTTTATATTATTTCTTCTCATCTTGTAATATTTTTATAATTAAGTGAGACTAAGGTCAACAACAAATGGAAGATTGATATGAAATAAAAAATATATTTCTTTAAACCAATGACATATGAGAATTAGTAACATTATCAAAGAATAATAAATCAATCACTTATAAGTGAGTATTTATAAAGAAAGAAGTTATGCCAACAGTGAAATCATCTCAATAGAGGGCTTAATTAGTAACCAAGAGATTTAGACCAAGGAAAGATATTGATTACGATAAGATGTTATAATCCATTGTAAATAATATTTGATTAGAGTTGTATTGATTATAGTACTAATGATTGATATAAATATAAATTAATTATAAAAAAATTATCATATAAAATTTTAAATAAATAAGTTTATTGGTATGATTGGAAGGTTTTGTTAACACTCTAAAGGAGAAATTCATAAGTTGAAGATATCTTTTTATGATCTAAAGTAAGTTTATTGCCAATGCTATAAGAAATTTGGCAAATATTAACAAGGCTTAAGTATGACCATTGTGTTTACTTTCACTCTGTTGATAATATTTATGTTGTTCTTCTTATACTAGAAGTTGATGATATATTGATGAGATCTAAATCAATAGATGAGATTATTAAATTGAAAAATCAATTTACTTCGGAATTTTAAATGAAAAACCTAACTAGTCCTATGAAAATTGGAATTATAAAAACTTGAAGGAAAGATGTAAGAAAGATTGTGGCTGCTGTATAAAGATTTCATTGAGAAAATATAACACATGTAAAATTTCAATATACTTTTAACTTAGCACTTTACATGTTTTTTGTAGTTAATGTCCTAAATATAAGAAAGAAGATGAAAAATGTTCAAGGTTATTATATGTAAATATGGTTGGTCATCTTATTTATGTAATGATTTACAATATGCTTGATTAATTTACGTTAATGGCTACATGGAAAATATAAAAAGAAAGTTTTAGAATTTAATCAATTATATTCTATGTTATATTTAAAATATATATTAATTAAAATTTATTTTTTAAATATAGTATACTTAATATTCATGTTGTCTATGTTAACTTAGATTATGCAGACTATCTTGGTAAGAGAAGATTTATTACAAAACACATTTTCTTTAAGTAGAAGTCATAGTTTAAGAAGTTGATTATATTGGTTCAATTGATAAACAAATCAAGCATTCTAGTTGAAAGGTTTGGTAAAAGCGTTTACCACCAAAAAAATAACCTCTCTCTCTATTACAAAAGTCAAAATATAATTTTATTCCCAAATGACAAGACACATTGACTTTAAATTTTTAAAAATTATATAAATTTATTGTAGGATGTGGCATGTTGCTTGTGAAGATCTCTATATAAAATAATAATATAACCACACTTTTATGAATAATGAAATTTCATTGCTACTTGAAATTGGGAAATGTTTAGGGTTTAGGTACCCAAAATAGTGATAAATTTATTTATTTGGTATTTGTTGCAATTATTTTGGCCAAGTCAAAGTTAGAGAATTTTATTATTGACTACCCAAAATAGTGAGCCATAAATAATGGAATGAACTCCAACTCCCATGCAGATGAAAGATGAGATTCCTTTAACGTGGAGGTTTAGCTTGGAAAAGAGAATAAGAGGCAAGACTCTTCTTTTTCATTAGGTATTTATATTGACTTGAAGAAGTGAAAACACATATGCTCCAAACATTTGTTAAAATGAGATATGAGATAAGTATTTGACTTTTGTTAGTTTCTCAACTTAAGCTTGTATTTTTCTTGATGTGGATGTAAGAAGTTTTCTATGAATAGTCAAATAAGGTATCACTTATTAACTTTCCTTTTAAGGTAATTCATATTCAACTCTAGCATCAACTTAGACGTTTACATCATTGTGTGCCATTGACTAGCTGAATAAATACATCTTACATTGTTGACTTTATGATGTGATATGATCATTTATACAAGTACATTTGTTGACTTTTTGCATCTCATTTTTTGTTTTGACTTTATTTTTCAGAGTCATTTGTCACACCAAGCTATTATAATTAATAAATAACCAAAATGATGAATATTGGCATGGGTTCTCACTTAAATTTGTCTCCCATGTTCATGGTAAGATATGGTCAACGCCTCAACATAAACTAGAAATTGTTGACATGGTGAATATTTGTCTATTTATTAGTGATGACCATGAAAATAAATAATAATAATAATAATAAATCAGCAAATACCACAAACCCTTGAGCAAAACAGTACACTCTCATTCAATGCAGACAATACTAGCATGGTCTTGAAGAATTTAATAAGTTCAAACATATTTATCGAAAGAAGAAGGAACCGGGTCTCGGATCCCATTGTCTCTAGATCCAAGTCGTCAAGGTGATTAATCCAGAATCTTCCAGGAATATTTGGATCCGAAAGAGGAAAGAGAGAGAAGTTGACAATATCGCAACAAACCGGGTTTAGGAGCCCATTAGGATATCGGATACAAAGTCGACCTATCGGGTTAATCGAGGCGGGAAGATCCGATATTGGTCAATCCGAGATGAACGAGGCGGTGTCTTGTTTCCCAAGCCGATGGCACTACCACTCTACCTGCGTGCAGTGTAGGAGGAAGACGGGAGGGGGCGGCGCGTCGGAGAGGAAGGGGCAAGGCGATTTCCGTAGGGCCGGAACCCTAGGATTTCTCCACATATAGAGATCGAGCCAGCTCCAAGAAGCAGGGCAGCACCGGTGATATGGCTCGTTACGACCGCGCGATCACCGTATTTTCCCCCGATGGGCATCTCTTCCAAGTTGAGTACGCCCTGGAGGCCGTTCGCAGGGGAAACGCTGCCGTGGGTGTCCGCGGCACAGACACCGTCGTGCTCGGTGTGGAGAAGAAGTCCACTCCGAAGCTCCAGGACTCCAGGTACGCCCTCCACAATTGTAGGTTTACGACGACGGTCGATTGCATTCTCGACTTCCCTCAGACAATGTTTTGTCTGCAGAACCGTGAGGAAGATCGTTAGCTTGGATGACCACATAGCCTTGGCCTGTGCTGGGCTCAAAGCCGACGCCAGGATCCTGATCAACAAGGCACGCATCGAGTGCCAGAGCCATAAGCTTACGGTCGAGGATCCCGTCACTGTCGAGTACATAACCCGGTACATCGCCGGGCTCCAGCAGAAGTACACTCAGAGCGGAGGCGTGAGGCCATTTGGTCTGTCGACGTTGATTATAGGTTTTGATCCCTACAAGGAAACACCCGCCCTCTACCAGACGGATCCTTCTGGAACATTTTCGGCCTGGAAGGCAAATGCGACTGGGAGGAATTCCAATTCGACGAGGGAATTCCTTGAGAAAAACTACAAGGAGACATCTGGGCAGGAGACGGTGAAGCTGGCTATTCGCGCTTTACTTGAAGTAAGCCAGCTCCTTATTATTTATTTTTCTGGGCATGTCCATGAGTCGTTTTTTCTCAATTTAGCGCCATTATTTTTCGTTACACTGTCTTAAAAGGTAATCCCCTTGGTGACCTCATTGCTCATTATATTTACCTAGCCGTTGCATAACCTTTAGTCTTTGTGTGCGGTCCTCAGAAAACATAGGGAAAATGACCACGTATGAACGTTATCACTAGCGTGATTTACTTTTTCCATGTGGAACAATGATTTACTGTTTTTTAGTTGGCGAATACCGTCCACCATAGTTTTTCATCGATTCAAATGACCTTGCGTGAGAGATAGGATGAATATAAAGGTGGCTTTGATTAAACAATCCAGGATTCGTATTTTTTGGTTTGAAGGGTGAAAATGTGATCAAATCATCTGTCATCATCCACTTTGAATGCACTCTTTTATTTAGAACATGATATCCATTTCTTTTAATGAGGCTTAAGAGAGGTCATTTTCCACTGGCCTACTCAGATCTCCCCACAGCATGGAAAATGTTTCACAGGATGGATGGCCATTCTACATACGTAGTCCACGTACTCCTCTAACATTTTTTCATCTAAAGTCGATCAGTATCCCTGCCATTTATAATTTGATACCATGACCGTGCCCTCATGTGGTCCGGTACTTCAAGAAGGAGATTTCTAGTTTTTATGGGCCTCATGTCTTTTCTCCTTGTTGTTCTCCTTGTTGTGGCGAATACTCACAATCTTGTGTAAGATTATTTGATAGGAACAAGGATTCTGTGGACAGAGGGGGTGTCTCCAATAGAGGAATGGACATAGTGATTATAATAATTTTCTGATGAAAAGAGTGCAAGATATTTTAGATTGTAAGAAACTTCAATGAATCAATCTTGAAAGTGCATGTCGAATCCCCAGAATCAGAATATCATATCAGAGAAAAAGATGATTCGAGGTAAATGTTACAGAAGATTGAGACTATTGAAGTTTGAATCGGACTGCCAGAACAGCAAAGACATTGAACATAATTCTGGAAAGATGGGAGACAAAAGTCAAGGAAAGTTCGTGAGTCTCTGGAGAGAAGAGTGAGAGTGGTAGCTTTGAAGTTTCATAGTGTTATTGATGTCCCTGAAAGTAAATCGTCAGAGAAAGGTGAAGATCGTGAACCTATGTTAATGCACGAGCCCCGAGGTAAGGTGCACCAATGTAGGGCGAACTGGCAAGCCCGGGGTAATGTGTATCAACATAACGCTAGCATAAAAACTAAGATACTGTCATTATCAGCTGATACGACGCTGATCAACTGGTTTAGAGTGAAGTTGGTCGTTATTCCGATTCGAGGGAAACTCTTAACGTGTTATAGAGACTTTAAAAATACAAGTCAGACAAATTAGGTGCCCTTAAGCCTTTCCTGGTATAGGTGGAGGAAGAAGAGGAGGAAAGAGAGAAATGACTAGAAGAAGTGTACACATTGCTGACTACAGTTGCCAGAAACTTGGTTTCCCAGTCACCCTTTTTTCATCTTCCCTCCATATCAGCTATAAGTATGAACAACGGGTGTGGAGAACCTTATTGTGGCCTGTTACTACTGCTGTCACCTCTGCTAGTCCTCCACACTGTCTTCTTCTTCATTCTTATTTCCTTCTGGAAAAGGAAACGGATGGAGGTTGCAATGTGTCTTTTTTTTTATTTCTTTTCTGTTCTTTTATTTAAGTTGCAAAATATCCTTATTTTTTACTCTTTAGTTTTTGCATTATTGGCCAGATTTATCTCTTTTCTATCGAATCTTATTCGTTGTGTATGCTTTTTCTCAGCTAAGTCAGAGTTTTGTACGGTACTCATAGGACATGCCAGCCACAGTCCAAATGTTACTCTCCATTCCCGTTTACAATTTATACTTGTCTCCTATCCCTACCTTTTCATGGCAACTCGTTCCTACGCTGATGTCCTATGTCCCTTATGTTCTGATCACTCCTTTCGTTTCTTTTAGGCCTTGTATGATCTTGGTTTCTTATTGAGTTGGCTTGCTTGTAGAATTTGTGCTGAAATTGGTCAACTTTTCGGTGGATTGGAGTTAAGAGTATCTCAAACGAATTTTCAGACCTTTGAAAGTTTTTTAGATAATTCTATCAGCCTTTAATTTGGACAATTCATTGTGACTTTGTGAAAGCCCATCCCACTTGCGTGAGTTGAATAGGCTTTTCAAGACTTTGATCCCAACATGTATTAAGATCATCTCAGTCTGTATGGTTGAAGTTGCAAATATATTTTACCTTCAAAGATTTTTGTGTACACATTCGTGTCAAAACTTAGTTGATTGGAGTCGCAAACAATTCAATATAGCATGACATCTAACCTGTGGATTTGTAGATTTATCATGCCTATGATGAACGAACGAAATTCTCTCAGTTTAAATTGTTTCTGAGAGATTGTTGCATTCCTCTAGTTTTTCAGTATACCAGCTGGGGATGCCTGATGGGTCTTCTTTGAATTGTTAATCTTGTAGAGGTTTTTTCTCTTTGCAAATGGGTCTTCTCTCTTTTCATATTGTTCATTGTATCAGTTTACTTCTTTAGCTCATTTTGTGAGTGAGCGCTTCGTTTTATCTACCTTCTCTATGCTTGCAAATGTTTTCTCTCCACGATAGCATATTTTTTGTTAGGAATAAGCAATAAATAATGTTGAGTAAAGTTCTTTAAGATTTTGGAGGATTTGTAATTCAATGTATTGGCAGAGGTGATCAGAATAAAGAAGTAAGAAATAATGTCGACAGACGCTGAAGGCCAGTGGGTTTAGCTAGCCCTTTGTGGTTCCATTGGTAAAAGAATTCAGCATGCATTGCATCTTCAGGTTGGTGCCATGTTTCCAGCAGTCCTATTGGTTTTTTTTAGCACCAACAGTGAAATTCGTGAGTATCCAGTTGACCGGAGGAGGTATGTGAAAGTAAGCCACGCATGAGAAATTAAAACATGCTAGTCGCGTGTTCTTTTCGGCTTTATCATCGAAAGTGGGAAATAAGTTGTGTGAATTTTCTGAAACGATTTCGAGCTGATGACAGAGTTGAGTGAGGATTACCATGATCATTGCCTTATTGATGTTCCGAAAATCTTTATGCCTTGAGAGCCTGGTTCCCCCTTGGCCTTCTGTTGCTTGACTGGTTCCCACACCATCTTTCTGCCCTCGTTATTCTCTTTGAACGTTGAAATAGACCGACCTCATTCAATCAGTTTTATCCAAAAATCTCACCCATCTTTTTTCAAGAATTTAGCCGAGGTCGTTTCCTCCCTTTATGTTCGGACCAATATCCTTTTTAAAAAATAAAAATAAAATAGAACGTGGGTCTTCTCATCCTCCAGAAACGCATGTCTCACTGATGCTGCAGATGTTGGATATGGTTCATCTATCTTTGGGATTTTGCAGGAAAATGCGTGTTTCTGAGAGTTTTTCTTCCCATCTCTCAGTGACAGATTGACGATCATTATGTTTCATGTAGGGTTTATTAGTCCAATCTACTAGATCCATGTGCCTGAATATTTCCATTCACTTCCATTGATGATTTGATTAGATATTAGCAGAAAGGGAAAAAATCGTTTCCCCTTTAGTCTGTGTGGCACATCCTTTTTTGGATGCGCTCTTCTTGGATGGGCATCCGTGGACCTAGCCGAGGCCTTGCTGGGGCTGCGAGCAAGACAGAGGTAGAGGTAGTCACGGGGTGGCACAGCAGACCTGAGGATGTAACGAGGATTCCTCTGAATGGAGCTGTGAAGATGAAAGTGAGCGATGGAGGAAGGGATGGGCCTGTGGGTTTTCCATTTCTAGCCAAGGGATGCATTTTGTCATCAATCATTCATGCAAAGCTTCCATGATTATCGCGTCCGATTTTATCTTCTTGGATGCTTATTTAATAAGCTTGTCATTCATTTATCTTCTAGTCATCATCATTTTGTTCTTCTTGGTTCATTCGTTGTGAATATGCTCGACTTCTTCTCATCACTCTTACCGAAGTTTCGTCTTTATTGCGCCCAAATCAACCATCTTCCATGCTTGTTTATACGCTGGAAACTGGGTGCTCTCTCTCTCTCTCTCATATCACCGTTCCCGGCGAGTTCCGTCCATAATTCAGGTTTATGAAGCCGGCACTGACCTTCCTCACCCATTGTTTATTATCTCTATCCACGCACAGGTCGTCGAGAGCGGAGGGAAGACCATCGAGATCGCCGTCATGACCAAGGAGGGCCTCCGCCAGCTTGAAGAGGCCGAGATCGACGCCCTCGTCGCCGAGATCGAGGCCGAGAAGGCGGCTGCTGAGGCTGCCAAGAAGCCCCCTCCCAAGGACACATGAGCCGCCGTAGCCGCCATCGCCGCCTTCTTCCAAGATCTTCTCCTCCTCTGGTCTTGCGTATTTGCTTGGTTACTCAGAGATTGCTTCGTCGGTGTGTTTAATGGAACCAGGGAGAGGAGGGGGTAATCTGGTCTGATTGGGCCTCGCCGACGGGATGAGATTGCGATTGAAAATGGTCCTGGAACTCTTGAATTAGCTGAGCTTGACTTCTGGCGCTAGCTGGTCTGATTGACTTTTGACACGATAAGTCCAGCCGCGCACATGAGGCCACCGACAAGAGTGAGAGTGAGATTGAGTGTGTGTGTGTGTGTGTGAGAGAGAGAGAGAGAGACCTTTACCTACCACGTGGACAGCGACTTAGCAAAGCGGGGTGCAGTTTCTGCGGGGTTATTCCGCCCCCTCCTCTAGCATTCCGACCTCTCTCGTTCTTATCCACTTGTGATTCAACATCTCTCTCTCTCTCTCTATCTCGATGGAACAATCAGTCAAATCTTTCTCCGTGGGTCAGATTATATCCTAGGAAGAATCCTTCCAAGGCACTAGAATAAGCTGGACGAGTTGGAATCATATATGTTTCTCGGGTAAAAATCTCACTTTTGATGGTCATTTGTCGGGCACACAGGCCAGTAAGCCGACGGCTTAGCTAGAGAGAGAATGTGCCAGAAGATGGGTCCCCTCCCTTCACGTTCGCCGGCGGTGCTCGGACATCCCCCTCCTCTCGCGCTCGGAAATCTGTTCGTTTAGGGAAGAAGATGGTCCACAAGATACCTGAGGAGGAAGAAGAGAATCCTTCCCCGGCCGGCGGCGCTGATCGGACCCAATGATCAATAAAAACATAAGCCGCTTCCTTTTCGAGCAACAGAGATCTACATGCATCTCGTAGAACCAGTTTCAGAAGTATGTGTGTGTGAGAGAGAGAGAGAGAAAGAAACAGAGAGACGATAGTTCCGTCAGGTGGAAGAAGAGAGAAAGAATAGAAGATAGCGATTTCTCTTCTTCCTCTGTTCTTCACAGACTCATCTGAAGGCCTCTGTAGTCCAGAGCGCCCGTGCTGAGGCGGCGGAAGTCGTTGCACTCGCAGCCATCGCCTCCCTGCAATCCCAAGCTGCAGATGAAGCAGCCTCCGCGCCTTTGCTGCTGTTGCTTCTGTTGCTGCTGCTGCCCGTAGGGCAGGCTTATGGAGAGGTCGAGGTTAAGGTCGGGGCACGGTGGATCCTGCGGCGGCGCCTCCAGCTCTCGGCGAACTTCCTCCGCCTTCTCCTCAGAGACGGAATTCTCTCCCGAGAGGGATGCCCTGCAGGGACGGTGCGTGGCGGGGTCTATGCCGCTGCGCAGAAGCTTCCTCTTGATATGGGAGTTCCAGTGGTTCTTTATCTCGTTGTCCGTTCTTCCCGGCAGCCTCCCGGCGATCAGAGACCACCTGAACCACCACAAAAGATCGGCGTTTAGCTTCGCTTTCTTCTCGCAGATATCGAAGAAAGAGTGATTCTGGGTGGGTTCTCTCAGGGCACCGCCTGTTGCCGAGGACGCGGTGGAGCTTGATGATGAGATCGTCCTCCTCGTCGGTGAAGTTGCCGCGCTTCAGGTCGGGGCGGAGGTAGTTGATCCACCGGAGCCGGCAGCTCTTCCCGCAGCGGAGGAGCCCGGCGGCCTTGGGCAGCAACCGCCAGCAGCCCTCCCCGTGCCCCCGTATGTACGCCACCAGGCGGTCGTCCTCTTCCTTCGTCCACGTCCCCTTGTTCGTGTGCCCTTTCTCGCAGCACGGAGACCTCCCCATATCCTCTCTCTCTCTCTCTCTCTCTCTCTCTCTCTCTATCTATCTATCTATCTGTTTATCACTCGCTCGATAGCTCGGTATGTCTGTTTGTCTGTTGTCTATGTTGGGTGAGGTGTATGGGCGTTTGACTGGAGGGGAAGAAGAAGAAGAGGCGAAAGGCTCTCGGCATCGGCGGGTGGAACCGGAAGGAGACGCAAGTTGGTGGGGAGGAACAGGACGGAGGAGAGGGGAGAGCAGCCAGTGGTCATCTTCATGACCTGACGTTGACCCTCCCCTTGGTAGCCAGGGTTTTCCGCAGCAATCTGATCTGTAGGTCGCTTGGATCTTGCTCCCCCTAACTCCTCTCACTCTTATCCTAGCGAGAGAGAGAGAGAGAGAGAGAATCACGGGGTACCTCCGTTGTGGATGGATGAGACCGACCAGCTCTCGAGCCCGATTCACACCTGGAACGAACTCTCCGATGATCTGCTGTGAGGTCTGATAACCTTTCAGTCAGAGAGAGAGAGAGAGAGTGCGTGCTTTCAGAGAGAGTTTCGGAACCTGAGCAGGTGGGTTAACCTAGGTTAATCCTCATCGAGTGGTTATCTGACCTGGGAAGAAGCGCCGCCCCCACCGCCCACCTTGACTGTTCCCTTTTTATTTTTCCTTAACACTTCACCCATTTTCGCTGTTTATGGAAATTGAGAAAAACCATGGTTTTGCAAGTCAAAAAAATTAGGGAAATGCCTTAAATTGTAGGATTATATTTCCTAATAAAATCCTAAAATGTTTGGTATTCAGTCATCTCACCCAGAATCATATAAAATTAGATAAGCAGGTACCATCACAGAATTGGAGGGGAGAGAGAGAGAGAGAGAGAGAGAGAGAGATGTCAGCCTTCAGACAGTGGTGATTCGTCCGCCGCCGCCGCCTTCACGGTGGCGGAGACGACGGCGACGGCGCTTTTTGGCCGGCGGTTTCGCGTATCCTTCCGACACCAACTAGATAAGGATGGTGCGGCGGAGTGTTCCCGCAGTTCCTCGCGCATTCATTCGACATTTATGGTTCGTTGCTCGCCGCCGGCTCACTTGAGGGGCAGGAGTCAAAGGTTGCCGTAGGCAGACAAAGTCAACATTTTTGCCATCTCGATCCGTGACTCTTGGGAACACGACGTGCGAGTTACGTCATCGCTGTGCTCATGTGAGGTCCACATGATCCAATTCGACCTATCTCTTGCCTGGAAAATGCTCACCGCTAGTTCCTCCACGTGTCCCTCACGTGAGACAGAGAGCATTACTTCTAGATTAAATTACAAAGAATTACAAAGCCCATTCCTTAAAAAATATTATTGTATTTTAATCTTTTACCTGAAAAAATAAATTGTGTATAAAACCCTATGAAGGAAGGTCACCAACGTCCTGCGGTGATGTCCCCGCGGAGGGGATTTTGGTCTATTAAAGGGAACAGGTTTATCAAAACCGGTCCTGAGAGATGCGAGACATCGGACACCGACACGTGAGGCCCGGGTCCTACTGCCGCCCCAGGACCTTCCTCTCTATTGCCGGACCTCCCTCGCCACAACGGCTAGATTTTCAAACGATCGACAACGGTCGAATGGTTCCCTTCCCGTCTCAACAATATTACCCAAACGGCGCCTGCAACTCTTCCTGTCCCCCCTCCTCTCTCGCTCTATCCCTGCAATTCTTCCCGACCCTCCGCTAGAGAGAGTGTGTGTGTGAGAGAGAGAGGCAGAGAGATAGAGATAGAGAAAGGGAGGATGATGCAGCATCCGTGGAACGAGGCGGTGATCGGAATCAGGGCGACCAAATCTGCGCCGTGCTCGCCGATCAAGCCGGCGGCGCCGCCGCCGCGGGCGGAAGGCTTCCACGCCGCCCTCAAGGTCCCCGTGGGGGACACGCCGTACGTCCGGGCCAAGCGCGTGCAGGTGGGCTATCATCGCCGCCGCGGCCGGAGAAATCGGTAACAATAGCTCCCTGGTTCTGTTTCTTAATCTCCTCCTTCCTCCATCTCCGTCGCAGCTGGTGGACAGGGACCCGGAGAAGGCCATAGCTCTCTTCTGGGCGGCGATTAACGCCGGCGACCGGGTCGACTCGGCCCTCAAGGACATGGCCATCGTGATGAAGCAGCAGAACCGGGCGGAGGAGGCCATTGAGGCCATCAAATCCCTCAGAGTCCGCTGCTCCGACCAAGCCCAGGAGTCCCTCGATAACATCCTCCTTGATCTCTACAAGGTCCCCTCACTCTCTCATCTCTCTCTGCGGATCTTCTTCTTCTTCTTCTTCTTCTGGTCTCACCGGCGAGGTCGTGCAGAAGTGCGGAAGGCTGGAGGACCAGATCGCGCTGCTGCAGCACAAGCTCCGGCTGATCCAGCAAGGCATGGCGTTCAACGGGAAGAGGACGAAGACGGCGCGGTCGCAGGGGAGGAAGTTCCAGGTGTCCGTGGAGGAAGAAGCGACCCGCCTGCTGGTAAAAAAGAAAAAGAAAAAGAAATAGAAGTTGCAGGATGAATCCCATGGCGTGTCGAGGGGGACTGGTTACTAATCTGGGTAAAAGTTTTGCAGGGGAATCTGGGGTGGGCGCTGATGCAGAAGGAGAGCTACGCGGAAGCGGAGGTCGCGTACCGGAGGGCGCTGCTGATCGGGCCGGACAACAACAAGATGTGCAATCTGGGGATCTGCCTGATGAAGCAAGGAAGGGTGGCGGAGGCGAAGGAGACCTTGGAGAGGGTGAGGCCGGCGATGGCGGACGGGCCCAGAGGAGTTGACTCCCACCTCAAGGCCTTCGAGAGGGCGCAGGAGATGCTCCGCGACCTCGAGTCCAGGACGACGGCGGCGGCGGCGGCGGGGCTCCGGTGGCCGGAGGGCAGCGGCGCCGCCGGCGGTTGCTTCTTCTTCCCGGCGAGCTCCGCCGTTTGGCGGCCGCTGCAGCCGGGAATCGGGTCGGATCATTTCGGGGACGAGAACGCCGCCGAGGTGGCGAACGGGAGCAAGGTGGTGGCGCCGCCGCGCAAGGCGGCGGAGCAGCCGTATCTGAAGAAGTCCCTCACCGCAGCGCCTCCGCCCTTCTACCCGAAACAGCGGGTGAAGAAGACGGCGGAGGAGGAAGAGGCCCATCGTCGCCTGTTCCTGCAGGACCCGCTGGGGAACCTCAAGAGGACCAGGTCCAGCGGGGCGGCGGCGGCGGCGGCGGAGGATTGGTTTACGGTGGCGGCGGAGCAGACGCGGCGGAGTCTGGAGATGCTTCCGGATGATGAGGCATTCGATGAAGCCATCGTGGCGGCGGTTCTGGCGCCGGTTCTGGAGGCGGCGGCGGCGGCGGAGCCCCCACTCGCCGGCAGCTCTTCCTGCCCTCCTTCTCCGGCGGGCGGCGGCGGCGGCGTCTTGGCGGGGAGGAAGGTGGGGAAGCGGCTGAGGGTCTTCCAGGACATCACCACGCAGTGCCTCAGCCCCCAAGCTTAGGGAGGAGGAGGAGGCTCTTTTCTAGATAGATAGACAGATAGATAAGATAGATGCCTCATCGATTTATATAACTTCATCGAATCCGTCGCTCTCTGGACGGCCATCTGGAGGAGATGAGCTTCCTCTCCTCCTTTTTCCACTGTCGCTGTCATTCAGCCAGAGAGAACAAATAAATAATAACCTCAATGTTATTATTATTATTTCAGTTGTCGCGGCCAAGTGCGATCATCTTGAGTGAGGGGTGTGTTCCTCGATCTTTTTGACTCATACGGAGGGGAGATTTCTGTTCATTCACTTCCTCCGGGAGACCTCGTAGAAGTAGCTTAGAATGACGACGGCGGCGGCGACGGCGACCCCCACGGCGCTCTGGGCCAGCACCACGCTGGTCGTGGCGTCTGACTTGCTGCCGGACGATGCCCTCGGAGTGAACCCCAGCTCGGAGAGCTTCTTGTGCGACTCCGCGTAGTCCTTGAAGAATGCGTCCTCGTCCTGCCCACAAAGCATCTTCTTCCTCTCAGACACAGAGAGAGAGAGAGAGAGAGAGAGAGAGAGAGAGAGAGAGAGAGCTCAATACCTTGGCATACAGCTTAACATAACGGGCGAATTCAGAGTCCTCCATGAGGGCCTTGTCGGTGGGGAGCTTGAGAAGGCCCTCGTTGTCTGCCTGTATCAGCTCCCTGGAACACAAGACCCAACAATCCGAACAAGCTTTTTCTTCTTATTATTATTTTTTTCTACCTCTTTCGGCAGAGATCCAGGAAAGTCAAAGAAACTGAAGATGATGACTGCTCTTACACGAAGTAGGAATTGTCAAACTTGAGAGGCTCCCTAGTCCACGGGCCATCGAAGCCGGACCTCTCCGGGTGCGCCCTTCCCTGTTGAAGCGAAACCAAAAGCATCAACACCCGGTTCAAGTCTCAGAGAGCAAAAGATTCAAAATCTGTTGCTGCTACCTACCAGTGTGTGACCACCGGACAGAGCCACGATGTCCTTGTCCGATAGACCCATCCTATAAAAGATATCCCTCAGATGTGCAGCACCTATAACCAGGGACGAGTTCAACAAGGTTAAGTAGTAGTCAGTAGTCGTGCCCAGTCTGACATGAGGAGGGACTGAAACGTCGAAGAGGGAGGGTGGATATGGAGAGCCGGGCTTGGTGATCTGACCATACTCTCTAGTTAAGAGGAAATATAATATAAAATATGCATATTTCTGGCGCTTTCAATGAGATGGAGAGGAAACCTTGTTTAGCATCAGGGAGGCGTCCTTCTCTAGGGGATACAGAGGAATCCTGACGGACAAAAAGGAACCAAACATCAGCACACTCATCGACGGAAACACTGATTGGTTGAAGAAAGAATGGCGTTTCCTACCCTTCGGCCGGGAACAAAGTCAATGGTCGGTCCTCCTGTAACCTCGACTGCAACAACTCCAGCAAGCTGGTATACCAATCCATGTCAATTAGGTTAGATAACAGCAACCGTCTCGTGAAATGGATTTATAAAGCAGTCCGTTCATCGGCAATAACCAAATAAAATAATTCATACATTCAATAGTTGGCCTATCGATTTCAGAATGGCAGAGTCTGTGATGTGTGTACAGAGCATGTACCACACAAACGTATGTGTACATGCTCCTCCGGAGCTTATTAATGGCATTAATTTGCGTCCATGTATCAAAAAGTGTACGGAAAGATAAATAGACAAAAGGTCCACCCCCATCTTTGCTTTGTATGTAGATAGGCCAACTATCCCCCCCCTTTCATGGTCCGACAGAAGAATTGGAGCAGAAAAAATTTTAAATTCTTAATTCAGACAAAAAGGCATTTACAACAGGGAAAATAATCGAAAATGCCCGATTATATCATCACCTGATAAAGGTCCGCATATGTGATCCTTGGATGTTTAACCTTCACAGTCTCTGGTAACAGGGGAGAAAAAGAGCATGTCAGAAATCGAATAATTTTATACACGATTTAGTCTACAGTAACAATCTAGAACGTTCCATGCTTCAAAGGGCTCAAGAACGTCATTAGAAAGCAAACACTTTAAGTATTTCAATAAGCAATTAGAAGAACGAATTACGAGAACAATCTAACCTTCCAAGGAAATAAAGTAATTGACACCATCCATCGCAAAAAACATGCCGAAAATATAAAATATTTATGCGAATTGGTCCTTCAGATTACTCGTAGAAGGTCAGGTATTAGCCATGATAAGAAAGCTCGACTGAAGAAGACCGTGAAGTGAAGGAAAGAGAAGTCGAATGGAATCATTATCACCGAAGGGTGGGATAAAGAAACGTACACAATCTATCTGATCTTTGTAATCTTGAGGCATATATAGCAACAGGATGGAAACCCATATCATTATAAATTCTGCAGTCTAATTCCTGGTATCTTACTTTTTCATATTTCAAATTACAATATAATCAAAGAAGTAAGAGGTCTCATTTTCTCTTACATTCCAAAACTCTGACATAAATCAACACAAAAATGGTATAGAAGCTTCAGCCAGCCATAGCACATGGCAGAAATTCTAAATCCACTGATGAATTTTAACGAAAGCAAAACCAGAAAAAAAAACCCTAGAACTGAAAAAAAATAATCATAAATAATTAAAAAAACAATTTATCTTACATTTTCTTTGACATGCTGGAGACAAACACTGCAAATGATATGGCAGAGAAGGATAATGCAGTGAATCACTAAAAGGTATAGTTTAAGACGATCCAAGAGTTGATAAATATGGATACTAGCTCACCACAAAGATCTATAGCTATCTTTAATCCAGCATTTGCACCATGTTTGTACTCTTCCTCGTGCCTAATGGAACCATTTGGACCACCTGTCTTTGTGTTCACATCATAAGTACCAGCATCATGCCAACTGCAAGGGAAAAGTAGTATAAACAAATGCTGCATTGAGGTGGAAAAAAAAATAGCTTCAATATGCAAAGAAATATAATACAAAAAACCACTATAATTTTTTTTAAAAAGTGATAATGGTAAAAGAAAATTGCAAGTATCTTCATTGTGACTTCTTATGTATGAAATTTCATTCTGAAACTATAGAAAACTGTAATATGAACACATGAACCAAATATTTGTACCTAATACTAGTAGAGGAATTGAGAAAGCCCAATCTTCTCAATCAACAACAACTCACCATATAATGCCAAGCATATCCATCATCATCATATAAAAAAAATGATGCATTGAGGTGGTAATGCAATACGCGAAGAAATGTAATACAAAAAACACGAATTTTTTTTTTAGAATAAAATTTGCACCTATCTTCATTGTCAACCAAATATTGTGTCATCTAAACCAGATGTTGCACAAGAGCTAATCCTTTACAAGGTGGCCATAATTGACAAGAAAAAATGTTTTTGAATGATAAACAGCACGTAAGAGGAGACTTAATGTAGAGACAACACAATCATTAGTGTGCTGATAAGTTGAGAGAACAGAGAATTCAAACGACTACTGATTATGGAGAGATCAAGCCATGCAAAATGTATAACTCTAGCAAATAATTTCTCAGTTTAGGAACAAAGTTAGCAGTGATGCTAACAGCAAGAAAGCATTGAGAATACTTCTCAGTTGGGAACTCCTCTCCAGACAACAACAGACATGGTCTGGAACCACGGTCTAGCGATGCCCCAACGTACGGATATAAGATATCAAGAGATCGATCAAACAAATAAAAGTGGGACCAATATTCTGTAATGCAGTAAGCTGTCCTCCGAACTCTATGAGCTTTTTATCACATCGGAGAAAAATTACCAACCATGGATAGAAATCATCATACTCCCCGTCCCTCATCGTAGCAACCGAACAACGAAACCGAGTCTTCTAGCAATAGAAGCAGGAGAAACTAATAGAATTCTCTCAGGATGCAACCAGCGGTTCCACGAGCATAACCACGAAACGGAGCATAAGGCATAAAGAACTCATGGAAAGAGACTGACGGAGACCTAAAAATATATAACAATAGGGAGAATTATATCAAATGATCGGACTCGACACGGACTGTCGACAACATTCCAGCAGGAGGATATCCAATTGATTCAGAAGAAAAAGGCAGGTGGAAACAATTGGAAGCGCAAAAAACAGCGAGTGAGTGCCCCAAATCTGCATCCGTTAAGGGGAAAAGAATACACACAAGCAGAAGACACGAAGAGATACGCAAAACGAAATTCCACACTCACGCGAGGCGAAGCATGATTGGGGCGCAATTCTTGCTTGCGATGAGGGCGCGGAGCTCCCTGCGGACCTTGTCGATCTCCCTGAGATACGCCGCATCCACCACTGGAGCCGCCATGGAACCGAGGGCACCTGAACCGCAGCTTGTGAACAGAGCCCAGATGGAAGAGATAGGGCGAGAGTGAGGGTAGGGGCCGGAATATGTATATGTATCGTGAAGAAACAGCACGTGGCACTTTCTTATTGGATCCCATGGAACGACCCATCTCTCAGGCACGACTCTCAATGACATTATAACCGTCCAAGCCATAGATCCCACAGGGGACACCTCACATGAACCGTGCGATTCTTACGACGCAGATCGAGGACGATCTTTATTCACCTGCTGCGGGTTTTCCTCTAGAATATCGGTGACGTCATCGCCCGCCGTTTCGTCTCCGGCGCCGGCCGAATCCTGCACTCTAGAGCAGTATACGCATAGTACTTTCCCAGAGGGTTATTGACAAGTAAATAATTATTTGGGGGTTTTTCTTCAAGTATTCCCCTTCAACGGCCATCCGAGATTTCAAAAAACTCCACGGCAGGGAGGGAGAGAGAGAGGTAGAGGAGAGAGATTTCCTAAAATGCTCCCTGCAGCTTCCACTAGCGCGCTCCCCCAGAAAAGCCGAGGAGGCCTCTGACTCATGGAAGAAATGACATGTATACCCTTTTAGTATCACGAAACGCTCGAGGGGCACGTCAGGGGCGCCGCAAATTAAGGCCCGCCACGTTGCACTCTTCCGCGCCAGGCTACCGTTAGAATGTGAAATATGACTACAATACCCCTAATATCTTCTCAAATTGGGGTCATGAAGCGTCGTGGTCGGGATCCAGACGGACTGTTATTAATAGGGTGATCAGTGGCTTTTGGGTCATTTATTATTTGGAGGGAAGGTGGTCTTCGCTAGGCGACAAATAGATGAGCTCTCTGCCCGACACCAGCCGTGCTAGTAGTGCATCTCAGAACTGTTTCCTCTCTCGTCTCAGAGCACCGTATCCTTGAGAGAGCTGCGGCGAGCCCCAGTTTAGAGAGGGAAGGGAGCAAGAGAGAGAGAGAGAGAGAGGAGGAGCTTGAAGAAGGGAATGGGCGTTGTTGGGAGAGAAGAGAGGGGGAGGGTTCTCCCTGCTGTGGGGAATCGGAGAGGCGGCGGTGGTGGGGAGCAAGCTTGAGCAGGAGAAAGGGAGGGTTTGTTCGATCTTTTCTCCATCGAGTAGAAGAGACTGGTTGAGAGCGAGACAGAGGGAGGGAGGAGGAGAGAGAGAGAGAGAGAGAGAGAGATGGGGTGTTGCCAGTCGAGAATGGAGCTGGAGGAGACCCTGTCAAGATGCAAGGCACGGCGGCGCTACATGAAGCAGCTGGTGAAGGGGAGGCAGGCCTTCGCCGTCGCCCACTTCCTGTACCTCCGCTCCCTCCGCTCTACCGGCGCAGCGCTCCTCCAGTTTGCCAATGCCGAGTCTCCCGTGCGCCACCACTTGCCGCCCATGGCCCCCTCGCCGCCACCCACCCCGCCGCCGCCGCAACAGTCCAAAGCTCCACCATCGCCGCCGCCGCCGCCCCAGATGAGTCCGTGCTCCGACAACTGGACTTCAGCCACAGCTTCGCCGCTCCTCCACCCGCCGCCGCCGCCACCGCCGCCGCCGAGCTCCTCTAGCTGGGATTTTTGGGACCCCTTCCTCCCTTCTTCTCGGTCCGTTGCAGAGGAGTGGGAGGAGGCCACCACCACCACTACCACCACCACGACGGTCTCCGAAGCGGCGCCGGCGAACGCTGCCCCACCACCGTCTTCGGTGGTCGGTGGGTTCTCCATCTCCGAGGACTCGGCCAGTGAGCTCGCCTTGGTGGTCTCCAGGAACAAGAAGAGCCTGTCGGAGATTGTGAAGGAGCTCGACGATTATTTTCTCAAGGCGGCGGACGCCGGCAACCGGGTCTCCGCCTTCCTGGAGGCCCCCACCTGCGGTTTCTCCTCCGATCAAGGACTGACGGGCAAGACCCTCTTCTTCGTCTTCCTCCTTTTACCAGCTGGATTAATTAACCCTAGTTCGATCTGCAGGCAGAATTTGCAGCTACGGCAGGAGTCTGAGCCCACTGCGGTGGCCGTGGGGATGGAGCTCGAAGGCGAACCAGTTCGGCGGCTTCGAGCGGCTGGGGGAGGCGTCCATGGCGAAGAGGGACGCCGCCCTCTTCGGTGGCGACTTCATGAGCCACCGCTCCACCGTGGAGAAGCTCTACGCGTGGGAGAAGAAGCTCTACCTCGAAGTGAAGGTAAGCACCACTCCCCCCTCCCCCCACCGCGATCCGCCATTATTTCTAGTTTTTTAGAGGGAGCTCACTCAGTGGGGGCTATGGCGGCAGAACGCGGAGAGATTGAAGGAGGAGCACGAGAAGAAGGTGGGGCTGCTGAGGAGGCAGGAGGCGAGGGGGGCGGACTACTTTAAGGTGGAGAAGACGAGGAAGGAGATCGAGAGGCTCGAGTCCAGACTGACCGTCGCCTCCCAGGCCATGGAGACCACCTCGTTGGAGATCGTCCGGGTCAGGGAGGCTGAGCTCTTCCCTCAGCTCATCGAGCTCCTCAACCGGTCGGCGCCTCCCTCTCTCTCTCTCTCTCGCTCTTTCTCCTCTGTCCTCTCTCTCTCGCTTGCTCTGGATCTAATCCAGTCTCTTACGGGGGGCAGATTGAGGGCTATGTGGAGGAGCATGTACGAGTGTCACCAGGTGCAGACCCACATAGTCCAGCAGCTGGAGTACCTCAATGACGGCGGCGGCGGCGGCGGCGGCGGCGTCGCTGACCCGACGTCGGAGCTGCACCGGCAGTCGACGCTGCAGCTGGAGCTTGAGGTGCAGCGGTGGCATTCGTCGTTCTGTGAGCTGGTCGAGTCGCAGAGGGACTATATCCACTCGCTGGCCGGCTGGCTGCGGCTCTCTCTCTTCGGCGGCGGCGCCGGGAAGCCCCACCACCACCACCACCACATCACGGCGGAGATCTACTCGCTGCTGGAGGAGTGGCAGCTGGCGCTGGACAGGGTCCCTGACAAGGTGGCCTCGGAGGGGATCAAGAGCTTCCTCACCGTCGTCCACGCCGTCGTGCTTCAGCAGGAGGAGGAGCACCGCCAGCGGCGCCGCTCGGAAGCCGCCGGCCGGGCGCTGGAGAAGGCTGCTGCGGAGCTGATGAGGTCCTCGCCAGCGCCGGCGAGGGAGGGGAAGGTAGCGGCGGCGAGGGCCAGAGCGGAAGAGGAGAAGACCAAGTGGGAGAAGTCCGCAGGGATAACCAGGGCAATGACGCTGAACAGCCTCCAGACCGGGTTCCCCAACGTCTTCCAGGCCATGACCGGCTTCTCCGGCGTCTGCACGCAGGCTTTTGAGTCTGTCTACGGCCATCGCCGGAGCCCCCGCGAGCTCAAGATGCTTCTCCCTTGAGAGAAGAAGAAGCTCTCTCTCTCTCTCTCTCTGTACAGACACCTCCGATTTGCTAATTAATTAATACACAGTGAGGGTGGGCCGGTGGTGGATTTGCATTCTTCTTCGTCATCTGAAACTCAACCCAACCAGGATACGAACAGAAGAGGTGCCATTAACAATCAAAAGAAGCAAACTCACGAGTAGAAGAAGAATATGTACAGGGATCCGCCCGGCCGCTGACTATTGCGCGGTCAACGAAGCAATCTGAGGATATCCCTGCATAAACAAGAAAGTCGAAGAACGAACGGACGAGCAAACCCCTCCCCGGCGGCGGCGTGGAGAAGAACAGAAGCGGAACTCCATCCTACGACGTCCTCCATTGGAGCTCGATCTGGAGGCGGCCGTTCCGGGAGTCGATCAGATGGTACCTCTCGTTGATCCGCCGGTTGTTGACCACGTCCCCCACGTTGACGTCGATGTACCCGAGCGTTTCCTGGTTGACCGAGAAAGAAACAAAGAAGAAGGAAACAAAGTCGCACCAGTTGACTTAAAAACGCATCCACCCTCGGAGTTTTGCGACAAGAAGAAGAAGAAGGAGAAGGAAGAAGAAGAAGCCGATGCCTGTTCTTACCTTGGAGTGTATGCCGATGCTCGGGGGCCGGCTGACCACTTCCACGTGGATTCTGTCATTCACGGGCGGCTCCTCGCACATGAATGTGAACTCCTCCTCCCACCTCGGATCCCTGTTCTTCTTAACGTGCTGCGTCCACATTTCAGGTGGATCGGTCAATCAAGAAAGCCCAATAAATGAGGGGGAGAAAAGTCAACTAGAAGAATCCGTCACCTTGGTCTTCTTCTCCTCCCCCCTGAAGAGGAGGCGGACGAAGGGGTTGGTGTGGTGTTTGCCCTCGAGGTCCTGGGCTTCGTGGACGATCACCACGAGGAGGCCGCCGGTGGAGGGAGTGCCCTCGGGGGCCTTCTCCACGACGTTAACGTCCTGATTCTCGGAGACGTTCTCCAGCTCTTCCTCCTTGAAGGGCTTGTACGTCACCTCCACGATGACCTGGCCGCGGGCCTTCTCGTTCTGCGGGTCGTTGGGATCCATGTTCTTCAGGAGCTCCAGGGTCAACGTCTTGGGCTCGTCGGGGGTGAGGTCCTTCAGGGGGACGACGTTCACGCCCATCTTTTCATGCTTTCCCACCTAAGAAAAATGGCATCCAGGGGCTTTGACTAATTATATTATCGTATGAGAGAGAGAGAGAAAGAGAGAGGGTGGCGTGCCTGTTCCCAGTCGTAGACGATCAGCTCGAGAGTCTGGGTTGAGGGGTCCTTGACGACGAGGTTGAACTCCTCGTTCCACTCGGGATTGAGGTTGCTGTGCTTGACGGTGGTCTTCTTCGCGGGGAGCTTCTCTTCGGTGAGCTTCAGCTTGACGTAGGGGTCGGATTTGCCCAACAAATCTTTCTTCTTCAGTTTGAGGGCTCTGACGACCTTCACGTGCAGAATCCCGACGGGTCTCTTCATTGCTCTGTGATATTCGGCGCGAAGGAATTAGGATGGAGAAACCTGGGGTTTCTCCCTCTCTCTCTCTCCTCTCTCTCTCTCTCTACAGAAATTACGATGAGAGAAGAAGAGATTGGTACTACTTGGATGGATCCATGATAGGGACTTCCAGCGTCTTGGGCCAGAGGTACATGTTTGCTACTTGATCCTTGATGATCTCCTGCAGATAAATTAATGAATTAACAGATTTTCAGGGAAAAAACATAATTTTCTATGATTTCTCTTGATTGATCATAGCCACAAGTAATTGGGTAAACACCAGAAAAATAATCATGCGATTGATTCAAGTAAATGGGAATTGAGCCTGAAAGACAATAAAGACTAATAAAAAAATAATATCACAGGTGAAAATAAACATCACAAATTAAAATATACAAAATAAAAATGCACATAAAATAATTAGAAAAAAGAGAATTTAACAAGAAAAATAAATAAAAAAGGGTAAGAGGATTAGGCTCTGCTAACCATTTCAGACAGAATGCAATCAGAAAACTGCGGGAGGTACTATGACAGTTAGGGGTCGCTTCTATGAACAAGTTAGAGTTATTGGAGAAGCTCATCCACGAGAGGGAGCAACAGAGTGAGTATAGGTGATCCGGTGATCTGATACAACGATCTTGTAAACTACTGACTTGCCTGGACTCGGGTGCTTTACCCATGCTAATGCATTGACCATCGCATCGAAAAAAAAAAAGATGACCCTCCATTGCCAACTAAATTACCATTGTTGGCCCAGGGTTTTCTTCAAAATATGTGTGAATTTAGTAAGGGAAAGAATCCGACCCTTTCTGTATGAAGGTAATAATTCAAAATTACCATTTTTGGCCCTGGGTTTTCATCAGTATCCCAACGGGAAAACAGAAGAATCCATCCCCTAGTTAGAACAATAACTGAGGCCAGAAAACGCAGCAAGATGACACAACGAGTACAAACATGAGCGCCATACCTGAACTACTCGGTATAAACCAGGAATTGCCATAACATCAGCTCCAAGAAGTTTTAGCCCAAAGTCAACGTGTGGCTGCAGGGAAGAGAAAAGAGGTAAGCAATGACATGACATCTTCTCATAAAAACTAAAACTGAACCGGCAAAGGCACAATATGATCATTTCCCCGCACCTTTTCCATTAGTGAGACGATAATGTTTGCAAAACATGGAAAACTCGGGACTAACGGCTTTAATGTGATCCGTGGTATGGCAAACACTTGCAAATCCACCAGCTGAACTTTCGCAAGAAAGGAAAAGTCCACAGCTATTTACAGAGACTCAATGGTCATCAACATCAGGAAAGAATCGAATGAAGCATGCAATGAGTTGATAACCTGCACAGTTGCTTTGAGGCCATATGCTTTGACAACAACAGTAATATTTGGATTACCAGCCCATTTGAACGATGGCTCCATAATTAGCTCTTTCTCGTCAGTAGTATAAACCTTCATGCCTAAGAAAGGCATCGTGGTTTTAGACGTAGACTCATATAATGAAATAAGCATATGATTCTAATAAAAAAAAAATCGTTAAATGAACTCCTAAAATAAAGATTACTAATGCAGAATTGGACGAAAATGAGTTCAAATTGGACTGTACAGAAAAGTCGAATCCCAAATAGATTCATGAAAAGAAGTAGAGCAGAATCCTTTGAAACATGTATTAGAGAGGCAACCGATGCAATCATCTGCATGAGTAACACATTACCTTCGCATTCAGAGCATAAGCAAGGTCGTCAAAGTGAACCATGAAATACGAAGAACAGTTCATCCACACATCGTAGTGGCTACGAGGTTGCGAAATATCAGTCAAAACAGATGGCCCGGGTATGGTTCACAGTAGATATAAAACTTTATTATCTTGAGGTAGTTCTCATAACGGATACCAACATTACACTATTATTTATAGAGTAATCAGAAACCCAAGGAGATGAGGGAAAACCAAATAAAGCTACGATTAGAGCTATGCTTAAACTTAAGTTAAAAGACTAAATGCGAATTTCATCCAGAAATGGACCAGTACTGAATCTCATACGACCCCAAAAGACGTTTTATCATAAGACAATGGAAAAAAAAAAGGAAATTGACCGAAAAAATTCTTAATTTTAAGTTCCAGTACCCAAACATTAAAAAAAATCATGAAATGCTAATCAACAACAATCACCCACTTTAGTCCCTGCTGCTAGGACTTGATCTTTATCTCTTCTCCCTTCTTTCAGGTTGATTCTCACTGTCTAACCATCATGTCAACATCAATTTACATAAGCTTAGTTCTGCCTCTTCTACAATGGAGAAAAAAAAAAAACTGGTTACCTCTACTTCATCACTATGTTCGCTAGAGTATGGAAATAAGGAAGATGAAGAAACAAGATAGTTTACTTTCAACGAAATAGAGACTATAAGGATGTCATTTAAAGGTTGGCTTTTCCATCCATTATTTATTTTAATTTCTGTCCTTGTTCGCTATAGAAAACGTATCAGAAGCCAGATATGACTTTTGCTAATTGAAGGTCCCGTCATAAATTAAAAAATAAGGATAAGGTCCATTCAAAATCATAGATTTCAACGTAACTTAGGCTGACAAGACATTTCAAATGTTCCTTCCTTGTGAAGGTCATTATAAATTAGTTTTAAAATTTGGACCGTCCCTCAGACAGATTTACGTCACTCATAATAATTTCTGTAGACTGAAAATGGACGTGCATCTACCTGCCTTGCACACATTGAAAACCTATTATCACTGAAATGCAATGTCTTCCCGCACACCAACCTAGCAGCAGACTCTCATTAATTTTGAGAAGTTGACGTGGCAATCACTTACGAAATTCCCACTCAACTATAATTGATCAAAGATCAGAAAAGACCACACAAAACTAATGAATAAAAAACTTTTCGAAGGCAGAATAACAATAAAACTACAAGAAATAAACACTAATCTATCTGCACACTGGTCATGTAACAGGAACTAGATGAATACATAGACAAGTCTGAGAATAAATTTATACACCAATTTTATGTATACAAAAATATCCCTATTAATGCCTCTCAGGCACAGCTCAAATCATCAACCTTCACCCATGGACGATCAAGAATCTTAGATAATTTAGATATTTGAACCCATGCAAAATCCAAAACACAGATGCAAAGACATGCATCCTTGAGACTGTGAACCTAAAACATTTATTCACCGACTGGGCCTCTGAACAAGTCCCAAATCGATAAACACAATGAGGACTCTGACTAGGAAGTCTTTCAAAGCAGCTTACTCACTTAATTATTTGAAATTCTTATACAAGTTAAAACAATGTATCATAGAATTTTAAGAATAACTATGCATAAAAAGGCAAGAAATAAAGAATGTCATCTGGTTTCACGGTTATCAAAGCTGGCAACCACATGACACATAAATAATACCACAGTCACATAGATGCACAAAGACTTCAAAAATTTATCATAGAAAACAGACCATGAAAAGTAGGAGGTAATGTGCCCAATGTGAGAGTTTCAAATTCAACTGAGTCAATTTTGAACTTTGCGGTATTCTCAGCAATTATTGGTTTTGCAATCTCCTTAGCAGTCTTGGAAATCGCCTATTAACACATACACAAGCAAGTTTTTGGTTAAAAAACATGGCAGCATCATAAACCTTAAAAAGTTAAGCAAGGACAAAATATTCTAACCTTGTCTAAATATGGCCACATGGTTTCCAAAAGCTTATTCAGCCAGTCGATCTTCAGGGGTTAAAAATCAATAGTTAGAGAATTAAGTTTAGAAAAAACAAATTAATTGATTAGATTCCATTAAATAGTCTCCAAATAATCAAGCTACCAGAGATACATACTCGGTCGAAATCAGGGTTTTTTATCCACAATGGAATTTCAGGAAGCATACGCTGCAAGGTTTTTGTGTCTTGCTCAACAAGAGGTCGTACTACTGGATCCTGATCAAGGAAACATTGATAAAAGTCAAAGTGCATGGATAATCGCGTTCAAATATAAAACTGCACATTTATTGGTTCTACAGAACAATATGACGTTGTAAAGGAAGAGCGAACAGGATTTTCACGCCCAGAAAAACACAAGTTCAATGAGCTACAACGGATGCTAAGAAAAATATATCCTTAAAACCAAGTCAACCCCGTTATGAAAGTGAATTACGTTTGGATGGTTCAATAGCCAAAAAATATTACAATCAATGAAATAGATAAACAGAACCCAATTTCGACTCTTGGGTTAAAAAAAAATCTGTTACAAAAGACATTTTAAAACCAAATGGTAGATATTTTATTCTGGATCACCTTTTACCAGCAACACAATAAAAGAACTTTGTTTTTGCAACAAAGAGGTACAGCACGTTTTCCATTCCCAACATACCACATCACGGTATCATGATAAGATCGAAGCTAATTCATTCCCCTTGCAATCTCCAGAGGAAATGAACTATTATTAACACAAGATCGCTGTGCATGCTGTTGAATAGAACGGACTAAAAGTCTATTTTGGCAACTTGTCAAATAGAAGGTGGCAAATTTTCACGATCCGCATTTGTTTTCCCTAGAAGTTTTATGAACAGCCAAACGAAATTGTATTCACTGGATAAATAGAAATCCTGATAAGTACGAGTCATCTGGTGGTTATTGAAGCATTTTTCTATATGAAATAAAATAGAAAATACTAGCCCTGTTTGGGCGTCCACATCATGAGAGAATGAATACTCACAAACATAAAATGCTGTTTGTTACTATCAGCACACAAAAGTCTAATTTTTGAACCAAAAGAGCTAACTTCATAATACAAAAGTTAACAGAATGGTAAGAAAATAAACAGTGAACAGGAGACTTATAGGACTAAGAGACAAAAATGTTCCCAACTCTGATCAAAACAATTATTCTGAACGATTACCATATTGATCATCTACTTTTTCCACTAAACCCAAAAGAAACGGTCGTCTTCCTAATGAAGTCTTGAGTCAAAAGAAACGAGGGAGATACTTTTCCTCCACTGATCAACTCATGGAAGGTGCGCTATGTTTTCAAGAAAGCAAGAAAATATAAGTTCCATCCTTTCCTTCTAGAACCCAAGTCTGAAACCTCCAGAGGTGAAGTTCTGGCACGGATTGACCAACTGGCGAGACCAAACGATAAAATTTCCATTGTAGTGGAAAATCAAATTATTCTCTTTCTTACGCCTGTTCTTGGTGGGAATGAATTCCCTTTTCTGGAAATTCAAAGGTTGGAAGCATACTTCTCCTAAAAATGAATTTCTCACATGACAGAGGAAATACGAGGAATCAGAAGCTCTACTACCCTGACACAATGCTGAAAGACACAAAGAATAAAAGTAAAGAATATGGCAAGTCATGCAAACAATTGGACGTGGCATAAACAAAGAATAACGCAGTCCATTGCACTAAACGGGAGGAGGAAGAAAAAACGTCACCAACAGGTGCAAGAGGGAGAATTATTGTTGACCTGGATAATTCTTTAACAACAACGAAAAGACTTGCCTCCACCAGTAAAATTGGTGAAAATGGAATAAGACGTGGTATTACAAACTATATTTTGTCAAATAACCTCGGCCACAGCACTGCAAGCTTTAACCATAAATGTTCGATCAAAGTACGCTAAGAGAGCGAATCGGGATCGAATATCATGAAGGTTACAGGTGACAGAAGCATTGAAGAATGATAATAATTTCCTCCATCACTTCCAACACTTCGCATAAATGACACACGAATCAAGGAGAGGCAGGCTGAAAAGATGTGACACAAATGGCACGTACCTTGACATCGGTGGGCTGAAAATATATGAACAGGTAATATCCGATGACAATCCCGATCGAGATTCCGGTCCCGAAGCCGAAGAACCCAAGGATAGTGCTCAGAAAGCCCATATCCGCCGATGTCCAACCTCACCCGAATCCCCAGACCGTTCGAAATAGGTGTGAAAGAAGAGGCGGGAAAAGGACAAGCGATCCCTTCCCAGACCGGGACAAAGCAGAAAAGCAACAATCAACCGCCGAGGCTCCTCCCTTCCCCGGATCTCGCGCTGCTCGACAGAGAGGATACAGCAAGAGCGGTACAAGGCGGGCCTGGAAGGAGAGGGGAAGAGGACGACAGACTGGGAGCCGGAAGACGATCTAAATCCCCACCCGGTGCATTAAAATCGCGAATGCACCTACCTGGCAGTGCGAGAGAAATTAAAGAATCACGAGATATCAAAACGTAGCTATTCAACAGATCGGCGAATCCGGGACTGTCGGTAACGCACAGCGCCGCCCCGCGGGGGCTCGGAAGAGCGACAGGCCTTCCTCGATGTCACAGACAGAGACAGACTCAGACGGATGATGGAGAGAGAGAGAGAGAGAGAGAGAGAGAGAGCCGGGGGGGGTTGATAATTATTTCCTTAATTTAAATAAATAACTATATGTATTGTTCGGTTCACACATTCAGCGGTGGAGGCAATTTTTATCGGAGAGGAGAGGGAGAGAGAGAGAGAGAGAGGGCGGGGGGATGTTTTGATTCTCACTCTCTCTCAGGTGCGTAGATTTTGAGTGCACATTGATACGCACCCAATTCTGGGTGGGAAACTGTTAGATGGGGGGAGGGGGTATTAATTATTATTTATTGATATTATTGGATGCTGACTCTCAGCTGTCGACTGGCACGTGCCTCATCTTCCTGTTCGATCCCTCTCACCCAGGGAACTCCGAGTGGATAGATATTTCCCCTCCACGCGTCGAGTTCTCGCGCTCCAAGCAAAATATCTGATCCTGCAGCGCGGCGCAAGAAAGAGACAATCGCTCTCTCTCTCCTCGGGGACTTGGCACGTGTGAGGAAAATGCGTGAATTTACCAGAAATAAAAATTACGTGTCAGTCTGTAGAATTGCCACCCTGAATATAAAATACAAATAATGGGATTACATTAAATATCGACGTCACTGTCGTCGTCGTATGCCCACGATTCCACGATCACCTGACTCAGACCCTCGGTAATCCGACGTGGAACCGGTTGTGGCCGCGGCCGCCGAAAAGAAGGTCAACGAAAAGTCCGAGCCGTTGATGCCTAGGGGCCCGGCCCGGCCCACCTGCCCCCACTAGGCCTCATTCTCCGCCCATTGATACACCTAAATTACCAGAAATAAAGTAATATTTAATTCGTGAAATAATAAAGAAAAATAACTGTGCAAGAAGAAGCCGAGAGGCCACGGCTATAAAATGCCGCTGCGCCTTTTGGCGCCACATCTCGGAGCTGAAGAGGCAGGAGGAACATCCTTCTCCTCTCCTCTCCTCTCCTCTCGCTCCTCTCTCTCTTGCATCGCAGAGTTAGGGTTTTCGTCGAGTGCGGGGGGGGGGGGCGTTTACTGTAGAGATTCAGATCTCGTCTCGTTTGTATCTCGGTGGCGTTTCTTGCGTTGTTTCCCGATGATTTGTCTCGTAGATCGGTTTCTTCGAGCATCCGGAAGGCTGTTCTGAGTTTCTTGGCAGATTGCGGATCCCTTGCTCGTATTTTCCTTGATCGCATATTCAGTGGATTCATCGCATCTTGTAAGGTAGTTTGGATTCAGTTCATCGTCTCGCAGCGGAGCTCTCTCGATCTGGTTGATATGTTTTGGCAGATCTAGCAGCGGCTGGTTTTCATTGATGGTTTGGTTCTCCCTTGAAGACAGAATTACGGGGTCTGGTTGTTCTCAGGGCTGCAAACGATCGTGAGAAAAACGTGCGTCCTCTTTTCTCTCTGTCGCCCATTCTACTCTCGTTTTTTTCTGAACTCACGCAGCCGACCTGCAGAGATATTCCTGGCACTGCTTTTCGCTGTTTCGAGATCTCTGCAGTTAATGGAGGCTAGGAGCAGCGTCCTGGTTGATCCGACCGCTTTCCCGAGGAGGAACGAACCCTCCATTCCTGGTTTTGGCAGGAACGCCATGATCAACAGCAGCCTCCTGCTCCGATCAAATAGCCAACCGGTCCTCCTCGACATCCCTGGGCGAGCCATCGGCGCTGGCACCGGTTTTTTGGGTCCCCGCCCTTCGATGTATCCCCCGGCCGCTCCCATGCACTCGTCCCTCCCGAACCTTAACCACCTTCAACAACACCCCCCTCTTCTCCCCCTTCCCTTGGCAAAGTCCTCTTCCCTTCCGCCTCCGATTTTGCCGGGCCCTACTAGGAGAACGATCCGCGTTGCTACTGTCCGGTCGCTCATCAAGGAAGAGAAGAAACCGACCAAATCCCCTGTCAAGCCGCCGAAAGGTTCTCAGACCGACGGCACGAAGACCCAGAAGCATAAACTGTGTCCCGTTGTCGACTTTCCCTACAAGCATAAACTGCACCCGGAGGAAGACGACGAGGCCGATGGCGTGTATTCTCTGTCACCCCCGCCGAGCAGCCTTCCAATACCAAAGTTCTCTCTCAGGACCAGGAGGCCTTTCTCCTCATCTCCATGGGTCGCTGAGACATTCAGGGGCGATCCTAGCAAAGTTGACGCCGGAGCCAGTGACGACCTCCGCCGCCTTCTTCGTCTTTAGCAGCTCCCAACTTGTAAACCGCTCGCGTAGTCATATGGCGTTTTGCCCCTCCCTCTAAATGTCAGGGGCCAGTATATGCTTTCACTTGTGTGCGCCGCTGCTCCTGGATACGTCCGTGTATTAGAGGGACGGAGGAGCGGAGGGAAGCCAGTAAGCAGTCCAAGGTTCTCCCCTTACTTCCCCCGTTTCCTGTACTCGGTTCTTGGGAGCAATGGGACAGGAGAGAAGTCTTGCGTTTGCTGTCCGATTCAGTCGTTGGAGCAGAGGCCTACCATCAACCTTCTCCAATCCTCCCCAGATAAGTAAGCGCGACCATCATTTCCTTACCAATTGTATCACCCAGGATCTCATGAATGCTCAGCACTGAAAAGAGGGAAGCTGAAAGAATCAGGACTCTCCTGTGGCCACACTCCAGCACCGCTCCTTTTTTTTTTTACTCGTTTTCCCCGCCGGGCGCGGCAGCCGTCACCTTCACCGCCGCCGGCGGCCTTCTGGTTGCAGGGAGAAAGCCGGCGGTAGGGGACGACTTCACGTGGGTCGGCGGGATAAAAGAAAATAAGCCAAACGGAGGGGGGGAATGGTCGGTTTGGAGGGGAGGGGCTGGGCCCCGGTCTTCTTCCCCGACGGCGACCTCCCCCTCCAAACGGCGCCGCAAGAGAGCGGGGGCAGGAATGGGTGGTTGTCCGACGGCGACCGTCAATCTTGGGCTGGGACTCGCGTTGACCTCCCATTCTCTGGTCGATTGGTGTGTGGGCTGGGGTCCCCGTTGACTCGCTCGCTACCGACTTCCCTACGTTGGGTGCCGACTCTTTTCCGGATCTGTGTTGGGCTGGGCCCAACGTTGACTTGCTGCTCACTGGAGCTCTCCACGGGGTGGTATTAGGCTGGGCTGGACCCAACATCGGCTAGCTCCCTGTTTGTTTTCCTACGATGGGCGCCTAAGTCGTAGGATGTCTGAAAAGGTTATATCATCATCATCGGGATCGCGAGGATCATAAGATATCCACATAGAAATATATTTTATATAATAATCTGCTGGGTTTACTAAAGTCGTCTGTGGGCAAAAGTTCTGCTTACTTTTAATTTCCTCGATCTTATTATATATTTATATTTACTTTAATAATTTAATACGATGGTACATATTGATCCCATGAAGTTCCAATATGCGTCATATACATTAATAAACACATTTCATTTTCTTTTTACATCCGAAGCAAGTTAATCTGCGTACCAAAGATATTTAGTTTAATTGAAAATTAATTTATACACAGAAAATATTTATCTTATATATTTAATTATCATTATATTGCAAACTTGAGTGATAGTCAAGCAAGTAAAGTGCTAAGACATAATAAAACCCTCGTATTAAAGTCGTAGATGGTTGTGAAATTATTGGAAATTTTATTGTGAAATAAGACCAAATTCTATCGAGCTTCCACATTATTTTAGCATCTCAATTTCCCAATAAAAAATTTGCCTTTTTTAATACAGAAAATTGAGACGTTGGGTGAAAGGGCGGAGGCAACGCGGCGCGAGGCGTTAGTCCCGCTCGTCCGGTCAGTAACACAACCCCTAACGGATGGTCTCCCTCTCTCTCTCTCTCTCTCTCTCTCTCTCTCTCTCTCTCTCTCCCCTCCGCCCTTCTCTTCCGTTCCCTCGTCTCGCGTTAAGAACCAGAAAGGGGCCGTTGCTTCTGTCCGAAGCCGGCATCCGGGTTCCTCTGAAGGGGGAGCTCGCCCGGCTCTGCATGAAAGAGGAGAAGGCGGAGGGCAGAACGTTCAACGAGGCCATGTCGTGTTCCACCTGCCGGCTCTGCGCGCAAAGTCTCCTCCTCTTGGTCCTCCTCTCGGCTGCCGCCGTCTCCGCCCACACCCACGACAAGGTCAAAGGAGTGAGCTACGACGGCCGCTCGCTCATCATCAATGGCAGGAGGGAGCTCCTCTTCTCCGGCTCCATTCATTACCCTCGCAGTACCCCGGAGGTGATCGCCCAATGATTTCCCTTGTCATTGCTCCTCTCTCTCTCTCTCTCTCTTGCTCACCGTGGTGCAATGGCCCTGGTGGTGTGGGTGAACAGATGTGGCCCGACATCATCGCCAAAGCCAAGCGCGGGGGGTTGAACGCCATACAAACCTACGTGTTCTGGAACGTCCACGAGCCGCAGCCAGGCCAGGTGAAGGTCAACGAACTCTAGCATCATAATAGTCGGAGAGATAATTAAATCATACGGCTAAACTATGCAAGCTAAAAATAAGATCTCAATGCAATATTCACGCGCATCCACTGTAGTCAGATCCATCAAAAAAACCATGCGGATGCTATCAACCTCTATCCCCCGACGAACATGCCACAGGGTTCCCTTAACTTTGACGTCGAAGTCAACGTTTTTCTTCAAGATTATAACGAATCCACGGACGTGATTCACCTGTTCGTGACTGATTGTGATATTCGAGACGATGGTCTTCTCATCATCATCATCGGGGTTGGTTAGTACCGGAGACTACCTGACAAAGTCAACGTCCCTGCATTGCCTGCCCAGGATTAATGTAGAGAGAGAGAGAGAGAGAGAGAGAGAGAGAGAGAGAGACCCATCTGGAATTTCTCTCTCTAAAACCCGTCAGCTAACATGATCTATCGATGAACTTGATGGTGGGGGCTGCAGCTGAACTTCTCAGGAAGGCGCGATCTCGTGAAGTTCATCAAGCTGGTGCACCAACAGGGACTCTATGCGACTCTACGAATCGGTCCCTTCATCGAGGCCGAGTGGAACTTTGGGTACCAACCATCTCCCCATCCTCCTGCCTCGACGGCGCCAGCAACCCTTCCGAGGCTCATCCTTCTTGTTTAATCTTTATTTTTTCAAAGTATTTTAAGATCATTCATCCATCGATTTTCAGAGGGTTTCCTTTCTGGTTGAAGGAGATCAAGAACATAACTTTTCGATCAGACAATGAGCCTTTTAAGGTGAATAGTCGATTACTATAAATAGTTGAAAAAAATATATGTACGAAGTCTCGGCTTCATCTCCCTCATCTCGTCTGCAGCATCACATGAAGAAGTTCGCCGAGATGATCGTGAAGATGATGAAGGATGAGAAACTCTTCGCCTCTCAAGGAGGACCCATCATTCTATCTCAGGTAGGCGACCCACGTTCGGTAGTCACTTCTTGAGAGTCCAAGCGTTGACTTCTTCCGATTGGTGGGCAGATCGAGAACGAGTACAACAACGTGGCCCTCGCCTACGAGGAAGAAGGGAAGAATTACGTCCAGTGGGCCGGGAAAATGGCCGTGGGGCTTGAGACCGGGGTCCCATGGGTCATGTGTAAGCAAACGGATGCACCTGACCCAGTGGTGAGTTACCTCGTTAATTTTCCACGGGTGGGCGGCACGTGGCCTTCACGGGCAGGAAGATGTAAACACGATGATGATGATGCTCTTCTATGTCGCAGATTAGCTCGTGCAATGGGAGGAACTGCGGCGACACGTTCACGGGTCAGAACAAGCCCAACAAGCCGATCCTATGGACGGAGAACTGGACAGCACAGTGAGTCCCCGCCGCCATCTCATTTCTAGCCGATCGAGTCGTCCGAAGTAGAATTTCCTATCTATTTTAAGCCCTCCCTGGCTACATTGGGTGGTACAAAGCTTGGTTTGGATGATGACCCATAAAAAATCAGCATCATTTCTTACAGTTCGACGATTGTTCTTCATACGTGATCGTATGGGATTCATCAGTTTTTCTCAATTGGGCAAGGTTTTCGCCGCAAATATGTTCACCCTGATGAAAAAAACCATGCCTTTCACTCTCATTTCAAGATGCTTCCGCTTGGAATTCTCAGGTACAGGGTTTTCGGTGACCCGCCGTCCCAAAGATCGGCCGAAGATCTCGCGTACGCCGTGGCACTCTTCTTCTCCAAGAACGGGACCCTCGTCAACTATTACATGGTATCTATCCATCATCTTGCGGGCTCTTCTGTTCTGTCCCTGTCAACGCGTGTGATCTGGGACGCCTTTCTAATTTCGGTTAGATGGGTTACCCACATTCTTGTACAGTATCACGGCGGGACAAACTTCGGAAGGACAAGCTCATCCTTTGTCACCACTCGCTACTACGACGAGGCTCCTCTCGACGAGTATGGTATGGAGCAATCAGGATCTTGCCATCTTAAGAAAGACATTGATTTGCTTTCTTTAGTGCCCTAAAAAAGCTTTCTATTAATGGTTTTACTAGCAAGAACAACCTCTAGAAAGGGTTCCTGCTTGTATATATTTATCGATTTATTATTTTACATCACCCGCGTGACAAGTCAGGATTGTTGAAGGAACCCAAATGGGGGCACATCAAGGACTTGCACTCCGCATTGAAACTATGCAGAAAGGCTCTTCTTTGGGGGACGCCAACCGTTCAATCGTTGGGTCAAGACCTTGAGGTATTATTCCTCCACATTTTTCTATAATTCTTGGAGTTGACCTGTTTTTATGAATTTCGTATTTCGTTAGAACAATCCTATACCATGAAATATCTGGATCCGACGGCCAGAATTCGCAACTACATCCACGTGGGAGAACCAGAGCGAATTAATTTCCACATAAAGATATCCATTAGGATAATTCGACACTAATAGATAGGGAAAAAATTAAATAACTAAATATATGGAACTATTCTACTCGTTGGCAACTGATTTTCCGCCGTGCCACTCGATTACCCAAGAAAGCCAATAAAAGAAGAATAGCATCACATCGATTTCTTACGTGTCGTTGACTTTAGCTTGATCTTCACAGGCCCGAGTGTATGAGAAGCCCGGGAGCGATGTGTGCGCGGCTTTCCTCGTCAACAAGAACCCTAGAGTCGATACAACGGTGGTCTTCAGAGGGGTGGCGTACGTTCTCCCACATCATTCCATCAGCATCCTCCCCAACTGCAAGACCGTCGTCATCAATACCCAGAGAGTACCCACATATCCCCATCTGTTTTAGTCAAGGAATATGATAGCTCATGCTAATACAATAACATAAAGATAGAAGATAATCGTAGATTAAAAATAAAAATAAAAATCTCAAGGTAGACATGATCGAAGTTTCTCTGCTAGAATTTAGTCTTGGGCACCCTCGAGAGATTGGAGGTGTTGATGCCTCGGGCTGGTGTTGAAGTCGGGCCTCAATCTGGCCTTACTTATCTGAATTACTTATATTTATGGGCGTATTCCGGGCTTTTTCTAAGGACCCAAATGAAACCCGGCCCGTTGATTCTCTTTCATTAGTTGGCGTGGAGTGGGTAGTAACCCTCTTTGACGTACAACAGGTCAACGCCCAACACAGCGCGAGGACCTACCACGTATCAAAAGAAGCCAACAAGAAGCATGGGCATGGCTGGAAGATGTACCAGGAAGCCGTCCCGACTTTCAGCCGAACTTCCATCAGGGCGAATGGGCCGATGGAGCTCATGAACCTGACCAAGGATACCACGGACTACCTCTGGTACTCTACCAGGTGAGACATTGCTACTTGGGAAAATAAGATAGCTGGAGGAGGACAGCTGTTTCGCCCTTCTAACTTGCTCTCTCTCTCTCTCCGATCCGTCTCTCTCAGCTTCAACCTGGAGAAGGACGACCTGCCGAGGCGCCAAGACATCCGCCCGGTCGTACAAATATCGAGCCTCGGTCATGCATTACATGCCTTCGTGAACGACGTTTATATAGGTTTCTTCTTATTCTCTCACGACCTCTGTTGGCAGCGTCAATGGATTTCTGTCTATTTTCTCTCTCTACCTTCGTTAGCAGTGCCCCGGGTAGGTCCTGAATCTGGCCCCAATCCTTTGGGACCGGGCCCCCAAAAACTCGAGCCCGGGAACTTAAAAAGGCATTACTTCCCCCCCCCCCCTTTCTCTCTCCCTCTCAATCCTTTGGCAATCTCTCTCCCTTTCTCTCTCTCTCTCTCTCCCTTTCTCTCCCTTTCTCTCTCTCTCTCTCTCTCTCTCTCTCTCTCTCTCTCTCCCTTCTCTCTCTCTCTCTCTCTCTCTCTCTCTCTCTCTCCTTTCTCTCTCTCTCTCTCTCTCTCTCTCTCTCTCCCTCTGTGTCTTCCTCTCTGTCTCCCCTCTCCTGTCTCTTTCTTCGGTCATTTCTTCGACTTAGGTTTCATCTAGACTTTGTGAAGACACGGGTTCGGGCTGCCCCTTGACGGCAGCTGACCCGGCCTTATGCCCTGCATTGTGATGGATACTTAGCTATCTCAAACCTAGACAAGATTGATCTTGTTCATAGATTAAACCATCTCTTCTCGGCCGTTCTTTCAGGATCTGGCCACGGAACCAAAATAGATAAGAGCTTCTCCTTCGCGAAGCCGGCGACTCTCAAGCCCGGCACCAACCACATCTCTATTCTCGGCATGACGGTGGGATTACCGGTAAGAGGAAGGAGGAGAAGAACCTATGCTTGACTCCTTCGGCCACTGTGAAAATGCTTGGTTTTTCTGCCTCAAGCTCAGACCTACTCTCGGTTCTCCTTCATCTTCTTCCCTCTTTCTGATAAAGGATAGCGGAGCGTTCTTGGAGAAAAGGGTCGCCGGCGTCCACAGGGTCGCCGTCCAGGGCCTCAACACCGGAACCCTAGATTTGTCCGCCAACAAATGGGGACATCAGGTGAGACCCCTCTCTCTCTCTCTCTCTCTCTCTCTCTCTCTCTCTCTCTCTCTCTCTCTCTCTCTCTCTCTCTCTCTCTCTCTCTCTCTCTTTCTCTCTCTCTCTCTCTTTCTCGCTTTCTCTCTAGAACCATTCCAACGGGCAAACTGATACCAACGTGGATCGCGCAGGTCGGCATGGTGGGGGAGAAGCTGAGGATATACACGCAGCACGGATCCCACAGGGTTCAGTGGTCTGCGGCGAAGAAAGGCACTCCTCTTACGTGGTACAAGGTAAGTATAATGCGGCACCTTGGAACTATCTCACTCGCCGGCGATCTCACATAGGGTTAAATGCAAACGGTTTTTCATCCATCTCATGGTGGTTTCAGAGATACTTCGATGCCCCGCATGGAGAAGATCCGGTGGCCATCGACATGTCTAGCATGGGGAAAGGAATGGTCTGGGTTAATGGGCAGAGTATCGGCCGCTACTGGGTCTCCTACCTCTCCCCCTTCGGCCTGCCTTCTCAATCCATGTAAGCCACCTCACCCATCTTCTTCTACATTTTCTTTGCCTTGGAGCTTTCGATCTGTTCCAAACTCTTGATCCGCCGCCGCCGCTGCTGGTTCAGGTATCATATCCCGAGGTCGTTCATGAAGCCCAGCGGCAACCTCATGGTCGTCCTCGAGGAGACCGGCGGGAACCCGGAGGGGATCGCCGTCGTCACCGTGAGGAGGGACAACATCTGCGCCATCGTCACCGGCGACGTCAAGCCGAAGGCCCGCCTCCGCTGCGCCGACAGCAAGATCATCCGCTCCATCGCCTTCGTCAGCTTCGGCAACCCCACAGGCTCCTGCGGCCAGCTCGCCGCCGGCAGTTGCCACTCCCCGGCGGCCATGGCCGTCGTCGAGAAGGTCAGTGAATCTCCATTCCCATCTCCATCGTCGTCGGCGCCATTTTCAGCTCACTCTTCCTTGCGACCTCAGGCCTGCGTGGGGAAGACCTCCTGCGAGCTGCCGGTGAGCCCAGAGGCCTACGCCGCCGACGCCAGCTGCGCCGGGACGACCAACACGCTCGCAGTGCAGGCCAAGTGCGTCAGGAAGAAGGGGTAGCGAATAGCTTCAGCGCAAGAAAAACGAAGCTGGATATGAGTTTATATAATAAATAATAATGAGGGGCCCTTCGAACTCGTTCATTAACGCTGACCATCACCCGGAGAGTCAACGCGTGATGCCAAAGATAGTGGAAAATCCGAATCTCTTTAGTAAATCTCGAGAATCGACCCACCGAATTCTCATGTGTCTGCAACTCTACTTCACTTTCGAAAGTGATTCGACTAATCCGTCTCTAAAATCTCCTCCAAACGTTTACTTTGCCCAGATCCCCGCTCAAGCTTGGTCAACCCACCACCTTGGTACACAAGTACGTCAAAGTAAAGTAGTTGTGGGGTCTTCGAGTCAGCCGTCAGCTATCCGTGGACGTTTATCGTGTGAGGCCATATGTGTAAATATTATAGTTTTTGGGGTATTCATTAACTATATGTCAATATGATAGTCTCCAACGGCCGCCGCCAAATCCAACCTCGCTGTCTGGTCGGGCGAACGGCCCGAGTTCCTGACCATCACTGACAACCGATCTCTACCGTCTGATGACCCCCACGTGGCGATCTACCTGCGGAAACTTTTGGGTTGTCGGATCCGAGGGAGCCCCAAAACGGGCGCATACCGTACCCGATCTGTTATCCGCTCACGTCTTGGACCAAAAGTGAGTTCGGTGGAAATCGTTTTTCCGAAGCGGGAACCTCATCCAAACACCCCTGTCAGCTTTTAAATGAGGGCAGGCATTTATGGGTGGTCTGGGACCGCTTAAGGCCACTTTCGGTGACCGTACCCACCGTCGAGGTTGCTGAAATCGATTCCATTCGCAGTAGGAACCAAACGGATCGACGCGCTGTCGGCATTTGGCTTGTCCGAAGCTTTTTACACGCTGGCCCGTGACGCTTCGCTTGCAGTGGCGCCAGCTGGCAAGTTCCCCCCCCCCCCCCCTCGTGGCCACCTTAAAGGAAGGGGTTCACGTGAGGAGCAAGTTATTCGGTGTTAACACCTGGAGCTTCTGAAATCTCAAATATACCCCTAATCCAGATTCATCCGTGGACGGTTTTAATTGGACGAAAACAAAGGATTTAATGGATAATTGAAGTTAATCAGTCTACATAATCCACGTATTTTTTTTAAAAAAGTCCCTGAGAGGACTTAAATTGGACAATGTACCTCTAGGAACCTTACCCCATCACCCTGATAGGGGAGAGAGAGAGGCTAAGTCAAACAGTGGGACCCATCTATATCCAGAGACTCCGTAAGGTGAGGTGTGATATTGACTAGTGAACCGACGTCTAGACATAGGTCACGTCAAAAATAAGCAGACGGTCAACCTGATGGTGGGGCCCACCGTCGGCATGTCTAAAAGAAGACATTAGTGATTATTTCGTTGAAGGATTATTTAACTTATTAATAAAATGCGTTTATTAATTCATATTATTATTTAATTTATTGTAGGTGGAACTATGGATTTAATTTTATTGGAATGATTGCCCATATTTCATTGCTTGTAACGACCGTCTCGAAGACACAGAGAGAGAGAGAGAGAGAGAGAGAGAGAGAGAGAGAGAGAGAGAGAATATAAACCCACCCACATTAGCTGTCGTCTCCAGTGGATCGGTGAAATACGCTCTCTCTCTCTCTCTCGCTAGCTTTAGCTTGCTCTATTCTCTCTCCTCTGTATAGAGACCGGTTCCATCGCGCCGTTCCCTGGCCTTCGAAACCACTCCCAGCAACTAAAGGTGTGCCGTGTGCCCGCTCCTCGTTGGCTCTCTCTCTCTCTCTCTCGCTGTGCGTTTGGCCGGGGAGGTCTGGGGAGAGGGACGGAGGGCAAGAGATTGTTGTGCAGATCTCCTCTACCCCTCGCATCTGTTGCTTTCCGTAGAGTTCTTTTCGATCTAGCTGCATTTAGGTTTGGTTTTTGCGTCAGGGTTTCGGAGGGGCATTGCCTGAGGAATGCTGGGATCGGTTTGGTGTTTTCAGATTTTGCAGTTGGAAGCCTGAGGGGGCAGAAGACAGAAGGGACCTTCCTCGTGCTCTGAGGTTTGTAACGGTGAAATCGGAGGAGATCTGCTGCTCCTCCCGGTGTGCGTCAGGGCGGCAACGACGAGGAGGGGGAGATGAGCGCGTCTAGGTTCATAAAATGCGTGACCGTCGGGGATGGTGCCGTTGGCAAGACCTGCATGCTCATTTCCTACACCAGCAACACATTTCCCACGGTATACCTCCCCAGCTGGTTCTCTTCCCTTTTATTGTTCGTCTTCGTTGCAATCAATTGCAGACTAGGGTTTTATTTTGCGAGTACTTACTGTTTGGTTGAGGAAAATATTTCATCGGTTACTCCATTGCAATCGATGCTTTGCCTCTGATCTCTCTACATGATCCCAGGGGATCACGGTCTAAGTTTTTGGATTTTCCCCCCCTTCGTTGGAATGTCTGCATAGTGATCCTAGTTTTTGAAATCGGATATTAGTGCTTTCCACAATCAGAGGTTGGAAAAGTTAGATGTACCTTTAGAGCTGCCTTTAGGCTTTTTCTCTATTTTTTCATTATTTTTTATTGCTACCATGGTGCAGGATTATGTGCCCACAGTTTTTGACAACTTCAGCGCAAATGTTGTGGTGGATGGTAATACTGTTAACCTGGGTTTGTGGGATACTGCCGGTAGGTTTCTACCCTAATCATTTTATGATCATGGAGTACCTGGGAAAGAAAATAGAAATAATTTTCTTTCGGTTTTTATGTCTTCTTTGAATGAATCAGGCCAGGAAGACTATAACAGGCTACGGCCTTTGAGCTACCGTGGTGCTGATGTCTTCCTGCTTGCATTCTCTCTGATCAGTAAGGCTAGTTACGAAAATGTGGCTAAGAAGGTGAAGGCTTGTCCAATATTTTTTTATTAGGTGCTATTTTCCCCAGGAAAAAGTTATCTGAATGTTTTAAATTGAATATTTTTTTGCAGTGGATCCCTGAACTGAGACATTATGCACCTGGCGTTCCCATTATTCTTGTCGGAACAAAGCTGGGTAATAGTTCAGCTCTTACTTCTTTTTATCTTAGTTATAATTTGTTACTAGCTTTTTTTGTGAAAAATATTTAATTTTCTGGGTTGAGATAGTTGTAATCCCTCACGTCGTTACTCAGTTAAGACTTTTATTTGTTTTCTTGTATTATCCTTGCCTTTCATATTAGCAATTGCCTTCTCGGGCATATCCAAGCTGGCTCCATTCTGCATTCTATTTTCTAGCATCATCATTTCGACTTGCAAGTAATAGAGTTTGAGTTTCCACAGTTTATGTGAATGACTTAAGAAATTTTAATGTAAGGATTTATGTCCTTTGTTTGGTGGCGTGAAGATTGTTAGTCTCAGTTTATTTACTTATTGCGCTTACATGGTTTAGCCTTTTTCACTTGGGACATTGTTTATCAGATATTATTTATATTCATCCATGTTCTATATGATCATCTGGGAAAGAGGGATGTATATCTGTTAGTTTTGTTTGCCGATATATGTGCGCATTTATACACTTTTTGTGTAGAGTCTTCGAAATAGTCGGAGTAGATGTAGAATAAAGCTGATGGGAAGGGGAGGAAGCGGACTATGCTGTGATCATGGCCATGCGTGAGTTGATTCGCTTGTCAAGGAAGCACGTGGATGTTGGACAGGAAGAATCTATATATGTTTTCTAATGTTATGATGCTGAGATAAGATGCTTTGAGATGTCGTGAGAGATCGCTGTGCAGTGATCTTGAACGCTATTATACAAGTGTGATTTATTTCTGCTGTTGTACTTTGTTCCTCTGTAAGCTGTAATATTAGTCTTCTCCTGGATATCATTCAGCTTTTTCCGTTCTTTGGCCGTGGCAACCATTTCTAGACTTAATATGAGGGTTTTCGCTAACAAATGGGGATTTTATTTCCTTCGATTGGCTCTTTTTATTATTATTATTATTATTTTCGTTTAGGAGAAAGCAACCTGTCCCTTTTCCCACCTCATAGACTGTTCATCAAGTCTCACGTGCTACCAGATGGAACGTCCTCTTCTTCTTGTCCTTTCACTTGAGGTTTTCCTTATCCGATCCACGTACAGAGCTGCCTGCAGGTGTTTACTCGTCTATGGCGGGGGTCACTTTTAGTTGACTTGCCAGATAACCATGATGTCACTTGGCCGTGGCACATTTGACCACATTTGGCCATGGCACTCCCTCATGAATCATGGTTCGTTCAAGTCAATTCATCGCAAAAATAGATGGTGTGGTGTGGGTCAGGACTCTGCTTTTATCCTCGAGGATATTCACATCCAGAAAACCATGGATCTTGCTTTGTCTGGTGTTTTCTTCCTTGTTTCTTCCTTTGGATTTTCTTCTTGTGATCATGGATGACAAAGTTGAATAATTGAGTTGCTTACAAAAGTATTTATTTCATGATGACGATCTTAACTTAGTCTTATCATTAAATATTTTAGACTTTGGAAAATTGTTCTTTTGCACTATTTTATTTGCAATTATGAAGAACCTTAAATCGGTGGCATCGGTTATATCTGCAGATCTTCGGGATGATAAGCAATTTTTCATAGATCACCCTGGCGCAGTGCCAATCATGACACCTCAGGTATGATGTTCCTTGATGAACCTGGAACCTTCCTTTTAATCACTCTTGGGCTTGTTTTTTCTGTATCCATGTGGAATTTATATGACATCTCTTAACATAAAAGATCCGATCCGGCCCAATCCATTGACATAGATTGCGCCAGGCCCAATGATAATAAACTGCCATGGAGATGCTCGTTGGGCAGTTACGTGGCAACAAGAAAATAGATTTCAGTTCCCCGGGCAAAACCTATCTAATCGTTCTGATGGGCTGGGCCTCTTTTCTTTATAAGTTTGACTTTGATTCCCAAACCCCGATAACTGGGGCCGGGCCCCTTGACCCCCCTTGTCGTGCTGTGTGTAAAGTCTCTTCCTTGGCAGGGGGAAGAGCTCAAAAGGATAATCGGAGCCGCTGCCTACATCGAATGCAGCTCAAAAACACAGCAAGTACGCTCTCTCTCTCACCCCATCTGGATCAAAATCTTCTCCTTCTGTTTTTAACTGAGTTTTTGTTCATATTACTCTTCGTGGACGGTGGGCAGAATGTCAAGGCAGTGTTCGACGCAGCCATAAAAGTCGTGCTCCAGCCACCCAAGCCGAAGAAGAAGAAGAAGAGAAAGTCGCAGAAGGGCTGCCCCATCTTGTGATCGACTACTCAAAAACATGTGCCGATTCCGGAAATGGAAATCTCACGGCAAGAACAACCCCAAGTTCATCTTCCCCCTCCCTCTCATCTTCTTCCTTTAAAAAGTAGCCGGCGTCGGTGTATAGTGTGAACTGACAGCAGCAGTAGGGAGCTCCAGAAGCTGTCGAGCTGATCCCTTTCAGCTCGCCTTCTCCTCGAGATCATCTGTAATACTCGGTGAATCGGATTCAGACTCATCATTCCTCATGACTCAGAAGAGCTTCCGGTCCGGAGAGCTGCGATGTTGTACTCGTATCTGTATCCCCTCTATAACTGCCAGAGTCTGGGTATATTATTAATCTACTGTTTTGGGAAACTCCGCCATTCTTCCCGTCCGCCTTATCTACTAATGGGCGTTTACTTTTCTTTTCTTTCTATCACGCAGCAGAGAGATTTCGGAGTTGACTGATTGAGGTTGGGTTTGGAGTGATTTTTTGAGAGGACATGTGAAGATTAATCGTTGGGTTTTCTTTGATTTGTGTTTTAATGGGGAATTATTATGGAGATATTCTGGTGAACCTGAAAGTTAACAAAGAAGGGTTCTTGTTTTAGCTAGTGATTCTTGAGTTCTTAATGGGTCCTGTGTTGACTTTCGTAGGTGGCTGCGCCATGATTGCTCCCTCTCTCTCTCTCTCTCTCTCTCTCCCTCCTCTCTTCTCTCTCACGTAAAAGTGGATAGAGGACTGGGGCGTGTTTAAGAGAATACTAAGAACGGGTCAAAGAACACGGCGAGATTGGTATTGTCCGGTGCCGAGAGGGAGAAGAAGTCGCCATCTATATTCCCCCTTCTAAGGCCTGCTTTCCCCTTATAGGAATATATCCTCCTCCTATCTCTCTGGCCATGCAGAATAGGAGAAAGAGAACACGGAAGGAGAGGAATCACCCTGGCCATGCATCTCTCTCTCTCTCTCTCTCTCTCTCTCTCTCTCTCTCTCTCTCTCTCTCTCTCTCTCTCTCTCATCACGGGGAGGGATTAAGAACTCTCCGGGCTAAGCTCGAATGTGGTGGCCTCGTCTGGAAGAGAATTTTTCTGCTTTTATTGGAGGAATATCACGATGTTGACTCCATCTTTCCTTGGATTCGTGGAAAAGAGAAGACAAGACAGGAGGAAACCGCTGGCGGTGGCGCCGCCAACAAACTTGAATTCTATCTGGGCCGGGCCGCCTCCACCGGTGGAGATCTCCGCTCCGTCCTTTTTTCATCTCCCCGAGGGATTACTTCCTCTTTTCAAAAGCCTTACTGATTATTCTTCCCAGCTTTCTCTCTCCATCCCTCTCGTTTTTGTTCCGGCATCTCTCTCTCTCTTTCTCTCTCTTGAGGACTACTTTATAAGGCGAACATCCGCCCCCCACGGAACGCACAGAGAGAAGACCAAAGCTTATCACTGAAGGACTCTCCCTCCTTTCACCCACCCACCAGTTCGTCTCCCATCTTCGTCCTGGTTTTCCGCATCAGAATGGCCTTCCGGAGGATCGTCAAAGAGCTCAAGGACCTTCAGAGAGACCCCCCCTCCGCATGCAGCGCAGGCAGGTTAAAAGGATTGATCTTCCCGCGGCTGATCTCCATCGACTTCTCACCTCCTCTCTCTCTCTCTCTCTCTCTCTCTAAATGCAGGGCCGGTGGGTGAAGATATGTTCCACTGGCAAGCGACGATCATCGGCCCCAACGACAGCCCATACTCGGGGGGCCTCTTCGCGGTCTCCATTCACTTCCCCCCAGACTACCCCTTCAAGCCCCCCAAGGTCAACTCCCTCCCCTCTCTCAGCCGCCGGGGCCTCAGAGTTGCCTCCCCCCGCTGACTTCTCTCAACTCTCTCTCTCTAAGACCAGGTGGCCTTCAAGACCAGGGTCTTCCATCCCAACGTCAATAGCCACGGGAACATCTGCCTGGACATCCTCAAGGAACAGTGGAGTCCCGCCCTCACCATCTCCAAGGTCAACCCCCCGAGTTTTTTCAGAAATTGTGTATTAAACTATCGTTAATGGGTCTGTCTCAGACCAGCGGGTCAACTCAGTCCCCGCGGATCCGACGCGGGTCAACTCAGAAACGGGCCTATTTGGGCCCAACATTTGTTGGGCCTAATGATACCCGACCCTGATTCAGACTGGCCAATGAAAGACACTGTGGAAAGGGGAAATGGGCCTAAATGAGCCTAGCCCATTTTGGGCAAAGAAAGGAACTGACAGGGACAAGGGCAGGTATTGCTCTCCATCTGCTCGCTGCTGACGGATCCGAACCCGGACGACCCGCTGGTTCCCGAGATCGCCCACCTCTGCAAGACGGACCGGCTCAGGTACGAGGCAACGGCCCGCAGCTGGACCCAGAAGTACGCCATGGGCTGAGCCCAAAGCTCCCCCAAATAAGCCCAGTGGCCTACCAATTGAAGAAATAAAATCAGGAGTGTCCATTGGAGCCTCGTGGGCCAGAGAGAGAGAAGAGAGAAAGAAGAGGGAGAGAGAGAGAGAGAGAGAGAGAGAGAGAGAGAGAGAGAGAGAGAGAGAGAGAGAGAATTTGAGTGAAGGTCAGCAAACGGTTTGTCCAAGAATGATACTTTCCAAAATAAGCATCATCCACAAGCAGCTCCCAGAGAAAATATACACAAAAAAAGGAGCTGAGTTTCGAGCAGAAAGCAGTGAGCTCTCATAAGTCAGCCAAGAGCTGAAATTTATTTTCTAGTGAGGGAGAGAGAGAGAGAGAGAGAGAGAGAGAGAGAGAGAGAGAGAGAGGGAGAGCGGCCTTTAAAATATCTATATTTCAATGCCTTCCCCCTGAAGAGGGGGTAGTAACCGTTGACCCATCAGATACATTCTGTACATCGCAGTAGTCTGTCCTCAAAACCCCTACCCTCAAAGTCAACTCCGTGATGATGATTTTAGCCATCAGATATTCGTTTCAGCCATGTATTCAAGAACAAACTGAAGAACCAAGGAGGGAGACACAAGAAAGAAAACAAAAGAGAGGAGCGCTGGTGCCTCTCTCGGATTAACATGCCTTTTGAATATAATATGATCCTCTTAAGCTGCCGCCTCAAAGAATTCAGCAATCTCTAGCCGTACGAGATCTAGCTGAAGAACAAAACAATTCAATCCATCCATCAAGAAGAGATTTGATTGGAGAGAGGATGATGACATTAGTTCAAATAGATATTCAATGGAAACATGGTAATTCTTCATGTGCATTGTTTTTAAGAACCAATAAATTAAATAAAAAAAACCTTCTCAGAAAAAGGAAGAGAAAATTTAAACTATTATCATTTTTCTCAAAAAAATATTTATCCATACTTTTAAAGTCAATTAGAACAGGTCCAGTCAATTATAGCTAGCTCAAGAAAAAAAAAAAGACTAAAGCCAAAGACTAAAATTTCTTGTTCGCCCCTTCTTATTTTTAATAACATAAGAACGTTACTGAAAATAGAGGTAATCACCGGAGAGAAATTAGTGTCTACCAGTTTTCATACTTAATAATATCTCCTCATAACCAGTCAAATTTGGTATTCCAAAGACCAGCCATTCATATTGTAAGCATTTGGCTTCCTCACCCGGCCTCCCTAATCCAGGTTAGATCGCAAGAAATAAAGCGTGACGTGACCCAACTCAAACAATGAGGATGAGGTTTTCAAGTTTTAGCATCCCACAACTCAAAATTATTTGAGTCAACAAAGGCACAAGACTTTTTGCTCTCTTGCTGGGCTGAACAAGTTTTTCTTGCTCAAGAACCATTAACTGATGATGGTTCAACCTTCGACCACCAAGGAGATAAGAACGGATAAATTAGCATCATCACGATAAAAAAAACCATGCAATATGTTAGTATAATGAGGATATTTCATGACGCTCTCAAAACTGGCCCGAACTAGAGATCACTTTTGGTTTAGAGAGACAATATTACAAAAGTAAAAAGAAATTCAACGTACTTTTGTAAATAAAATAATCAGTAAAATAAATATTCTAAACAGTTCAGCAACAATAGTTACACTTCCCAATCCGGATTTTCCATGCAATTACTTACAGCACACCAAAGGTGATTGTTTATTTAAATTCATCCTTGAGATAAAGATCTACCATCATTCCAGAGAGAAATACCTGGAAATTTTCACCTGAGGAGATCTCATAACAGCGGACATTTCTAAAAGCTTTCCAAAAGCAAATCCATAGAATGTGAAAGCAAGAACCCAACAGGATCAAGTGCATAATTCACACGGTCTCCAATCAAGAGAAAGGTAAATTTAGCTTAACAACCCGTGCCAGGTGATACCTATTGGGCGAGCTACCGCATTCCCACGTCAAGACTCTCCAACTGCAGTTCAAATTTCTATGTACGTCCTAAATAGGGGAAATCAATCCAGGTCTGGCATTTCTTTATATAATTAATACAACGTTTAAGAGAACATGCCGCTGCTTTGAAAGATCTGGAAGACGATTTGATCCAGGGCCGTCTAAAAGGCCTAGTAATGGGAAACGGTTAAAGGGTAAATGCACTACCCATCTCTCACCCTTTATGGAAATCCTGAGCTGAATCCATTTAGACGCAACAATAATGTATTCACTTCATTCTTTCTGCACAAATGTAGCTCAACTCGTTTACTTTCAACAGCGCATCTCAATAAAATAAGGAACATAAAAAAGCACAAAAATAAAAAAGATGTCCGTATAGTGAGCATCTGTAAATACTAAATAACAGGAAATAAAGGTAAAAAAATCCCACCTCTCTTCCTGTTTGCACTCGAAACGCGTGCCATGGGCATTAGATTTACCCCACAGTTCAAGAACTCAGAACCTGAGCTGGAATCTGCCGAGCACGGGACTGTTCCGGCATCACATGTGCCATATCCCTGGCCATCTGGCCCTCCCTGGGCAGGCTCAGACTTCTCTTGAATCCCTTGGCGCATGCAGTAGACCTGATCGTTGAACCGCATATCACATGGATTGAGGACATGGGTACCAATGGGAAGGTTCATCTGGCTGGGAGCAGACAGCAAATCCCCACTATTTTTTAACGGCTTCTGGTAAGGGAATGAACCAATTTCCCCTTCAATCCTCCCTCTGATGTCCACTAGGAGACACTTGAGCCTCATGACCTCCGCCTCCAGAGAAACCTGGTTCTGTAACCTCCTCAACAGCTGGTCGTTGGCTTCCCTCAGCTGCGACACCTCGTCCTCCAACGACGCAGTCCTGGCCTTCATCTTCTCCCTGTACTTGCGGACGGCCTCCCTATTTCCAAGGGGACGCTTTCTAGAGTCCCCCTTCTCCCCCGAGTCGCCATCGGTTGGGGCGGTGATGATCTTGGTGTGTACATGGAAGCAGGTGTGGGTGTGGGACATGTCCGGACCCGGCGGGTTGCAGGTGTGTGTGTGGGTGCAAGCGTGAGAGTCCTTGAGGATCTCATCGAAGAAGCTTTCCATGGAGCACCCGCCGGGGCACTGATCCATGTCATTCACGTTGGACGACACCTCCTGGTTTGAGACCTCAATCTCCCCGCTGTCCATCTCCGCCAGTGGGTGGTGCTCTGGCCGTCGCCTCCCGCCGGGAATAGGAAGACCGCTCGCTCGACGGAGATTCACGACTCTCGGACAGTTCCTCCCCCGCCCGATCTCCGCCCTCTCCTCTCTCCTTCCCTCTCGAAAGCACAGTTTAAAACAATCAACTTCGCGCGTGGAAACGTCACCATGTGTAAACATGTCGACATAATCGTACGGAAGCACTACAAGCCGGCATTGGGCGGTCAACAGAAGGCCACGTGGCATGCCATCTGAGGAATTATTAAGCTCTCATAATTTATTAAATTAATATGTTTTAATTGAGAAAAAAATCAGCGGGGAGCCTTTGGAGTCCGAACAACGAGGTCTACGTTGATGATAAAAATATTTAACCATAATTTTCAATTCATGTTTTAAGTATGTTGATGGTAATTATTCGAGATCCTTGGCAAGAATCTTGGTCGAATGAACCAGAAAATATCTCATTTATTTTTTTACATTAATTAATTTTTTAATTGAGCAAAGAGCAAGAAGGAGGTTTAGAAGGCGGAAGAATTAAAAAGAAAAGAAAAAAGAGATTTTAAAATATTAAAAATATGTTAATTATGATTATTTAACTATGTTTCAGTTCCCGGGCAAGAACAATGGTCACAACGAACCAGAAGACAAATATAAGGTAGATATAATTCCATATAATGTTGGTCGGCATTCCACTATCCTCCTCATCACACAGAGAGAACCTGCAGGCGTCGGAGCTTGGAGAAGGCGGGGACTCCACCGGGCGCGTGGTCTCAGAGCTTGGAAGAAGGCAGACCTGAAGAACAGAGGAGCGGCGAGGTCTGGAGAAGGGGAGAGATCACACCAGCCTGTAATCTGTGGAAGAAGAGGATCACTTGCCGAGCTGCTTGGCGTTGACGATGCTCGGGGAAGCCGCCGGCGGTGGGGAGCTCTCGTCCAAGAAGGGCTCGATCCGGTTGGGGTCGGACCAGACCGGGTACCCCTTAATCTTTCCCTGCGATCAGGCGAGGAATTGGGGCTCAGTCTCTTTTCGTGGACCTAAGAGAATCGGATAGGCGTTCTCGGTGGACGACGTACCAGAACGTTCAGAGCGGCGAGAGTCGCCATCCCTTCGCGGGTCCACTGCAATGGATGAAACAGGGTTTGCGGAGTTCGCCAATGTAAGTGTTTGATTGAAAATCGACGATTACCTTCGAAGCTGAAGCAATGTGAGGCACCACGACGGCGTTCTTCTGCTCTGCGAGTCCGGGCTTCATGAGAGGTTCATCCTGCGGAGGATTCGTCGAAACAATCGGGTTTTTATCATCTTTTTTCAAGAAATTTAAATCGTGAAGAGAGGAACATTACCTCGAACACGTCGAGACCAACCCGAAACATGGGATTGGCCTTCAGATGTTCGACCAGGGCGGCCTCATCGATCACCGGGCCTCTGCTTGCATTGACGAGGATCGCTTCCTGTAAACAGAGATTTTGCTCCATCAGTGCTGTAGCAGACGACGGTTCATGGCTACTTGTTTCCTTCTTTTAATGGAATTAATGTTCATTGGATGACTGAAAAAATTAGGGCAGATGATTCAGAAGCTGAGATCTCCACCTTCTTCATGAGGGCAAGGCTGTCTTTGTTTATCAGGTGGTAGGTGGTCTTGTCCAGAATAGGATGAAGACTTATCTGGAGGAAGAAGCTCAAAAATCAAAACCCTTGGTGGAAAAAGAAAACAATAAAAATAATATGATTTCATTTTTCAACATTTCTATGTTCTATAGGAAATCTAAGATTTAGACCTCATAAATTTGAAAAGCCCAAAATCTTTTTAAAAAATCAATGCGGCAATCATAACAAGATTCAAATCATGAATCTCTCACCACATCCGCCTCACTGAGCACCTCCTGCATGGAAGAAGCTCTCTTCCAGGTAACAGGTTGCTCCCCATTGGCTTTCAGGAATTCCCCATAAGCTGCATGAGAAAGGGAGACAGAAACCCGATGAACGTCACTTTCGTGTTCAGTAATAATCCAGACGAATCAGGCAGGGGATGAGCTCGCCTGTCACGAATTTCTCCAGCCGGGTCGCCTGATACAAGTCATAGTATATGAGGTTCATCTTGAACCCTTCAATCTGCCGAGAGAATGGTTACGAAGATTAGCCACCTATTTATCTATGTTTTCCCTTCATTTTGCTGTTTGATACAATGGGAAGCTTGATATTGGCGCAAACTGGTTTGAGTTCATCCGAGAAAAAGACTAGTGTCAAAGAATGAATTGATTACCATCATCCTCGCATACGCAGATCCAATCCGACCAGCCCCGATCACTCCCACTGTCTGTCCCTTGAGCAGGTTGCCCACAAATCTGCCCAGATAATAATAATCTCAGGGAATGATTCTTCCTCCTCCCACAGACGCTGGATGATAAGTTCAGGGGAAGAAGAAGAGAGGAGGAAAGAGAAACAGAGGTTCAATCGAGACATACAAATGGGGAAGCCAGCCATCGTATAGTCCAGCCCTCATGAATTGATCCGCTTCAACTATTCTCCTGGCCGCTGATAGCGAGAGTGAAGCGGCCAACTCTGCAGTCGTCTCCGTGAGAACTCCCTGGAAAAAGAGAAAACGGAGGGAAATCCGGATCAAAACTCCTTTTAGGTACCATCGTCACGCAAGAATTGGAGGGAGTGTTCATGGAGATATTCCCGTTGGCATTTAGCATGCGAGAGCGCTGCGTGTAAGGAGGTTTCGAGTCAGACTCACAGGGGTGTTGCCAACGGCGATTCCATGCTTATTGGCGGCATCCACGTCGACGTTGTTGTAGCCGACGGCCATGTTGCTGAAGGCGGTCCCTCCGGCCCTCCTCAACGCCGAGAACAGCACGTCCCCCCAGTCCTCCGTCAGCTGATCAGAGACAGAACAGAATCCAGATAAACTCGAGAGAAACTCCCACAGTAAGGACTTCATCCCCCCCAATGACGACAGGCCCTCCCTCTCTGCTCACCTGCCCGATCACCCCATCGCAACGGTCGCCGATGAGTGCGAGAATGTCGTCCACGGACAGTATCGTCTTCGTCTCCGTGCATATCTGGAGAGAACAGAGGAAAGCCGCGCAGACATCGAATTAGGGAATCGGCATCAGAGGAGAAGGGGAGAGGTCGGAGAGAATCTGCGATGGATTGCCTCGACGCGGCAGTCTTGCTCGGTGAGGAGGCGGATCCAGCGGCTTCCAGGCATGGACTTGGTGCTGACGACCCTGTACTTTCCGCTAGGGTTCCACACTTCGATCGATATCGGCTTCATGGCTGCCGCAGTCCGAGTGGCGCCGCGAGCGGGAGTGTGACGAGGAGCAGCCGCGGAGGGGATTGACGCTCTGCGCCTTTCTCTCTCTATACTGTAAACTGAAAAGGGAAATTTATACCCATTTACACGTCCAGATAATGCCTCTCCCATATTTCTGCTCCGTAGAGAGAGAGAGAGAATGGATAACGTCTGGTTGATGAAGGGGAGGGCCATGGGAGGCGCCGCAGTTTGGACCGCTCGTTCGTGGAGACGGCGGAGATAAGAGAGAGAAAGGAGCGTCCTCGTCACCACTTCCCGCGCTTTTAAGAGCATTCCAAACATTGAAAAATTTGGCCATCGAGTATAAAAAACTATTTTCCAAATAAGTAAATGAATTTAATTATTATTATTTTTGACAGTTAGTAATTTTTCATCCGCCGATTTTTTTTATAGTATATTCATAATATAAATATGTCGTATAAAATGGGTTTGAATCGACCCATCGCCATATGGGCGAACGAGAGACGGCCACGTGGTGACGGGGGGTCGCGCGAACCCGCTGACACGTGTATCTGAAGGGGGAGACTTTTTGGGCTATATGGGTTGGGCTTGTGCTGGACTGGACTCTGGATTTTTACTGTACATTATTTTTCCGAGAAAACTAATTTATAAAATATTCTGAGCTGATAAAAATCGATAATAAATATATTTTCATTCTTAAGAATATAATGCATTTGGATGTTAAATAATATCCAATACAAATATGAAGGGTCTGAGCACCGAAATGTTAAAAAAATTAAAATTTTGGATGCACATTTTGCGTTTAACTAAATTAAATTTATTTTTTAAAAATAGAAACATATTTTAATGAAAATATATATAGGCGGAAAAAAGATAAATCGTCTATTCAATTCCACAAGGTTATCTACTTATTATATTATGCGTCATTTAATTTAAATAATACCATCTATAGGATAGCCCATGACCAAAAGGATATGTACGCTCAATAGGAAACAGTCTCATACAGCTGTGGTCATCAGATTGCATGAGGCTGATCGTCTTCTACAGTTGGGATGATCGGAGGAGGCGGAGTCGAGCTGGAGATGCTGCCTGAACGCCGAGATGAACGCCTCCGCCCTCGCGTTCAGCTCCTCCACGCCGCACCCTCCATCACTCTCCTCCTCCTCCTCCTCCTCCTCCTCCTCCTCTTCCCCCTCCTCCTCGCCGGCGGGCCGCAGGCGTTTCTTCCTGTCCAGCAGGGCTGGCGATCCCGCGGACTTCATTTCTCCGGGAGGCACGTTGTCTTCTTCCCCGGGACGTTTGCGGGGCGGCGGGCGGGTGGAGAAGTAGACGATGGAGGCGACAACGAGCTGGAGAAGCAGGAAGAGGAGAGGAGATGGGCCCAGTAGGGAACGGGTCCGGCACCGCCCGGGGATGGCGCATTGCAGGAGCGTGTTCAGAGCCGAGACGACCAGCGCGGCCGCCGCAGCGGCGAGGGCCGTCTCCACCATGTCGTCCTTCCCGGCTGTCGCCGCCACCTTTGCCTTCCTAACCATCTCCCCCCTCCCCCTCGCCAGAAAGAAGCTACCCGTCCGTCGCTGTCCCTCCCGTCTTATAGAGAGGAGGTAGTGGGGCGGGTTCTCGCTCACCGCCTCTGGTTTCCTCCTCTTTCAAGGCGCGGCGGAGGGAGAGCAAGGCGGCAGCTTTTCCTCGGCGCGGGGGGACCGGTGTCAGTGGCGGTGTCGCGCATGCCGGGGCCTTCTCTGTCTGCCGGCTCACCGAGGGCTGGATTATGTCGCCGCTGAGGGCGCCGGTCCGCCGCCCGGTGCGATGATAGCCATCACGAGCCCCGCCCCGCCTTTCCCCGCCTGCTGTAAAGAGAGAGAGAGAGAGAGAGAGAGAGAGAGAGAGAGAGAGAGAGAGAGAGAGAGAGAGAGAGAGAGAGAGAGAGAGAGAGAGGCTTATTGGGCTTTGACATGCAGGAATCGAACGGCCCAGTATGTCTGAGCTTCGTTCTTTCTCCTATCTCGGCCGGAGCAAGGCCCGGGGAACTGGAACTCGACCCACATCTTCATGTACCTAGAGAATCGAGATTGGGCGCGGGATTTGGGCCGCGATGGGGCGATGAGCTCCGCCGTGGGGAACTTGGCGCTGCGATCTTCAGGCTTCACCGTCGCTGATCGTATCTTACTCCTCCTCCGCACCGCCGCCGCCGGGAATCCACGGCGGCTCCGAGAAATTCAGGCTCAGATTGTCGTTAACCCTCCCCTCCGCGCCGACGATGCCCTCATCCAATTCGTCTCTTCCTGCGCCCGCCATCTCGGCTCCCACCACGCCGCCCTGTTCCTGCGCCATCTCCCCATCAGCTTGGATGTTTCTCTGTGGAATCTGGGCATCCGGTCGTCGACGGAGTCCGACTCCGGGACGCAGTTCATGGTCATCTACAAGGCGATGCTCGGAGACGACGGCGTCCCTCTGGTGAAGTCAACGCTCTCTCTGGTTCTGCGTGGTCTTACCCATTCCTCGGCGGACAAGCTAGGGGAATCCATTCACTGTCAGATTCTGAAGCTGGGCTACGGCTCCGACATGTTCCTCGGCACGGGCCTGCTGGATTTCTACGCGAAAATTGGGCGCCTGCCATCCGCCAAGCAGATGTTCGACGAAATGCCGGACAGAGATGTCGTCACGAACAACTCGATGATCGCGACTCTCAGTAATCACGGGTTCGTCGATGAGGCCCGACGACTGTTTGACGAAATGCCGGTCAAGAGCTCAGCCACATGGAACTCGATGATCACCGGCTATTGCAAGAGCAACCGAGTCGGCGCCGCCCGAGCTCTGTTTGATCGGAATCCCATGAAGGACGTCATCTCCTGGAACGCCATGATCGACGGCTACTGTAAGGTGGGCCAGTTGGAGCCGGCAGCGCAGCTGTTCGACGAGATGGGCTTCGGCAAGAACTCGGTGACCTGGAACACAATGATCACCGGCTACGTCCACCACCGTCAGTTCTCCGCCGCCGTTTTGCTTTTCCGGCAGATGCAGACGGCGGGAGTCTGGCCGACGGGGGTCACCATGGTCTGCTTGCTGTCGGCGTGCGCTCATATCGGCGCCCTCGACATGGGCAAGTGGATCCATTGCTACGTCCAGAACCAGGGCCTCACCATCGACGTCGTCCTGGGGAACGCCCTCATTGACATGTACTGCAAATGTGGGGCCATAGACGTCGCACTGCAGGTCTTCCGTCAGATGCCCGTGAAGAACATCTTCTGCTGGAACTCCATCATCACCGGCCTCGGCATGCACGGGCACGGCGAGCTCGCCGTCGAGGCCTTTCTGGAGATGCACCGACGGGCGGGGTTTAGACCCGACGGAGTCACCTTTGTCGGGCTCCTCTCTGGGCTCAGCCACTCCGGCATGGTCTCCGAGGGGCGGAGATTCTTCTCGCAGATGGCGGAGGTCTACGGCGTGGAACCGGAGATCGAGCACTACGGCTGCATGGTGGACCTGCTCGGCCGCGCAGGGCACCTCCATGAGGCTCTGAAACTCATCGGCACGATGCCCATCGAGCCGAACGCCGTCGTCTGGGGGAGCCTGCTCCGCGCCTGCAGGATCCACAGGAACGCCGCCATGAGCGAGCAGGTCGCGCGGCGGCTGGTGGCGCTGGACCCCGGCGACGGTGGCAACTACGTACTCCTCTCCAACATCTACGCCTCCGCCCGCCGGTGGGAGGACGTGCTCGGCTGCCGGAGGGCAATGGCTGAGAAGGGCGTCCGCAAGCTCCCAGGATCCAGCATCGTCGAGGTGAACAACGCCGTCCACGAGTTCGTCGTCGGCGACGCCTCCCACCCGGAGTACCCTCTTATCGCCGCCTTCCTAGAGGAACTCGCCGGCGATCTGAGGGCTCTCGGGTACTCGCCGGACGTGGAGGCAGTGCTGCACGATGTCGAGGAGGAGGAGAAGGAGGGCGCCGTGAGGTTCCATAGCGAGAAGGTGGCCGTCGCCTTCGCGATCTTGAAGACCGCCGCCGGCGCGCAGGTCCGCGTGGTGAAGAACCTCCGGGTCTGCGGCGACTGCCATGAGTTCTTCAAGCTCGCCGCGGTGCTGCTCGGAAGGGAGATCCTCCTCCGGGACCGGAGCCGCTTCCACCGCTTCGCCGGCGGCGCCTGCTCCTGCAAGGATTTCTGGTGAACTTCCCACCAACCCCCAAGATGCCCGCTACATATTGGTGGGCTTTTTATGGGCTCAATTCACGGGCATTGACTGGGCCGGGAGACGGGAGAAAAAGCTAGGCGGTCAAACTGGGCCCCACACGGGTGCTATAAATGGAGTCACGATGACGAGGGCGTGGAAAAGCACTTCGCGCGGTGGAGATGGCGCCACCGCTGTTGATCTGGGGGTGGACGGCTGGGAGGGGCTCTGACCGGAGCCCCGCCAGCCGCCATCACGGCGGTGGAGGGCGTCATTTAGGACCAAATCCAAAGGGGGTCAGATCTGTGAGGCCGCGTTATCTATTCTTCCCTTCAATCCGGGGAAGAGGACGAGCTCTCCGAGCAGCGGAGGAGCTCCCGCCGCCCCCTTCCCCGGCGTCGTCCTCCTCCTCATTGGAGCTTGCCTTCCGCAGCAGAGGAGCGTCATGGAGAGGCTCGTCTCGTCGTCTCTCCTGTCCTCCAGAGCCGCCCCTATGCGACGGCCGCGGCTTCTCCTCCCGCCGCGCGGCGTCTGCTCCGCGGCCGTTGCCGGACGAATCGGGTTCCCTCCGCTGCCTCGCGCCGGCGGCGTGTTCCTCCCCGAGGGGGGAGGCTTGCCGCCTCTTCTCTCGTCCTCGCCCTTCCCCGGTCGTGGTGCCGTCCTCTGCTCGAAGGATGCTGCGTGGGAACCCGACGCTCCAGCCGAGGCTTCCGGTCGGCAGGCGGCCGGCGGGACCGGGACGGAATCGTTCCGTGACAAGGTTCGCTCGCCTTTATAATACCTTCCTTAATCTGTTTTTCATCTTTGGTTGGAGATGCGCCAGAACTTCATAGACGATTATTTCTACCATATGCATTAATTCTTCGTCTTTTTTCAGTGAATGCTTCTTTAACGGCTATTTATCTTGTCCCCTATTATCTAATAGGTGGATCTGTGTTTTGGCCTTTTCAATTTCTTTCTGCCCATTCATCTTCATGCTTGCTCTTTATCATTCCTGGTCCTAAGTCCATAAGCTATTCCGAGCTTGTGGTGAATGTGGTATTAAGAAAGTGTATGGATTATCTAGAAAAACTGTGGTGGTATACAATTTCGCCATTTGTATCTGTTTAGTAATTTGTAGGACACCTTTGTTCAACTGATGGCTAAAGTGGGCCCAGTAGAGAGATGAAAGTCGTTTGGTTCTCTCAGTTAGGATGATGCTCTACTGATGAGACTAGTTATTCTGTTTTATTTTTTGATGTAGATCAGGGGTTCCCATGATCATCTGATTTCAGTCTGAGATTTTTGTGCTTTGGAAAGTTCCAGCAATGCTGAGATTTTATCGAATCTAAACTGTTTATTGGAAAATATTTATCTGTGTCAGTATGTATTCTCAACTTTCCTTATCTCAAATAACTGGACAGTTGAACGTTCAATAAATCTGTCGTCTCAAGAGACGTGCCATAGAATTCGCTTGCACAGCTGTAGAAAGAAATCCTTAAACTTTTGAAAGGTGGATCGGTCATGATCGGATCATATTTAACGGCCTGGGTTGACTCTGGACTGACAGATTCAGAGTCCTAGATTTTAAAAGCTTGTCCGTTAGGACCAAACTGGAATGAACTTGATAGAGAATATCCCTTTGATAAAATTATTAAAAAATGTTTAATGTTCATTATTAAATAGCTGGGGTATTATGTTTGTCAACGAAGACTTCTAATGCTGGTGATCCATCTTCTTAGACGATCCCCTGCCCTATGGGAGCAAAACAGCGTGCACAGGTTCCATGGGTGGGCAGAAAGATTTGGATCTGGTTGCTATCAACCAGATTGAAAAAAATTGAAGAACTCTATCTGTTGGTGATCATTTCGCTGTCCGTGGGTGATGTTGCAAACTATTTCTTTTTATTATTATCCTCAGTTGACCTCGATGGAAAGAATTCATCCCCCACCATGACGCAATTATTTACTGCTTTTGATTTGGCGGGCCCTTCTGGAAACTTTTGAATGCCCTATAGATTACAGAGGAGTTCGTCATGATCCTGGTCGAGCATTTTGATTTAGCTGATGAAAGTTCTTTATACATTTATAGGAGAGGCATGAGATTGATTCGTGATTTTCCCATATCCCTCATTTTCAGAAGAACAAATAATAATGCTTGTGGAATAATATTATGTGAATCAATCTTCTGGAAAAAGATGGTTTGCCCCACATCTGACCAGTGAATGATTGTCGGGTTCTCTTCGTCTGAGTTCAAACCGTGCTGATCGATGTTCTTGGTAGATTGCAGAAAAAACCAGAGCGGTCATCGATCGGATTCTTGCCGTCCCTCCTTCCCCCTAAAATGTTTGTCTCTCTGCAGCGATGAATAATCCAGGTGATCTTCTTCTCATCACCAGGTTGCCCCTCGCGGAGGAGTGATACTGCTCGCGACGGCGATCTTGGTCCTAATCCAGCCGATTCTCCCCCCCGCGGCCTTCGGGACAATGCAGTCGGCGGTGAAGACCAGCGGCGCGCTGGTCAAGACGGAGCTGCTGAGCAGCGCATGGGCGGGGTTCTTCACCGGCTGCCTGCACACGCTCTCCGGGCCCGACCATCTGGCGGCGCTGGCGCCGCTGTCCATCGGCCGGACGCGGATGGAGAGCGCTGCCGTGGGGGCTCTGTGGGGCTGCGGGCACGACGCCGGGCAGGTGCTCTTCGGCCTGCTCTTCCTCCTCCTCAAAGACCGCCTGCACATCGAGGTCCTGCGGACGTGGGGCACCCGCGTGGTCGGCCTGACGCTGCTCGTGATCGGCGCGATGGGCATCCGCGAGGCGATGGAGATGCCGGCAGCGGCGGCCTCGTGCATCGCCCTGGAGAACGGCGACTGCGAGGCGGCGGTGGAGGGCGTCGGCGGCACGAAGAAGAAGAAGCTCGGGTTTGCGACGTTCGCCACCGGGATAGTCCACGGCCTGCAACCGGACGCACTCATGATGGTCCTGCCTGCGCTGGCCCTGCCCTCCCGGCTGGCCGGGGCAGCGTTCCTCGGCATGTTCCTCGTCGGTACCGTCCTCGCCATGGGGAGCTACACCGTTTTCATCGGCTCTTGTAGTCAGGCTCTGAAAGACCGGGTTCCCAGGATCACGGAGAAATTGACTTGGGCTTCCTCCCTGCTGGCCATCTCCATGGGGCTGGCCATCATCATCAGCCAGTACTTGGGATTTAGCCTGTACTGATTGAAATTTTCCGCCATTTTTTCCCTTTCCCGAGCTCCATTTAGATTTCCTGAGTGGGTCTGTAAGTACAAGCCAGACTGGTGCTGTTCCCCTTCCCCCGAAGTTTTCTAACAGTTCGTCGTTCGCCCTCGGTTGTTCTCTCTCGAACGAAGAAGCCTCGCTTGGCCGGGGTGCCGCCAGCAGGCGTTGACTCTCGTGGGTCAATGGGCGGTGAAATCTTCCAAATAGGGAAATCCGGGGAACAAGATTGAAGTGAGGTGGGAAAAGGTGTGGGAGGGGGGGTGGGGGGTGGGGGGTTGAGGGAGGTGGAGGGAGGAGAAGCTGCTTCAGCCGGTGAGGGCGTGGAGGTATTTGCGGGCGATCTCGTCGATGAGGAGGCGGTAGGCCGTCTCGGTGGGGTGGTAGCCGTCCCAGAAGACGTACTTCGTGGGGTCCTCGCAGGTGCTCGCCATCAGTGAGTTGCACGTGACGGACGCCTCCAGGTTCCCCGTCCCACAACACCCCTTCGTCGCCTCCTCGAATCCTACAGACACAAGAGGCAAAGATAATCCTCTCTCTCTCTCTCTCTCTCTCTCTCTCGCTCTGTGGAAAAAGAAAACCAAACCTAGTTTTAAATCTCCCTAAAGCGAGGGAGAGAGAGAATGTGAGAGAAGCAAAGATAATCCTCTCTCTCTCTCGCTCTGTGAAGAAAGAAAACCAGACCGTCTTTAAAATCTCTCTAAAGCGAGGAGAGAGAGAGAGAAGCGAAGACAACCCTCTCTCTCTCTCTCTCTCTCTCTCTCAGTGCAAAAAGAAAACCAAACCTTCTTTTAAATCTCTCTAAAGCGAGGGAGAGAGAGAATGTGAGAGAAGCAAAGATAATTTTCTCTCTCTCTCTCGCTCTCTCTCTCTCTGTGAAGAAAGAAAACCAGATCGTCTTTTAAATCTCTCTAAAGCAAGAGGAGAGGGAGAGAGAGAGAGAGAGAGAGAGAGAGAGAGAGAGAGAGAGATACCGTAGTGGGTGGGGCGCTGGATGACGTCGATCATGAGGGTGTAAATGTCGACGTAGATGAGATTGGAGCCAGGGAGCTCGTGGGATAGGCGGTGGAGCTCCACAGCCAAGGCGTCGTTGAAGAGCTGCGAGGCCTGATTGAGCTCTTCGGAGCAGTCGCGCTGGGGGCCGCCGAAGAAGGTCCTGTCTGCGGGCACGCACCCCAGGGGTGGGATTCCCATGAAGCCGATCTTTCGCGCTCCTTGGCCGTATAAATTCTGCCGTCAGAAGACAGAAAGAATAAGGAAGAGTGGGTCACTTTCCATTCCTGCCCACGGAAACGCCTCCCGGAAGCTGCAGCGTGAGGGACGGACGGCTGAAGGCCTTCACTAGCTTGCTGGCCTAGGTTTTATGAAGGCGGGGCTCACCGTACGTTCCGGGCTGATCGCCGGTGCATCAGCATGGGCGTAGAGAGGAGGAAAACTGAAGAAGACAAGAACATAAGCTCATGCAGCCTCTCCTTTCCCTCCTTCCGCAGTCTCTTCTACTCTCTCCATTCTCTCCGTTCTCTTCTCTCATACGTTCTACGTCTATCCTCTCGCTCCTTCAAACGGCCTCACAATCTCAGATTCTCTCTCTCTCTCTCTCGCTCGATCGTTCGCAATATGCCTGAGTATTCATATTCTCTCCATTGGTCGTCGAAGTGCTTGCTCATTGACGAAGGAAGGAGGGGAATTACCTTGACGAAGCCGGAGGCCGAGTCCACCATGAGCTTCACGTAGGAAGGGAGGTCGTAGTGCGGCCGCCGGAAGGGCCCGTTGAAGTAGGTGTTCGCCAGATCGTTGCTTCCCTGGCAGATCACGTACAGGCTCTCCTGCACGATACTCGCCGCCCTCTTCGCCCCCACCATTCCCCTGACCTTCCCCTTGTACTCCTTGAACAACTCCAGCTGATCTTCTTGCGACAGCACATTCTGAACCTCCCCAACCTCTGAATCTCAGCCACAGCGAGAGAGAAAGAAAGCGAACGAGCGAGCGAGAGAGAGAGAGAGAGAGGTACCGTCACGGTGGGGGTGATGGGATCGAAGCCAGAGCCGCCGGAGGCGAAACTAACTCCTGTTAAGAGCTCCTCTGGATGAAGATTGGGGTCGAGGTACGCCGGCAGCAGCTCCTTGATCCCCAGATCGGAGACTGGAGACAGCCAAGTCAAACAGACTGGACGATATATGAGAGAGAGAGAGAGAGAGAGAGAGAGAGAGAGAGAGAGAGAGAGAGGTGGCGGAGAACCTATGAGGTCAGTGGGGATCTTGCCGTTGCTGAAGCGACCGGTGGCCTGGTGGCCGGGGAAGTCCTTGCCGTAGGGAGGGAAGTTGGACTTGGTGAGAGTGCCCAGCAGGTTGTTGTTGCCGGGGTCCACGATGGAGTCCCCGAAGACGATCACCGCCGGCACCCGAGGGAGGGTCATGTTGGGCCGTAGGGTTTTGGCCTGTAGCACCTGGCAGAGGAGGAAGATGATGGAGATGGACCATGCAGCACCGGAGGTGCCGACAGAAGCTCTTGCACGAGGAAGAAACTCCATCTCCCTTCTCTCTTTCTCTCTCTCTCTCTCTCTCTCTACGGGGCTCAAGCTCGCTACCCTCTCTTTTCTCTCTCTCTCACTCACTCACTCACTCTAATCCTCTGTCACTCGCTACCAGTCCCACTCCGGCGCTCCTCATACGTGCAATTTGTAGGGTCGTTGGGAGCACATGGAAGCCGTGACAGAGATGCACGGAGAATTGAAGTGGAAAGCGACGAGCTGGCAGCTGCCTCAACGGATAGAAACCATCAACATTCCTATCACCCACATTATCTGGGAGTTTCTTCCCTTACTGTGGAGGTAGTTCCTCAGCTCGGCAGGTTTCCACTGTGTTGACGCGGCAAGTTCCTCTTATTTCCTCTCTCTCTCTCTCTCTCCATACATCTTAATCCCAAGTCCGTCTCTCTCACGCTGTCTCCATCTTTCTCCATTTCAGATGTGGGTGCCGGTCACATGAAGCTCAGCCATACCAATTCCCGTGTTCGGAGGATTGACACCACCGCCTCTGGTGAGGGAGAGAGAGAGAGAGAGAGAGGGATAAGAGAGGAGATGAAAGAACCCCTGGGAAACTTTTAAAAGACGTTACGGGAGGTATTATTAACCGTTGCGACGGTCGCCACCGATCGGCGTGAAAGAACTTGAATGACCGAGGGGTGAGATCGGAGACATCCTTTAAATGGGCTCCTTTAATATACTATTTACTCCGTTCATAAAATGCAGGAGATAGCCTCCCCCATCCCCCTTTCGCAAGAGCCCAGCCCGGCCATCCGGAGCCGCCCCTCTCTCTCTCTCTCTCTCTCTCTCTGTGTATCTATCTCTATCTCTATCTCTCTCTCTCCCTCTCTATGATGGTTAGGCACCGAACCGGGATCTGGTGAAAGGCCTCCAGGCTGGACATGGGGAAGGATTCAGACCCTCCTCTCTGTGTGAACAGGAGCACCATTAAATTCCTCGACAGGACCAGCGGGGGGGACATCGCCTGCTTAGAGCCCACCTCCGGCCGGCGAAGTCGCCACTGTTTCGGCTACGAGATCCGACCCCGGCAGCTTCAATCAAGGTGTTAGCCCATTATATTAGGAAACTCTTCACGTGTGATCAGCTTTGGTTTCTCCCGTTCTCTCTCTCTCTCTCTCTCTCTCTCTCGCTATCCATCTTTCTATATAGATAAATCTCTCTTTTTCTGTACGTGGGAGAGCCTTACAGCGTCAATATCCAGTTAAATGAAGACGGGGCCAGGCTTGGATTTATAGAAACTTTCTGTTTATAGAAATATAAAGACGGGACACAATGAGAGAGAGAGGATGATGGAGGGAAATTTGTGAGACAATGAAGTGAGACGGGACCATTTCTCTTTCTGAAATTAATTTCTCGTCCTAAAGTTCTGTCCTGAGAGTAAATGTTCGAGCGAATATGAGGATGAGGCATGGTCAACTGCGGGTAAGCCCGAGCTTTAATGGCGCACGGCTTCTCTCTCCTCAGGGATTTCCTTCTCCACCCCCCCCACATGGGTCGGTCGACAGCCATCTCCCTCCCTTCACTCTTTCTCACGAACTGTACATGAAGAAAAGGGTAAAAAATTTATGAGAGAGAGAGAGAGAGAGAGAGAGAGAGAGAGAGAGAGAGAGAGAGAGAGAGAGAGAGAGAGAGAGAGATGATCACATCGCTACATAGAGATGGAATTAGAAACAATAAGGGATGATCCTCAACCTCAAGAGAGGAGAATGACAGCTTAGGCCCTCTAAAAGGGTACCTACTCTCAGGTCCGCGAGCCCAGAACCGACAATCACGGCGGCAACTGTCGCCGCCGCCAGGAGACAGACAGATGAGAAAGAGTTTGTCTCAGAGAGATGATCTTAGGTCCTCATCGACCTGCTTCGCAGCAGGCCATGGCCGACGACAGTCATATCTCTTTCTCTCTCATGAAAGAGCCCCCTTCCCTTAAATGCATAGGAAAATCATGAACTGAAGCAAGGCGTATGAACTGAAAAAATACTGATCATTTGGAAGCCTCAACACCAATTTCTGATGAGCATTTTATGTCTCAAATCGCCCACGGAGATGCCTTACACCGCTTCTTATAATATCCAAGAAAATTGTGGCATCATAGCACCAATATCTCATTCTTAAGAAAACTAGGCATCCTAAGATCAAGAAAACAGTAAAATCTCTACAATAGAAAACTAGTAGAAATAAGCCAGGTTTCAATGGTTTAGCCGACCATTGTATCAGATCAGGGGTACACCTCTTGCTCTTCCTTTAACCATGCAATTCTCAAGTAGTTTCGATCGATGGTTTGAAGAAGGGGCAAGATCAGACTAGTGAGCTGGAAAAAAACAAAGAAGGCAGGGTCTTCGTGGGGTTCTTAACCATGAAAACAGCTCAAAACCCAGAAATGGCAAGTTTCCAGATGCAGGAAGATGATCTGCACCTTCAGTGAAGACGATGAACAGAAATGATGAAAAGAAGCAGAACTGAGCTGCCGAGTCCTCTCAGGCAAGCAACTCGAAAGAGGATTCAGCTGTTAATGGCATAATTTAACTTTCAAACAAAAGGAGTAATCATTCAATGCGATATGACTTTTTTTCAGGAAGGGAAACTTGTCAGACACGACACCATGGTGGGATGTACAGAGCCAAACAGGAGAATGGACCTCCTCTAGATCTTCATTATATTCTATTATGAGTTATTTTATACATACAGCTCTAACGCACAGGGGAGCTGATATAGCAGAGAGGGTCCACTTCTTCCCATCCAGTGTGGGAGGAAGAGCGGATGCAGATTTCATAGCACATAAATATTTTCCTCAATTCAGCAGATATGAGATTTTGATGTGGGTTTTTGATCAAACGACAACTCATAGATCACTCCTTAAACACAGTCTGAAACTCTGATACAAACAAAGATTCCAAACATTATGAATATGAATTTAACACCAATGCCACTTAGAAGCATAAGTTACAAGTGGCGACGGCATCAGGCTCTACACAAGCAATGCGGCTGGGCTGGGTTTCCCTTCAAAGACATGGCAAAGATGCAATCTATTGAATGGGACAACTGCTGCTCGGTCTTCTCTTTATTGTAACCAGGATTTTCCCTTTTTCACTGTTTTGAATTAGTAGGGTCCCATAGCGTACGATGTGATTGGGTCGTCTCCTCTTCTCAGATAATTAAAGAAACTGCACACTATGCTTTTTTTTCTTTTCCAGTAAGCAATAAGAGGTAAATTGTATAAGAGATAACCAGAAGAAACGCTTCAGCCTTAAATCTAAGTACAAGCGCCATATGTCTTTATTCAAATGGACTAAAAGAGCCTTGATCACAACACTAAGCTGCAATTAGTGAACTAAAATTTGATCAACCAATGAAACGAAAAATGCTATCATTTATGATAAACACATGGCACTCAGAACCGAGGTACAAGCAGGACAAAGGATTGGTGTTTTAGACAAAAGAGCTTTATCCTACTATCATGAAGAACAGAGAAGAAAAGCTCACTAGGAAAGCCCAATATTTGGAATTCTCAGTCCTCGTCATCCTCATCAGAGCTGCCCACTTCGCTGCTGTACTCACTGCTATACTCATCTTCATCGGGATTAATATCCAGCTGGACACGCTTAACCTGTATAACCTCTGGAGCCCTTGCAGGGGGCATTTGCGCAGCAGATAATGCTGGAGGAACCACCCTCTGTTCCTCAACCCGAGCAGCACCTATGAGTTCATTCAATGGAGGCAACGGGATAGGATCCCCAGGCTTCCAGCCAGGGGGTATCGGTGGAAAGCCAATAGGGAGCTCGATCGGCATGCCCTTCTTCCATCCTGGAGGCACATTGATGGGCAGCATCATGCCGGGCAGTGCCGCCGCTGGCTCCTCCCTCGGCGGCGTCGGTTCCTTCATTGGCTCGACAAGGGTAACACCATCTCTCTCCTTCGATTCCGGCGCTCTCTTCGGCACGCCAATATCGAGGTCGGCAAAGTGGTAGAGTTGAGAAGCTCGCATCTGCTCGTCCTGTGGGGCTGGTGGGAGTGCCCCCCGGAGTGGGGCTTGCCCAGCTCCAAACTCCGGCGGAGCGAATGTCGTGTAGCTGATTTTGTGGGCGTAGGACAAGATATCGGTTAAGTTCAGGGAAGAATAAAAATCCGACGGAGGTTCTCTCTCTGAAGCTTCGTCCTCTTTCGAGCGCTTAGGGTTCCTGCGGTAGTCGGAGTAGTCCTCGGCGATCTGATCGAGAATGAGCTCAGCCTCCCTTACCTTCTTGGCGAACGATAATAGGGAGGCATCCCTGGAATTAATCTCCTCGGAGACCTTCACTCTGGACTGCTGGAGGTTTACGATCTCCTGAAGCTCGGCCACAGCCTCGAAGAGCTGAGTCTGCAAGGACGTGAAGAGGGAGATGACTTCCTTCGTGGAAGACACAGGCGGGAGGTCCGCGGAGGTGGCGACGGCCCCGGCGGTGGAAGAAAGAAAGGAAGGTAATCCGCCGCGGAAGGAGGTGATCCACATGGCACGATTAGGGGACACCTCGAAGAGCTTCGTAGCGAGGGCTGACATCTGCAGGAGGAGGGATTGCGCGCGGGAGAGTGGAGGGAGGAGGGGAAGGAGAGTGGACGTTGATGGGGAAAGCCGGTGGGCGGCGCGTCTGGAGGCGACGGCGGAGCTGGCCGACGGCCGGGGATTAGGGTTGGGGACGACATTGGGGTTGGGCCCTGGGCTGGGGTTCGAGGAAGGGTTTTGGGCGAGGGAAGGGGAATTAGGGTTCGTCAGGCCGAGCCTCGCCGGAGACGGCAAGGCCGGCGGCGCCTGGCCCTGCAGCATCCCTCCTCTCCGTTTGATCTCTCCCCCCTCCACTCGAACTCCGCTCACATCACCGGCGAGCGCCGGAGCTTACGACTCCCTCTCTTCCTACAAGTTTCACTTCATTCCCTCAAAATATTATTCAATTTCTCTTAATCACCATTAAAATACAATATTTTAAAAACGCCCTTCCAGAAAAAAAACGCACAAATATGGGTTTAATTTTTACTATGCATTTATTGCCTTTAAAACATTTAATAATATCATCCGTAAATTAATAATACCTCCGGGCAACTAAATAATGTCGTAGAATCATCCACCCATTTCACACGTGAAAATTTAAAACGGATATTAATATTATCATTATGTAAATATCCACATCTAATTCTCCGAAGGATGCAATAAATACTCTCACCAATCCTATGAATTTCGCCCGTTGACACCATGAACTAGCAGTGATACCCGCCTCTCAACATGCAGGGGTGACCCATCAGACCCAGGGATGAGATGATTACCTCAAGCTGCTCAAACTAATGCCAATATCTGGAAATGTAATGATTTGGCGACAAAAGTCAACTCAATATAAGAATAACACCTAGAAAGTCGTCGCCCAAAACCTGACCCAGGGCCGAGATGATTACCTCAAGCTGATCGAACTAATGCCAATATCTGGAGATATTATGATTTGGCGATAAAAGTCAACTCAATATAAGAATAAAACCTGGAAAATCGTCTCTCAAAACCTGACCCAGGGATGAGATGATTACCTCAAGCTGCTCGAACTAATGCCAATATCTGGGGACGTAATGATTCGGTGACAAATGTCAACTCAGTCTAAGGACAAAACCTGGAAAGTCGAGGCCGAAAACCTGAGGGGATGTTGACCACCAAGCGACAAGCATGAAAATAAAACAGTAGTGATATAAAGTCTGATAACATGCAAGGTCCACAGAGAGGAATCATGCAAAGATCCCACAAGATGTTCAGGTAACAAGTCTGGTGGCTGACACGAACAGCAAAAAACAGAGACTCTGTCCCCAGTAGATGCAGCCGTGCCTCATGTGAGTGCCGATCCTGAGGTGGTCATAGAAAGAACAGTGCGGATGATAGGAGCATCTCTCACTACGTATACTCAAAGCTCCAGCCCCCCCGCCCCCCCCACCCCCCTACACAAAAATTGGTATGAGAACAAAAGAACAGGAATATATATGTAATATTGTATGAGGGATGGGTAGGGGACGCCCCAAAAACTAGGAAAAATGGCCACAAAAATCCTCAACCCATCAAGATCAAACCAATGTCAACCTCCATGGAATAGCAGTCTTCTTTCTCGGCCCTGTTTTCTTCCATATATATATATATATATATATTATTTTTTTCCCTTTTCATATGATCATTTGTTTCCATTTCGGGTATCCTTATTTGTGTCCTTTTCTCTGGAATAGCGTCTCAGTGCCTGGACCTTCTCCCGACTAAGGACCCAATCAGAGCCCCGCTTCATCTCCTCTCCAACCAGTCCGTCCAGTTTAGGTCTCTTGCGGAGGGGAGAGCTCAGGCTCATCTCGATCCGCACCATGTGCGGGCCCAGCATCTGGAGGGCCGCTGCTGTTCATCTCCCCTCGCATTGCGCTGAGGGTGGCGGCCGGAGGAGCCACCCACGGGGCGGCGTTCTGGGTTGAAAGCCCGTCCTCCAGGCCCATATTTCTCACACGGGCAGCAAGAGCGTCTGGGTTGGGTGACTCTGGCGCGTGAAGTGAGCTGGCTCCGGGGGTTAATGGCGGCCAGTTCATCCAGTCATTGCGCCTCCTGACCTTGCCATCCTGCAGACAGAGAGATGAGGAAAGGAAACGGGTGGCAATCATGACAAAGATAATGTTGATGCCGGATAGAACCATATTATTGAACGTATAACTAATGAATCTTACAGAAATGAAGATGAATTAGAATGCATAGAATTGGACGGATGACATGTTGGGTGGGAAGATAAGAAAGGAGCAGCAGAGGCATCTGATTGGTGAGTTGTACCTGTACTTCAACTACAGTTGAAGTTCTCAGTGTCTCGAGAATGAATTGGATATTGTCCGTGAGAATTTTAACCTGCAAGGAAAGGACCGCATGGATAATTCATCTGACGAACATAAATAAATCACAAACTAAACAGAAAAAAAAATTCAGTTGTATAGAAAATCGCATAAATAAAGATATAATCTAGGACTATATCTGTTGTCAAACAAGTCTTGTGATTAGCAAATAATAGGTTATTAATGATATATATAAATTCAGCTGAAAGAGTTCATCACCACGAACTATTTCAATGAGAATGGAGAGGCAAACACAAGTCTTACCGTAGATAGGAGCTAAGTGTATACAGGCTTTGTCGATTAGGAAACAGTTTAAATGGAGTGAGAAATAATAAACTTCTAAGCCTGACAGACTGTAGATTTTATTGCGGGTCAACGGGTCTATGTGGAATTGTGTGCAGTGCATGCAACAGGAAAGGTGGAGGGAGAGCTTCCTTGTTTTGGAAGCCAACCTTCCCGTCAGTTGCCACATTCTTGTTTTGAAGAAAAACTTCATCTCTACAACATCTGCTAGGACGATTTTCAGAAGCCAACACAATTTTCATATTCTCATCGGTCATCAGATGATTGTGATTATAATCAGAAAGAAGGCCCTGGATTCAGCACTCCACCAGCGTCCACCATGGAGGGAGACTGTACAGGGAAAATGTGTACCACAGATGATTGTGATTATAATCAGGTTTGCTTTTCTTCCAGAAAAACCATGATACTGACAATAAAACAACTTTTATTTTAAAGGAGTATAATAAATATCAAATGTGGCCATTATAACAGTCCCATTGATTAGAAAAAAATTAAAACACGTGGCAAAAAAACGCCATGTTAAAAACTAAAACGTGAAGTAAAATCTTCGTGCATGAAACTGCAGCGATAGATGAAATACAGGGATGAATATCCTTTGACTTTATTATCCTTCTTGGCCACATGACACATGAATAAGAAACGTGTGCAAAGGTCAAGACAGCTTAATAAACCAAGAGCAGATTCTAAGCAGATCCAACAAAACGCATGAGATGGAAATACCAAGGGGTCTAAAAGTTTTTTTTATCATTATTTATCATGAATATCTCACACTACAGAAGATTCTCTCCACGTATGTTCTCCTTTGAATTCAGGTGCTTCAATATGAAACCGAGTCACCAAGTCTCAAATATGACGATATTACTTACAAGACATGATGTTGGACTCCCCTGACAAATACCCATTAGTTAGACAGAGAAAATAAGAACCTATTTGATCCTATTTCCCATGGAAGAAGCAATGACAGAAGCAAAATAAGACGGTAGATTGGGTATTAATGTCCCATCTCCCCCCTCCAACAGCGTCGTCTGCTCAACCCACAATACTGTTGTTAGTAGTCTTCATAAGATACCTTATCGAGGTATAATGGTTGTTTTTCATAGAATAATTGTAGTCAGGATTTCCAAAAAAGCTGACTTACGGGATTCTTTTAGACCGTACATAAACACCAATTGCCAGTCAACGAAGAGGCAATATCTGATGAAATAGAAATCTGCTGGTTCTTCCCTTAAGTTCTCTTCTGTCTCCCTTATTATCGTACTCCCTTTCCAATTCTTCTCACATTTCTCTTCCACCCCCATCTTCACTGATCCAGCCACAGGTTTGCATTAAGATTTGGCAAATAAAAAGTGTACATGAGCCGATAGATAGCCAAGTCTTGCGTATGCTATCAGTGTTGATAATGTTAGAAATGTCCAAAACTAAAGACGTAGTGGCTTTACCCTCGAGTGATTGCTTACAGAGCGGAACCTTACTGTACGCACTGGGCTGTTTTCCTATCGACCATGGTCTTTACACCAATCTTGTCTGTCTGTAAGAATGAAGACAGCCTGCACTCAGAGTTTCTCGAATGCTGGTAAAGCGAAATGGGAGACCCTACCCCTTGAGTACCTTAGATTGCTGTAAGCGGGGATCAAACCATAGGAGGTTCAGCTCAATGGGGATCAATGGCGTCCACGAGTTCGTATCCGGGGACAAAGAGGCATAAGAAATGGATCTTTTGTCGATAAACGAGATTCAATGAAACTAGGTTCTCTTAAAAAAACATCTCAACGAAGAATGACATGCAGTACATGATTACACATAAACTATGTAAACAAGCTTAGTTTAAAGAAAAAGTTTCCTTTAGCCAAAAAAACTCACCGTCAGGTGGGAACTTTCTCTAGTCTTGGACTCCCTCACTCCCAAACTTGGTAAAAATAAAATCTAAAGACAGCTATTTCTTTCTTTAGGCACCACTGGCAGTGGTGACATCTCTCTCTTGGAAAAAAATCCCAACAAAGTTTTCCCAGGTAAGGGCAACTTTTAGTACCTCAGCCAAAAAAGCTGATTATCATGCCAATACTGAGAGAGGAACAAAATTACAGAAGCAGTAGGCCGCTAAATTCTGGCCAACAAATAACCATCTTCTCCAGCACTGAACATAGTCAGTCAACTATCCCAGGTCCCTGGTATTAACTCAAGAACATTTGACATGTCCAACATTCAAGTCAATGCCAATTCTCATGATGCGAATTGGAAAAGATTTGTTGAATGGGATCTCCAATAATGCCAATAATAAGATGGAGATAATAAAGGATATAAAACTCTGAAGAAGAAACAGGAGACAGGTCTCAATAATTTTACAAGAAAAAATAAAAATAAAAATAAAGATTTAGAAGGGTCTAACGAAAATCTATATCAAGCAGCCTCCAAAAGATTCTAAATATGCCGCAGAGGAAACCTTCGTTCTCTTTAAACCATTTAACCCCTTCCCACATTGGTACTAAAGGTCACATGCTAGTCATATTAACTGCTTAGAGACCAAGCCCCATGCTAACCACAGAACTAGCCAACTAGGCAAGATAAGTTCCTGGGTCTATGTACAAAACAAGACAAATCCAGGCCATAATTGGGCTCACCAAGTCACATTCTTGTCCATCATCTGACACACATGTCCGTATCCCAGGAAATCGTAATTAGCAAGGAGTCAGCAGCAGAGATCATTTTTGGTTTTCACACAAAACGTGAAGTATAATCGAAAATAAAGTGAGAAGTAAGACTATGCAATCCACCAATGGCAAAACGAATGGGTACCCTCATAACAATGAAAAACCACTGATAAAACAAAAATAAATGGTGTATTGAAAAAAATAAAAGAAAATACGATACTGTGGAAGATGTCTTGTATCTTTGGGTTAGCTATGGGAATGCCTTACCATTTAAAAATTAAATGGTTGAACAAATCCAGACTTGGAAGAATACCACAGAATTTTCCCTAACCCAGGATCTACTGGGGTGCAAATGGTTGGGCTCAACACCAGAAATAAAATGCTCTCGAGCAATGAGTAACTAAAGGTAATTTGACAAAATATTAACAATGATTTGTAAGAAAATATTAACAATGATTTGGGTTTTTTCCCTGAAGGTTGCCCAGAATAAAGGCAAACAACAAGATTTACCTTTTTCGACTTTAAACTTCAAGATCAAGAGTACAATAAGTAACAAACAAAAGGTAGTTTACTACTTTAAACTTTTGATATAGATAAAAAAATGTAGGTTCAACAAAATAAATTAATTTGTAATATACTCTTAGGCAGAGTATCTAATGCAATAAGTCAGGAGAAAAATGATGACAATCTTTGCTTCCTATGATAGACGCATAAAACAACTTCGAAGCGAATTTAATTTATTCCACGTAAAGATACAAATATTTAACAATAAATTACCTGCATACTCCAATCTAAATGTACAGAAAACTTATACAAAACAAGAGAAACAAAGAACAAGCTAACAATCAGAATCACAAAGGACATCGTTCAATTCCACAATATTTGTAAAATAAAGTGAAAGAAGTGTGACAACCTTTGTATGGTAAAGTTAAAGACAGCAGGGAGACCATACTTAAGGATTCCCAATCTTCATTAAATATATAATCACTAAATCTGAGACTGGGACGTCAAATATTATCTCATCCTATGGAAAAAAATGCTACCAGTTTTCCTTTCCAAATTTCAGACCTAAGCCTTTTTCCAAAAAAGGTGGGGCTTCACCTTGAGGAGCATCAAGATAGAATGACTTAGTCGTTGACTATTTTTCATTGACCACAGAGTGTTTGCTGGGATATTTGAACCCAGAAGTTAGGTAGATAGGAGAATCGGGAATGACAATTATGGTAAGGCTGTGATAATGGTAGGATTGACCTTTGATGCACATTAGGATGCGCCAAGTCAAATAGTTGAAAGTCTTCCAAAGAAAACATATGGTTTCAAGTCGATTATGAGGATCCGAATCAGAACGAATCGATCTAAATTGTAGAAAAATTAGTACGATCCAACATTTCTCTCCAGCATCAAAATGCTTTTATGCCCGCTCTACTGTTCTTATTACCAAACGAAATGTAAAGAAGAGAATAGGCAACTTGGACAGTAATGACAAATAAATAAAAATTGAACCGAATTATCCCCTTCCCTTCAGTACATTAAGTGTGTGGATGTTGAGATCAGATTTTTCAAAGGCTCGAGTCTGCCATTTCAAGGCAACAAGTTTATGGTTTAGAAACGTAGCTCCACAGTTCTCACTAAGAACTAGCCAGTTCCCGAAATCTTACATGGACAGAAAACGGGAAGAATGAGTCGGCATTATCACATCAGGGCCTTTTATGGATGGTAGTCCATGACTAAACTCTTAGGAACCTGGGCCTAAATAGGTTTAAAGGAAGTTGAATCATTTGCGTGACAGACATATGTAAGAAGCTCGCTCACTCTGAAGAAATTAGATTAATATGTTTAACAACTGTCAAGGCAAACGGCCTCGTGCAGGTAAGCTCATTCCTGATTGAGTCAGCATGGTCTGACTTGGATTTTTTTTCCTACTTCCTATCCCACTGCAATCCTGGGGCAGCCGACCTTTGTCACAACAAACAGTTCAGTTCCATAAGCAAACAACTCAGCCAACTCTACCAAATGACTGAAATTCCATTGGAAAAACAAGAAAATCATAAGATAAATCAATCAAAAAATTCATAATTAAGTCCTGAAATATAAAAGGAACGATAAAAGGGCAGCTATAATTTGAGAAAGTACGATAAGATAACAAGTAAACACACATACACTTGCAAACAGGTGACAAGCACACCAGTCCTAAATATCAAAGGAACAATAAAAGGGCAGCTATAATTTGAGAAAGTAAGCTAAGATAAAAAGTAGACATAAATATCAAATAAGAGTGGCCTTCACAAGAATTTTTTTTATTAAAACCCCAACACAAACCGAAAATGTAGAGTGGATAACGAAAATAAAAATCCACAAAATGATGCGAGCACATAGTGCCAGCCACATTACTGAAAAATGCAGACAATAAGTATTTGGGCCTATGGATTCAGACAGCATGCATCTGATCAGTTGAAAAATTGATTGCATGAGCAAAGAATCATGTTATGTTGAGATGGAAGTATGATGGGGGAATCAACTATAAAGCCGCAAAAGGAGACGTAATTGGCTAGTGCATAAGACTCAAATATATGACTTCATTTCAACAGAAAAAGTGAAATCAAAATCAATAAAAGAAGTATAAAATAACTGGGCATCAAAGGCAAAACAAGTAGAATCAAGATAGGCAGAAATGGCATACTCTGTTAAAACTTGCAATCAAAGAAATGGGAACCCAACCCTCTTCGTCCATGTTTTGCCGCAAGTATGTGTCTCTACATAAATTTTCCGGACTACAACAATGATGTTACAACGGGTAAATCCTCCAGGTGATTAGAACATGAGTAAAGATGACAGAAAACAGTGGGTAAAAACAAACCTGAAGTAATAATCTATTTGCTTGGATACCATCATTGGCAAGTGCGGATCTGGTGCTGCAAAATACACCGCAGATGGGGCAACAAAGGGTATGCCCCTCATGGTTTCATGGGGAGGTGTTGGAATATAAAATACAGGTGAGGGGATCTCTGGAAATGAATACAGGTTGTCAAGGTATTACTTTGATAAAAACCATGAAAATTATCAGCATTAAGAAGATAAAGTGCTTACCGTGATATCCAATGGGACTCCCGAAAGGACTTACACGAGGAGGGGGAGGAATAAAGGGAGCTGGAACAAGTGGTGGTGGCTGGATGAAAGGCCTTGCCATGCCCCTTGGTTGTTGCCGCTGCTGCATGTGAGCATCTCTGTTACCACTAAAAGAGCGCTGATTCCAATCATAGCCACCACGATCCTGATCACGGCGGTTCCCAAAATTATGGTGAGACCCGCCCCCACCACCGTTTCCCCTCCTGCTACTACCATGATTCCTATGATGCTCATTTCCCCCCTGCGGCTGTGGGGAGAACCCACCGCTCCTGGATCCATGATCCCAGCTACTGCTGCTCCTGTTGCTTAAGTCTCTTGTAGATGGTTCGGAGGACACCACTTTACCCTGAGATGCCTCCGCTGAAGTTGGTGATAGCAGAGGTGGCACCGGCCTGCCGTTAGCAATCGTAACACCGCCCTTGCTAGGGATCGTGTTTCCAGAACCATTGCCACCGGCACGTTTTGTGGATTTCTGGCGTCCGTAGTTCGCAGAGATATTAGAGTTAGTGTTGTTAGAAGTGGCTTTCCCGGAAGGTGATGCAGCCATAGGTGCCTAAATGCCAAAAAATAAAATAAGCAACGAGATGTAGGGAACGATTGAGGTGTATCAAACATCAATATCAGTCTAATTTTCCACGAAAAGAGTTTCTAGACAAACTGAATCAGAGATCGCACCAAATGCGCAGGGACCGATCCGTCAGGAAGCGCCTTCAGCGAATCAGAGGACGACGGCTTACTGAAGTTCTTGGTAGCCTCGGAGAGTGCAGGCCAGGAGACGGCCCCCATCACTGGTTCCACCTCAGTTAAACCGTTAGAAGGTGCGCTCCATGGTGACTTCTTCTCCCGTGACGGCGCAGATGCATTGCCGCTGGCCCCATGGTCCCCGCTATAGGATGACGGCGGTGGAGGTGGACTAATGGATGCATCGGACGCTCCGGCCTCTGGAGGACTGACCGAATCGACGGACCTGGGCGGGGAGGGGTCGAACTGTTCCCCCGGCGCCGCCATCCTCTCCGTCGCCGCGGCTGGGGACGACGGGCAGTCAGTGCCAGGGGTCGACTCAGGTTCTCCACGGACGACGTGAGACCAGGGTGATGAGAGGTTGCGGTTGTTTCCACGCAACCGAGTGGAATGCGCGTCAGAGGCGGACGAGGAGTCGGCGGCGGCGGCCATGCGCGCGGCGACCGGCGGAACGACGGCCGAAGACTCCCCCCGACGATTAGGGTTTGCGATCGACGCCACCAGAGCAGGAGCGCCGCAGGACAGGATGCCGGGGAGGGTGGCGGTTGCCAACGCGATTTCCTGTCAGGACTCTGCGCTGAATCAGTAGATACAGAAGCATGCGCCGCCGGAGGAGGAGAAATGGGGTCGACCACAGACGGGATCAGCCGCTGACAGGGAGGCCGCCGCGATGGGGGGAGGGAGGACGCAGCTCCTTCCTCCTCTCTCTCTCTCTCTCTCTCTCTCTCTCTCTCTCTCTCTCTCCTCTCTCCCGTCTCTCTCTCTCTCTGCGGCCTGCGCCCCCAAAGGAAGCCTCCCGAAGGAATTCCTCTCCCCAGGCAACTAAAATAATTCCATTCTACTAACATTAATATTGTACATCACTTTTTCCACGCTTTTTCTCTATTTTCTCCCTCCGACTTCTTCACTGTGATCAACGGTTATGGGATCTGGAATTTCCCGAAAAAGGTTTTTCTTTATATTGATGTTTCCACAAAAATAGAGGGAAAATCGACCCCTATGGCCGTAATAATGAAGCCACTCTCCGCTAAAGGACAGAAAATCATGAACGGAAACGCGAACATTACTTTAATTTTAAAAAATAACGCGAAGATATTAGATCCCGACGGAACCTGCCGACCTGCTGCGTCCCGTCCCGTTCGGGAAAAATCTCATTTTTACTAATTATGTTTACTGAAAATCATCCACGCGCTTCCCCAAACTATTTGAAAAATTGGGAATAATCTCCCTCTCTCTCTCTCTCTAACACGAGGTACTGAGTTTTTTTTTACCGATCCGAGGTAACCTAGTCGAGTCCTCGATGATGTTTAATGGGACTGTTCGCCCCATCTTTCCTCTCTCTCTCTCTCTTTCTCTCTCTCAACATCAAATTCTAAAGCGAAAAGTCGAAGGTGAAAGACAACAAAAGGTCAAAGATCATATCCGCCGTTGGTAATAAACAGACGAAGGAGAGAGAAAGAACATGGGGGGAGGGACTCCTGGGAGCAGCTGACCTAAGAGAGGAGCGCCGTCCTCATGCGGGGAGGGTGGAACCGAAGGATCTGACGATGGCACCGACTCTCTCCACAAATGTCCTGGTCGTAATCTTCTTCCCGGGAACATGGAAGGGGTTCGACACAGCGTCCATATACGCCGCATGAAACCTCCTGAAGAACTGGACGGGTGAAGGACGGCGGACTCCATTAATGGAATTTTTTTTTAAAAAATGGGTTCCTTTAACTGGGCACTGTTCTTCATGATGAACACGAACACCAAAAAAGGAAATATAAAACTGCGGCGTGATTAGGGCTTACATTTCTGGCATCTGCATCTCGGACATCCAGATCCGTCGTGACCAGAATGAACTTCACCTTCGTGTTGGTCAGGTACCCATACCTGCAGGAGGATGGAGGGAGCGCAAGAAGGTGAGAAAAGGTAGCATTTTTGGGCCGGAACAGGGAGGAAAGGGGTCTTACACTTTATAATTCTCAGCCGGATAGAGAAGGCCGAGGAATGGCTCATTCAGTGTCGGCCCACTTTTCTTGGGATTATTCACTGGCGAATGCAAGAACATGAGATTATGAGAAGGATTCGGTCAGGGTCTCAGAGGAACCAGGAGAAAGATGATCGGCACAAAACGACCAGGCATCTGAGATGGCACAGAAAATGCCTGCCTGCCGAGAAGAATATTATATTAGAATAACTAAAGAACAAGTAGAAGCACAGTAACACGGAGAGTGTAGACGTTGCCCAATTCTCTGTGGAAATGGAACTGCCCAAGGCTACTATTTCAGACGGGTCGAGCCACAGGGACTCGTAAGCTAGATAAAAAGAATGTCACTATGTTAAGCTAACTCATAAGGTGAAAAAAATGATGGGATTGTGACGAAAAAAAATATGGGTGAGCGCCACACCAAGTATCAGATATGGAACACCACAAAAAAAAAAAGGGTTACATGACAAAAAGTTAAGAACTGAACCATTCTGAGCAATTCTAGCAACATAGACTGAATAATTTCCAGGCAACAAGCCTTAAAATGAAAGTAGATGAAAGTACAAGTAGTCTGTTTGCAACAAGACAGACTCACTTCAAAACATGACAAGCACTTCAACAACTATGCGATCTTTCCATAGCTACAACTTTGGTGCCGTATAGATTATACCACTGCAGCCTCAAGTGAGAAAATTATTATTTCGTTTCTCCCACCATCAAGTAGCCAGAGAGTTTTCCATTTCATGAGGCCACAGATGACTATCTAGAGGGCATGAACAAAGCCACATTGGTATCTAGCATCTCTCTTTGGTAGTACATTCTCAAGGATGATGTAGAGAAATTTTTTGTCGACATTGCGTACTTCCTGGTAGTCTTGCACCCATGACAGCTAGACCACGCCATTTAGTTTTCTAGGAATGATCTAAAAATGTCTACGACAGCAAGACAAGACTGCTGTGGTCTGGCATTAAGCGAGCGCCATGGGTAATTGGATAACTCAATGTTGCTCTCACACTTATTGAAGGAATCCCCATAAAGGACCAGCAATTGGGGGAAGGAAGCAAGCTCATGATACAAAAGTTCAGTGAGCGATAACAACACGTCAGTCAGTCACTTGCGATGTAATGCTACAGAACATGCAATGGTACACAAGTTATCATTACTTACTTTATGTTCTTCTATTGTGCCAACTGATGATCTTATGCGTCACCCTTTGGAGGATACTGTTTAAATCACCGAGTTATTTTGGCACCCAGGACAACATACAGTTGGTATTCACCAACACATGAGAAGAAGGGGAGATGATCGGAAGAGTACAGGAGACCATGAGATCAATGCTGTGCCTAGAGCGAGCATGCAATGAATCCTCTGGGCATTCTTGCTTGGAAACTGTTATGATGAACATATGCTATTCAATGCTGATTCTACATGTGCAGAAATCCAGTGATGTCGCGGGAATAATGAGCATCTTGTGCAATATGAAGGTAGGAATATCAGGTACATATTAAGGTTAACCTATCAACAGAGCAAAGTTTTCTGCACTCTACATAATATAGTATGAAACTTCAATAAAGAGGCTGTATTCCTGCTTCCGAGAAATGCATGGGTCAAATTATTTTTTCCTTAGATTCATTTGACATTCCTTAGATACAAATTTTCATTTTTTATTTTTTTGTGTGTTCCGACTTTATGATAAGGCACAGTAGCAGGTTTCAACTCCACCTTCACAAGTCCTTTTTCAACCAAGTGAACCTTATATTCTGAGAAATGGAGTACCTATTCCCATCGTCAAATCTCTATTTTGTCACAGATGAAGCCATGTGATTCTGCCTTACTCATTTTCCGTCATTGATAGAGGTTGATATCAGCCAATTCGCAGACAGAGATGATTTTATCAGCTCGTTTCATAAAACTTCAGCCTGGATTCACTAATACGATATATTTCACGAAATTTTTAGGATCAATACCTTCAAGCGTACGACAGCGTCATCCCTAAGTGTGAAAGAAAAGCATGGCTCGAAAATTATGATTCGGTGTAAAACGTCAATTGAGAAAATGAAAATCAGAAATATCCATGAATATCCGGAAAACACGGTACAAGCAGAGGAAAAAAATAGGTTGTTTATGGGATCATGTGGGATTGATATTCACCGGCTGCGTGGAAGTTAGCATAAACCGAAAGGGAAAGGGGAGAAGCTCGCCGAACCTCTCTCCTCAACGACATCGAGGGAGCAGTGGACGATGTGGTGGAATTTCAGCGCGTCATCCCCATCCGTGAAGCTCTGCAGGTACAGCGGGTTGTTCTGAAGTGCACAGAGAGCAGAGACAAGGTATAATCAGATCGGTGCCCAGGAAGCCCCTGGCTACAGAGGGGTAGAGTAAACATTGAAGCTCCGCGCGAATTCAAGTCGTACCTGTTGGCCGACGACGGCAACGCAGACGATCATGGTGGCCGTTAGCGTCAGACGGCCTGCATCCGTCGCCCCTGCACCTTGCCGGAGTCGGCGACGGAGGTCCCTCCCTTCGTCTTCGTATCCCAGACGAGCAAAATGGACCGCCTTTCCAATCATTAACCTCTCATCTGGGCCCTAAATCATAAAACTACTCCGGCCCCAAAGCCCAAAGTAACTTTTAATAGCAATATCCAAGGCAACAATAACAAATAAATAAATAATTCAAACATCCTTCCACATATGAAAATTTTCATCACACATCGTATCCTAAAAAATTTAAATAAACTTCATCTCCCTTACCCCATCTCATAATGGCACCTTATAACCTTATTTACCAAAATTTATAGACAAATATATTACTCTTTGTATCTAATGCTTTTGGAAATTTTCTATTCATACAATGTTCAGCATATAACTATAGTTCTATATTCGAATATCTAGGTGAATTAAGGCATGATAAAATTTTTAAATGTTTTTTTTATTAACACCATGGTAAACAAGATGTTTGAGCATTTCTCAACCGAAAAAGGACCAAAATGTGGAATTTGGTAGACATGGAGGATGCCCTATGTTAGCTAATCTAATCTTCTATGTGCATGTTCATTGCGTATGTAGTGTTGTGTTAGAATGTGTGCATGTTGTATCTCTAGGGTTCATATGTGTCTCCCATGAACATGGCCCTCTATCCTAATGATGTCATCTCACTTAGGTCATGTGAACCTCTTGTGCTCAATGTATGATGGTGTACACTTCCTAAACAAGTATGCCCCCTGCAATGTGCTCCACTTGCATGCATGTGCGCATGCTTCATGTGAGTAGCAAGGTTCTACGCACTTCTTATAAATAAAGTAGATATCTCATAAAAAATTGAAATCATACATTGAAATACTTTTAAACATAAAAAAATAATTTAAAAAAACTTTATAAAACTTCTCTATGTTGTTTACTATTGATATCATTTCTTTCTCTTCTCCATATTACGTTCCTTTTTAGCCACCATAGCATATTAATTGGAACCAATTATGACTAAATAATTTATCAAATATATATTTAAACCCTCCTCATGGCTCAATAATAAGAAATTCACAAGTATTGCAATTGATAGTCAGATAAGTATTGACTTGAAAAGAAGTGAAGGTAAATCAGTTCTTTTGAATCCCTTATTGAAGTATGATTTCATATCAATGTGTGGAACTAAGAATTTTAGAAGTTTGGCTCACTTGGATTACTTTACTATGAATCATGTCAATTGAGTTCCACTAACCTTTGTTAACATATTAATTAAATACAAAGGATTCAACTAGCCTCACACTAAACTTAATAGCTCTAGGTGACTAAAAGTGTTTCTCTTACACACTTGCTCTAGAGGGTCAACTAGATTAGTGCCCTACTAATATTACTATTCTAGATTTAAGATTTTAGGTTGGCTTATATACTATAAGCATTTAAACAAAACAAAATAACACATAAGTGTAGCTTATGATGGTAGGAATTTGAAGGTTTAGAGAGGTATGTAAGCTTTTTTGGAGGACATGTACTTGAATGTTGGAGAGAGAGTGCAAAAATGAGTAGAATTGTTAAATCCTTTTGTCTAGAATTAGGAAAGAAACTATGCATTTGATTTATTTGTTATTAGAGTCACATAAGTAACAAAAAACTTAATCTCATCATTTTCTCTTGTAATATTAGTTTGTTTTCTTTTGTCATTAATTGGCTTCAAAATGAATGCACTTTTTACAAAAATTACATTATATTATCTTAGAATCTTCTTCTATAATATTTACATACTATTTTGTCTTCTTCAAATAATAGATTTCAATATATTTCTTACAAAATGAAAATTATATTTGATTTATCATAACTTCTTCCATGGCCTTGACTTCAATAAGACATTCTACCCTAATTTCTCTTATCATGTCACTCATTGGAAGTGACATCATTATTTTTTCATTTCATGTGATTATAACTTTAAATTGAAATGTCTATTCTAGAGAGTTTTTTATAGACTTATTCATTATTTATTCATATGCTAATAAAGAGTCTATTGATTCATTTTGAGTGTAAATAGATTCCTCAATAGCTATAACAAATTTTGATAGAAGACTTACCGATGTTTTCTTAAGAATTTATTTATCATATATTCTCATCTAATCAAGAATTAATCAAAATGCAATAAAAAAAACCTCAAATATATTCACCAACTTTAATAAACAGAGTTCCAAATTACTTGTAAAGAGTTTGAAATTTAATGATTGTAACCTTATTATCCCCATAACATTAATCTCTCAAAAATTTCTAAGTTTCTAAAAACCTCATGGTATTAGCAATCAAAAGGAAAAGAACCACTAATATAGCTTTTTCTAATACTAAAAATATTTTCACATCTTTCTTTTGAAGTTCCTTAAGATCCTGTCTACTGCTAATAATGCTTCAAAATTCATATTTATTTCTATTTAAATAGAGTATAGAGGTATATAGGTTTTCATTTGGCATACTTGTAGTAAATAGAGTTACCTCTTCTCAAAAAAATTCACATAGATATTTCTATGAAAAAACAATTTCATAGTATTAGTCAATCTCATTCTTGTAACTTTATTCTTGTGGTTGTGATATCCACAATACTAAACAACTCATATATTGAACTTAATGTTTTGATACCACTTTAGGAAAATAAGTTCAAATTAAAGAAAAATATTTCTATATTTAAGAGAGAAAAATGGGCTGAAATACATGAGAAAGAGGTTTCATGGCATAAAAAGAGTTTTAAACATAAAATATCTTGAGCTATTTACAATAGAGGAGAGAGATAATTTTTTCAAGAGATGGCTCTCCATGGTAGATCTAGTTGTCCTATATAATATCTCAAATATAAGGGATGATTTTCAGTGTATCCGATGAGGAAAAAAAGACGATCTCTTTTTTTAAGATGGTGGTGCAACATGTACATGTTACTACACCCTTAAGTTTTCCCTTTGTTCTTCCTTTCAGAATAGGATCTACGATTTTGACATTGTCCATAATGTTGGCCCTTACGTGAATCAAACCTTTGTTATTAGTTAACACAAAAATTGAGATGCATTTATTAATTTTGTCTTTATTTTATTGCTAATTTTTTATTTTAGTGGGCCAAAAGGTTACAATTTATTTTGGTTTTTAGTAGGTCAAAGGGGGGCAGCCTATATAGGATATTTATGTAGGATATAAGTACTCTCTTTCTCTCTCTTCACAGTGCATTTTTGACGATTGATATTCTAGGTTTTTTTTCTATGTAGAGTTCCTCATCTTCTCTCCTTTCATTCTCTCCCAAAATCTATATTCTTTCCTAAAAAGTCATCATCATTTTCCTACAAGTGGAATCAAAATGCCAAGTTCATCTATTGGGTGTTTTCTTCTTTCATGGAGACCACCAATTCAAGGGAGATTAAACGGGATTGATGAAGGTTTTTGAATATTTTTTAAGATTACTTGTTCTAAAAAGAAACCTGAAGGTCATGTTTGAAGTTTTTATGAAGAGTTAACACCATTAACTTTGAGAATGTCAAAAGGTAACCCCTTGAAATTATCTCAACCCCTTGTGCCATTTTTCAATGGAGGGAAATATGATTTTTGGGGCATTAGGATGAAGATATTTTCTATTTCACAAAATTTATGGGATTTAATTGAGAATGAAAATATGGAAAGAGAGAGTTCTCAAAAAGATAAAAAAAATAATTTCAAAAAGAAGATACCAAAGCATTATTATTTTTACAGCAGTCCATTTTAAAAACTATTTTTCTATGTATTACTAATGTCACAAGTTTTTTAAAAGTATAGAAAATTTTGAGAAATAAATTTTATGAAGACAATAGAGTTATGGTTGACAATCTTCAAACACTCCATAGAGAATTTAAAACTATAAACATGAAATCTAGTGAATCTATTTGTGATTTATCTTTTCAAATTTCAATTATTATAAATCAAATGAAATTTTTTGATGAAGACATTTTAGATACAAAAAACATTGATTCTTTTTTAAGAAATCTTCCTTCTAAATTTGATCAGGTTGTGGTTGTTGTTGTTGTTGTTGTTATAGAAGAGCTTAAAGATTTGTATATTTATGCTCAAAATGAATTGATGAGATATTTATTGGCACATAGAGGAAGAAAATAGATTTACAAAAAAATATCTTGAACAAGTATTTAAAGTCAAAATTAAAATGTTTTAAAAAGAGAAAAATAGTAAAGTCACTTTGTACCAATGACATGATACTAAAAATAGAGGTCAAGACAATTATCATAGATGAGGTTGATAGAAAGATGTAATGTTGATTTTGTAAGAAATATGAACATATTAAAACGTTTTTTTGGGAGAAAGTAAAATAGTATGATAATGTTAGAGAAGGAAGTTCTAAGTTAGTGCATAATTTTTAAAAGAAGTATGGACATATTGAAATAAACTATTGATATAAGAAAAAGGATCAAACAAATATTGTTGAAGAAAATAATTTAAAATTTTTATTTATTATTTTTTTTATCTTTAAGTATAAGTAAATAAAATATGTGATTTGTTGATAGTGGTTATAGTAATCATATGACAAGAGATAGAGATTTATTTCAAAATACTAATTTATCTATGATATATGATGTTAAAATTGGTAATTAAAATAATGTGAAAAATGAAAACATTACTACTATTGTTGCTCATATATAATCAAGTGCAAATATCTTAATTTATGATTTAATTTATTTTGTTTTAAAATTAGCACACAATTTACTTAGTATAAGTCAATTATTAGAATGTGGTTATATTGTTCATTTTGAAGATGATAGATGTATTATCAAGCATAAGAAAAGTGTCACGTCTCTTATGATGATTCCTAAATTAATTATATTGAAAATTTTTCCCCAATTATAAGACTTAAAATAGTTTGTATTATTTTGACTTTGGTAGTACAAATGAAATGAAAATATTTCAATTTAATATTAAATAAATATTTTTAAATAATTATTTGAATGAAGATGTCTATGTTGAATAACCACAAAGTTTTATTATTGATATGAGAGAAAATAAAATTTATAAATTAAAGAAGTCATTATATAATTATAAGCAAGTGCCTAGAGGGTGATATAATAGACTTCATTCATATTTTTATAAGTATAATCTTCATCGAAATGAGAGTAAGCCAACACTTTATATCAAGAGTGAAGGAGAAGATATTTTAATTGTATGTGCTTATGGTGATTATATTATTTATATTAGATCATCTTTGTCATTAATTTTAGAATTTAAGGCTTACATGATGACTGGATTTGATATGACTAATTCGTGATTATTTTATTATTTTCTTAGACTTTAAATTATTCTAAATGATTATGGTATATTTATTTCACAAGAGAAGTATACATTTGATTTATTTAATAATTTGAATATATTTAATTGGAAGACTTGTTCTACTCTTATGAATACTAATGACAAATTATGTCTTAATGATGTGACTGTAAAAAAAAATAAATATTTTTATAGAAACTTGGTTAATAGATTAATATATTTGACTCATAGAAGACTGAATATATTATTTTCAATTAGTATGATTTCAAGATTTATGAATTCTTCATCAATTCATTTCCTTGGAGTAGCAAAGTGGATATCTTGTTATGTTTGAGGCACTTTGAATGATGAAAGTTTATATCAACATAGTTTTAAATTTAAAATTTTCTAGATATTCAAATAGTGATTGAGCGAGTTATATTAATGATAGTAAAAACATAAGTGACTTTGTTTTAAATTTTGGTTCAAGTGCAACTTCATGGACTTCAAAAAAGTAAGAATCTATAGCATTATCATCATTGGAAGTTGAATATATTGATGCATCAATGGTTGAACAACAAGTAATAATGGTTGTGGAGTATCTTAGAAGATGGCAATTTGTGCCAATCAACAGTAATAGTGATTTATTGTAATAACGTTTCAATTATCTCAATGACAAATAATCTGATATTTTATTATCTGTCTTTATCTGGCTTCTTATTTTTGTCTTTAGTGGGCCAAAAGGTTAAGGCTTATTTTGGTTTTTAGTGGGTCAAATGGGTAGCACAAAGGCATTTATGTGGGATATCAATACTATCTTTCTCTCTCTTCGGGGTGTATTCGTGTCGCTGAGATTCTATGATTTTTTCTGGTGCGAAATTCTTCCTCTTCTCTCCCATCCTCTCCCAAAATTCATATTCTCTCTCAAAAAGTCGTCATCGTTTTTCCTACAACCTTCGCCACCGGCCTGAGAGTCTTGCCCCGCCGACAACAAGACAAGGAACTCCGGTGCTGCTGTGGACATGACCTCCACTGTCTTCGACAACGCGTACTACAAGCTCCTCCTCCGGGAAAGAGTCTCTTCTCCTCCGACCAGGCCCTGCTGGCCCTCACCCGGGACCAGGCTGCCGGGAGGATGCCTTCAACCTGGTCGATTTCGCCGGCTCGGAGGATGCCTTCAACCAGGCCTTCGTGAGGTCCATACTCAAGATGAGAAGCTTACCCAGCGTCCAGGAGGTGAGATTAGACTGTAAAATGGTCCGGTGAAGGAGAAGACTCATCTTCTTCCCACTCTGTGTGTGAGAGAGAGATATCTGATCACGGTTATTCCCGTCAGTGAACGGTTCAATCTCTCATAATTTACCCATGAGCTGCTGTTATGCTTGGATATAGAAATTAAGGTGACGAAGACCGTCAAGGGGGTATACACGCTTTTGGGGTACCACCCCAGCGGCGTGATCCCGTCCGCGCGGCTGTCGGGAGGGACCACCGAGACAAGAGATGGCGAGGACGCCTGCGGCGGTCGGGGGGAACAAGGAGGACCACCGCTCCTTGTTCCGCCGTCGCCGGGCGGACGTCTCAGCTGTCAGCCGGTTTGCATCGACGATCATCTGATTCACATCTCGCGGCGGAGAAACATGGACGTCCCTCGCCGACATCAGAGAACGAGGGTTTCTTCCAGAGCGAGAGGGGGACGTCCCAACGCGTCCGTCGCAAGCTGACGTTTGGAATGCCCAATTTGTTCACTGAAATACCTATTTAGTTTGATCTCGTCTGAGTTTCAATGAGCTTGACGGGTTTTGCCAACCTAGCAAGAGAGAGAGAGAGAGAGAGAGAGAGAGAGAGAGAGAGAGAGAAGGGTATGGATCCTTAAAATGGATACTAGTGTGTCTCTCTCTCTACCTTATGTCATGTCTTTCTCTCTCTGTCATGGGTGTAGGACGGGGTGAGTAAATGTACTAGCGTTGTAAAACTCTCTCTCTCTCAAGCTCGTGCTGGACCTGGCGATTTCGGGCCCGGCCGGGGAAAATACCATCCTTCCCCTCCCAATGAGATCGGACGAATCGACGGCTATGATCCCCTCGCAAGAAAACGTTGGAATCGGATAATGATTGGCGATCTTCGTTGCACACGTGGAGAATCTGACTTGTCATGGTCTCCGACCTTTTGCATGCCTCAGATTCAGTCGTATCATTGCGTGTCGTTCTCAACAATACTAACTGCCACAGAGAGAGAGAGAGAGGGGAGCGATGGCGTGTGCTTGTTGACTTGCCCATAGCTGTCTTATTGTCTTGGGAGGAAGCAAGGTGGAATCAGAGAAGGAACGAGGAGGACGTGGTGGCGCGTGGACGGGCGTCTGACGTGTCCACACTACGATCACAATCGGCGGCTGCTCCCCATCCCCCCTATAAATTCTCCGCTCTCTTCTATTATGGCTATCTCCCGTCTCTCTCTCTCTCGCTCTCGCTGCACACTTGATTGGCGAGTGCTCAAGAAGCAAAGACCCAACATCTCTATCTGTCTTCTGTTTCCTTCTCGCCCAAGGAACGTCTCTCCTTCTTCTCCCATTCTTAAAAAGTCTGATAAAAAAGGTGTATTTTTTTCCCATCGTCTTCTTCGTCCTCCAGCTCCGCAGGATATCTTGTTAAAAAGTCTGTAGATTGAAGGCAGCATGACCAGTTCAATCGACGTGAACGAGGAGTACAGGAAGGCCCTCCGGACGAGGTCCTACGTCGAAGTCTGGACAAAAATCCACCGTCACCTGCGACGCAGCGCCACCGCCCCTTCGCCGCCGTCAACGCCAACTGCATTTACGATAGAGGACGACCACGCCGCCACCACCGGCAACTCCCTCGCAGGCTCCGAAACATCAACCTCGTCCTTCCAATTATCCTGCTATTCCCACCTCTCGAGCTACCTTCTGAAGCCCAACAACCAGGAGGTTTTACTCGCCGGGGTGCCTGACCCCGAGCTCCGCGCCATCTTACTCGACTACTTTACCGCCGGCGAGGTGGCCTGCAACATTTGCGTCTCTCTCCTCGGCTCCATCGACCGGCTCCGCCGAGACCATCGCATCATACAGAGGTTTCTCAACGACAGCAGCGCCACAGCCGTCGACTGTGCCGACCTCGCCTCCTACGCGGAGTTTGAGAACCCTCTCTACTCTGTCAACTTTAACCGGATCCACCACCTTTACGACTCTCTCATCCGGAGGCTAAACCTCGCCGGCGACAGCTTCGCGCGCCGCGCGCGTCTGCTCCGCCGCGCCAAGACGGCCTCCGGAGCCGCCTTGGTAGTTGCATGCGGGGTCTTGGCGGCGGCAGCGCTGGCGGTCGCGGCGCACGCGGCGGTCGCCGTGGCGGTGGCGGGGGGCCCGGCCTTGGTGGCTCCCCTCTCGGCGCGGCTCAGGCGGAGGATGGGGACTTTGCGGTCCGGTCGCCTGGCGAGGCTGCTGGCGCAGGTGGAGGCGGCGGCTCGGGGGGCGTACATCATGAACCGGGACATGGAGACGATGAGCAGGATGGCGGAGCGGCTGCAGGATGAGGTGGATCACGGGAAGGCGGTGGTGAGGCTGTTCCTGCGGAGCAGGGAGGCGTGGGTGTTGAGGGAGGCCGTCGGCGGTCGTGCCGGCGGCGGGGAGGGCGGATATCTGGAGCGAGTGGATGAGCTGGAAGAACATGTTTACTGGTGCCTGCTCACCATCAACCGGACTCGGGCCCTTCTTGCCCAAGAAATAGTGGTCGGTGCTTCTCCGACACCAGCACCGACAACATAGGCGTGCGCGTTAAGTTTCCCAGCAAGTTCCCAACAGAGCTGCTAGAGAGATGGTGTTTGTTATTATAATTCCCCTGTTTCTGTGAGATTTTATTCTTTTCCCAATAGGAAGATACTCATAAGCGTTTCAACCTCATTCAATGAATTCTTTTCCTCGTCATTCTTTGACAGTATTTTTACTTGAAGAGGTACATTTCATCGCTAGTTGAGGCTTTGTTGTCTATCCGTGCTGATAACTTCTTTACGAGTGAAGGATCCTAATAGAGTATGATAACCAAATTTGCAAAAATAATTATATTATTTCACCTAATTAATAATTACAGGGAATGACAAACGATGCTTGTTATATTTAGGGTTAAAATTATTTCATGTGCACCGCTCATTGTGGAACACTTAACGATAACACCCTACTTGATTACTGTCGGGAAGGATAAAGTGATGCTTGTCATATTTTGGGTTAGAATTACTTCATGTGTACCACTTATTGTGAAACTCTTAATGTGATAATACCATTCAGAGTTTCCGTCCTAGAAAAATTTGCCACTTGGGCCAAGTAAAATGGGATCGAACACCTAAACAAAGTTATCATTATTATTATAAACAAAGGGAACATAATGTTTAAATGCTAATTTACAATAATATCAGGATATTCCACGATGTGTGGTTATAGATTGTCATAACAATAAAAAATGAAAATTGTGATGAGTAGCAATAAGTTGCATGAGGTATTTTGAAATGGTAGTTTATGGATGGTGGTAAACATCCCATCATGATGTATGGAAATGATAGGATGACTATGAGGTGGTGTTAATTGAAACTAGTAGTAATTTACATGTCATTGGTGTTCTGATAATGGGCATTGCTCTTGTTAGCAAACGATGGGATGCTAGTGATAACTTGCCATAATTATGAGGTAGTGCATGTACAAAAAGGGGAATAATCACAAATTTGAAGTCCTATGTGTGGTGGGTTTGATACATGCTTGATACTTTTTGGTAGAGTATGAGTTTGCTATATAGTTGGCAAGTAGTAAGATTGAGTGGAACTAGTAATATGAATAATAACAAGAATCCTCTAATTGATAATACTTGTAAATGGAAGTAAACATAGAGATCACTAGTTTGAGCTCATAGATAATGACTAGATTATGAGGTAGTTACAGGAAAAAAGGGTACTAGATAGGAGTTTTATACAGGCATTTGTGTTGATTGAAGCCATAGGTGAACCTAGGCATAGCCTCATCATTGCCTAAGTTATATTCGTGATGTATAGTGCCGTCAATTGGACTTTATTACCACAAGTTCATGAAGCTATGCTTTTCGAAAACACACCACTACAGTGCATAGCTTTGTATTCCTGATTTTTGCAATTTTTACACAAATAATTTGAATTCTAGAATAAATTCTTGATCTTATTTCTTGAACCCATCGTAACTTAAGATTAGATTCCTGGTTTATCCGATTTTCCAATGAAACACCTCCAATTATACGGTACCAAACCCTCGCAATCTTTTTTTAAAAGGAAACTCATCATTAGATGACTCTATATTCCTGATTTTATGTAAAATTTCCATTATATACTTATAATTATTAATTATCACAAAATCGTATATTATTATTATTAATTATCACAGAATCGTATATTATTATTATTAATTATCACAAAATCGTATATTATTATTATTTTTAAAATAAAATCCATCAATATACAACTTTATGTTCCTTAAACTCAACTAATTGTCCCATTAAGTACTTTCTTTGTATTTGGCCACCATCACGGAGGAATTCAGTCGAACGCCGCCAAACCTCACATCTAGAAGCCATCTCAGGTTGGTCCCACGCGTGAGTTTGAGGAACAGTTTCCCATGGCGAGGACAGCCCAAGCCCATCGCCCCGCGGTGCCAAAACAGGCCACGCAGCCCGCCCAGCGACGGCCGGTGGACGAAGGAAGATGAAACGTACGAGGAGAAATATCGCCGCCGCGAGACAGAGACGGCTATCTAACACTCAGATATCGGATGGAGCAGCGAAGAACAACGCCTCGCCAAGGCTCGGACGCGGAAGAACGTTGCGGCCGTGCGGCGAGAGCTCCTTCGCGGCTGCTGGAGCTTGCTTCCATCATCCGTGACGGCGGCGGCGGCGGAGATATTGACATTCCGTCTCCTCTCCTGCTCCTTCGGACTTGGAGGAGCTGTACGGCAGCGTTCTCGTGATAGGGACTTGAGAGATATCCGGAAGAGGTGGCAGGGAGTATATATATCCCGATGGGTGGCTCCTCACCGGTCCTGATCTGCTTCTCCACCCCCTCCTTCGCCTTCCTCGTCTTCCTCGTCTCCGCCTCCGCGAGGAGCTGAAGGTCTTCTTCAGTCTGCAGGAGGCAGTACATGAAGGAGATGACGGCGAGCGAGCTCGACATCGACGAGGAGTACAAGAGCACCCTGAGGACCAGGTCCTATCAGAACATGCTCAAGGAGGTCGGGGAGCAGCTCCGTAGGCTCGGCAGCCCCACCGTCGCTCACGAAGAAGAAGAAGAAGAACCAGGCGAGGAAGAAGACGCTGCAGAAACGGAAGGAGGAGAGGAAGAGGAAGAAGAAGACGACGAGTCTACGGCCCCTAGTGCCCATCTGCCGAGAGATTTTCTAGTGCCGGCGGAACTCGACCGGCTTGTGCCCGCCGACGGGGAAGTCCGGCTACGGGGCCTCCTCCGGGACTACCTCGACAGCGGCCTGAGGGCCTCCGCGTTCTGCTACCAGCTACTCGAGTCTATCGCCGGCGCGCGAGCCAACCACCGCGCCGTGCAGCGGATCGTCGAGCAACGCCGTGGAGCGCTGTGGGACCTCGTCCGCATCGCCCGGCTCGACAACCCGTTATCGCAGCCGAGGTTGTCCGACTTCCTGCGCCACCACGGCAGCGCCTACGCCGCGCTCACGCCCCGTCTCAGGTCCCTGCAGCGGGGCTTCGCGGCCTTCAGTAGGACGGCGCGGGCGCGGCGGCGCCGGAGCTCGCTAGATGCGGCGGCGCGCGGCATCTACGGGCTCCACCGCGAGTTCGACACCGTGGGCCGGCTCCTGGCACGGCTCAACGACGAGATCGAGCATGACCGGTGGGTGGCGAAGACCCTCCTCCGCGGCGGCGGCTACCTCTGGGAGGAGGCCGCCGGGGAGCTCCGGGCGGGGGAGGACCGGCAACTCGAGCAGCTCCAGGAGCTCGAGGAAAGGGTCCTCCTCTGCCTCCTCACCATTACCAGGGCCTGGAAGCTCCTGCAAACCCAGGGCCTCGTCTCCCCTTCAACCAGTAGTAACCATTGAAAGCCATCCTGCTGAGACCCGCCCACGGAGGACCCAGGAAGCCATGGAAAGAGAAAAAAATTATATATAATCACAGGTCCCTGATGTAGCAAGAAAAGAACAAATAAAAGAATTTGCGGCCCTGTTGAGTTACACTAGAATTAGACGGAGTTTCAAGCGGAAATAGATCAAGCGGTCTGCAGGGGCTACAAGATTAAAGCTAACACTTTTAAATAGCCGACAGAAGACCTCGGCGGGGGAATCCGGCGGCCCGCCATCGCCCCGCCGGATTACGTCTCCTCGCTGCCGCCTTGGGCTGCCGGCCTGCTCGATCTGAACTCGCGGCCCCGCCCTCGGAACTGGCCTCGCCCGCGGGCTCGGCCTGCAACCACAGAGATCAATCGTCAGCACGGAAACACCTGCGGGACATCAATTCCTCCCCGGACGCAACGGAGGCTTTTCATAGGCTTTTCGTAGGCTTTTCATATTTATGAGAGGTGGGTATGTATTGTGGTGGATGCGTGTAGGATTTCGTAGGCTTTTCATATTTATGAGAGGTGGGTATATCGGTCGGGCTGCCTTTAATAAAATCAAAAAGTGGAGAGACGAAAGCTCTACTCGACCAGGAAATTCGTAGGATTTCCTCCAAAAACAGCAAGAAAGAAAGAGAAAAATATGGGCTGAATCGGATACCTCTTCCCTGGGCAGGGGCACGAGCTTCATCGTAGTCACCACCCTCCGGTTGATAATATCCAGGGCCACCATAGCCACCTCGGCCGCGTCCTCGGAAGCTGCGTCCTCTACTGCGGTTCCAGCCGCCCCTGCCATATCCACGACCCCTGTTCTCCCAGGACGCATCGCCATAGTCGTTGATCGCGTCACCGTCTCCTGAAACATTAAGATAAAACATGGGCCAATTGCAGAATGTCGTCAAGATATCCCATATCTAGTTCAGGATAGTGGAAGGACGGATTACCAGCGCCTCTGCCTCCCCCCCTGCCATAGTCATTGATCACGTCACCATCTCCTGAAACATGAGGATGAAACATGGGCCCATTACAGAAGGTGCTCAAGAAAATATATCTAGTTCGGAATAGTGGAAGGACGGATTCCCAGCACCTCTGCCTCTCCCCCTGCCTCTTCCACCATGGTCTCTGCCTCGGGGGCCCGGTGAGTTCTCTGGATGATCGCTGTACCGTTAGCATACAATCTCTAGCGAGAAATAAAAGAGAAATGATGAACAGGATTGATAGACAACCTTCATCGTATTCAACTTCAGCGTGTGGCTTCACCAGATCAGCTGGCAGAGGAGATTGGTACCTGTTGATGCCGATTAACCGATACCATTAAAACAACAAGATAGTCGCTTGAACACAAAACGTGATTAATGAATTTCTGCTTTCCGAAATTTAGGCAAAAGTATCACCCCATGAAGATTCCTTCACAAACACAAGCTGGGCTTCTTATTTCATGTCTCAATGATCATAATGAGTATGTTATGACGACATATTTACAAGAGCGGGAGTGAGAAAGGTGTCGAGACTTTTTGAGCTGGAGGTATGAATGACGGAATCATAATGTCAGAAGAAAGTTAACATTTACATGAATATACAGACAAGCATATGTGTCATCTGTAAAAACTACCAAGATCCATAAAAGCCTCAAATAATGTCCATTTATGGTTCATCTTAAAACCTAGAAAGCACCAATCGCTAACCTGCTTCACGACTCAGAAGTCGCAAGGATAACTCATCTTAAAAAATTATGAATGTAATCATAACTTAGGCCTCATCAAATAAAAACTTAAGTCCTATCGTTTCAAAATCCTACCTTAATCACTGATCCAGCATAAAAAAGGATACGCCCTATTAACCTGCCACGAAAATCAGACGACCTGACAAAACGAAGAGAAAAATCTGGCGATGCCCCCGCATTCAAATCTTCTGTTTCTCTTGGAATGAATTATTTTTCTTTTTACATCTAACCTGAACATATTTCATCGATTCTACAAAAACATCCATATATCTAATGATGTCACACAACAGGACATAAAAACTAAAAATCAGCGCCCAGAAGGTAAGAAAATATCTGATAATTGCTCGAGTGTCAACAAACGAAGAAAGAATTAACTCCCAGAATTGCGGCCGGCCACCCAAAAAAAAAACTATTTCTTACTTGTGTATAAACATTTAAATCTAGATATGGTTAAACATAGTGATTAATACAAAAGTTAAGAAAAATTGAGGACAAAACTGGAGTTTGCCAAAAAAAAAAAAACAACATTTCAAGACAATTCTACATACTGGAGCTGCAACTGATGGGTAACTTTTAGTCCTAAAAGATTATTAAATAAGCCGCTTAGTACATGTCCATTAGTTACTGTCAAATGTCGGTGCCAAATAATTATTGCGGACGCTTGAAAAGAAAGTAGCCTTATTTTCTCTTCTGGCAAGAAGCAGCCAATCCAGTATATAGTCAGTTAAAGCTAATACAAAGCCCATTGTTTACTCTTCTAGAAAACCACTATTTGAACAGTGTTAAGCGTTACCATGGTTAATTGATTAGATAAGATGTTCTATACAGACCTCTAAGTCTCGGATTACCACCAATATGATGTCAAGCAATCATAAATTAGCACAATTATACCTTACTGGCATTACGCCAAGCATCACATTATGTGGATACTAAAACTTCATTTTTTTCTGGCGATATGTATTTACTTAATAAGAGCATACATCCGGTAATCAAACATTCAGGCGAGAAAATTAAATGCAGATGATGTGAGTAGTCAAACAAAATAATTTCCTTAAGTGGAAATACATTCATGCACAAAGTTATTTGCTTTGTATCATAGATGAGGACCATTTGAAGTTCGAACGTCAGCGGCCATCAAGAGTATGACTATATTGTTTCTCGATATTAACTCTAACACACGCAGATGTGTGGACCTGTCTAAAGTAGATGACGACAAGATTAATAGTATAAAACCTATGATACTTGAAACACAACAAAAATATTATGGCTAAACAAGATGGAATAAAGAGAAGGGGTGGGCAGACTTACCCAACAGACGATGTATCCAACTCCTTCTTTGACAACGTTATCGTGATAATCGACACATGCCTTGTCGTTTCAAGGCTATCCCATGTAGACAAAACAAATTAGTTTGCCGCAGAAATCATTTAACGACCAAAAAATGAGGCAGCACAAAGGCCACTTTACAGCACTACTATATCATAACTTTCCCGGCTTAAGGCAATTAGAAATTTATCTTACGGAAGCAGGCCTTCCTCCAAAGGCTCCCATGTATCAGTCACATCAATCGATCCAATAACTGTGTTCTGGTGAAGGTCTGCGATACGCCTCTGTGTGGTTACACCAAAATTGTGGCAGAAGATGCATTTTAATTCCGTGCATGTTCGTCATAGAAGAAAACATAAAAAGTGTAGTGCTCACATAACATTCACCTTAATTAGCTCCACAATCATCACGGTCTTATTGATTGCTCTTCCCATTGCCTTGAACACAATTTTATCAGAACCTTTTTCCTTTAAAAATCAACAAAAAATGTTAATAGACAAAAGTGTAAAATCAACCCTAGATTAGAGGACAATAGAGAGTAAGAGACTCATCATAGGAAAACATTCTGAAATAAATTGGAAAAATAAGGAACAGATAAGGTGATGAAAGACATGTCGTTGTAGGCTTCTGAAAACACGCTTTTCTTTACAAGCATCTGTGTTTGCTTGGTGAGGAAAAAAATATTACTCCATACAGTACATATAAGAATCTAGATATCAAAAGCCAAAGAATGGCTTCACAAGGGAAATACTCATTGGATACTCATTTTTCTGTCAGCGTTCAGCATAGTTGAATGTTCATTGTTTCCAAACGTTTATGCCAGTTCAATGATTTTCTCCCTCTCATTATTAACGATTCAGTACTATTACTGCTCTGGGATCATGAAGAACTAATGACACGGCAAAGATAATGACGTGTTTTGACCACGATTTCCGAAGCATGATCAAATGTTCTTCGGTATTTAAACTGAAGCCATCAAACATTGCACACTGACAACAGTTCACATCTACTATTATTTTCTATGTGATCTACTCTTCCCTTAAAACAGATTTAACAAAGCAGACAGCTAAATTTCAATGCGTCACATAAAAATAACCAAAACCGTCTTGCAAAATAATTACTGTCACCTCAGGTCATTACGAATTATTGTCTCAAGATTACGGCAAGACCACACGCCAATTCCAGCATTCCCATTTAAGCACAGAAATTAATTTGGAAGCAGTACCTGGAGAAGGATGGAGGCATAAGACATGTAGTTGCGCATTCTCCCCTGGGACGTGACCCGAATCTCATTTTCCATAATGGGAGTCTCCTCCCTAGGCTTCTCCGCCCTCTGGTACCGATCCATCTCCCTGACCACCCGAAAAAAAATACTTAGAAGCACAAATCCACAAATATACACAACAAAGAGACTCACTTCCGAATTAAAGCCCTACAGAAACTCATCAAACACGGGAGAGCATCGCGAGAAGTCAACAACCGTCACTGACCTGACATGCATCAGAGCACGAACCAAACCCAGCGGGTCCGTTCCCAAAACCTACCGCGCGTACGTAAAAACAGCAGCTAGATAGAATATCCACAGAACGGAGCAAAAACAGCGAAATCAAGCAGAACGCTTCCATAACAACAACAAGACAAGGAGCACAATAAACTCTCACCGAGCGACAAACAACAACAACAACAACGCGGATGGAAACACGGGAGGCGGCAAGGCGAATCAAAAGAGGAAACGAAGAACAAGCAGCAGAAGTCGATTACCGCCGGGAGGGGGCCCTTCCTTCTCGAACCCTAACCGCTCTGCCCCTTCTCTGAAGAGAGGAAACTTCTCACTCTGTCGCCCTCCTCTCCTCCTCTCCCGCCTCTCGTTCTTATGTACGCGCGAAAACCAGGTGTGTGGAGGGGGTGCCGCGCAGCGAACGGGTCCTCCCTCTTAGACCACCCCACGCCCAAGTGGCTAGGGTAAGTTACCCCCGTCATTCATCGGATCCAGATCCAACAGCCTCTCCTGCTTACCCGCCGTCTACCCGGGATTTGATCCGCAAACGTGGTGCATTCGCATTGGCTGAGAATCCACGTTTTTCGTCGTCGAGATTCACGAGTTAAACCTGATTTTCGATGCCCAATAGCCCAAAATCGGCCCACTTAGGCCCAATCTATAATGATCATGTCGGAAGGAGAGAAGGGAAGGGAGGGGAGGAGGTATGTGCCTGCCTGCCAAAGGGGCAATAAAACAAACACCTGCGGAGCGGCCTCTTCATCATGCGACATGAGAGAGAGAGAGATGCCGGACGGAGGATCCATCCTTCTTCACGCCCATCTCTCTAGTCTCGTTGTTCCCACCGGTTGCTTTTCGAGTGCAGCTTTGACGATCATCAGCCGAACAGAGGAGACCAATTAACCACTATCGGGGAATTTCGCCAGGTAGGTTGGCGGAAGCTGCATGCAATGAGGATCGTCGTACCAAGACTGGTTAGAAACAAGGAAGATTGTTTACATAAATAAATAAAAATACTCAAAAGAGAGAGAGAGAGAGAGAGAGAGAGAGAGAGAGAGAGAGAGAGAGAGCGAGAGAGAGAGAGAGAAAGAGGTGAGGATGAATTAGACGAGGGGCGATCACCATAAAAGTTGCTGTTATCATCTTCCCCGCGAACCACCTGCCATGGAGAGCACGCTGCGCGCTGATAGCAGCGGTGGCGCTCTCAAAACGCAAGTACACATAGCCTGCGCTGTTCCTGCAGAAGAGGATGAAACGAGGTTTGAAGGGTCAAACTTGAACATCTTCAACAGATGAATCTGTCAGCAGAATATTCAAACGAAGACAGAAAGTGAGACAATTAATATGCTTAAAGAGCGAGAGAGAGAGAGAGAGAGTAAAAAGCATGATGAGAGATCTGTTTCCACCAGAACGCTGATAGCGGCACAACACTACCGGTACCAGGAGTTTCATGAAGAAATGAGCACTTACTTATCCACAAAGATGTGCTTCAAAGGGCCAAACTTTGAACATTCCTCCTGGACATCTTCCTTGATGTCCAAATCGAAATCCGGCTCGGTCTGTCCAATTTTTCATTTTTTTTAGAATAACAACATTATGAAGTGAAAATAAATAGATAATGTGGCGAACCTCAAGGCTTGGGTCAAACATGTTCTTCAGCATCAGACATTCACTAGGGACCCCGATTGGATCAGCCTGTTGTACTGCCGCGGGCATAACGGGTAGACCAGAGCCTGGGAGTGGTAGTCCGACCAGTGAAGGTTGCACCAGAGAGGCTATCCCTGACGGGATCCCCAGAATTGATGTTGGCGGTGCACCAAGCGCAACCCCATTGGCACCCGATGGGATGAGCGAACTACCAGCACTGGGGAGAAAAAGAGAAGTTGACATGTAGAAGAAGAACTGACCGTGGGCAAGGGACCCAGAGAACAAGAAGAACACGAGATTCGTTGGAACTTGAAGAATGCAAGGAAAATCAGATCTCGAGAGAATAGCAACCTTGTTGTCATGCCGCTGCGGTCCAGCTTCTGCATAAGAAGTGCTCTAGAACAAGCATTCAGGGCCTTCAAAAAAAAAAAGAAAAAAGCAGAGAACGTCAGAATAAAATCCATCTAGATCAAACTTGAACGTTTTCAACAGATATACGCCCATACCATAGACGAGGAATAGAGCCAAAGACGGTCTGACTAATAACATAAGAGTTTAGCATGTCCCATTCCCCAATGTTTAAATTCAAAATATTTTCCAGCTTAAAAGATGCTATTTCTTCTCACGAACACCGTAAAAAGAGTCTCTTCACTGGTTTTCCACAAAGACGCCTAGTTTTCAGAAATGCACTTTCATTCGTGAATTACTAAGAGGATACAAAATCTACTCATTTTTCAGCCGAACAAGCATATGCAAGAGCTGGTTATCGTTTGTAATTCATGAGTTCATGCGACCAGTTTCCAGATTGCATCATCTCTAAAATGCATCAAATGTTAAGGGTCCTAAATGCCGCCAACCCAACAGAACCAATCCAGTGGCTTATAAATAGAAAAGTGCAGAGCAGAGTCAGACAAACCAAATCTCCATCATCATCGAAATCGCCAGTATTTGCCCCATTATCTTGCACACCAGGTTGGTCAGAAACGGCAGAAACCTAAAATCCAAAGGGTTAGGAAATCATCAAGTAGGATTATCTTCTTGTGGTGAATATAGGGAGAGCTTATTCATGATCTTAAGCACAGATACCTTGATAACTCTGCCGGCAATTTCCAGTTGCCCATTCAGGTTCTGTGCAGCTTTGGCATCTTCAAGGCGCGCAAACTGCAGGAATCAAACAATCAACACAGGATAAAGCCGATATAAATGAAATTAATTTAATAAGATATACCCACTTGTATAAAGCCATAGCCCTTGCATTTTAGTGTCTCTGGGTCAAGAGGCAACTGCACCAACTCCACCTGACCAAATGGCTCAAACACCTAGACAAACATAAATAAGTAAAATGTCAATAGAAAGCCTCTAACCAAAAATAATAAAAATCAGCTGCCTATTTCTTAAGTAAAAGTTTAGAAGACAAACATGCAGGACAGTTGTACAATAGGAAGTGAACGTCTACTACTGAATATCACCTGTCGAAGTTGCTCTTCAGTCATGCTTAGGTGAAGATTGCCAACATACAATCTACGGGCTCCACCAGAGGAAGCTGCAGCTGTGTTTGACTGAACGAGATTCTTCTCCGCCTCTGAAGGTTTCACCATAACAGGCTGACCAAAAAGCAGCTGGCCACTCAATGCAATTGCCATTGGAACTGACATCACATCATAAAATTCGATGTAGCTGAAAGTGATAAAAAGATCTATTTGTAGTCAATCTAGAAGACCAGAATCCTTCAGAGGAAACTACAAAGAAAAAGTAAAATATATAATGAAAATATTCAGAATGCTAAAAAGCAGTGCGTTGTAGGTGACCAATTAATTCAATAAAAAACAGTCAATACTGAAAGATGAATGGGCAGCGGGAAACAGCTGTATCCAGTGGACTGGAAATTCACAGCAAATAAAACAATTAAGTAAACACAATCATCTATAAAAAAGAACTATAGGATCGTTTAGATAACTGATGGTTTTTTAGAGGCATTAATAATTTTGTTCACACGTCAAATAGAAAACAAAATGACGTCCAGAAACAAGGTAAACAGAGAAAGAAACTATACCCAACTCCCTTTGAGCGTCTTGAGTTGCGATCCATAATGAGGCGGACATCGCGCACCTAGAAATAGAAAATATGACCGACCATCATTAGGATGACTGGGCAAAAATCGTAAGCTTTTTTTTGAATGTTTCAACTTACAACAATGTTGTTCCGTCACATAGAAACTCTATAGATATACTAGCACGATGAGAGGCAGCCTATATGATTGCCTGTCACGTTTTAAGTGCACCATTAAATTCACCGTATATAAACTCCCAATCTTCATAAACGATTGAACACATCTAGGCATATGAGAATCACGGCTCGCCTTCTTCAACACGATCCACAATAAAAACGAAGATCGAACATACAAATTCTAAAGAACATCACAAAAGCGGCCGTTTTTGGTTTCATAGAGTTTCAGTGAGCCAGAAAACCAGCGTTACAAACCCACTTCTAGAAGGGAAAAAACAGTTCCCAAGTAAAACGAGCAGGCAAGAGAAAAACTATTGCACAAGATTTTGTCAACTATTAAGACACTAAACATCAGCAGAAAATTTAAAAAGAAGAAAAAAATGAAATTGGAGACCAAGAAGTATATCTCTCCAAAAAAGGACCAGTTATGCACAGAGAAGGCGAATAGATAATCTATAAATTAAAAGCCTCATCCCAGAAATCTGGGGGTTGATATGAATCCTAAAGATCCCCAGTGATATAAAACGAATATCGACTGGCTATCAACCTCTAGTCAAAGCTCATTTTTTTCCAAACTGCAGCAGCACCTACAAAGTGAGCAGGGAAAGGGGGACATTAGGTCTAAATCCCAAAAAGCAGGTCATTCACGAGAAGATATCTGACATAAGAATAAACATGTCAGAAACAGAAAATGCTGAACCAAAAATAAGATGAATACGTTTAATCCCAGAAGAGTACAACAAAAGACAAAGTAAAACCAACAATCAAAAAACAAGTCCATTACCATAGTAATGAATCATTAGCAAACACCACACGATAAATAAATACAATGCCATTTTTATGCAATGCTTGGATTACATACGATTCAATTCGCCCATGGACTCCGTCAGCTACTTCTATCAACCTAGAACTTTCTAAATCAAATGTGGTCACTTCTGGCTAGATTTTCTTGGGTCGCACCTTCTTCCCCGAAGACCATTACTTTTCGTGTCTCCCACCTACCTCGCCAGGACCCTGAACTATCAATCATACCTAGTGCAAGTAATCAGGTTCCCCCTGTCCTACAGATGTGATCTCTAAATCCACGTTCTCAATTTCAATAATTTTACCTCCAAACCATTCTCCTCAGCATTATCACCCTCCTTTTGCACATATCTAGTTCCTTCATACTTGGCAAATGGAACATCCGTCAGAACTACGTTTCAAGTCTAACATTATGATAGTATACGTGGTTGAAAAAGACACAAACAAGTATACATCTCACCCAGAATTTTTTTTCCATATAGACACAAAAATTCGCACCTAGCAAAACGAGCTTCAGATACAGAGTAGAATTCATATTTCTAAAACAGCCAAAAATATGGGTTACTACATCACTAGCTCTGGTCTGTACCCATTGCCTAATTTGTACTGAGTGACCAGCATTGGACAGAGAGCAGAGATTTAAGCCATGACACAGTTAAAATACAATGCTGTCACATCGATTATGTAATCCACGGGGAAGGCTTACATTTTATTCTGCCATCCTGGATATCTATATTTTCAATACTATACTATGTAAATCAAAAGATAAAATTCGTAATAATCTCTGTATAAAATGTCGTGAAGTGTAAAAATACTAGATCATAAAAAATAGACACAAACAATAGATCTCACAGTAACTGGAACCAAACCGCAAAAGAATATACCCTCCAAAATCAGCATATTTTAGCATCTGTTATTTTATAAAATTTCAAGATAATTCTTCTAAACCTCGAAAAGAAATAGTTCAGTTTTAATTACAATTATCTACACTGTCACTGAACACATCAAGATATACCTCACGGTAAAGTCGTTGATTCTGGAGGGAATACAGGCATGAAGAGTCTTGAACAATCTGACAGGAAGTAGAAGCGGATGAGTTGTTTGCAACAGAGAGAAGCAAAAGACTTGCCAGAGGTTGCGTATCACAGGGCCAACCTCGTACCTGAGGGTTTTCCTGATGATAGCATTTGCACGCTTACTACTCCGACACCAAGCACAGGTGACCTAAAGGGGATGTATTCACGTGAAACTAGGTTCACAAAAGGCTATCAAGAAACTAGGTTCACAAAAGGCTATGGAGAGAAGGGTCAATCAAAAAGGATTGGCGCATAAACTTTTTAACACCTTTGGCCCTTGAACAATCTCCCACGCTCATCCATTACGAATTTACCATGCATGAATGCTTCACTCGCCGAGTATGCACTGAATGCACAACGTCCTAACAATGTGCACAGGAAATCTGCGCAGACACACTTGCCTCAAGTTTACAATCTGCACAACAATGTGTGACTGCTTCATTTCTGTACGATCAGGGACGGATCAATACCCAAAGTGGCATGGCACATGGCACATGGCACATGGCCCACAGTATGCTGCTATTCTAAGATTTGTGCAGGCACCAAGGTTCTTGATCATAACCATTGTGAACCTCAGTCCACCAGGCCAACCTTCCTTTTCATGCAATCTGCCAGTTAGAACTGTGAGCGTCAAGTTGAGAATGGGGCAGTATTAAGTAGAAATGAATCCAACCCGTTTCCACAGACTCAAGCTTTGATTAATATGTATCCCCCATCACTGTAAAAAAAGGAAAATTCAAAGGATCGGTGGGGACATTCATCAAGACTGATAGCTAGGAAAGAAAATATATCGAATTCTCAGATTTCAGAGAGATTATGTAGCATCCTCAATTCTCCTCAAAGTTTCGAAATTTCGTTCGTAATTGGGAACACTTCATTAGGGTAAAACTTATGGCAGCGAGGTGCAGCACACAGGAGGAGAAAATTGGCTAACTGGCGTTCAGCGAGCCCAAAGATGGGCAGAATCAAGGCATAATAGTGTCACGATATGAAGTGGCTTTACTGATCTAGACTGTGCTTTAAATGAGTCGCTAACGAGCCAGTAGTATGTGCCAGATCAGCTCTGTTTTGGAACGGCCCCGCAAAGTCCAGAAAACTTACACACATTTGAGAGTTTGCAGCACGTTGGGGCCATCATACTCGACAAACCAGCCCCATTTAGAACTTGGAAGCTGGAAGATGCAGGCGGCCACCTTGCTGATAGCTCTAACGGTACCAGGAATGTATAATTGCTGGAAACTTCACTGGACACGAAAATACAGAGGGTCCAAATGTGGCCAACGGCATCACTGACCATTGAAAACTCAATATCTTTTTCAGCATCTTGCATGTCTTGATGATGACAAGAGAGGTGCCCAAAAGAAAAATCCCCAGTGCCATGCACTTGGCAGCGTTCGAGTGCATGTGGGGAGGAATTGTCATGCCACAGTAGCAAGCTTAGCGGGACCAAATCCTTATGGCATGAGAGTGTCATAGTTATTAAATAGTAGTGACTGTGATGCCCGAATACAAAATCTAGCAGCATGGCCAGTTTTCATTTTGCATCAGTTACTGAATGTTAGAATTATATAATGAGTTGATCATCGTAGGTCATGAGAACCAGGGATGATCAACCAGACTGCGTACTATGCAATGCGGAAAATCACAAAGCATTCCCATTTTCAGTGGGCTCGATGCATTAGCCATATAGGCAACAAAGATAACTTAAAATACATGATCGAGTGCCATCAGAACATGAGATCTATGGGTCATGTTCGTCTGGTAATTGACTATTTTTCTTTCTCTGGTTTTCGCCGTTTTGCATGAAATTGAAGAAGCTATGCGCCAATAATATCAACCAGAGAAGAGAGGAAATAAACCACATTTATCCACAAAAGTATAAGACTCAAGAAAATAGCTCATCTTGAATGGTTGAGTAAAAGTATTGCAGAGCTCACCTTTCCAGCCCTAGAGAAAAATTCATAAACATCTCTTTCGTCAGCTTTTAGATGAATCTGCCAAAAACAGCAATGGACAAAGTCAGCAATCATGAAGGCGTGATTAGAACATGAACCTAGCACAATAAAAACGCGAATAAAACACACGACGTCCAGTAAGAGTTCATCATTAAACCTGGTAGGCAAATACAGTTCTCTGATCCCTCTCTGGGTCGGCTTCAGGCTCTGTACCATCTTCTTTCTTCTCTTTATAACGCCTGCGTGAGAGCAAAAGCTTGTCAAAGCAATGGCTGAAAGCACCAATCAATTATAGGACGATTACATATCAACAATAAAGGATAGAAGACAACATTATTCCAAGTATATAGATACACAAAAAAACAGCCGCCCAACATAATTACTTTATATCAATATCATGGGATATCGAAACGAAGTATCGATACATCTCCATCTGAAAACCATTAAAACCAAGCTGCATATGCAGTATTATAAAACTGAAACTAAATAAACCACATTCGGATTTTTATCGTCTACGCAGGAGGCAATTCAAATATCACATTAGAGCGCACGTCAGCATTGATTATTCCTGCTTCACAATTCCCATGAGAAACTGAAAGTCAAACACATGGGCTACCAAGGTCAACATAAAAGAAGATTCGTCAGCAAAGAGTTATGCAAGTTTTACCTGCCAGCCGGCTCCCTATCCCTCATCTCCTGAACTCTCGGTGCCCTCTCCCGTTCTCTGAACTCCCTTTCCTTGGGCCTATCACGCTCCTCGTCACGCTGTCTTCCAGGGTGACTCCTGCTGCGCCGTGACATGTCACGTTCCCTATCCCTCTCCGACTCTGTCTCCCGATTCCGTTCCCGTATCCTCTCTCGGTTCCTCTCCATATCTCTCCCTCGGTCTTTGTCCGCTTCCCTGCCTTTCCCGCTCCTCTCGTCCCTGTCCCTGTCCCTATGCTCCCCCCCACTCCTATGCCTGTCCTTTTCAGGCCTCTCGTGGTTCCCCCCCGACGCATGCTCGGTGGGAGAACGCTGACGGGAGGCGCTCCTACCCTGACTCCTGTCGCGGCCCCGCGCAGCACCCTCATCCTCTCCTCTCGCCCGACTGGATGGCCGCTTGGCGTCACGTTCATCCTCGCCCGGCCGCCCCTTCGAACTCCTGCCCTTCTCGCCCCCGTCTGAGCGAGCCCCGTTGGATGGCGGCGGCTCCTTCTTCGGCAGCTCGGGGTCCTCCACCGTCTTCTCCAAGTAGTCGTACTCGTCAAAATCCATCCTGCCGGATGGTAGACGCCGGAGCACGGTGGATGGGGCAGCAGCAGCAGCAGCAGGTTCCCCTTCCACCCAAACCCTAGCTTCCGCGAACCAGATCAAAACCCTCCAAAATCTCTAGAGAGAACCTTAGAAATGGAAATAAGGAGATCCAGCCGGTTCACTGTTTCATGAAGAACCGGAACGAAGGCTGCCGTCGTAAGCGTGCAGGCGCTAGAATCGCAGCCGCCCACTTCCCCTCTCTTAAATGACGTGGCAGTAAGAGCACCGCCGATGCAGATCTTCTTAGTCCACCGCACCCCGGTTCAGTGACTCGGCAGCGAGGTCAACTTACTCGCAAAACATAAATAAATATTAACTTATAATAAATTAATCGATTATCAGAAAGAAGATCACCAATTTAAATTATTCATTTAATCAAATCGAATCCGTCATAATCCCAACTACTCTTCTCTCGCTATATATATATAATGCTGATAGTGTCACAATTTCCCATTTTAACTGCATCTTGGTAATTTTGTAAGGAATTATTTTTTTAGCAAAATAGTTATTTTAAAGAAAATTCTTCAATTTTTGTTATATTCTGATTGCAAATGGCTCAGTTAACCGAAGCCTGCTCCAATACTCTCCTCTCGTCCGCTTCTGTCCCACCATTCCTTCTACACTGGGTCTCCAGCAGAAGATCGAAGTCACGGGCTGATCTCCCATCGGCGGGAGGCGCCGCCGCCGCTTGGACGCTCGGTGAGTGCAAGGAGAAGGATGTCTTCTTTGACCGGCGGGTCGCTCGACCGGAGGCATCGAGGCGATGGGTAGCGGCTTCGTCGGCTGGGGCCCGCTCCTCGCCCGCTTCCTGCTGCAATGCGCGGCGCAGGGGGACGCCGCCCGCGGGAGATCCCTCCACGCCTGTGCCATCAAGATCGGCTCGTCGGCCGGAAGCTACATCGGCAACGCCCTTGTCAGCCTCTACGAGAAGTGCGAGCTCATGCCGGACGCGAGGCGCTCTCTCGAGGAGATAGCGGAGAGGGACGCCGCCTCCTGGAACTGCTTGATCAACAGCCTCGCCCGGCGGGGGGCCTCGGGTTCCGCCGCGGCCATCGAGCTTTTCCGGAGGATGAGGGCCGAGGGCGGCGGGGCCGCCGCGCTTCCCAATTCCTTCACCTTCGCGGGGGTGTTCACAGCCGCAGCGCAGGCACCGGAGTCGGCCGCGGGCCTCGAGGCCCACTCGCTAGCGATCAAGATCACGGGCCGCGGAGACGTCTTTGTGGGGAGCTCCCTGGTGAACATGTACTGTAAGCTGGGGCTCATCTGTGACGCCCGCAAGGTGTTCGACAGAATGCCGCATACGAATTCCGTCACCTGGGCGGCCATGATCTCGGGATATGCCGCGCAAAAATCTGGAGAGGAGGCGTTCTCCCTGTTCAAACTGATGCTGGAGGAAGCCGAGTGCCGCCCGAACGAGTTCGTAATGACCAGCGTCCTCAGCGCCGTGGCTCACCCCGAGTTCTCCGGCAAGGAGGGCAGGCAAATCCACTGCCTGGCGACCAAAAACGGACTCTTCTCCTTCATCTCCGTGAGGAATTCCCTTCTAACGATGTATACCAAATGTGGGCAGACGCAGGATGCAGTCCAGCTCTTCGAATCGTCTGACAGCTTGAACTCGATCACATGGTCGGCGATGATCACCGGCCACGCCCAGAATGGGAGTCCCGAGGAGGCCCTGAGCTTGTTCTCTAGAATGCATTCCTCCGGGTTCAGACCCAGTGAGTTCACCTTTGTGGGTTCCCTGAATGCCTGCAGCGACGAGACTGCATTAGCCAAAGGAAGGCAAGTCCACGCATATCTCCTGAAGCTGGGTTTCGAATCACAAATATACACAAAGAGCGCGTTAGTCGACATGTATGCTAAAAGTGGCAATCTCGACGATGCCCGGAGAGGATTCAATCAAATACAGGAGCCTGATGTCGTGCTGTGGACTACAATGATCGGGGGATATGCCCAGAACGGAGAAAATGATGAGGCCCTAAGCCTGTACCGGAAGATGGAGCTAACAGGAGTTGCCCCCAATGATCTTACCATGGCCAGCATCCTTAGGGTTTGTTCATCTCTCCCTTCCTTGGATTTGGGGAGGCAAATCCAGGCGCGCATTCATAAATCTGGTTTCGGTTTGGAAGTTCCAATAGGAAGTGCACTGATAACATTTTATGCGAAATGTGGGGACGTTAGAGATTGTTATGATATCTTCAGGAGGATGCCCAGGAGGGATGTTGTGGCTTGGAACTCCCTCATATCGGGTTTCTCTCATAATGGGCAGGGCGGCACCGCTCTAGAACTCTTTGATGCTATGACGTCAGAGGGCATAGAGCCAGACCATGTGACATTTGTCAATATCCTGTCTGCATGCAGCCACATGGGATTGGTGGAGAGAGGGTGGGGTTACCTCAGGTCAATGCAGGAGGATCATGGGTTGACCCCAATGGTGGAACACTACGCTTGCATGGTTGACATCCTCGGCCGCGCAGGAAATCTTGAAGAAGCAAAGAATCTGATAGAGTCTGTTCCAATCAATCACGGGGCATGCTTGTGGAGGATTCTTCTGGGAGCGTGTAGAAATCACCAGAACTTTGGGATTGGAGCTCACGCTGGGGAGAAGGTGATGGAGCTGGGATCTCGAGACTCTTCAGCTTATGTTCTCTTGTCGAGCATTTACGCCGCCTCTGGCAAATGGCAAGACATGGAACGAGTTAGAAGGAGAATGAGGCTCCTCGGGGTGAATAAGGAGCCAGGCTGTAGTTGGGTTGAATTCAAGAACAAGGTTCATGTCTTTGTTGTTGGGGATGATCAGCATCCAGATATAGAGGAAATACAGACAGAAATAAGAAGACTAGCCAAACACATGAGGGATGAGGATTACCTACATTCTTGGGAGCCCCACTTTCGTTCCTTAACAGAAGTTGATGATCAAGTAGAGTCAGGTGACTTGGAAGATAATCTGTACTACTTTTCTGAATCACTTGGGTAGAGACCAATTTTGTAGATCAATTTAAGAGAAAAAAATTAAAATGAATGATGATTTATTTTTTTCTGTTAATGGCACGACAATTGGGGTTTGAAGCATAAATGGCAGCTTGTATTTTATTGGCAGAAAACAAGAATAGAAGTACATATGTCTTGATCTCTAAATATGCCGCTAGTGTTCAGCCTTCCTGGAAATATTTGCTGCACTAATTAACTCTTGATTGAGAACAACACCATGCAGTCATCTATAGCAACGACATGTCTACATTATACGAAGGGAGCCTAGTTAGCATCTTAGGAAGGAAGTGAACAGTTTTCAACGAGCTACATGTCCATGCCTACCCTTAAGAACAAAAAAAAAAGGCGTGTACATATTTACAAATATCAGGGGTAAAAATCAGAAAAACCACAGAAACATGTATATCTGGTTGCTGATACATCTACAATAAGCAATCGTCACCCCTCAGAGAACGTAGCACAAAACAAAAACGTTTTTTGAGGGTTTAAAGAAAAAAGTGATGAAAGAAAAGGTTTGGAATACTGCTAGGGATTGGGCACAGGATTGCTAGGGACTAGTATGATGGGATAACTAGTGCAACCCAATCTACAGGCAGGAAATAATAGGAATCTCAGGGGGCAGATGTGAAGCCAAGCTTGTCAGACAATTTCGTTTGCTGGAACAGTGAAACATGATCCTTTTGATGAACAAATTCAAAGTCATGCACCAAGGGGTTGTCAGATCGACTTGGAGGAGATCCACAACGGCAAGGAGGACATCCAGTGCATACGGATTCTCGTTCATGACTCCTCTGCATCAACAAGAAGCACAATTATGGTTAATATCATTTTCATATTAATGAAAAGAATGGATATTTTTACTCCTGCTCATCAACAGAAGTACCATTACTTTTGTGAATGTTTGAAAGTCAATACAATGATCAACTGCTTGTTATCCTTAATCGGGGTTAGATGTGCTAACCCTATTCCATCAGTCCATTCCATTAACAACCCCAGTATCTTTCTTATCTGCTCATATCCACGTTCTTTCCAGCATCTTTTTCCTCTTCTAGATACTGTTTTCCTAGTTGGCCATCCAGCATCATCTTTTCTCCTCTAAAGCGTCATCATTTTTAATACGGACATTTTACCATACGCTAATCTGAATTACTAAACCATTCACAGTGCAAGGAAGTCACAACTGCCCAGCATGATGCACTTCAATCAAAGTGAGACAGATGTTCCTCTACAAAAATTAATTAACTATTCTGATTAGGATTGAAAAAAAATGGAATAAGAAAAGTCAAATTGTTTTTTAGAGGTTGGTAGTATGTTACAGTAAAAGTAGGGGGGATATCTCATGATAAGCCAAGAGTATACAGTTTGAAACCAATGAATCTCATTTCTGCCCTTTAGAAAGGATTTTACAACAAAACACGACAGACGTATAATTGAATAATGATGCATGAATGGATACCACTTTGTACTTTAAGCTCTGGTAAAAATAAAAGCAAGCATCACCTCCTTTAGTTATAAAACTGGTAGTCTTTAAAATTGAGACAATTTATATTCAATAATTTTAGCATGACTCTAATAGCTTGATAGAATGATAGAATGCAGTGATCTACTTCTGCCTTCATTCCGATCAAATGATCTGCAGCTGCCAGCAAATCTTTGGTTGATATTTCGCCGACCAACCTTCTTCATTCACATATCTGTTGAAAAAAATTATTTTGTATTCCCTATGCAAGGACTCAGAAAATACCAGATCCCCATCTACACCAGCAAATTGTTGATAAAACCGACCAAGCTATCGATTGAATCGTTGCAAGCAAGACTTTCCTGGGCCTCTTCCTCCCAGTTTCTCATCACATTTATATGAAATAGCTAAGCTAGCCACCCCTTAGACGGTTGGGTGTCCTGGCAACGTCGCAATCCACATCTTGTGGAGCCCATCCTCAGGTTCTGCTCCACACGTGTGACACGATTGTGTACCCCAAGCTGACCTTCGTTTCAGGACTTTAGCATCGTTGGACAGAGAGAGAAGTTAGCGTCCTTAATATCTTAGGTTTCCCATGCGTGCATCATTTCTCCCCATTTAATGCCCCTTTTTCTGTTCAATGATTTTTTTCGGAAATCCCCCATTGCTCTTGTACCAGTGACAATGTGCCACATTTTACAGTTGTTCCTAAGGAGCTACAACAGTCCAATTAGCCTCCACAGCCATCTTCGAAATCAGACATATTCCAAGGCTCCAGTGATTGTTAGCTTAGATACCTCCCCGCCAAACTCTGCATACTATGTCAAAAGGAATCAAATGCAAATACAAACCATTTACACTGCTTTTGCTTTTTTAGTATATAAATTAGGTCTAGAAATGCTCAGTCCATAAAAGGGAAATCATACAAGCAGGCGAACTGAGCAACATCAGAGCTATTAGAATCCCCTAGAATTACTCGCCCTATCAAAGATGCTATCCTTCTTTGAAAACACTCCACCAGAGTATGCCATTCCTCCCAAATTCCAGGTAATGCACTGATGAGCCTGAGCCAAGAAACAAGATGGGGATATAGAATCCTACAATCCAGGAGTTGTGCCATGAACAATAGTTGAACTGTGGAGATCAATTTCAAATCCCAAAGTCATGTAGCAATAAAAATTAAAAAAACTGATTTACATAGACCTTCAAAATAGCAGAATATCAACTGAAAAAAGCAGAGCAAAAATGGCAGACTCCTCAGAAGGATGGCTTCGCATCCTTTTAGATTCCTCTACCAGAAACGAAAACAGAAGTGCCAACAGGATGTCACTCGATGTAGTGCCCAACTAACCGAAGCTATGTACTGTCCTTCGATTCATAATAACCTATAAATTAACTACCGAGGTAGACTCATCATCCAATTAATCCACTAATGTGATCTGATACTTTGAGTAAATACCACTAAAATCTCTATCACGATCAGGAAATAAATAAACAAGATTTATCTATAGTCTACGCAATGTAGTCTGACTATTTCCGCTTTCATCTCATAAACACAGATTGGGGTCCAATTGAGAATCGCAGTTTTTCAGAGATGATCGAGATCGGCCACCTTAAACTTTGAAGGATGAAGACGTTCAGATGAGTTATCTGGCAACCAATAACTGTTTAGGCAGAGAAAATCTAATATTTTAGAAATGTGTACGAATTATATTAACTGGAAGACATGGCGTACAAAGCAAGTTAATGAAAAAAATTATTTAAATCATAATCATGCTCTTTGTTTTAGTTCGGTCTTGTTTTGGGTCTGACCCAGATTTCGGTTATTCAATGATTTAATGCAAAATCAGGGAGTTACCTAATATTTTCGGTTATTCATAATCATGCCTTTTTATTAATAAATACGCAGATGGAAGATATTCCCTTATATCCATCAAATGTATCCAAATGTCTTTTATCGATGACATGCCACACGAATCTGGAGTTGTGCTACAGAAATATAGAGGATGAAAAGTGGGGTTGATATTTTCGGCTAGTGAAAAGAAAGTTGAATGGCAATATGACGGAAGGAGAATTTTGCACAAGATCACAGTGTCGGAGTTCTAACCTTGCCTGATATCAGGTCCAGAACATTGCTGCCGCGGGTACAGCTGGAATATTTAGATTGAAAGTAAAACATTTAGCATCTAAACTAATCATGGAATATTCACTCTGTAAAATTTTGTGAAAGCAAAGGAATACGATATGATTGTTATTTGTGTTGAGCTTCTAGAGCGCTTTAAAGAAGTTGGCACTGCTGATGTTATGTTTTTTAGTTGGTTTGTCTGTACGAGGGAATGATGCAGACCTAGTAATTATGTCTTTCTGATGCAAAAACCCATTGTGCATTCCATGCAACCGTGCATTGTAGTGGGAAGCCAAACAGGTCGTCTTGCACATTGTTTATCTTACCAAGGATGCTGGAAAGACTCCTGGGCTTGGCAACTGGAGCTTCTGCAGAATTCCTAAATGCATTCCCATTAAGGAATATTATATTTATGAACAAACAAGATATAGGCCGCGAGAGAATAAGGTATAGTTGTAGTAAGATATGAGGGGGTTCATTAGAATCCCTGCCCCATGATCTCCCAGAATAACAGAATCTCTAGTCTTCTTTGGAGTTGAGTTCTAGAACATGTGAACTCTTGTCTTCTTTTTGCATGTATAACTAACGCTAAGGCTGAAGATAAAGCAAAACCTGATGTGGAATAATAAATGTTTGTAGAAACCAAACAATTAGCTTCTCCATCAATCACACCACATATTTGAGAACGTCCCAAAACCGAGTTTATTGAAAATATTCCAGATTTATTTTGTGGTTCAAGGTCTCTGTCCATGGAGAGACCCTTACAGCCATACCTGCAGAGGACCTTGTTGTCTGTTCCACATTCTAACTTGCTTCTGAATTTGACTGTTCAAAGGAACCGCTAATATAGAATAGAAAATGCTCCTGGTAGAGCATTTCTTGAGGATGAAGGAGAAGATGGATAAGAAAAAAAACTATCTCAACCTCTTGATAGGGATTAGATAGTTCATACACAATGTTATTTTCCCTAGGAAAGGGAAGCCGTTGACATGGTGCGTGATGATGTGGAATACGAGACATAGGTGGTCAATCCTTCTCGCATGATTAGGTATTCTAGTTTTCGATTTGACGAAAGGGCAATGAGAATATCCACCACCAAATGCACAACAACAGATGGGCAGAAATTGAAGGGGCCGCGGTTATACCTGTGACTATAGGCAAGGGGGCAAAGAAATTCAGGCAGGGAGGCCGTTGCCCTCCGGGGTTTAGGGCACACCAGGATCTCCTGCTGTTGGAACCCATGGAAGACGCCCGGAAACTCCGACGCAAGGAAGCCGTGCTGCGCCGAGATGCGGCGCATCTCTCCACCTCCCTCACCCGGCCAAGCAGGAGTCACGGAACCTCAAATTACATAGGGAGATCAACAAAAATTTTCCTTGGAGAATCAACATGGTCTTTTGATCTCACCAGACACGTACCTGGCCTCAGGAACCTATAGACGAACGGTGAGGGTCAGAAAAGAGGGTCAAATCCTCACGAAATTAACAGAAAAAATCACACAAGAAGTATCAATTAAGTGACAGAAGCATCGTGTGCCGCTGTAGTTCTTTGACGCAAGAAGATCGTAGGCCATTTGGTTTGGTCGGACCTTCGATCGGACTCGGGGATCTTACCAGGTTGTCTCTCTCGTCTTCCGTTCGAAAGAAGAGGAAATCGAACGACGCGACAGCTAGAAGGTCCCGGGTATGTCCTTGACGGCGATTAGGACGGCGGCGGCCGGCAGAGGAGGAGCCGGCGACGGCAACCACCGATATCCCTCCCTGGCAGCGAGAGACTGATCGACCGACCACAAACCAACGGTTATCTTTCTCGTTCATTCAAATGACTATTGCGAATCGTATTTCTTATGTTTCACGCCTATCTTTGTCAAAATTACAGAATCAGACCGTTCCGATCTTCCGGGCCGAGCCGGAAAAAACCGGGCTGTCAAGTCTAAACTTTTCTTCTAGCTCAGAGGTGGCGGGCCGGTTTTTAACGGGCTTTTATACAAGCCCGGTCCGTTTGGGCTCTCCGTCATCACTGTGAAACCCTACATCGGAGAGCTCTCGTGGTGGTGGTGTCCGGGCGGCGGCGGCGGCACGGCGGAGTGGCGAGGGGAAGAAGATGAGCGCGTTCAATGCCTTCAAGGCCTGCGTGCCTATAGAGTGGAGCCCGCGCCTGTACATAACCCTGGTGCGCGGCCTCCCCGGGACGAGGCGTCTCCACCGGCGCACCCTGGAGGCCATGCGCCTGCGCCGCTGCAACCGTACCGTCGTTCACCGGACCACCCCTTCCCTCCTTGGCATGCTCAATCAGGTCGGCGTTCCTTCTTTTTTACGGGTTTCTAGGCTTCCTCTGCCCCTCTCTGGCAGTTCCCTCAGAGAATCCTTCCATATGTGTTGTAGGTTAAGAGGCTCGTGGCGGTGGAGACGGAGGCCATGTACAAAGCCCGGAGAGAGAACATCGAGGCGCAGAGGTCCCTCCGCCCGCCGATCATCGTCAGCCACCACCCTCAAACCCCATCTGCCGCCGAGGACGCAGCGGCTTAGTGAAGCTGCGACTGCACGTCCTGTTTCCAAGGTTCATCCTCGTGTCCCTAATGTCTCCCGCAGAATCCACTTTCCTGCCCCCATGGAAACGAAAATCTTCCCTGGATTTCTTCAACCCTATGCTATGGAGATTATTATTAGCCCTATTTTGGAACTCCGTTGTATCCCTGTGACACATCCGATCGCCATCGATGATCTGCTCCAATTATTAGCTTAACGTTCCCTAGAACTCGTTTATATCTTTATATCATCCACCATATCTCCTGAAATTCACATTTCCGAATTGTTCTTTTCTCATTTGACTTCTAACAACCTCAGGTTGTTCTAGTAGATCACAGAGATGGGCCCTCCGATCATCCTCAAGATTTTTGCTGATCCGTGTTGGGTCCTTTTCAAAATCTTACAAAATTCCTGATAATATGAGGTTCTGTTGGGTCATACTTTTAGCGTGTGCTTCTAATGCTCATGATTCTCAGGTCTTTCTTAATAAAAAAAAAAAAATAAGATTCATGATTTTTCAAAAATCTTTAGCACAAGTTAGATGCCGTCAGTTTCACCCGGGGGTAATTTGGAGATCGTTTACGATCATCATTTCTGATTTCGATCTGCTTTAAATCGATAAAAATCTGATAATATTTGTTCCTCTGGATCTTATGATTTGGCACTAATGTGCTATTTCCTTATTGGCGAGCTACCTTAATGGTTTGCGTCACTTTTCCTAACTCCAGTCCGGGTTGACCTTTGATTACATGCTATCGTCGACTTTTTTGTAGCTCTGTGGAGATGGGTCGCAGAGGAAAAGTCAAAGATAATAAAGAACGACGAAAGTTTTCCCATCAAGCAAGGATCCAACTTTTTCTCTTAAAATCAGGCGGAGAAAAATCTCTTGAAATTAATTTCGTCAAACGTCGGCTCTGTGCCAGTCTCCTTCAATCAAGGAAACCGTTGCTCAATTTTTATTTTTATTTTTTTAAGTTTGTCTTGGGTCAAACTGGGTTTCCTGCGAAATACATGAACCGCAAAATCTGTGTAAACCCTAGAAATGGAATGCTGATCGTGAAAACTATGAATCTCTTGTGCCTCCACGTTTCCATCCTTTTGGTTTGACCAGCTGCCCCACACTTATCTCTCCTTATTTCTCGTCAATCGTAGACGTTGTGGTTGAAGAATCTGAAAAGCCTTTGACACCGGATGGTGTTCAACGGTCTCCTCCCTCCCTCTTTCTCCGTCTCTCTGTCCCTGCCGATGCCCATGCAGAACAGAACCACGGATGGACCTTCTTCTTCTTCGACTAAGCCCCCCCTGTTAATGCCCGCCCCCAGAAGGGAAGAAAGCTTTTGTTTTCATGCGAGGTTGAAGAAGCTCCATCGCCGTCTTCAACCCGGTCCTCAGCGCGTGAACAGGACCACGGATGTGCCTTCTTCTTCTTCCACGGAACTCCCCCTGTTAATGCCCGCCCCCTACAAACCCTAATACTTTCTCAGACCCTTTCATCGGATCAGATGGCTGGCAGAGAGCGGATAGGACTGGTCATCCGGGGGGCTCCAGCGCCTGTTGTCTTCTTTCCGGGACCGGAGGGAGAAGGTGGGCTGCCATTAATACAGCGATGGAGCTCCCTCGTTGACGCATCTGCGCTCCGACGACCTTGTCTCTTGTCAACAGTGGAGGGAAAAGGGAGATCAGGGGAGAGAAGCTCCCGCCGCCGGCCGCATGTTCCTCGCTAGGTTGATTTTGGGTCTTTCTCGCCGGCCATGAGATCATCAGTATCTTCCGGAATCTTTTTCAAGGGACTGCTATTAGGTAAACAGTGACGTGTTCTTCCCCATCTCCGATAAACTCCAATCGGGTGTTCTTTCTCCGGTGACGTAATCGATGACGGCGCCGCCGCCGGAACGAGGACGTGCGCTGTGAGGTTCCCCGTCAATCGGTACTGCGGGGAAGCGTGGATTAAACCGTCCTCCGTGGACATCTTCGTCTTGATCACGTAAGCCCGACATTGGTTTCCCGTTCCTATCCTTCTCTCTCCTCCATCCTCTCTCAACCACAGAGGGATGTAGAGAGAGACGACTTCTATCAATTTCATTTCTCATGTTGATGGCAGGTAATGACGGAGAGTGAGGGAGAGGAACCTCTGCGAACCTCCCTCGCCCAGATAATTCACGGAGACTAGTCCATGGAACTGTGGTCTAATGTGCAAGCAGGAGAGAGAGAGAGAGTTTGGAAGTCAACATGGGCGTGAGAGGACGAAATGAGAGGGACGGGGTCTGCAATTAATCCGGAGAGATCTGCGGGAGAATTTTTCGGGGGGAAAAAGTCCACATGTTTCGGTCAAATCTAATCTTGTCGGGGGGAGGCGTCATCCAGGCGGGGAGAGGCAATCGAAGAGGAAGGACCGCGGAGGATGGAGGTGATGAAGGTGGGGGCCGGCTTCCCGTTTTGGAATGAACAGCATGGGAGCGCGTCGTGACTGCGCGCCGGTGGGGACCCTTGGCCTCTGCTCGACCGACCTCCTGTTGTCATCGGTCCCCTCGACTGAGATGACAGGGCGTGTGGTGGCCCGCCGTGGTGGTGGTGGTGGTGACGGTGGCTGGAGGGGAGGGGGGGACGTTTCTCTCTCTAGCCGCATCACGTGGAGGCAACCAGAGCAGAACCATTTTCCCACGGCTCTCGCCACGCGCCGCAGCGGCGGTATTTCTCCTGCCCCGCCATGAAAGAGCCCCATCCCACGCTGGGGTTTGGGGCCGGCGGCGGTGGAGGCGAAATTCAGAGCCCCCCCGGATCGCCGGCACGCGCAAACCCGGGCTTCCCCTTCCGGCCATCATTGACGGCGATCCGGGGGGGCTTCCTTGCCCCGGAAGCCTCCGGGGGACAGGTGGAAAAGATTGGGGGGCAGACAGCGGTCCGAAAGGGATGTGCGCTGCAGGGAAGTCTCCAGAGGACCGTTGTGGTGATGTGAGCTCGACCCGGGGTTGGACTCGGAGCTGTCAAAACCCGACTCCTCTCTCTCTCTGATTTTCTACTGCTCACCGTTTGCGTGAGGGGAGGTGGAGCCCAGTACTACTTCCTCCGCCTTGCTGGCCTCGAGCTCCCTTTAGCTGGTTTTTTTATGGGTTTTGTCCGTGCCGAGAGCGACGGGCATGCCCTCTCTCTCTCTCTCTCTCTCCTCCCCCCTGGCTAATTAAATTGATCTCCCTTTGGCTGGGTGGCCTTTCCCGTATTCTCTCAAGGGATTCCTGCTCCACCCTCGCCGCTGCGGGACGGCCTGTCAAGGAGACAAACCACGCGGCGCCTCTGCTTCTGCGTCGGCCCTTCCTCCCCGGGGGCTCCCCTCTTCCTCCCTCAGAGAGCTCATCGTTGGGGGGACGATCCTCGGCTGTCTGCCCGGGGCTTGCCGCTTCTCTGGATCTCTAGATCTGAAGCCGCCCCTTCTGGGTGATTCATCCCCCCTCGCCAGTTGTGAGAGAGCCCCGGAGGTTGATAGAGGAGAAGTCGGGAGTGGTACTCCAGCCGAGAGGTGGGCCTTCCCGTCTCCAACCTTCTATTAATGGATAGCTCTGCTCGTGGGACGATGAGGGGGGTGGGAGACCACCCCTTCTCTCTGGTCTCGTCGATGGATTTCCAATGGATCTCTCCCTTCTTTAATCCCCGCTGTCCTCTATTCGTCTGCAGAGAAGAGGAAGAGGGTCGGTCTATCTCTGGTTCTCCCTCGCAGCAGCTTCCCCTTCATCAGCTCCGAGAGCATCTGAAATTCAACCGGCGAGGCAGGACGGCACCGAGGTCTGGTCTCCGCTCCCTAGCAATGCTTATCTGTTCTTCCTGAGGTCGCCGAGCTCTCGTGTTTTTTTCTACTTTCTGCCCTAATTTCTTCGGCTGAAGGGTCATCCTCTCCGGTCGCAGAAGCGGAGGGCATCTGCTGCGTCTATCCTGCGGCGAAACCCCATCGTCTTGATGTCGGAAGCTCGGCGGCGGGGCTGGATGAGATGAGGCATGTGGGTGACCTTGATGAACCTCCTGAAGGCCTGCTGGCGGCCGCCGTCGCTGGAACTCTATGCCGGCTCCGACGGGGTCGGCCGGCAGGACGGCCTGCTCTGGTACAAGGACGTCGGCCAGCACATGACTGGTGAGTTCTCCATGGCCGTGGTTCAGGCGAACAACCTGCTCGAGGACCAGAGCCAGATAGAATCCGGGCCCCTGAGCTCCATGGATTCCGGCCCCTGTGGGACATTCGTCGGCGTCTACGACGGCCATGGCGGACCTGAGACTTCCCGATACATCAACGAGCACCTCTTCAATCACCTGAAGAGTAAGAACCCTCTCGACTCCGAATCCCTCTGCATTTTCTGCAGTCGGAAAGTAAGAATCGACCTTCAAAAGCTACCTGTGTCTGTTCACAAGCGCTGACAATTCCGTGGGTCGTTGACTCTTGGGTGTCTCCATCAAAAAAAATTCTTGTTTTGGAGCCTGACCCTTAATCTCGGATTATATCCCCGTTCTCTTGGCCCTCATCTACCAAAAATATCACGCAGCCTTGCCATGATCGCTGTATTTTCTGATGTGCAGGGGTTTTTATGTGTCAAGTCCCTAAAAATCTCTGTTCTATGAGCATGTTCTTCCGAATAATCTGCCCTCTATTAGATTTATTCCAAAATTATTTTCTCCTAATTTTCTTTTCTTGACCCATCCAGTTTCGGAATTTCTGCTTGATGAACAGAACAGACTTCTGCGCATGCTGTTTGATTCTTTCTTGGATTTATTACGCCATTTTTTGCCCTGTATCTACCAAATATCTCACATTTTCCTCCCCGTAACCCTGCATTTTGCGGCGGGCAGGATTCGCCTCAGAGCAGCAGTCCATGTCTGTGGACGTGATCAGGAAGGCGTTTCAGGCGACAGAGGAGGGCTTCCACTCTGTGGTGGCCAAGCAGTGGCTCATCAAGCCCCAGATCGCCGCAGTCGGCTCCTGCTGCCTGGTGGGCATCGTCTGCGGCCGGAATCTCTACGTCGGCAACGCCGGCGACTCGCGGGTGGTCCTCGGCAGGCTCGTCAAGTCCACAGCGGCAGTCCTCGCCGTCCAGCTCTCCGTGGAGCACAATGCCGCCATCGAGTCGGTGCGGAAGGAGCTGCGCTCGTTGCACCCCGATGATCCTCAGATTGTGGTCTTGAAGCATAATGTCTGGCGCGTGAAGGGCCTCATTCAGGTATGATTGATTCATTCTCTTGGATTGCTGCGGGCTTTGATCTCCCTGATCTTCGCTGATTTCCGGGGTTTTGATTCTCGTGGTGAAGGAAATTAAGTTACTTTTAATGGAAAAAGTATGCGCTGTTCTTCAGTTCTTCAGTATCCTCTCTCTCTCTCTCTCTCTCTCTCTCTCTCTCTCTCTCTCTCTCTCTTTCTCTGCCAATCTCTGTAATATCTTGTTCTTAGGGTTCTGGTTCCTTTATGCTCTTGAAGGTATCTCGATCGATCGGGGACGTGTACCTGAAGAAGGCGGAGTTCAACAGAGAGCCGCTCTACGCCAAGTTCCGCCTCCGGGAGCCCCTCCGGCGGCCGATCCTCAGTGCCGAGCCAGCAATCTCTGTCCATCCCCTACAGCCGGCCGACCTCTTCCTCATCTTCGCCTCCGATGGGCTCTGGGAGCACCTCTCCAACCAGGAGGCCGTCGATCTCGTCCACTCCCACCCCCGCAGCGTGAGCTCTCTGTCTCTGTCTGTCTGTCTCTCTCTCTCTCGCTCTCCTCGCCGTGGCTGACGGGTTGGAAGGCAATGGATCCGCAGGGAAGCGCGAGGAGGCTGGTGAGGGCGGCCCTCCAGGAGGCGGCGAGGAAGAGGGAGATGAGGTACTCGGATCTGAAGAAGATCGACCGGGGGATCCGCCGGCACTTCCACGACGACATCACCGTCATCGTCGTCTACCTCGACTCCGGCATGGTGAGCCGTGCGGCCTCCTCTGGCCGGGGCCCCGCGCTGTCCCTCAGGGGCGGCGGGGTGAACCTGCCGGTCAACTCGCTCGCGCCATGAATGGACGGACTCAGGAACCGGGGTAGAGAGAGAGATAGAGAGAGCTCCGTGTGGGTTGAACCACCGCTTCGCTGCTGTCAATACGCGTATAGAAGCGGTAAACAAACGGAGGAGCTCTCATGGATTAGAAGATGAACTCGTTTACTGGAGATCTTGGGTTCTCCGTATTCTTCCTTCCCTTTCCTACCCTCCCTGTTCCTTGTCCTCCCCCACCCCACCCCACAGCCTCATCAGGCTTCTTCCTCGGCTCTGTATATTGTGGAACTTATCGGCCTAGCCATCAATCTTCGTTCTTGTTGCAGAAAGACGCAATATCTCTCTCTCTCTCTCTCTCTCTCTCTCTCTCTCTCTCTCTCTCTCTCTCTCTCTCTCTGTGTGTTTCTGTGTATATACATGTCTACTAATCTATCTTGATTCCAATGGGATCAGAGGCGGCGCAAGATGACCTGAGCACCGTGCTGGGGCTGGAGGGTGATGAACGTAGTCGGCGCGTGGGTGTACGACGGGGAGAGCTCGAAGGAGAAGCTCTGGAGGATAGAGGCGAGACCCATCTTCGCCTCCGTCAGGGCGAAGCCCTGGCCGACGCAAACGCGAGGCCCGCCGCCGAAGGGCAAGAAGGCCGTCGCCGCCTCCGACGCCGGCGACTTGTTCTTGGACGCCCTGGAGATTCCATCGGCGAACCTCTCCGGTTGAAGTCGCCGGCGTCGTCCCCCCAGTACTCCGGATCGTGCTGGACCAACAGAACGGCCAAGAGCAGCTGCACCCCCGCCGGCAAGCTGTACTCTCCCACCGTCGTCGCCGCGCGGGTGCTCCGAGAGAGGGACAAGAGCGGCGGGTACAGTCGGAGCACCTCGTGGACAACCATCGTCACCTGCAACGTCCAAGAAAGAGAGAGAGGGATCACCCGCCTGAACTTGGAAGATGATGAGGGATCGGTGATGACGGAGGAGGAATATTGCCCACAATCTTCAGCTGGCTCAGTTTGTCGAAGTCCGCCTTCTCCCTTCCGAAGACCTGCAGAACCTCTGCCCTGGCGCGGTCTTGCCAGCTCGGGTGCATTCCTAGGGCAACCATGGCCCAGGTCAAGAGGACGGAGGTCGTCTCCTGCCCGGCAAAGTAGAAGAGTCTGCATTCCTCGATCACCTCCTCCATCGTCATCCAAAGCGCCCCTTTCGATCTCCCCTTGTCCGGCAAGCCTCCCTGGTTGGATTGCAGGAGCAGGCCCAGGAGGTCGTCCTCGTCGCCGGGCGCCGGTCGCCGCCTGTCGTAGTGCCTTCTCTCTGCTAGCGATTAGTCCCCAGAGGAGGCCATTCACCGCCCGGTCGACTTCCCTCATCCGTCGGTTCCTCTTCGTGGGGAGAAATCTGTAACCGGGGATCTGAAAGTTCTGAAAGGATTGGAGGACGAGCTCGGTTTGCTCGTCCTGGAGCTGGAAGATGCGTTTCCCTTCTTCGAAGCTGCTCCCAAAGGCCGCCAGGGATATGACTTCCCTGGTGAACTTCTGAAGCTCCGGCCACACGTCCAGCTCGCAGCTCCCCTCCGGACCCAGAAGGCTCTCCCACCGCCTCACGAGATCTGCGCAGCAGTTCCCGGCAGCATCTTCTGCGAGACCCAGCACAGGGGATCTCAGAAGAAGAAGAAGAAGAAGATGATGATGATGATGAAGAAGAAGATGACGATAATGGGGACGAAGACGAAGAAGAACAGTCGTGAGGACGGTAGGGCTCCATGGCAGACAATGGCAGAATCAACTGGAGCTCAGAGAAGAACCTTCAGTTTCTCTACGCGGAACGCAGGGTTGATGATCTTCCTGTGCATCGCCCACTTCTCTCCGTCGTAGCTTACCAGTCCGCCGGCAAGGAACTTCCCAAGAGGACTGCGCTTCGGCTTCCCGATGTGGCCGTACGTGTTCAGGAGGACCTCTCCGATGAGAAGAGGGTCGGCGCTGATCACCCGGGGAGTTACCCCCAACCAGCTCATACTAACCTTGTCTGCATCACATCAAGACAGTCGAAAGAAAGACGAGAGAGAGAGAAACCGTAGGTCTTGACTATCTGGTGGTGGAAGGGAAGGACAAGGGGGGGAATGTCATGGGAGAAGGGCATGGGCTTCGAATTGGCCTCCCTGGTAAGCAGCAGGCTCTTCCTGATGTCGCCGAAGAGGAACCGGTAGGAGGTCCCGTTCGATCCCCTGCGCCCGGAGCTTCCTCTCCGTGCTCCTCGGCGTCCACCACAGCCACCGCAGCGTCCTCAGAACCCATCACAGCAGCAGAACCCCCGCCGCCCACCCCCCCCCCCCCACCCTACACCGTCGACGAGGAAGCTGCCGCCCGCCATCTCTCTTCCTCTACCTCAACTGATTTCCGACGACTTATCCTGGGGTTGATCTGACGCCCCTCTGATGTGACTGCAGGGCACCTGCGCCACCGAAAAAATCTTACCTTTTCCTGCAAGATCCACTGCTTTGACCTTCCCTAATCCTACCGCACCGGCATACTCTCTCCCTCTCTCTGTTTCATATGGTCCGCGCTGCTGTGTTCGCTACTCCACCTACGCCGAGAGCGGATAGGTGGGGCACGTCCCCCGAGCGGCAAACGGCATCCCCCGCGAGCCGCCGCGCCGACGAGGATGCCCTCCGGATGTACATACAGATACTGGCCGAGGGCCGTCTTCCCGGCAACAGGGCCATCATTGCCGCGCTGAAAGCCGGCGGCCCGGCCGCGGCCGGCGCAGTCCACGGCAATGTCATCAAGATGGGATCTTGCGCCGACAGATTCGTCGCCAGCGCACTCCTCCAATGCTACTCCGCCGGCGGGCGTGTGGCCTCGGCGTGGAAGGTCTTCGCCAGCGTCAGCGAGAAGGACGCGGCGCTCCGCACCGCTATGCTTGTAGCGTGTGCGGACAACGGCGACCTCACGAGCGCTCGGGCGCTGTTTAACGAAATTCCCGGGAGAGACGTCGTCGCCTGGAACGCCATGCTGAGCGCGTACTCCCACTCCGAGCTCCCGGAGCGAGCCCTGGAGCTGTTCGAGGAAATGCAGCTCTCAGGGACACGGCCCAACGAGATCACTCTGGTCATCGCCCTCTCCGCCTGCTCCCAGCTCTCCTCCCTCGCCCTCGGAAAATGGATACACCTTTACGTTGACAGGGCTTCGGACATCAACCTGACCCCCACGCTGGTCAACTCCCTCGTCAGCATGTACGCGAAGTGCGGCAGCCTGCGCGCCGCCGTGGAGGTCTTCCTCGAGAAGCACCCGCGGAACCTGGAAACCTGGAACGCCATGCTGAGCGGCTTCGCCGCCTACGGTTGCGGCGGCGGCGCCCTCTCTCTCTTCTCCCAGATGATCAAGACCGCCGTGGCGCCCGACCGGATCACCTTCCTCTCCCTGCTGACGGCGTTCGCCCGCGCCGGCATGATCGCCGACGCCCTCACTTGTTTCCGCTGCATGCGCCGGAACTTCGGAGTGGTTCCCCGGCGGGAGCACTACGGCTGCCTCGTAGACGCCCTCGCGCGCGGCGGTCACCTGCAGGAGGCCTACGCGCTTGTAGAGGGCAGCCCCTTCGAGCCCGACGGCGCCGCCTGGGGCGCCCTGCTGGCTGGCTGCTGCGTCCACGGCGACGCGGAGATCGGGCGGACCGCCGCCGAGCTCCTCCTGCAGCTCGAGCCAGGGGAAGGCGGCAGGCACATTGCTCTCTCCAACCTCCACGGCATGACGGGCAACAGCGTGGATATGGTGAGGTTGAAGCAGGAGACGGTGGGCCAGGGCATTCACCTGCCTTCTGGGAGCAGCTCAATCGAGGTCAACGGGGTTGTTCATGAATTCACGGCAGGGGATCGGTCGCACACCCAGTCAGAACAGATTTACTTGATGATTGCGATGATCAGTTCAAATCTGCGGTGCACGCAAGAAAGCGCCCGAAATTCGCCATCCTAATCTACTGATCTACAGATTCATGGGAAGCAATGATGCTCATTATTCAGGGAGCATATAAATTACTCATGCCGAGGCCTCGCGAGAGGATGAAGATGACTGCCATTTTATTACTGTTCATGTGGTGGTGTTCCGGTTTGAATCTCATCATGAGCACGAATCGTTCTACAAAATTGTCAACGTATTGGGGGTACCTGTCCGTCGGAAGCGGAGGATTCCCCAAGGATGGATCTTGCCCCACTCGATTCATGCTCCTCTTACGAGTATGGGATGTTGGGATCGGCATCTACAGACCTGGGTCAGAAATTAAAAAGGAAGAAATTAGCAAGCGCACTGTATGCTGCAAGAGGCAAGAACGACAGCCATTTCAAGGGAGATGCGATGGATCAGTGACGTCAGGAGGCACCATTTTGTATGAAATGAGCGAGCCCCGTGCTTGTTCATGCAGTAAAAGGAAGAACAAGAAGCATCTTCAGGGAGATGCGATCAATTTATAGCATCAGGAAGCACCTTTTTTATGGAGTGACTAGGCCCTGTACTCGTTCAAATGCATCCACTTTGTCGACGACCACTTGTTTCCTTGAATCACGGGGCATCCTCCTGCCATGGACATTTGATAGGAGTTATCAAGACAACTTACTGCTCCGTGAAAGTTGCTGAAATGGATAGACTGAGCTCACCATGCAGGCTAGATGGATCGAGCGTGGCATCAGGCCTCATGCTCCAGAAGAGCAATGCGTCGCCCCTCTTTGGTTTCACGGCGAGTCCTTTCTTGGCACATTCAGAGAGCTCACTGTAGTATGACAAGGAGCTGCTGTTCATTTTGGAAGCAGGGAAGATGGTTTCTCCGCCTTCTTCCACATCCGAACTGTAAAATTTCAAAGGAAAAGAAGATTACCGCATTGCATTTGATTCAAATCTGTGGTGAACCTAATTTCTAGTGGGTAAATGGTTCATAGAGCATACAGGTACATAAGGACGGTAGCAATACGCTGACCCCCGTTCTTGGTGTTAAATTTATCGAGGAAGTAGTCAAAATGGGGCTCATATTTCTGTCCAACTTCGTAATGCAGAACCTGAAGGCCCTCCCCGTGCTCTGTAAATAATGAAATCATATTAAGCGAGATGACACCCATCAAGGCTGAAGAAAAACCAATGTGCCTATCCATTCCCCAGCATCAACGGGACTGAATTCACCGCCTATCCCTCAACACAAATAGAAATTATTAACCTCAAAGAACAACAGAAACTTGAAGCTGTGCCTGGCCACCTGCTTGTTGATAGTACATTCTTTTATATGGATTGGTGCATCATGAGATATCACTATAGATTGTTTTTTAAAAAGTAACACTTGACTGATTAGAAAACAGAATTCAATAGTACCGAGCTCGATTTAATATGTAAATATGTATTATAAATAAATAAAATTAATTAGGAAAGAATTATTTAATAAATGATCCTCGATTACAGAAAAGTTACACCCTGCCACATTCAAAATAGTAAACACATCATGAGCATGAAATATTCTTCAGGCAGGTCACATTTATTGAGTATGAATTTACAGACACTTGGTAGGACCACCTGTCCTAAGCCCTTGGTTAAACAAATTTCCAAATACGTGACTGACGGTCACATATACAGACCCTGAATTGGATGTAATTTTTTATCCATACGCAAGGTCATAGCTCTTCAGTACACAAATAAGTTGATCTGTTTCCAGATTATGGATTGAAGACATAACTACACGATCCATTTAAAAGGGAATACCCTAAGTCTCATCCACTGAGGTGGCATTTTGGTTGGGAGGATCAGCGGGAAGAGGACCAAGGAAGGTGGAGAGAATACAAATCTATATCAGCCCGTATGGTCAAGAGCGTTGCATAAAAGATAATCCACCAAACCGTGTCATCACCTTTCCTTTCCCAAAGTTCATTTTATCTTATTATTCATCAAACCAAAACAGGTAGTAATATTTTATATCTGATGTTAGAATACATCTGATGTCCATCAAACATCCTACAAGAAGAAGCATAAAAGGAATGTGGGTCAAATACGGCAAAAAATTGCGTCAAAGACTCCTTCAACCCATGTTAATTACAAATGACGATGATATTACCCATAAATATGTCATAGTCTAGGTTTTTCCAGAGACCAAGCTAACCGAGGCAGCTGTCAATATATCTCTAAATATATTGAAAAACCAATTATTCAGCAGTTTGAAATAATATAATTATACCTGCAAGGGATTAAGAGTATGCAATAAATTATTCGAAATAATATTCATGTAAATAAGGAATGCACCGAAAGCAACTCACATAATAACTTTAAATAGCTTCATATTAACATTAATAACGGAAAAATAACTAAATAAACAACATATGACTAAAAACACAACATATATATGTCAGTTTGGCCATTGCATGGCCAAACGAATCATACAAAAGAATCGAATACAATGCCGTTGGTAACAACCAAGCAACTCGTAGAATTGTCAAAGAGAGCACTAGTGCGGCCTACCTAAGAAACCAAGACACCATGGATGTCTGGACTGTCTTGACAACAAGGCAACACCCGGAAAACACACAATACAAACAGGTGGAGACATTATAATATACTCAATGTCACAATGTTTACTTCAGCGATGGAGGTTCCAAAACCTGATTTGCTAAAGGTTGTCTAAGCCCCCCTTCTCCCATCTCGAATACCAAGTCGTGCTTCGAACTTATTACGGACGAACCCTGAAATTGTACTCTGAAGATTGCTTGGGCGATGGATTATTTCATCCCTGAGATTTCTCGTAAACCCCTTTACTCATCGAGACAACCAAAACTTTGTGAAGTAGTGCTTGGGGTGTCGTACAACTTTGAAGAGAAATAATCGTGTTACCCAGGAACAAATCCAATAAACTTCTGTTTAATGACTTCTCACCACAGTTCCTCTCATCGGATTCCAGTTGCTACTATATATGGTTTTGATATGGCTACTTGATCTAATTTCGATATTTTGTCCCCAATAAGTCTAGATCATAGACCATCCCAACAGAACATCTTTCCGCCATATCTTTGGCAATTCAATCATTATTTCCGACGTAACTTCAAGATGTCTCCCACAAGATAGGTCAATTCCCGAAATAAGTCTTATCTTGCAAACATGATCAAAATGTGACTATGACACGTTACAGATCGTCAAATCAAGCTTTATGGGGAATCATATCATAGAAATTAGGATAAGAAAATCTCAAGTTTGGCGATATATTTTAATTTCTTTACTCAACAGAATTATACAGCAACATCATATTTAGTCATTCAAAGAATGTGGATAAGACTGAAGTTTCAGGCAAACCAAACGATCGAATAACCTCAAATATTAAACTGAAACTCTAACAGTTTCAAAGTAGCAAAATGATGAGCACGTCAAGGGAAAATTCTGCAGCATTTTTCTGGGGCATCATTCCCACGGCTTACCAACGGGAATGAAGGTGAAGTCTGCAATTCTCTTCTCAATCGCTTGAATAACCTTATCTTGACCTCTCCTGAGAAACATGCCTGAGCTTGTCCGAACCCTGTTAGTTGAAATACAAATGATGAGAACTTTTCATGTCAACAAAAAAGCCACAATTCTATAAGCTGTTGTCGGGAAGATAAAGCAAAAGTTGTAAATAATTATCCTTCCTATGACCTTATGGCTCATCGGATATCAAGAATGGGACAGAATCATTAATACGGTTAACAACCTGTCAAAAAACTAGAAAGAGGATCCTTTGGAGAAATAAAGGCTTGCCAAGAAGTACAAAATGCTGAGTCTTGAACCAAACAAACTCTGTTCCCTTTTTAGTATAGTTTGAAAAGTGCGAATGTCAAAAAGAGATACTCGTTTTAGCTGTCGTTGGGAATGGAAGACAATTTGCCACATTATTTTCTCTCATACCCATTGTTAAAAGGTAGTTAAAAACAAATTCGAGATTGTTCTCTCCATCACGTGAAGCTGCCATGGAGGTCTACGACCCATGTTAAGGAGGCTCTTCTATATCCAATAAGAGCCGATCTACCAACAAAAACCAGGTTCAAATACTATTTGGTACTAAAGACACCTACATTACTTTTACAAAGCATATGCTCATAAAAAATAAAAAAACCCATATAAGTTTACAAGACACAAAAGTCCAGCAAAGCAGAACTTTCGTGCATGCATTATCACAGTAAGAAGAAAATTATCGACATTGGAACAATTAAATATTTAGAATTTAACTACATTAAAAAATGCGTAATGATTCTTCAAAAGCAATTTCATGGACCAGTGCAGACCTGCTGTCGGTGCTTTTACCAGTGGAACTATCAACAACCGTTGACTTCTGCATATAAGGCTTTGCCAGATTAATCAGATGCTCGCACTCCTCCTTAGACTGTACAAATAAAGAAGAATGAATATGTTGCATGTCTAAATATTACTCGAAAACCATCGCTTTTAAAACAGACAATTCAAAATGATCACATCTGTTTTGGTAGGAACTGTCCCTTGTTTTAAAAATGATCAATAATTTCTCTTACTGAATAAAATATCTCGAATTAATATACTCCAGCCTTCAGTGAAAGGTAAAAGATCAAGAAGCTGCCATAAGATCTCAAAATTTGCAAAACATTCAGGTTTATCCCTAAACTGAAAAATGTGCCCTCTCACGTCTTTGGTCACCATCAAAGAGCAGAAAATAAATTTCACAAAAAGTGTACTTAGATGATCGTAAATCCAATAGTGTTGTAACAACAAGAAGCCAGTATCAGATTACTTAGTCCGCACAGGAAAAATGTCAAAATAAAGTGTACACTTTTTAATCCCACGTGATCATAGTAGAAAAAGAGAGAAAATGAACAAATTTGGAAAACGAGTAGTCAAACTACAGACAAAACGTGAATAAATCCCGGTACATCAGTATAGCCTTACCCCAGCAAGGCCTAGGACAGAAAAGGAGGAACAAACTACAGACAAAACAACCCCAAAATAGTAGAAATTCTTCCTTCTCCCTCGCACAGAAAGATGTCCCCGATCATTAAATTTCTCACAAACCCACAGAAATACCTGATGTGCTGAGGCGTTTTCCAGTTAAAATACGTTGCCTATCAGTTGCTTTAGAATCTCATCACAGAAGACATCATCAGATAAAATACCATGTGATTAAGAGCACATAAGCTAAAGCAAAATTTTCAATGACAGAAGGAATATCAGACACGGAAACAACACTCTTTCTTTTTTTCCTTTTTTTGCACCATAACATAAAAACCTTGCGGGCTCAACTTCATATTCCACCAAATAAATAATGGTCTAAACTAAAGCTACCCTTGTTAGATGCTGTCTCGTGTTTGATGCCAAGTTACTCGAGACAAACATCTTCAAGAGAGTCCAACTCCCATGAATGTAGCATTAGTTTGAAACTTGCAATTTTAAACCCCTAAATAGTTACACAGACATAATTTTGTATCACGATTTGGAACCAGTTTATCTTTTCAACCTTATTTTGTCTCCTTATGGGGAAGATATGAGTTATTTGGTTGTTCACCATACAAGCAAGCAATTTAAATCCAGCTAGATACCAGGACATTATAAACTATCAACAGTAGCATATTACAGATTGCTGCGAGGGTAGACTATGAACCTAACTTGGAGCTATTCGTCAAATGCATCATCTCAATAACACAAAAACAGCCTTCACATTCAGACTTCTTATGGGAAATGAACGATGCAGGATGACCCGATTGGAACATGGAAGGGCTCCGATTGGAATAAATGTCACAAGAATTTTTTTTACCGTCCGTCATCCCAGAAACCTGCAGTATTCAAATTTATTCACCAACAGGACGATAGTGACAAGGTAATCATAGAAAAATGAGGAGCAGTGATGGCCGGGAAAATTCTTAATCTTCAAAAAAAATTAAAAATCACAAAACAAGTGCCTTGCAGCCCTTGACGGAGAGAACGTTAGGTATTCATATGATATTACCTCGGGATTCATAAGCTTCGATGGAATTTCCACTCCCAATATTACAAAAGAAGAATAATTTACCCCTGGAAAAGATTCAAAAGAAAAGAGGTCCCTAAAAAAGACATCCCATAAGCTAGATCATTCAAAGTCCCACCCTTCACCTTTGTGATAACAGAAAATCCCGGGTTTAATAGAAGGATCTGTGCAGAAAGATCCAGAAGGAGTTTCCAATCTTACTATCTTAATGCCAAAAAAAAAAAATTTGAACAGAAAAGCCCCCCGCATCCAACTATTAGTATCAACGCAATATGGCAGGAAAGAAGCATTTTGAACATCAGATCAACATCAGATCATACTTCCTGGGCCACTTTTAAACATTTTGAACTATCTTATTTATTACCTAAATCTCAAATGCATTATCTGATGTCAGCATTAGTTTTGATTCCTAACAGAGGATTAATTTTGTTTCATAGTCTCATGGCATTATGGAAGCAAAGAAGGAACCGACCAGGCCGACTCAATTAAATAGAGAGAGAAAGTGGGAGATCAATATCCGATCATTCATCCTGGATCAGTTTTTAAAAAAAATTGAACTGCAATTACCGAAAAAGAGAGTGTGCGTGATTTCGAAAAATTGGAGACAAAAGCCACACCAAGAAATTGTGATAGACGAATGCCCTTGGCTCCCAAGAGATCACCTCCGTCCACTGCTCGCCTCTCTGTCCTAATCCATCGCTGAAGAGGGAAGACAAGGTTAATTCACGACCCATCAGCCACCGCCTCTGACAGGTTGTTAGACTCCGCTTCAGCATGAACACAACGGACTCGGTTGCGAAGAAAACGTATACCTATCGATCGCAACCTTCTGAGACCCGCCCCCCAGGCGCCGGGCCACCGCCGCGTGCAGCCCTGGGGAGTCCTCGGAATCGGGGATCGAGAAGGTACCCAGGAAAAGGAGGACGAGAATGACGACCGACAGCATCAGCAGCATCCCCACCACCAGCGTCCACGCTGACGTTGACCTTCTGCTAGAGGACCCCCGGGAACTCCGGAGGGGACCTCTCCCCATGACAGGCGACGATGGGCAGAGACAACGGCAGCACCGTGCACTCCCACAGGCCTCCTCCTCCACCCACTGATCTGGGGGAATGAGAAAAAACAGAATCCTTCGCGTGGGAGAAGAGGCTGAACGCCGGCTGGGAGCACAAGAGGGGAAGGAATTAATGACCGGAACAGTTCGTCCTTCCTCGCCGCGATCTGTCTTTATTACGGAATCAAAGCTAGCCGAGGCGAAGCAAGAAAGGTGGGGCTGGTGGAGGTAAATTAGGGCTCCTCGTTCCGGCTACTCGTACAGATCGGGGCTCCGCAGGCCTGTGAATTTTTTTTGGTTCCACGCCGACGCCACTGACGAACGGGAGAGGACCGGCCGGGCGGAAGAGCTAGTTTAGCGAACGGGGGTTGACCATTCTTTCTCCATGAAATCCCTCCCGAAGGTGGGCCACGTCGTCCTATCGTTGACTTCCGGACTGAGATGGAAATAGAGAGAGAGAGAGAGAGGAAATAAATATAAAACATTTGTTATATAAATAAATAAACCTTCGTTGTACGGATAAATTTGTCATTAAAATTAAAAATTATTAACTTTTGCCTCCCTTGGAGCCAACTAAATTATTCATAGGCCAATTATCTCTCATTATACTTCTAAGACATAATAATTTATTATATACTTTCAATTTTTAATTCATCAAACGTATCTTATTCGATTTACTGTATAATTTTATCGGGAAAGAAATGCTGAACCGTCCTGGGTGATTTTCCTAACTATAAAAATAAAATATATCGCTTCACATTAGATGGTGGGCGATCCGAGACATTAATGTCTGATTTAATGCTAATTAATGACGGGAAAAAAACTTAATATTGGAGTGACCCCAGGAATTTGGCTCTTGAGGGGACATCCTAAGAATATGGCTATTCATTGGATATAAGTAATAAAGCAATAATGACCTTCATAAATATGAATTGGTATGGTGAAGAGAACATGGGCAGGTAACAAAATATTCTTAGACCTATTTTCTGTGAAGTACAACAGAAAAGCTGCCTTGATAAAATGCCAGGTTGCCTGAAGGAGATCTGGCTTAAAATATTGCCAGAGGGAGATTATTCAGGGAAATTCTTGGAGCATGTCATCAAACAGCTGGCTCACGAGAAATATATTAGCCCATATCTATTTCATACGAGTTATTATAGAGAGAGAGAGAGAGAGAGAGGACAGATGGGTGAATAACTACGGAATTATAGACCCATATCTATCACACAAGAACTATGGTAGAGAGAGAACGAGAGTAGCTATAGAATTACACTGGATTCTATGAAATACTTTGTCATGGCTCCCAACGTAGAGAGAGAGAGAGAGAGAGAGAGAGAGAGAGAGAGAGAGAGAGAGAGAGAGATCCTGCCCCCAACATAGGCCTTGACCCTGTGGGCTTAGAGACTGGGAGGAAGTTAGGCAGGGACATTAGGGTAAAAAATACAGCCGGAAGGAAGTTCTAATTCTTCTGCTTTTGATTTGGGTCATTCTGGTCGTCCCATTTCATTAGAAGTTTCTCAAACATAAAGCTTGTTCATAAAAAAATAAAATTAAAATGGCACATTAGGATAAAAAATACAGCTGGAAGGAACTTCTAATTATTCATTGCCTTGATATCCAATCAGTCATTGAATGTCATGGGCTTGACTTCATCGGCCTTTATCTTGGAGCATGCGGTCAACTGTGCACTCTACTTTGTCCCATGCTTTCAATCAGCACCCACCAATAAAATATCCGGTGCATCTAATTCTTTTCAATTGGAATCGCCAGGGCAGTCTATCAATCACACAACCATGTCTAAAGAAACACGAATGATCAGAGATTGGAAAAGAAAAAGGATCAATCGGAGACTAAAAATGAAAAATATTCGGGATTTATTGATATTCTATTCAGTATTCGTTCCCGTGCCTATAACAGCTCGATTATGCACAGATTCAGCCAATCTGCGTAGCAAAGACATCAGATTTATTTCAGTTCATCATTGAATCAGAGATCTGACAACCTCGTTTGCACAGAGTTATCTGTTCCTCAATTCACAGTAAAGCAGAAGCCCGACAATGCATCCGAGATCTTCTGCTGCGGTTAGATCCCAAGCTCAAAGAGTGATTCCTACGAAATGAATCCGTGGGTCGATCAGGTTTTTAAACAAATATCTTCATCTGATCACAAAAGAATAACCCGGTCAGATCTGTACTGGCGAAGCAAGATCACAGATTCTTCCTCACGAACAGGAATTACTCAAACATGGATGCGTCAAGATGCAGAACATTTCAATTTACAGTAGCATCCAATGACCTGGTGATAAACTAAATGGGAAAAAATTCATTCCTATGAACGAAGCAGGGATTGCTCAAACATGGATGCTTCGAGACGCGGAAAGTTTCAATTTACAGTAACATCCAACGTTCTGGAGATGAACCGATTTGGGATATTTTTTCAGATTCCTCTCGTCCCTTCGTTTTTCTCAGCTCTGATAACCCGAATAGGAGGAAGTGTCCCTACAGGAAAGTCAGTCATCTTACACAGAAAAAGAAGATGAGGGAAAGAGAAACGAGGGGAGCGGGCGAAGAAGGGCCGGCAAGAGCAGACCCTCACCCAGACCTTCTCTCACCGACGGGAAGTCTCCCCGTCCTTGCCCTCGTCGGCCATCTTTCGGTGCTTCTCAACGAGCTTATCGAGAGCGGATTGAACGGCGTCCCTACCCCCAATGAGGAGGCGGGTGATGATCCCCGGATCGCGCTCGTATCGAGCCTCCTCGAACTCCCGGCGGGCGTTCTCCCGGAGCACCTCCCTCCACGGCACCCCCCGAGCGTCGGGCCAGGGGAAGAAGCGCGTCGCTCGGAGGATGTCCCGGTAAAGCGCCAGCGCCTCCTTCCTGGTGCTGGTCAGCCGCCGCCGCGCCGCGATCTCGTCCTCCTCATCGTCGTCCGCTTTCTTCTCCTTTCCCACCAGGTGCCTCTCCAGCAGCTCTTCCACTGTGTCGGGGCCCTCGTGGAGGAACCCCCTCCTAAAGAAACCGACGGCGGCCGCCGGCCTCCGCCATCTCTGCACCTTCGACAGGGACGAAGCGGCCATCGGAGCAATTCGATCCGACCGAAATCGGAACGGGCAAGGGGACGGCGGACTCTCTCTCTATCTGTCAGTTTTTCCGGACTAATCAATAAAATTAAAAAACTATAAGGGTGTTTTTCCTAATGAGAATATTTCATAGGGCCTAGAAATAACAATCTCACAGGTGAATTCGAATTATATCCGAAAATGAGCATACATACTATATACTTTTATTATCAAATATGCATTAATAATGGCATAATACATTACCTTCCTGAATTAAGTGCTTTTAGAAAAACCATCCATGGATATTAATCTAAATAATAAATAAAATAAAAAATCGTGCTGACGGTACTCGACTGGGCTCTACCTACTCTCTCTCTCTCTCTCTCTCTCTCTCTCTCTCTCTTGCTTCACGTAGATGAATTGACAAAAGGATTTTTTGGCTGTTCATCCCATTATATAAAATCGAAATTATCGTCCTGAAATTATTTTTTTATCATAATTAATTAGTGGGGAAATCGCAACTAAAATAGAATTATTATTTATTACAATATTTGTTAATGACAGCCTCGAAAGTCGAGTTTCATCGCCGCCAAAAAAAATTGACAGAAGGTATGGGCCCAGATTTGAAATGGGCCGGACCGGCCCGGTCCGCTGTTAACCCTCGGCCGCACGTATGTTCCCGTGCGAAAAATGCGGACGCCGCGGCGGTGCAAGGCTCGTGTTCGTCTGCCGTACAAGCCACTCCTTTCATCCTCTCTCTCTTTCTCTAGATGCTCTCTGCGGAGCATACTAAATCGACCAGATAAGTCCCTCAGTGCTCCAAAACATGACGGAGGCGGGGGGTGACTTACGACGGGTTTTCTTGAAGGAGATGGTACATCTTTGTCTGGTTCTGGCCTGGGAGGCTGTAAATAGGCCGGCGAGCTCCCGGCGGTGCTGCTCGTCTCCCGCCGCCTGACCTTCCCCTTGCTCCACCCAACCTCGGAGGCCCACCGGAGAGAGAGAGAGAGAGAGAGAGAGAGAGAGAGAGAGAGAGTGGGTAGAGAGATGAAGGACCTGCCGAGGCTGGGCCACCTCTTCGTCTGCGTCTTTCTCTACCACTTCTCCGCATTCATGGTCCTCCCGGCCATCACCGACGTCACAATGGCCGCCCTCTGCCCCGGCAGAGACGAGTGTGGCCTCGCCATTTACCTCAGCGGCTTCCAACAGGCCGTAAGTCTCTCTCTCTCTCTATCCCTTCCTCGTTCTGTAACTCTGCTCATCGTCTTCTTCGTTCTGCGTCCATGTTCTTCATCTACTCCGCCCTTTCTCCCGCAAAGGTGCAGCTTATCTGAGGACGCCCCATTTAGAGCATAGTTTATGATATATTTTAACGAGAAATTGGAACGGGAGGGATCGCTAGAAACTCTTCGCTTCCACGTAAAGATGATCGCTTCGCTTCCATCGGAAGAAGCCTCGTGCTCCTTCCTCCCTGACGAAACACGCGACGGATCGAACGAGCGCGGGGGTATTCTGTAGATTCTCTCTCATGAGGTTTCTCCCTTCCTCTCCTTCCGCAGATCACAGGGATGGGAACCCTCCTGTTGACCCCCCTCGTCGGCAACCTCTCCGACCGCTACGGCAGGAAGGCGCTGCTCACTGTCCCGATGTCCGTCGCTGTCATTCCCCTCGGTAAGTACACTCTCTCTCTCTCTCTCTCTCTCTCTCTCTAACTTCCTCTGGGGTGAGAAGAAGGGAGAAGAACACGTTTGGAAGGTGAACACGTTTGGAACGTATGAGAGAGGTTTTACAAGCACCTTCTTTAGAGGTGGGCGGAGGGAAGATGGTGAAGGAGGCTTCGGGTTCACAGTACGGAGCAGCCTTACTACCGGATGTGTGTGTATGAAAGAGAGAGAGATAGATAGGTATACACAGAGAGAGAGAGAGAGAGCGAGGGTGGCTTTCGCTACCTAGCGGAGGAAGTTTCTGGTTCACTGGGACAAGGAAGAGCGATGTCGGCGAATCGTAAGAGAGGGAGGGGACCACGGGCTTTTTCTCAGGGATAGTTTAACTGGAGACTCAAGAGAAGGTTTATATACAATAAAACATCTTTGAACTATTCATGTATAAAATTCCATCTTGATAAGTAATTTAATGTTTTACCCTTTTTCATTGCTTGACATCCCCTTTAAAATAATTCTCGTTGTCATCCTCGTTTTGCAATTCAATTTCAGCATATGCGCTAATGCTCAACTTACCTTCATTATGTCATGTTAAAATCACTTTATAATTTCTTAGAAGAAAATAATCGCCATGAGTTCAATTTTTCCTAGCTAAATTATTTCATTATCTACAATGCTTTCTTCTTTATCATGGTATCTCCTAAAACTTAGGAGATATGATAGAGATATTTGATTTTGGGCACTTTGACTTACCCTTGAGAAAATTGTTCATTCTATAAGCTCAACCCATTAGTCCTCATCAACAAGTAAGCCATCATATAGAAACCCAATCAATTGTTTCAATTTTAATATTTTGAGTAGGCCAATGAATTGATTTTTTAAATTATTAATTATTAATATTTTAGGGTAAATATTCTTATTCAACTATAGCAGATTGATTGTCATCAGATAAAATATCCATTTTAGTGGTGGATAATATTTTTTAATAAATAAATAATTTAATATTTAAAAATATTTTATAAAATATATATAGGAAATCAAAATAGAATTTTATATTTTTTACCATGATTATTTTTTCTGTAAATGTATCGTAATGTGTGTCTGGTAATACATTTATGTTTTAATTATTGATAGGACCTTAACTTGATAGAAAGAAGAAATCTCAGAAAAATTTGTAAATAAATTTCATCATGGACCTAAATAAACATGTTTTCTCCATTATTTTATCCAGTACATATTGAAAATCATGTTAGATTTTTATTTATTTTATAGAACCACTTTTGTGTGAATAATCGCCGACCTTGTCATTTAAGTTAACATCACCACTTGGCTACTCCATTACCACGTCAATTTCTAGGATTTTTTGTTTTTATTCATCCTCAAATGGTTGACTTATTGGTGAATACAAGTGTAGTATTTATTATTTTCAAATTTTTATTTTACTGTAATTTTTGAATTAGGGTTTAAGTTAATAATTTATTATAGGGTTATACGTGCTATTATTTCCTGGAAGAGGGATTAAATAAAGCACTTGGTTAAGGAATGACTTTATTAAAATTAAAATAGTCTCGAAGAAAAGGGAGTTTCTCCGAACACCAAGATTTCTGACGTTCCCCGATGGGTTGGTTCTCTCAGGCGTGCTGGCGTACAGCCGGAAGAAGACCTTCTTCTATGTCTACTACGCCGTCAGGATCGTCGCCGGCATGTTCTGCGAGGGCAGCATGCAGTGCCTGCCCATTGCCTACGTGGTGAGTCCCTCCTCCCTCCGGCCTATTCTCAAATGCAGCCCATCACCCTCATTTATCTTGTCGATCTCTCGATGGTCATGAACCAAAAACTTGCAGGCGGATGTGGTCGGTGAGCGGCAGCGTGCATCCGCCATCGGCGCGCTTTATGGCGTATCCATGGCCGGATTTGTTTCTGGCACTCTGAGCTCTCGTTTCCTCTCCACTACGCTCACTTTCCGGGTTTGTGCTTGATTCCTCGTTGTCTTCCCCGTCCCTCATCCTCCTTTCTCTTCTCCACTCCTCCCCCCCCTTCTCATTGGCGGCCTTCCAAATGTCCTCGGTGTCGTGTGATCTTCTCCAGGTGTCCGCTTCCGTGGCAGTGGCCGCCGTGGTTTACATGAGGGTGTTCCTGACGGAGTTCGATAAGGCTAGAAGCGACGACATCGATGCGGATTCCTCGCGGTCGATCTTGGGGGCTAAGATTTCTGAGCCTGATGTTCATGGAGAGACACCGTTGCTATCCTTTACCAAGACTCCTTCAGTGTGGGACATGATCCACTTACTGCGGAGCAGGTAAGTTTCTGTTTTTCGTTCCCTGAAGTTATGATTTTCGCATTTCTACATGGGTGAGGAATTCTTGCTCTTATTTTAGTAAATGGTGAGCTTATAAACTATGCAGCACGACGGTTTCAAGAGCGGCAATTCTTGCATTTTTGAGCAGCCTTGGTGATGGAGGTCTACATGCTTCTTTGATGGTACCTTCCTGATGCTATAGATAAGAAACCACACACTGGAATTTATACCCAGAGTACAAATGTGAAATACATGCATTATATTACTGTTGTGTGAGATATTTTCTAACCACTTAGTTATCCTAGAAGACGAAAAAGAAGGAATTTTTTTTTCTTTTAAAGACTTTCGGTTGCCTTCAAAAAACCCGCATTAACCGATGATGAAATTACAGGATGTGCTCTAAGCCTTTCTTCAGTGGATGTTTCAGGTTGTTTGGGAAAATTTACTTCATAGGAAAGCTCGTGTATTTCTCCGAATTAACCTTTTATTTATTATTTTCTCCCATTTAATATCTCTTACATTCATTGCATGGGGTAAATACCTAGTAAGTAACCTAATAACATAGGGGAGTTAATAAAGTGGATCATTAGTAGATACAGATTTATAGGATGAATGCTTCTATTTTCCCTGCGTCTAGAGCTGTTATCCGTTTCGTATGTCTGCCTGCCCTTAAAATCCTGTCAGTCCTGATCAGTTATTTCCATCTTTTAATATGAGCAGTACTATCTAAAAGCACGGTTTCACTTCAACAAAGACCAGTTTGCTGATCTACTATTGATTGCCGGGACTGCTGGAGCTGTATCTCAGGTACGCTCACAGTACTGTACTCTATCATCCATGGCCTTGAAATTATTTTGTGGCTTCCTATTTCATCAGGAGTTTGTTTCATATTTTTTTCATTTATCGGTGTACATTGAATGAAAAATAATGATACAAATAAATGTCTATCAGCCTACGTTAATCTAGCATTATGAACCCTTTTTTTCATCTATTTCTAGCAGATTTTGTGCCCTCTTGTCTAAGATTCAATGTGTTCTGCAGTTGCTTCTAATGCCCATACTAGGGCCTTCTGTGGGAGAGGAGAAGCTGCTTAGCATTGGGCTCTTTGCAAGTTGTACTCATGTAATCTTCTTCTCCGTTATCTACCCTTTGATATTCTGTTACATTGCATTATTTCTTGTTGAGGGTCTTGGAAGAAATAAAAACTGGTGGGACTGATATGATGTTCTGTGGATGCAGATATTTCTATACAGCATAGCTTGGGCCTCTTGGGTAGTTCTCTCAGCCTTCACAGCCAATGTTTTCCATGTCATCATAGAGTACCTCTTTTCCATGCATCTGCTCATGATTTTTTTTTCATATAAACTTTCCGGCTTTATTTGATTGCTAATTTCTTTACATTGTTCCATGTTGTCAAATGCCTCCTAGAATACGTCTCTCTTATTACAATTTGCTTCATTTAGGAACCCGATCTATGCAAAAATTTGATCCTTCTTTTAGTGATGAACCGAATTTGGCATGCCACTCCCGTTTTTTCAAATAAGTATACAACTTTTTTTGACGTGGAAAAATGGAAACATACAGTAGCTAAGTGCACAATCCAGTTTGCCTTGTTCTTGTCCGAAGCGGATGGTTTTGCTAAAGCATGGATTAGATCTGGGGAAGTGACTATTAGCCCGTGTTTCTGTTGATAAAAAGATCATAGATGTCTTCTGGGATATTTTGTTAACCTTGTAAGCATTATTGAATAGTGGAAGGATGTTCTGACCTATCCAGTGGATGGGCAGAGATGACCAACCGTCAAACTTCCCTTAAATGCCAAATAAAAATTAATTATAGGTATTTGCCAACCTTACTCTTCTATGTAGGATTGTATCCGATGCCTTCCTTCATTTTTCAGTCCTTGAAGATGTCTGCACATAACCTGAATTTTTTAATATCCTTGAAGCACTTCTTCGATACGGATTATCATTCAAGAACGGGGACGTACTTATAGATTCATAATACTCCCGAATATCAATCCTTTTCGAACCATTACTTGGAAGTCATCCTTTTTAATTGGCTCCATCTGCATAGTGACATCTCCTTGTCTGACAGCAATTTATTCAACTAACTTTGCCCATGAGCAGGTCCCCTACATGGCTTCTATGTTCGTAGTCATGAGTATCTTCAGCCAACCCTGTGTAAGTTTCACATCTGTACATCAGCCAGAGACCCGAACATTACTTAGCCAAGCCTGAAACATATTCTTTTGTAGATAAGAAGCATCGTATCAAAGAAGGTTGGATGTGACGAGCAGGTATTGCTGCTCTTGACTTGTGATCTGTTGAGATAAATACTCTCCCCTGATTATTCCTTCACAAATTCTCGCAACCACAGGGAATGGCCCAAGGCTGCATCTCAGGCATACACTCCTTTGCCAACATCCTCTCTCCATTGGCCTTCACTCCTCTAACAGGTATCAGGGCGGAAGGCACCGAATAAACCCATTTTATTACTCGGAATTTTCCAGAAGTTAATGCCTGTTTTTATATGTTGCCCAGCTCTTTTCCTGTCGGAAAATGCGCCCTTTTATTTCCCTGGATTCAGCCTGATGTGTGTAGGATTCGTCTCGGTAAGCCATAATCTCCTCCAATTTGAGGTCTTCTGCATTGAAAACCCTGGTTTGACCGATATTCACTATCCCACCCAGATGATCGCCTTCATTCAGAGCATTGTGATGGTGAGGCCTGATTCACAAGATCGCACAGCCAGATTCGGCAGCGGCATACGACACTAGTGGGGGCTGTTCTACCTTTAAATCACTTCCCTTGGAGCAGCCTGGTGAGGTCCCTGCCAGAGGATTAAGTGGAGTGGATGGTGAACAAGTGCACACCGGGTTGACCTTCCACTAGTCTGCGCCATTGACCCTGAGAAGGGAGCTCTCATATGTTTCTGTCGGATGACCAACCCTTATTGTAAATAATTCTCTGTACATTTTTCTTCGAGGTGAGGTTTTCTTTGGGTTTTAGTTCCCCACATAAGAAGGGTTCAGAGATTGATGTGTCCTATTTTCCATAATTTTTCTTTCAAATAGTGAACGTTCGATCTTTTTGGTTCCTCATTTGAACCCGAGTTTGAAGATCTTCTGCTACAACCATGTTTTTTCATTTCTTGAGAGAAGTTGGGCTTCTTTAGACAAAGATTAAAAATGGTGAAGTGAATTATGCTGGGCACTTCCAAATTCAGCTGGAAAAAGAATAATTCATCGAGTTGTACGTTTCTAGTTGACTTTGATTTCTTCTCTGTTTGACAAGCACCTTAGAGTTTGAAGGTAAGAAGAAATGTTGAAGGTACCTTAGTTTCCTGGTCACTAGAGAGAGAGCTGTTACCCTCACGAAGAGAGAGAAAGAGAGAGAGAGAGAGAGAGAGAGAGAGAGAGGAAGGGGTGAAAATGAAATATATTAAAATGTAAAATGAATAATGCTGTGGATCGGACTAGAAACACCACCCTCACATGTGTGGAGAAAAGTCCGAAGTTTAAATAGAAAAAACATTTTCTCACTCTCAAACGGATTATTTACAACGTGAAGGGGTGGGTCTAGTATTTTTATCAGACCCTAGAAGATTCTAAACACTCATAGTTGAAAAGAAAATAAGTTGTGTCAGCATGACAAGTGAGAAGGTGTAAGAGGAGCCAGAGGATCTTTAGAATATGTAGTCACAACAATAAGTGATATTAATACATTCCTCAACATGTATCCATAATTTTTAAAACATAACCAATTATCTTTGAGATTATGTGTTCCTCTTATGTTGGTGAGTTTATGCCATCTATTTCCAACTTGAGAATATTCTATGTTGTTGTGTGCCAGAGGTACCTTTGGTAAACATGTATGCTAGTTAATTGTGTGTAGAGAGATATATGATGTAAAAATCAAATTTACCTCCAAGTTTTCTTTGATAAAATAACAAATCAATTTCCACTTACTTGGTACGATCATGTTGTACTAAATTATGCATGATATTAATTGTTTGATTGTTGTTGTAATAAAGTTTGTCAAAGAGATTTTTAACACATCAAAAGTAACTTGGGCAAGTGTCATATATTTTTCATGCTTATAAATGAAGGCTGAACAATATGAGAATAGTATAATACATTCTCAAGTTTTACCAAATTATACATCCAAATTTATTGAAAGACCTGATTATGTAGTGTAGATTTGACTTAATTCTCGAAGATAATAAAGTCATTCATGTTCCACAACACTTTTAATATTTTTATTGATTACCTTACTATATAAATCACATAGATTACTATCAATAACTACTCTATGCTTAATGTTATCAACTAATTTGTGAAAGGTTTAAGGACATATAAAATATTTCTAATTATACAAACGGAATCAGTCTTTACATTTCTTATACAAATTATAGTAATGAATGATTTATCAGCTGTGACTAATTTCCTAGTACTTGAGGAAATATTATGTGTTAAAAAATAGTATTAGTCATATTGTTGGTGGTCTTTGAATCTAAAACTCAATGTAGAAACTAAGGATTGGAAAAACTCATCAGAGTGGCTCAAGGAAATAAAAGACATCATAAATTTTAATTTCATGATCTCAGCTTTGAGACCTTTTCATAATATAGGTGTATGATAGGGTGTCCCTACAATCACCTTTCTTTTTCCCTTTGCTATTATCCTCTAGTAGACTTCTTGCTTCCTTATGTTTAACCACAAAGACTGAATTGTGACCATTTTCTGGTTCTATCATAATGTTCCTCTTATTTCTTCATTTCTTATTATTGAGATCACTTACTCCAAATTCGGAATCCTCTTTTTTGAGGAGTTGGTCAAACTTAATTAAATTCAATGGTGAGATCAACAAGAAACTTATAAATCGTGTTTATCTCTATATATTTAGATGAAAAGTATATCTTCTAGATACTTCTTTGTGATTGGTATGTATTTATCAGTTTTCTGCTATAAAGATTCCAACTCATTTGTATAAGGATTTTTTCTCTTCGCTGGTATGTATTTATCTTTGTTGTTACTCAATAGATTTGGGGTCAATAATACTTTTTTTGAAAATATTTTACTCTTTTTTTTCCTCAATATTTTTTAATTTTTGGAAGAAACAAGTGACTTACATTGATGTACTAAGTCATAGTGCTCCAAAGCGATGTTATGATAATTTCATCTTCCTCCTTTCATGGCTTGAATCACATATCTATTGATGTAGTCAACGGATCCAAAAAGTGAAATAGTTTTCCTCTACCTATCCTTATCACTTCATTAAGTTTATTATGTTGAAGTTTCTTTCTCCCATCTAATTTAAATCCGCATGGAATGGTTATCAGTTCTAAATATAATATAGAGTACTCTGAAGAATGTGATGACGAAGATCCAAATGTCAACGACCTCAGGTGTAAAGATAGTCGGAAGATAACATGCACAATGATCACCAGAAATAAGTCGGTGGAATAGATATTGTAATCTAGGGCAAACCAGAAACATCTGCATGTAATCGGCAGTGAGATCGGGCAAATACTGCCAAAGACATACTCTAGGAAGTCAAGAAGATCAGAACGATCCCACCTAGAATGTTCTGATACCATGTCAAAGGTGTCTTAGCTGTCGGCAGACAAAAAGCTAGTGAGAAGAGAGAGAAAGGGAACGGGAAAAAATAAAATATATTATTAACACGTGAAATAGATAACAAGTATTTATAGATGTCCCGAAGAAGTGGATCGACTCCTCTTAGCTTCACTTGAAGCCGAACCGGATCCAATGTGGTGGGAAGAAAGAAGGGTGAAAAACAACACAACACAGAGAAGAAGGGAATAAATTCAATTAACAGAAAGTAACTGGTACGCGTATAATCTATCCATTTTCCAACGAGGGAAGGTCCACGAGGAGTTAGTTGACGGTCACCTTCCCCACCATCCCGGCCCCTTGATGGGGAGCGCAGTAGAAGCTGTACGTGCCCTTCTCCTTCAAGACCACGCTGTACTCGTCGCCGGCGGCGTTGAGCAGGTCCTCCTCCGACATGGAGATCTCCTCCACCTTGACCCCCGACGGGATCTCGTCCGGGTCGAAGACGACGTTGTGGGGGAACCCCGCATTGTTCTTGAAGGTGATCTTCTCGCCGGCGGGCACGCTGAACTCCTGCGGGACGAAGGCCAGCGACCCGTCATCCCCACCGAGCTTCACATCCATCGCCAGCGCGCTGCCAGCCAGCACCGCGCTCGCCGCCGCCGCCGCGACGACGCCCGCCGCCGCCTCCCTCAGTGAGGCCCTCACCGGCGCCGCCGCACATCTGCGCCCCGCCGCCGCCGCCGTCGCCGGCCGGGCCCTTAGACCGGAGATCCTGTGGGTGGACACGGCTGCTGCTGCTGCTGCGAGGCTCGCCATGGTACTTCGCCGCTGCGGCAGCTGCCGCCATGAATGATTGATATATAGCGGAGACTTATACGGCCGGCGGCGGAGGAGCTAATCCGGCCAACGGATGGCGGAGGCCCAAGTCCACCCGTTCTAGGGATATTTCCGACGTGGCAACGGGCTGACTCGGAGGGCCGGTCGACTGGGCAGAAAGAGAGTAGTACAGCTTGTACTGCACGCTCTTCGTCCATCCAATGGAGCTGGCCGCGTGGCTACCGCAATGGCCTCCACGTGTGTGGAGAGGACGCAGCGACGCCGTTTGTGGACTGCGCTGACTCACTCTAGACCTGAAGTGTATATAATTTAAAAGCAAATAAATAGTTACGATGCTAATAAAAAATATGGCTATCTTGAAGCAAGCACTTCAATAATATTTTATGTTGATTATTTAGTACACGAATAATTACGTCGATTTTATAAAAAAATATTCAATGAAATGAAGAAAAAAATATTAACATAGCCGATATGACAAGCAAGTACTTCATTATTATTTTTTATTCATTATTTAATCATGAATAATTACGTCTATAATTATAAATATTATTAAATTAAATGAAGAAAAATTTAACATATGAGGTATGACAAGCAACCACAGCATTATTAGTTTATATTCGTTATTTAGTCCACAAATAATCACGAATAATTACGTCGATATTTATAAATATTATTCAATTAAATGAAGAAAAAATATTAACATGGGAGATATGACAAGGGGGGCAGTGCCTACTTGGTCATTTGGATAAAATTATTCGGGTAGTGTATTTTTGAGAGCCCTAGGGGGTCTTGTCGAAACTGACGCGAACCGAAAACAATCCGGAGCAGGACTCGAAAGGACTCGATAAAGATTCGATGCCATTGCTAAACCGACAAGAAAACGGGCCAAACCAAGAACCGATAATGTGACCGAATCCTTACCGTTACAGTGGTTATACTTGTCATTCGGGTGGCCGCCCGAAATACGTCCGCGGTTGTCTGCAAATCGAGGGTTTCGTATTTCGGGGGGGAGAGAGAGGGAGAGAGAGGAAGAAACCCTAGATCTCTTCTCCCCATCCTCCTGAGGAGCGTTCGCCGTCTGCTTCTTCTCATGGTGCGGCCTTCTTCTTATCTGTTGCCCTTTCTATGTTCGTTCTGTTTATCTCTTTTTTGGCTGTGAGGTGACGACGAAGTTTTTTTTCTTTTCCCCGTTGTTTTCTGCAGGCAGATTCGCCCCGACGAAGGTAAATCCTTATGTACTTGCCTTGATAAGTTATTTTTGTTCGGTTTTTCTTCATGATGCGTGTCTTCTGCCGGCATAGAGGATCTCGTTCTCTTCCTGAAAGCGGGATCGACGAAGAAGGATACTTTTTCCTATGTCAGATATTGGGCTTGATCTATTCATGGGGGACGCATGGCGGACTTGGGAATAGGACCAGAGGATCAGTAGTAATAGGGCAACTCACCGTTGAGTAAAGCACTCATAATAATTGTTAAGAGTTTGAGAACTAGTAAACGCATCTCGCCACCTAAGCCGAGGACAGAAACGGGGCGCAGGATACCCAGTTGACGCTTATTATTTTCTAAATTGGTTTTTTTTGGCAATCTAAATTCCTATATACAAATCTGTGTGAATGTTGCCGCCCATGAATAACTGGGAGAGTATCATGCTGGTCTTGGATTTAGCATCTGTTTAAGATGTTGTTCTTCACTTTAGGACTTTGGTACTTATTATTTCATACATGAACAATGATGTTGCCTTGAAAAGCAGGGTAATTATGTTTAAATAAGTTTATGATGCAATTCTGTTATGGTCCGAAATCTGTTTAAATTTTTTGAATCCAATTATAAGTTCCTAGTTTTTTTTTCCTCTCCTGTTCCTTCCCGTTGGTGTCTAGTAAAATCGAAATCCCTCCAATACACCTATTCCTGTACTTGTGTCATATTTTTATTGATATTTTTAAAAAAATTATCATGCTTGTTTTTATACCTATGAATCAGCAGATTGATATTTGTAAAAATCCTTGGGTAAATATGTCAAAGATGGTCAAGACTTGCAAGAGACTAAATGGGGAGGGTTTTAAGCAGTAAATCTTAATCTGTGTAGACAATTGAGGCTACAGCTCTGTAGAACCCTACTTGGATGACATAGCTTGGGTACTTGTCCTTGTAATGATGTATAACCTCACATCATCTTGCCAAGAGACTCGAGGCGGTGGATATATATATCAAAGATGACGCTGTTTTGACTGTACAGGAGATGGCAAGGAAACCAGATCCTGGACAAATGTCTTTGTCAAGTCCTACCTTTGTCCACTTAAAACATGGAAAGCATGTAACTAAACTACTCCAGGAAGGTCGTAAAACTTAATGCTTCTCATATCATTGTTACAAAACACCCATTTCCAGTGCTTCCTTCCTTGCTTGAAAAGGGTTGTATCTTTTTCTAACCTTATTTTGCGATCTTTTGCGTGCACAATATTTTGTGTCATTTTATCATTATTATAAATTTGTCTCAGGCCCAGTTCCGCCTCCCCTAACAAGGGTCGTCCAAGATCCCCATCACCTTTGGGATCGCCATCAAGGTCTAGGGCAAGGGCACGGTCCAAATCCCGATCTCGATCACGTTCAAGATCTGGAAGCCGTGGGAGGTTTGTTTCAAGTCCAGTGCTAGCTTTAGCTTACTTGATTTACTCCAGTAAGTGTGATATTGATCAGTAGATGATATGTATTTCTCTCCTTGACTCAATTCGGCAGGAATGAAACATTGAACCCGGGAAATACTCTGTATGTGACTGGTTTGTCCACCAGAGTCACAGAAAGGGACCTTGAAGATCACTTCTCCAAGGAGGGAAAGGTTACTATATTTGGTGAAAATGTGCCTTGCTTCAGTTTATCACCCCGGATGGGGAACGGAAGCCTTACCTGTACTTGGGTGGTTTTTTTTTTTTTTTGTTTTTTGTTTTTTTGGTGCAGGTTGCACGATGCTTTTTGGTTGTTGAACCCCGCACACGCATCTCCCGAGGTTTTGCTTTTGTAACCATGGACAGTGTTGAGGATGCAGATCTGTGTGTCAAATATCTCAACCAGTCAGTGTTGCAGGGACGCTACATAACTGTGGAGAAGGTATCATCTGATCCAGCTTTACTGTAAAGATGCTTTGTATTTAGGTCTTCCATGTGGTCTCCTTTTTTAACTGAGGTTTCTGGTGATATTCAGAAGACAATTGCGTCAGCTTTGTTGGCAGCAATCGAGATGAATGGCACCGTTCATCCAATTTCAACTTATAAGTTCATACAGCTTGATGAATGGTCTCCAGCCTAACAGTTATTTCATGCATCACATCAGCCATACATAGCAAACTTTGCCCAACTAAACAACCTCAGCACTCACCTTCAACTCTCTGAACAACTAATCAACGGACATTACCAATGTGGTTTCTCCTACGTAGGGAGGTTTGATCTGGTAGTGCTGCTACATATATATAAGTAAACTTTTGCCAAGATGTTAAAACCCATGCTGCTCTGTTGCCTTTTCTGTCTAACCGGGGTTACCCCCCTCCCTTCCTTTGTGTTCTGTTCTTACTGATGCTTTAGCCAACTCTTACTGATACTGCTCGTTTCTGATGCTCTGCTGGAAGCTATTGAAGTTGGTTTTTGGACATTTCCAAATCAGTTTTTTGCTAATTTCAGTCGAGGAGGAAACGCCCCCGGACTCCTACTCCAGGGAATTATCTTGGCCTGAAGAGCACCCGCGAGACCAGTGAGTTTTGTTTCTTGCTACTAAATAAGCACACCGCCGCTTATATTTATTGCTCCCTAACTCTGGTTTTATCCCTTGCAGGCTTCCGTCATGATCGGGGCAGGCCCCGTGGGGGCGGTGGACGTGACGAGTTTGGTGGTGGGGGCAGCTACCAAAGACGATCGCCATACAGAGGCGGCCGTGATTACTCCCCTCGACGATCCCCCTACTACGGCGGCGGCGGCGGCGGCGGTGGCGGTGGCGGTGGGTCAAGGAGAGAACGCTCACCCTACTCTCCATACAGGAGCCCAGACAGAGGCTATGGACGCCGTCCACAAATGTATGGGCGATGAGCCTCGTCGTCTGCGGATCTCGCCCCTCAGCTATCCTTCTGTTGCTGCTCCCTTTCCGTGAGAAACAAACCGGGGGCTTAGGCTCGAATTCCCCTTTAACTGCCGTGGCGGTCTTTGGTTGTCAACTTTCTTGTAATGCCCAAGGCTCTGTGACCCTCCTCCTCTATGTTTTGCTTTTAGGAAAAAGACTGAGAATTCATCCACGAACTCTGAATGTCAGCGTGTATTTGGTGTTTTGTGTTTGATCTCCTCTACTAGAAGAGCTTCCATCCGTTTAACAGTGGAACAGGGATTTTGATGCATGCATGAATGGGGTTGCAATTGTTTGTTTGATATGTGGGCAGCAAGCAGGCAAAAGTGAATTATATTTTCTTCTTCTCACGACTGTACATTTTTCCCGGGATATCAAATGCCCACGAGGAGACTGTCAGCTCAAAACCCTCCCAGACCCACAGCATACTGCCCGTAGGAAATTATACAAAAAGAGCTCCAATATTTCCGGAGAGAAAGATAGTTCAGCGTGCGCGTACCTCCTAGAACCAGGCCATCCACCAGATGTACATCTTTCCAAGGTTCTTGTGGGAGACTGCTTCGGCAATTAGACGCCGGGCCTGCCCCTCCACAGCCAAGGGCAAGGAAGGTGCGGCGCCGACACCGACCACAACTCCCTCCAGCCTTGCCTTTATGTTGCTGATGGCCCTCTGAAAATTCCAGGCAGTGAGATCATGTTTAAGACAGGGAGAGTACTTTTTCTGGCAACAACATCTTCTGGGTCAAACTGGCTGGTAAAATAAGGGGAGAAAGGAAGAAAAAGGTAACCTGCGCGTGGGGGTTCTGGACTTCAACTCCGCTGGATTTGTGGGATTTCGTCCACTCGACGAGGGGATCGTGGATGAACGTCTCGAGAACGCTCACGAGGGTCTCTCTGTGGGCCCTGAGCACGGAGAGGCTGATCTCACAGACCTTCAAGAAGACACCCTCGTAGCCCGTGATGCCCAAGCCGTCGATCATGTTCTGCACATTCCGATGAGCAACTGCTAGTCAACAATCTCGCACATTTGATGAGAGATTACGAATGGATTCTCCTTCCCCTCTCACCTGGGTCAGCCTGAAGGGCACCAGCTCGGGCTTCTCCAGCTGCAAGCCCTTGTCAAATAAGCAGCTGAAATCCACATGGACGCAGTCGCCGGTGGTCGAGTCAAACAGTATGTTCTCGCCGTGCCGATCCCCCAGGCCCACAATGTGCCCGACCATGGACCAGACTGCCGCTGTATGCGCGTACGCCACCCGAGCCCGGAACCAGGCCACTGGCTCGGAGAAGGTGGTGATGAACCATTTGCGGAAAACCGGAGGGAACATCGGGAGGATCTTGGTCTTGAGCATCTCGTCTTCCGGCATTTTACCCTGGCACTGGTCATATATGCGCTTGATCTGCGGATTTGTCTTCATTCGGTCGAACTTCCCGCAGGTTATGTAGATATCCTGCAGAATGTGGCGAAGCCCGCGAGTGTGGGGCACCCATTCCACCATCCCGCAGTCCTCCGTGAGGGGGATGACGGCAAAGGTGCGGATGTAGAGGTTCCTCCGGCGGCTTTCTGGGAATTTAGAGAGAAGACGGTTGATCATTGCGGTGAACTCCATCATGCGTGCATCTTTTCGAAGGTCGTCCTTCGGCTTGCAAAGAAACGGCCGGTGGATGCCATCGCTCCCAATGAAGACAACCTGGAACATTAGGTGTTTCCGCTTCGTCAGGTAATCTAGAAGAAGCAGTATGCGAGGACTAATTCAATCAAGATCGTGAAATATATTCCCCAGATGAGATAGAAAAAGACCACGCTTACGATGAAGGTATCTATATCATGTCCATGAAAGCACTTATGGGGTACTTTCTACTTGCATGCATATATGAAAATTAGGGCAGGCACATGCATATATGAAATCCCCGGAGGTAAGTACAGGCTAACAAGATCAAAATCGAAAACACAAGTTTCGTACATTTTGAAGTGTACTTTACAAAAAGTTTTTCAATGTTGCACCTTCTTTGGTCGTTGCAGAGATGAAAGGATTTCAGCCTCATCTGTGATTCCTGATATTGAAGCAAGTTGCATATCCGAGAAGACATCACACTGAGGAGGGTCTGCAAGGTCCGCCCCACAACTAGGTAAGGTGACAGTCAGGGCTTGCTGCACAGGCATGATGACTCCAAGAGGCATCATCCGCTTCAGAGAACTAAATTCGGTCAATATGTTGACTGCTCTGGCCTTTGGCTGTCCAGGGTGGAAGCACAGTTTGATCAATTGATCAACTAGACTCCCAAATTGACCAAACAAATTGCTGGTATCACTACCACTCCTGAAACCTCTTCGTGCAGCTAGGATTATCTCAGAAGCAGCGTCCCGTCTAGCGGCCACAGTAGATTTTGAAACGGCGGCCATCATCCACAGAGCTTGCTGTGGATATGCCTGTATTACTGAAGTAATTATAAGCTTCACAACTCGAACAATGTCCTCATTTTTATGGCATATGCGAGAGATCAACTGGGAGAGAACTGTTAGCCACTGATATGCTGGCAAATCCTTTAGGCAACCCCGCAGTATGCCCATAACCTAACCAAAAAAAGTAAACAAGAAAGAAAAGGTAAGAACAACTGGAACTGGCAGGCATATTAAAACCTTCAGGTAAAATGATGATACGACTCTTAGATAGATACTACCCTTGTGTGAACACTTTTCAAGGGCTTATTAGAAAGTAGTGCCTCTCTATGACATATGGTGCCAAACTCAAACCACAAGGTCAACAATCTCGGCAGGGCCTGGAAGAGATTCTTGTGCCCCCTGTGAAGTCCCTTCGCATAATAGAGCAAAACTTCGGGAAGATAAGACCACCAGGGCTTCTCTTCGGTCACAGAATTCAAGGCAAAGCCACCACCAGAAGAATTTGATGGAATATTGTCATGCCCGGAGTGGGTATGGAGATTTTCTTCTTGACGCTTCCTGGCATCCATGAGTAGATCATCATAGTATTTGGCCATAAAGAAGTATCCCTTCTCCCATCTGGGCTGCAACTCTCTCACTCTAGAATAGAGACTTATCACATCTTCTTTTTGCTTTTGGCCTGTGTGATGGATCCACCTAGTATATAAAAGGATCATTTTGGCTACATCCTGGTCTTCATTTGATGCTTCATTGTGACTCAATGGTGGATTCGGTAGAACGAGGGAGAGACTATTAAGCGACATCACAGTAGAGGCACCCAAAACTTCAGCAGGAAGGTTCAAAATTGATTGCTGCAGTTCAGCAATAGCACAATCAGACTTTCTAGTACTCCAGAGGAGTTTCGCTTTCTCCATGTGAACACACGCTACACCGGAAGCCTGTGCTTCTAAAATTGCGCGATGTGCTGTCTCATAGTGACCAGCAGAACGGCAAAGCTTTGCATACTGAAGCCAACAATTTCCAACCTGAAGACCCATGTTACTGGCATTAAAGACTAATCTGCGGAAAGCCAACAAAGGTTCTCTGGCCCAGAGTGACGCTTGTGTGATCTTTAGGCGATCATCCCAGTATTTCATCACTTTTGAGAATTTTGGCTCATCTGAATGAAATGATCTTTCTAAAAATGACTCGTCCCCCAAAACAGCGTGGAAGTCTTCCAATTCACATAACATATGAAGCTTCACGACAAATGGATATGCACGGATGTAAGAATCCATACCAGCTGCAGCCAAAGGTACAAGCAAAGCTTGTTTGCACTGAGCTATTCTCTCAGAAATCGCAAACCGGTTTTTCTTCATCATTGCCTGAAGAATCTTGGCGAGGTCCATTTCAAAGGAAGCACTACTCTCGGATCCATTACATAATAATCCTTCGTTAGCAGCTCCACTAAGATATTCCTCCATCAAATCCCACCGCCCGAGCCTCCAAGCTGCCTGCACACCCTGCATGCACCAAGTTTTCTTGAACTGAGGTATCCTAGAAATCAATCCATCCACATGAGTAACCATAGACTGAAGGTGGCACATGTTCAGGAAGCAGTTGAGAACATCAGAATGCCTCTGAACTGAGGTAGGCTCCATTTCCAGAGCCTGCTCGCAAGAAGTTAGGACTTCTGCCCAGTTTCCGGTCTTTTTATTAATTAGAAGTTGATCCTGAAGACTAGGTGATTTGCGCAGACTTGCCAAACCGGAGAGACCATCAGGCTCATCCATTCCACTGTAGATCTCCATTAAAAATGAGATGTCTCCATCAGTAAAGACGCCACTTTGTTCAGCTGCCGGATTGAAAGATCCTGACATTTCACGTACATATGATTCAAAGTATAGCAGAGCACGAGCATAGGCTTGGCAACGGAAAGAGGCTCTTGCAAGGGTAACCTTAGGAATTGCAGACAATAGTTCAGAAACATAACCACATTGGATCAGGAGGTTATCTGCATCACCAAGCGGTTCTACAAGGCTTTTTCCTTTGAGCTGTTGCTTAGAAGCCTGATGAGACTGCGATAGAGCAACTTGTTGCTTGAGATCATCCACCCATTGTCCTAGATTATCCAAAAGCGTGAATACAACCTGGACGCAGACCTCACCCTGGCCAACAGCAGAACCATAAACTGCACTGCCACAGTTCTCAGAAGCTGCGCCGTTAAGCACAGAGAGTATCTCCTGAGTTATACTATGGCGTGCCTCCACTGTACCATGGCATACGACATTTAGAACTAGATAAGGTAGCAAATAAACGGCTGTCTGCATGTCATGTCGCACTATACCACGGCAAGCACTAAAAATACTCAAACGGGACCCAGTAGAGTTAGCAGTCAACTTTCTTACCCAAAAAAATATCCATCTTCTAAATGACATCGAAGAACGGTAAATAGGGCCCGCAGATGTTGGGTCAGTCACACTTGGAAGTTGAAATCTAGATGTCAAACAAGGAGCGATTATATCCTTCACGTAATTAGAAAAACGATCCCACAACCTCTCACCCCTCCTTTCCATATCATTAAAGTAGCCTACATCTATTCCCTCAGAAGTCTCTGCTGATTCGCCCTGCAACTTTCCATCTAAAGATGCCTGGCAACCAGCAATCTTCAGCAGCTCTTGTATAGCCAAAGCGGCAGAATCTTGGACAACAGTCTCCGAGGCAGCTCTAAAAGCCCTTGCAAGATGCTTGTGGATCAGCTCAAAAATAAGATCATCGTCAGAGCATTCAATCTTGAAACGTTGAGAAGAAACCCCTACGAGACATGAAAGCCCCTTGAATTTATCTGGATCGACAGCACCAAGAGCTCCAAGGCAATCTGTGCACACCAACTTCAACTGCTGGCCCACTGTAGTCCTAGATTCCTCTGCACAGCCTCTAAGTAAGGATGAGATTAGAGAGCTCACCACATCCAAATCTGCAAATGCTTCACCAGCAATCAAAGAAGTAATATCCTCTCTCCTAGAATTCAAGAGTTTGCTTAATTCACAGGCCACCATATGCCTAACATTCAAGCTTTCATGTTTTAACCCATCAACAGCATCTCGTAATTGATCCCTCAGAGTCATTGAGCCACGTGCTTCCTGTATGACCTTATTTACCTTCGATAAAGCAGGAATATTGGGCAGCAAAGGAAGTTCTCTGATTTGTTGTTTCAATATTGAGCAATTTTCAACAATAAGCTCTTCCAGTATCTCACCAATTTTGTTCAAGTGCAAAGATGGTTTCTCTGGATATCGTTCCAAGCAAGGGATAAATGCAGCGACAACTTGAGGAATGACATGTTTCGTGCTGGAAGGTGAAACCTTTGTCAACTTTTTAATAAAAGAGTGCAACACTTCAAAACCCTTACCTTGAAGGGGTTCCTTCTCTATTGCATGCAACACAAGAACCATAATCTTTGGCAGATACGTGCTAAGCTGTGGTCCCATCATCTCTATCAAATCCTCTATTCTCTTTAGGGCTTGTTTTTGCATCTGTATATCTTCTGAATGAAGCATTTTCCTGTCGATACTATTGAGAAGGCCAACAAAATGATTCTTCAAAAACCCCGGAAGGTCATTAGTACCTGTGAGGATTCTAGCAACCTGCTGAATCATTCGTGGGACTCTGTAGTACAAGAGCAACCCAGCGTCAGATACTATGACATGTTATAATAATGGTATGAGAAGAAAAGAATACCTTCTGTGAGGTCCATCCAGATCTTCATCTTCTATGGAGCACACAAGCTCATCAAGAAGTGCAGGTAATGCTGCAGAAAAAATTTCTTTGCTATCTGATCCAGTTTGCACGTGATAAAATTGCAAGGCTGAAGATAAGTCATCTCCATCTGCATGAAGAAGGGCAAACGCCAGTACTTTTGGCAAGCAATTAACAATCAAGGGCACTAAATCCGTGTTTAAATATTTTGCCAACTCGTGCATGATAAGAATGGCTTGTTCATTGTTCCTTTGAGAAAGAACAAGCTTAGGTACAATCACAGGAACCATTCTACAAATAAGATCCTCAGTTTTAACCCCAAGAACCACCTCTGCGAATTTTCTAATCACTTCACGGCGACTGAGAAATCCTACACAAAGATGTTCAAACAACTCCTCAAGAATATGACCAAACTTGGAAATAAATTGTTCAAGTCCACATTTAAGACGAATATTGCAAGACCTTTGGATTAAATTTAATGCAGTTGTTTGCACAGTAATGTGCCAACTATCAAGATGATCGACCAACAAAATAAGTGATTCAACAAAGAGATTATCATGAATGTCAACATAACTCATAACCTCTGAGACTGATAAGAGAAGAGTTTCATGGATTTGTTGATCCTCAGATTCCAAAAAGGCACGCTTCAACCTTCTAAAAAAGTTCTGACCAGCTTTATTGTTTTCATGACCCTCAGAAAACAAGCATTCCAAAATTCGACCCTCGAGGAAGCTGCTGATCTCTCTAGAAAATGCTTCTCTAACAGACTTCCTACTATGGAGAAGCAAGAAATCGATGCATTTTATCCATGTAGCTTTTGTCTCAAAAAGTATATCTCCGGTTACATGCCCCAATATTCTGGGCATTACGCCAACAGTTGCAATTTGAACCTCCTCAGATGAATCATCAAACACGAACTTAAAAAAGAGAGTCTGTATTTCAACAATATCAAAATCAGGCACGACATCATTGAAATGCCTCGGCGCATACAAGAGTCTGTCATCCCGGTGCCTTTTCTGTCTAACTCCGTTACACTGAGAGCACCAGAAACCTCTCGTAAGAAAGTCATGCGTCTGGAATTGCCCTTCATCAGAGTCAGTTAAATATAACTTACAGGAACTTCCGTCCGTGCTATTCAATAAGCTGTGTAAACATGACAAGTAGCCGATTGACAGAGGAACAAATCTGTGAGCTTGATTTTCTTTGTCGGTCCTCCAAATCCTGAAAATAAGAAGCAATAAATAGAAGCCTAGATAATATGGAAGCTAGCCACCATATGCAGCATCATCTTGCCAAGTGTAGAAAGCATTAAACCATTATCAATCAAAATCGCAAGAAGTGGAAACAAGCAGTCACATATAAGACAATCTGAAGCTTTTTGTAAGGAGCTTCCAGATACGAATACTGAACCTGGAAAATAGAGTTTGTTCTCCAGAGGGCCATAGAAGAAGTTAAAGTAGAGAAAGCAAGGTTATGAACAAGAAGTTCGCAGGAGAGCATAACGGAAGATGTCAATATAGAAGACTGAGATAAATAATGGAATAATAAAAATTAAAACAAATACAGAAGGGTAACACCAGATGCCTATAATCAAATAGAAGAATAAATCTTCATCTAAACTGGAAACAAACGAAATAGCCCTCTGCAGACAGCCATGAGACTTTACATACAAAAGTCACCCCTCCTGTCCGAGGGTCCTTATGATTGCTTTCATATCCTTCCAAAGCACTGCCAATCTTTAGATCAAATAAAATATCTCACACAGGAAAATCATAATGAGATCCATGGTAGCAAAGCATGCAGCCTCAGTATGATTAGTAAACGTATTTTCAAAAATGATGGTAACAAATATTATATGTTCAAAATATCAATATATTGATAAAACATCTCTTTGGATGATCAGGAATACATGCTAATCAACCAAGAAAGAAAAGAGCGGGAGAAAGGCCCTCACATGGGCACAATTAAATAAGTAAAGCTAAAAGTTTTCCACCCCTCTATTACCTCAAAATATAATTATTTCGAAGAGCAAGATGACATAACTCATCTATGCCTAAATAATAGTTCATTCCTAGAAGCCAGCGCTGAATGCCAGGGCTGGTTATGCCTGTAGTGTCATATGTATACAGGCTAAAGCCTCAGACAAATTTTTACAGCCATTAAAATGATAGAAACCATTGAATTGTTCACCAGATTCCAGATCCTTCCTTATCTGGCTTCTTATTCTTGTATGCACACACAGACGTATGTATATATATGTCTACATGTGTTTACATGCATAAGGCATACACACAAAGACAGCAGTCCAAAATCATGACTATCTACAAAACCTGTCAAAAGGAAAATTGACTTGAACGGACAAAAGTTGTCTCCCCGTAAATGACTGTCATGAACTTGGTCGATGAATTTATAGATGCAACACAGATGGTCAAGACAGAGGAGAGATGTGAGTCACACAATTTTGTATGTAAAGGGGGCATTCAGAGGTAAAATATCGTCATAGGGAGTTCTCACTTTTTGCATGTAGTCGTCTTTTAGCATGATTCCAACATAAATTATCTCATATCCCATACCATGTTTTCTGTTTAATATGAAGGAATACATTCCCGACCTGGTATATACCATAGAAACAAACGAAGCATAAAAGCAGATGAACTTTAGAAACATTTCTGGACTAAAACTAACAAAAAGAAAATTGAGAAAAAAGACTGCGATACGTCGGGACTAATCCAGATGTAGAGGGTCATGGGGAGGATGTTTGGATCTGTTAATGAGTCAATTATAATATAGACCTAATATGCCCACACTGTCTTGGACTAGTGTATTAGTTGCCATTTAGAATGTGGGCTCATTAGGCCCATATTAGGTTTTATGCTGTACTCTACCCTCCTTTCTCTTAAGGCCACGATTAAACAGATTTTCCCACTTAACATGGTATTAGACGTTAGGATTCAACTTCCTAGGATTTCTCAAGATGCCGCCACTTCTACCACCACCCTTCAGCCTTTCCATTTACGACGGCCAAAGGGGAACCAGTGGCTCACTCATGTACTGCCAGAGTGTTGTAGCCCTGTATCACTAGTCTATCTATCTTGCCAATGTCACCACCTGGCTTTTTTCCTTCATCTTACCTCCTCTTCTCTCTCCCCTCTCTGGCCTCGCTCACTGTTGAAAGCCGACCATCCATAACCATTGGCACACGTCTTCATGAGACATAGGTTCTTCTACGTGCAATTCTTCTCCTTCAAGACATGAGGCATTATGGGTCAGATCCGAGCCACAGGCTCTTATACGAGCAATTCTTCTCATTCAAAAAACAAAAGGGAGAAGAAGTCATGTAGAAGACCTTGGTGTGCCTTGAGGCTGATGTCTTCCTAACCAGGCTCTACATTCTCTCAAAATAAAGTGCTCCCGCCAACTACTTGACGCTTGTCAACTGCACCACTGTGCTCCTCAACAGAAGACCCTTCAACACAGACTTCTCCCAACTGTAACAAGTGGAGCAAATTCGATATGCAAGGCAGACCTTCAGGCGGTTTTCCAGCGAATCCATTAAAATATATACCAAAAAGGTCAAATTGTCATTTAGAATGCAACTAATCCCTCCTCTCTCTATATATACAAAATACGTGAAGATGAAGTGTCAATTGATTTTCTCCGTTTATACAAAAAGATTTTCTCCTTTTATTTTAACATCATCATCAAATCACAAGTGCGTGCTTGACTATAACCCAACCGCAAAGATGATAAGCAGAAGCATCAGTTTCATCTCTGTAAGCATACCCTTACTGGAGACAGAATCGATAAGATTCAAAAGCAAGTCAGTTTCGGTAACAAAACTTATAATCTAGTAAGCATAATCTAAATACAAGTGAAGCAAATGGACTTACTCCAGTCTCCTAAAACAATGTTCAAGCAGACATCCACCAGAATAGAACACAATCACTGGCATTGAAATGACAGCCTCAGCTCGAACCTCTTGGTCTTTATCATGGAGGGCCAACTCCAGAATTTCAAGATATCTCTCTACGGTATGGTTAGCTCTGATCTTCGAGAGAATCTGAATACATAAGCATTTGATCTTCGTGATATGATGGGACTGACCAAAAACAGAAGGTTGAACCCACACCAATTTCTCCAAATTGAGGACATCTGTGCGATCAGGAGTGTCAACACTAATATTTCCCTCATCATTTTTGTAATCATCTTTGAATATTTTCACATTCCCAGGGAAAGCGGCTGCATCAATACTATCTTAAATAAATAAATAGGAAAACTATGAGACTGTACACAAATTAAATGGTCCAATAAGGGTAGAATTAGATAAAGTAATCACAAATAAAGTATTTCATGCGTTAACCTCTCCTTTCAGGATAGGCTATCAAATCTAGAAAGAGTGAAACTCAGATTCACCTTGAAATAGCAATATGCCATGAACTGCCTCCAAATAGAGCGGAACATCAAATTTGAGAGAATTACCGTCTTTTACCTACACAAGGACACTACTCTTCAGTACAGTATACAAAGAACAAGCAAATATGAAATGTGATTAGAATAACTAATCAGAATCGAAATTTTGGCAAATTTCATGGACCTCATTGCAAATCCAACGCATCCAGCAAAGAGCTTGGCAAAAAACAATAGTTGACAAACTGGTTGGCTGATAGCTACAGAACACAAGAGAGAGCTTGCTGAGAGCCATTATTGCAATTTCTGGTTTCACATGAATGTCCCTGATGTAACCAGGTCTCAGAAAGTCAATAAATGACAAAAGCAATCTTCGCATGTCATCTGCAGAGTCTATTCTTGGATCACGTGTTAACGAACAGATACCCTCGGCATCCTCATGAATATCTGCACTGGAAAGGGTTTTACACTCATCTCTCCTTTGGCGTTTATGCTTCAAAGTAGAAATGTTCTGGGACGGTCTCTTTTGTCCAACAGAAGTTCTAGCAAGTGCACCACTTTCCAAGGATAAATCCATATCACAATCAATACGAGCACCTTCTCCAATCAATTCAGAACCAAGTATACCAACAGCAACCTTGATGCAAATAATTAATGGCGGGCAAGATTTATCAGAATAAAGCAACTTTACAAGAATGCCTGGTCTCCAAATATGTATAGAGCAAATTTTAGCAATGCGAACATATGCATTGCACAATGCTACCTGGAGAAATATGCCAGTCAACACTCTACACTGAGTATAAAGATGATAAGACGAAAAAATAATATTTCCAACGGGAAAATTATTTGAGAAATAAAAGAACTTGGTGAAAGAACATTGAACCTTCAGCTCTGAACTTTCTGTTTTTAATATTGATTTAGCAAAAGCAGTGACCACATCATTAGCAGTGGATTCTACGACGTCATCCAGAACAGCAGAGTGAAGCACATGAAAGCATGCACCTACAGTTGAATCATACTCCGAAATCCTGTGAGATCACAAAAGAAATGTCTCTGAGGTTATTCCACAAAATTAGATTTGAAGTGAGAAGGTGTCTGAATTTGTCCGTTAGTCATAGGAGGGGAATCAGAGAAAAGCATCTACAACGGTATTAAAGAAATAAGAAGCAATATAATTATCAGAAACCAACCAATGAGGATATCATTTTCCAGGAATAATCAGCAAAAGCCATAGATCGAAATATTGCATCCAGAAACCACCGGGAACACTTGAACACAAGCGTGGGAACATCCACTCAGGAAAGCTCTGCAGGTCAAACATATATGGGGTACTCAAAAATTAGACTCTAGATTGTGGCAAAAATTAAAGTCGAATAAAATAATATTGAACACTGGTGATTCGGATGGATACACGAACGGAGTGGGACATGAAGCCGGAAGCAATGGGCATGAACAGGTAGGATGAAGACAGGATGAGTCGTGACAAGCAGGATATAGAAGGTTCTCGTTCGACTGCTCCTATCATACATCCAGACGCCCATCTCCCTTATCAAGGAATAGAATCAGACCGGGCGTAGAAAACTGTACAACACCACTAGTGCAACACCATTATCAAAACAATCCCTAGCGAATTTGGCCATAGAACACCGTTGAAAATCAAGAACACACAACAGACGGCAAGAAACAAAGGACATAAGGTACCAAGGAATCATGGATTGGAGAAACTAAACAAGAACCAATTTCACCTTTTGCAAAGTTTGTCTTGCTAAAGATAGTGAAGCTAAAAGATGGAGATCGTTTTGGACCAAGAATGGACTGGAGGAGGACACAAAACTAATATTTCAACAAATCAACGACTACTTACAAAAAAATCAGAGATCCCATTGTCAAATTCATTCATAGGAAAGAGAGAGGAAGAAAAAAGAAGGTGACTAGCTCAGTGCTAAATGGTTTAGGGAATAAGTGAGCAGTTCTTTTTTAACGATTATTGGAATTTATTTGAGGCATAAAGTACTCTTTTTTATTTAAGGAGATTGTCAACGGGCAACTGCAAACAGCAGTGGTGTACATCATCGTGATTTTACCATTGCATATCCCATTTGATTTTCTTCATATTACATGCAGATGGCACGTTCCATTAAAACTCGTGTGCACTTTGTCTCATTTTTCAAGTTTGAATACATCTGTACAGGAAAAATATAATATATTGGTTTATGTGGGAAAGATCACCGAAAGTCTCAAACGCTTGACAATATTTTTGTAGGAAGATTTTTTTTCCATTTTTACGAGAATAATCTTCAAGAGATGAGAAAAGGCATGAATTACGGAGATATTCAACTGATGAATGTGAAATACCTGATCACAGGAAGCTCCATCTTGTCTTCTAATATGTAACATATTGATCGAATAAGATTCTCGGCAGGAACAATATCCACACCCACTGTGACAGCAATAATGCGTGCAAAGTCAAAACAAGCCTATAAATCACGAACAAAGAAGACATTAAAAAAAAGGAAGAATTCTAACGAACAAAATGTAGATCATAAATAATTCAAAATAAGTCCGAGAAGCCTGAGACCCACCATGTGCAAAATCTCGTCTCCATAGCACAAAAGATAACAGGTGCCATAAATAAACGATGGCCTAGCCAGCCCACACACATGCCGAGTTCCTTCAGTTAGACACTTATTAATGAGTTTAATGGTCCATGCAGCCATAGATTGCCATCTTGCCTTTCCTGTGATATCGATTAGAACGCCTGGGCCATCTGTAGGCCGAAGGCAAGCTGGAAGCTCGCCTAGAAGTGAAGGTAAATCGGCAATCCCAGCAAAGGACTCCTGGAAGCACTTTAGCGACACTTTAGCTGATTTAGGCGACATTGATACGTCTGCACGACTTGATGCTACAACTAAAATATCTGTTTAAGCTAGTGTCAGAGGTAAGATTCGGTAGAATGCCTTCCTCAAAAAGTCTAAGCGAGAAAAGTAGATCAGGAATGTAGTCGCGCACCCTCGATAACCTCCATCGCATCCAAGAAGAACTGACGATAGGCCTCCCTGTCTGAAACACGTAGCAAAGAGAGAAGGGAGATGACCGCCTCAAAAATCACACCATGACGAGCACTGCAAAATTTGGAGTTAAAAATACTAAAACTTCTAAATAAAGCAATAGGCGAGAGAATACGAAATACTTCTAAGGCTAGGGCTAGAGAATTCAACTGGAAAGCAGGTTCGGAGAAGAACGGAACGATGCGACCGATGACAGGGAGGACGGCCGCGGCCTTCCCTTGGAAGAAGACGTCCGGGAAGTTCTTAGCAGTGTGGGATAGCAGCTTCAGCACAGCCGTGATCTCTCTCTCCTTATCTGCCAGGAAATGCCGTCATTGACCAACGAGACATGGACGAGAGCAAACGGCGGGAAACCAGCGAAAACGTAACGGCGCGCACCGGTGACCGAAGGCAGGACGTATGTTTGGAGGAGGTTCGGGATGATGTTGCGCAGAGGATCATTTCCACCTACCCTGGCGGCAGCGGAGGAGGAGGAGCCGGAGCCGGAACCGGAGATGCGCTCCCGCAGCGCGCGGATTAGCTCTGGGAGGCTCGCCATCGGATCGAGTTCCCCCCCACGGAGCTCTCTCTCATCACCGCACCATCTCCCCAGGGCGGAGAAACCACAAGCGCTTCGAAGGCAAAGGTAAAATGGCGGCAAAGCATGGGCCTTATTGCTGACATACAAGGCGAACCACGATAGCTTTGGACTTATTAGGCGAGTGCCAGTGGGCCCATATAAGGCCAATAGGACCCTATTGGACTTATATATTGTCCTCCCAAGCGCAAATAGGAGGCCGGCCGATGGGGATGGAGAGGCCTATAATTCTGAGGGGGGCCGGGCTCGGATAGTAATGGGCCCACAAGCCCAAACGCTGTTTTCTTTCTAAAGTTGTCGCCTCATGTGGGTCCCACAATGGAACCCAGACCCCCGATGAGGTAAGCCTTTAAATAATAGTTAATCCCAGGGTCCGAAACCAAATAAGCATCTCGATAAATGATAAAATATTTTCCCCTATTTTAGGACCAGATATTTGACGAGGGGGTTATTGACGCGAGAAACTCACCAGGTGGGTCCGTACGGGTACCCGATAATTTGAGCCTAGTGGGCCCCATTCTTCCCCACGGCGATCCGTCTGAATCTTTGACTGACGTCAGCGCAGGGCAGTTGGGCCAGTTCAGAAGTGGGACCCACCAATTTTTCTCTTGCCTTGGGTCACAAAAAGCAACGGGAAAACAGCCGGTAGGGAGTCCAATCCGACGTGGTGTAGGGATAATCATACTTGGATTTTTTTACATGCTAACTTAATCGATTAATTAACAGAATTGATTACTCGCACGAACGGCACGTGCCAGAAGAGTCTGGTTCAGATGACTGCAGACCATGAGATGGGCCCACAAATAGTCCTCGCCTTGATGATGGGTAGATCTACGTGGCTCAGAGGTCCGGCTCGCGCGTGTCAAGAGGAGGAAAAGGGTGATGGATAGATGCCTTGGGAATATTCTCTTCCACACCGTGAGTCCTCATCTCCGCCGCCCCCGTAATGGTGAGGTAGGCGGCGGGTGGATGGCGAGGATTGGTCTTCCCCGGAGGTCTGGCCAAGGACGCTAACCGCCTCCGGGCCCAGACCTGCGGGTATAAAATGCCCGTCGCCCTCCGCCCTCACCTGCAGCGCTTTATGTGCGGGACACCCTCTTATCGGAGATCCAGTAAGGTTCTCCAGGGTTCCTTCCCGCCGGAGTTTGTCTCCTTTCTTCGGGGAGGTGAGAGGGCAGAGAGGGGGGAAGCGACGATGGCCAGCGGCGTCCCCGTCACGGCATCTCCTCCTCGTCCTCCTCCGCATCCGGTAATGGAGGAGGAAGACGAGGGCCTCTTCCGCCTCCTGGATGAGCTCGAGGTCTTCGAGGTTCAGGGCCGGGACAAGCGCGGCCGCCGGATCCTCCGCGTCGTCGGAAAGTTCTTCCCCGGTAAGGAGGTTTCTTGCGATTCTGGCCGATTCTTCTGCCGCTTTTGTTGTGGAGGGGGAAATAACGGAAGATTGTGTGTTGCAGCGAGGGTTATCAAGCCGGCGACTCTGGTTAGGTATTTGGAGAGGAGGATCTTCCCGGAGCTGCTGGGGAAGAAGGGGAAGGGAGGACCCTTCGTCATCGTGTACGTGCACACCTACGTGCAGAGGCTCGAGAACTTCCCCGGCGTCTCTGCCCTTCGATCCATCTACGAGAGCCTCTCGCCGGCCGTCCGGGACAACCTCGAGGCCGTCTTCTTCGTTCACCCCGGTCTCCAATCCCGGCTGTTCTTCGCCACCTTCGGCCGCTTCCTCTTCAGCGCCGGGTAAGGGATTCCCTTCTCCCAGTACTAAAAAACCTGAATCGAACCAGCCGATCAATTATGTAACGCCTTCTCCGATCGACGGTGGCAGGCTGTACGGGAAGCTCAGATACATGAACCGGCTGGAGTTCCTGTGGGAGCACATCAGGAGGGGAGAGGTGGAGGTCCCGGAGTTCGTCCTCGACCACGACGAGGAACTGGAGCACCGCCCCCTCATGGACTACGGCCTCGAGAGCGACTACCAGCACCACCGCGCCTACGACGCCCCCGCCATGGACTCCGCCTCCTCCATGCACTCCCTCCGCTGCATCTCCTAGCCCACCTCCTCCTCCCCTAATCCCATCAAATCCTTGTAGATCTCGATCTCCCCCGCCGTGAAGCACCTGTAAGAAGCGCGAGCAGTTGCACGAAGCAGTAAACTGCTCCGGGATTCCGCGTCCTCTGGGTTGGACGGGCTTCAGGGCTGGCGCCGGCCGCCGCCCAGGGTTTCGGCCGCCTCTATGGTGATAAAATCTTGTACAGAGAATGGGCCCCATCTTGCCGGAACGGACAAACTTCCAACTTGAGCGAGTCACGTCCCGTCCACATCCATTAAATGATTAAGTTCTCACCTCATATATATTATCCTGTTTGTTATGTATTTTATATGGCAAGTCCTAGGATAGTGTAAAATGTCTGAATTACCATATAAAATAAGCTCTATATACGCATAAAAACGTAACTTACTTGGGTCGTGAAACTTGCTTGTGTCATGTCCTCGCCACATCAGTGGACATAATAAGAGAGAGAGAGAGAGAGAGAGAGAGAGAGAGAGAGAGAGAGAGAGAGAGAGCACGTGATGGCTATTAAAATATTGGAGCATCTAAATAAAAAAAAGAAAGTGGATATAATAAGTATTTTTGCATACCCACTAATATTCTTTATTTTCGAATATTATAATAATTAAAAAAATCTTATCTTGAGGAAACCATGTTGGATGTGTGTAGATAGGAGGCGGCTCATATATCATGCTAAGTAATTACGCAATTTTATTCCAAAATTATAGGGCGTAAATATTCTTCTAGGATTTTTTTATCCTAACCCTTGTGAATTGCATTGATTTTGAATGAGGCCCATCGTTCTTGGATTTAAAATTTCAAAATATAGACCCCTACATTAGCAAATATGTACATAAATGACAACATTACCATTGATCATGGTCAAAATATAAGATTTCCTTCAGTCCTCATCTTCCTCTTGTTTTGAAATTTTCAAAGAGCTCCTCACAAACCGAATGGATCACTGGCAGCCCGATTTCTCTTATTATTCGACCATTTAATTCCCAAAAGGCACCGCATTATCATCATTTAATTTTTAAATTTTATTGATTATATTTTACCTATGACTTGACAAAAAAGAACTAAATTAAAATCGCCCCCTCTCTCTCCCCTCTTGTACGGAGTCCTCTATGGAGAGAGAACAAAAGATTTTACGCAAAAAATATGAATAAATGTCATATATTTCATAAAGTGACTGAAAATACAATAATTTGATAACTTTCGAATACTTTAAAGTCCAAGTGATATAAAAAATTGCTTATTAATAATTAAGTTAATTCCATTGTGCTTAAAACCAAAAAACGTTTTCTTGAAGGCGAAACCTCATCTGGCATGAAGAAGGTGGGACTAGGAGAGGAGGCGGCGGACAGTACGTAGAGCGGGGAGATTGGGGCTTCTGTCTTCTGCGTCTCTGTTGGAATAGAAACAGTGTCCGTTCCCCCCCAGGTCGAGCTTCCTGGCTTCTGGGCCCCAGCCGACCTTCCGGCTTCTGCCTTCTGGATACGGGTCAGAATGGAAACAACGTTGTCTTTGTCTCGGGGGGTGCGGAAGGCCTGCTATCCAACTTAAACGTGCACGCCACGACGGGATGGGCCTCTTTTGGCGGCAGAATCTGTTTTCTGTGGTGGCCCACCTTGTGCAAACTTCGTCCAGGGATCGTGGGCCTGGCACCAACGCAGCCGGCCCAAATAACCCTCATCACAACCGACAGGCCCAGTATGCACTCCGGGAAGCTAGGCGAGCCGGATACGTATTCCGATGCGCACTTTATCCAGGCGATATTTATTTATTTATGATAAATAAATTATTTACTTTTCGGAACGGATGTCAACATAATGAAGTAACTATGGTGAAATTCTCAGATGGCACGGTGGTGCTGCAGCCCCCTTCTGCAACTGGAGGTGCCCTCGGCCGCGCCATGGTGCCGACATCCGCCGCCCAAGCCCGCGTGTTTGGGGCGTGGCAAGGTCCTCTTCAAATTCAGCGGCACCGCCCTTCGACCCCCCCACAAGGCTTCTTCTTCCTTCCTTCCCCACGTGAGCCGAAGACTCTTCAGCTCTGTTGCCCAGCGCGAAGACGGTCTCTGCCGTGCACGGCCGGCCACGGGGTTTCTTCTGTCTCCCCCCATCTGCGCAGTTCTTCCTCTCCTAGGTCCGGGCGGCGGCGGGAGGCGGGCAATGGGTTCTCTGTCTGCGAGTCTCGAGCCCCTCCAGTACCCTCCGGCGCGTCGCGACGAGTCCGTCGTGGACGATTACCACGGCGTCAAGGTGGCGGATCCCTACCGATGGTCGGTGTCCTCGCCAGGAGAACCAGGGGCTATTTCGTTCGTATCTTTCGTTCTCTTCTTTTCTTTCGCCTGACTATGCGATCTCCGTTAGGTTGGAGGACCCGGACGCGGAGGAGGTCAAGGATTTTGTTGAGAAGCAGGCGAACCTGACGGAGTCACTGCTGCGGACATGTGCGGAGAGGGAGAGGCTGCGGGGGCAGATCATGTCCCTGATGGATCATCCGCGGTACGATACGCCCTTCCGCCGGGGGGAGAAGTACTTCTACTCCCACAACACTGGGCTCCAGGCGCAGAGCGTTCTGTTTGTGCAGGAAGGCCTTGATGGACGGGCCGAGGTGCTGTTGGACCCCAACCTGCTGAGCGAGGACGGCACGACGGCACTTAGCACCTACTCTGTAAGCCTGGATGCCAAGTACTTGGCCTACGGCCTTAGCGCTAGCGGCAGTGACTGGGTCACCATCAATGTAATGCGGGTGGACGACAAGAAGCCCGAGCCAGATTCTCTTTCCTGGGTTGGGCATCCTGATTCCCTTCGCTACCTTTCTTATGCCCTACTGTAGCTTTCACCGTCCTTTCTCAAACCCCGGGTCTCGAACTACACAACTTTTACCTCTCATTCTTTTTGACTCTGCTCGTCTCTAGGTTAAATTCTCATCGATAAGCTGGACACATGACGGTCGAGGCTTCTTCTACAGCCGCTATCCAGCTCCCAAGTAGGGTTACTGTGTTTGTTAAGCAGACATGCTTAACAAGTAGGATTTGTTTTTGCTTTAGTAATCTTGTGATTCTGCCGAATTTGCAGCTTTGATCATGGGCTTGGATGCTAATGATTCTCTCAGCAGGAAGGGTGACGAGTTGGACGCCGGGACGGAGACAAATATTAATCTATATCATGAACTGTACTATCACTTTCTGGGTACCGATCAGTCTGAAGACATCTTGTGCTGGAAAGACCCAGAGTCTCCGAAACACATGTTTGCTGGGCAGGTCACTGAAGATGGGAAGGTGAATATTTTCTTGTTGTTGACATCACTACTTATGAAAACGTCACTGTTTCTTGTGTGGGCATAAGCCTGTCCAACTTTATTTTCTTAGAAATTGAACTCGACACTTCGGTTGTGTGAACTTATGTCTCATTCTGATATCAGTTCGTTGTAAGGGCATTGTATATATTGCTGTACTTATTAAATTTGTGTACTGCACTATTATGATTATTACTTATTTCACTCTAAATTGAATATTTAGAGTTCAAGATGCACCGGTAACGTGCAATTAAGATGAGCATCTCAGAGTTCTCTAGTGACGGAATCGCAATGACTTAGAGATGATGCGAAACCTAGGTCTTCATTTGTTGTTCTTCCAGGAAAATAATGTGCCCTTTAATTTATCGCAATGACGTGGTTTCTAAATGTATGGATGTGAGAAAAATTATCAAGTTGTCTATTGTGAGGGATAGAGTTTGAACTTTGTTCTTCAATATTTTGCAAGTCTTTTTTTTTTTCCCTCTTTAGCGATTAGTTTTCATTTCTTGACGCCATTTCAATAGGTTGACTAAATGTTCGTTTCATATTGAAGGGAATTTCGACTATATATAGGAAAAAAATTGCATAATCCTGGTTGCTCTTTGGCATATGAAAGTATCGCAATATGTTAAAGGTAAAGAGACTACCCTGAATGTACTGTAAAGCAGGAGATAGAGGAAAACAATTATTATTTCTGAACTCTTCTTGATAGACATGGCAGCATTATTACAAATATATGTTCTTCATAAGTGACTATGGACTCCTAGCTTTTTCGATGTGAATTGTGAAGTCTGTCTTAAGCAGTCTCGAGAAATAAAACGTGTAACAATGACCCTTCAATCTTGTTGGATTGTCATGTCTATGTAGGACAATCATGAAATGTGGACTCTAGAAATTGACTTTCAATCTTTTTAGGAGTTATGAAAAGAGGATGATGATAATCCATGTTGATGTAGGTCTCTCTGACATATAGTTACCATCGGAAGTTTCAGAGGATTGACCCTGTTTTTATTCATTTCTATTTTTCCTCTTTTCTTTGGTTTTATACCCACCATATTCTGTGAAAGCTCCTGGCCCTGTGGGGCAATGCACGCCAATATCTCGATTCAGGTCTGATTTAGACCACCCCCCAAACCTGTTTACCCCAAACTTGTTTTCTGCTTGAACTTTCCATCTAACAAGATTTGATTTTGATGGGCTTTGCAGTATGTGCTTTTATATATCACCGAGGGATGTGATCCTGTCAACAAATTGTACTACTGTGACCTATCTTCTCTCCACAATGGGCTTCAAGGTGTTAAGGAGGATGGAGGCATGCTTCCTTTTATCAAGCTTGTTGACAATTTCGAAGCAAGTTATGAATCTGTGGCTAATGACAATACGGAGTTCACCTTTCTCACAAACAAGCAAGCTCCAAAGTACAAGCTAGTTCGTGTTGATCTCAGGTGCCCTGGAGAGTGGTCAGATGTAGTGAAGGAAGATCATAAGGATGTACTAGAATCAGCCAGGGCCGTTAATGGTAACCAGATATTGGTAAGTTATCTGAGTGATGTCAAGTATCTTCTGCAAATTAGGGACTTGAAGACAGGCTTGTTGCTCCATAATTTGCCCATTGACATTGGTTCGGTTTCTGGGATCTCTGGTCGACGGGCATATAGCGAGGTTTTCATTGGCTTTACTAGCTTTCTTACGTCTGGTATTATCTACAAGTGTAACTTAGCGAGTGAGACTCCTGAATTGGAGATATTTCGGGAGATTGTTGTTCCTGGATTCGATAGGACATGCTTTGAGGTCAAACAGGTGTGACTTCTGTTTGAATGTGTGAACTCATATTTCGGAACAATATTTGATCATCATTTTTAATTCACTTTCTTTTCGAACCCCAGGTTTTCATTTCTAGCCGGGATGATACCAAGATACCGATGTTTGTGGTCTCCAAGAAGGACATTGCTTTGGATGGATCGCATCCGTGCTTGCTTTACGGATATGGAGGATTTAACATCAGCCTCACTCCGTCATTTAGTGTGAGTCGTATTGTTCTAACAAGGCATTTAGGGGTTGTCTTCTGCATTGCAAATATTCGTGGTGGCGGAGAATATGGAGAGGAATGGCATAAAGCTGGTTCACTATCCAACAAGCAGAATTGTTTTGATGATTTCATTTCTGCTGCTGAGTTTCTTATCTCTGCTGGTTATACAAACCCCAGAAAGCTTTGCATTGAAGGTGGAAGCAATGGTGGACTTCTGGTCGCAGCTTGCATTAACCAGGTAAAGTAGTTATATTAATGTTGTTATCCTTGGTTTAGTCAACCTTTGCCTAGCTCTTAACATTATCTTAGGTGATACTGACCGTTCCTGATTGCCGGCTTATAACTGTGTGGCAGAGACCTGACCTATGTGGTTGTGCTCTTGCCCATGTTGGTGTTATGGACATGCTGCGATTCCATAAATTCACCATAGGTCAATTTTTTTTATGACTATCAATTTTATCTGATTTCCTCATCATCGTTATCATCATTCTGATTTTCCCCTGTAATTGCAATTACCAGGGCATGCGTGGACCAGTGATTATGGCTGCTCAGATAAGGAAGAAGAATTCGGATGGCTTTTCAAGTACGGATTTCAGGCACTTTCTTTGGTTTTGGGTACCAACTGCCATTCATTGAATTTACCTTTTTTGCCGGCTTCAGTTTCGCATGCTGACTTTGATCTGGCTAGAATAATTTGATGCCGTTTGACTGCTGTTGACTTTTTTCCTTTGAAAATGGGTGCATTCGAATATTACTTCGCTTGATTATTATTTTCTCACATTCGACATTTGAGTCAGTTTAGCTCCTTTTATGAACTTGTCTCGAGAACAGATACTCGCCGTTGCACAATGTGAGAAGGCCCTGGGAAAAGAATGATCCAACTTGCCAGTACCCTGCGACTATGCTTTTGACAGCTGATCATGATGATCGGGTTGTGCCATTACACTCTCTGAAACTGCTGGCTGTAAGTCCTCAGATGATCAATCAGTTAACATTCTATCGGATTTTTTGTTTTTGTTTTCCCGACTATTATTGCTGTTTTTTCATTGTAATTTAAGTTGTAATATAGTGAATGGATCTCTGATATCCTTGATTATAGAAAACTAGAAAAATTCAGATGGGTATCAGTTCTCTTCATCTGATTTCAAACAATTTTCGCTTTCATCTGATTAATTGATGTGTCACTACACTCGGTATCCATTTTAAATGGTCCACCATGGTTCTTGCAGACCATGCAGTATGTTCTCTGCGCAAGTGTGGAGAACAGCCCACAGACGAACCCAATCGTTGGGCGTATCGATCGGAAGTCTGGACATGGCTCCGGCCGCCCTACCCAAAAGATGGTCCATATTTTATCCCCACCTCAGTATTTTTTTGGCAAATTTATTCCCTCACCATCTAATTTACTCACGAAAGCCTGTTTTCTCGTAGATTGATGAAGCAGCGGATCGCTACAGCTTCATGGCAAAGATGCTGGGTGCCTCGTGGATTGATTGAGAGAAATGGATGGTCGATGAATATGAATGGAAGAAACATGAAACTATTGAAGAATAAAGATCAAAGCCATGAATGGACGCCGTAGTACACGCATAAATGGACGAAATCTCACTTTGAATGTCTTACCATTTTTTGGGGTTGAATGGTTAATCATTCATATCAATCCTTTAACGTTGGGATTATGTTTTCAGTTAATGGCTTTTAGTTGGATCATGTATGTTCAGGAGGGCAGTGCAGTCGATTCTTGGGTACCACAGTGGGAACAACTAAACTAATCTTGATTGGAGTTCTCATGGAAGATTACATTCCATGACTCTAAAATATCTCTAGTAATGGGGTTAGTCGAGATTGTGTGAGACAATCTTCAGTATGCAAGGACAAGCAGTAGTTGGTGGAGATACTTGACACTAGTGATAGTGTTTGATACCAGCGGGGGTGAGGATGAAGATGGGCACCAAATATTTTTCTCCACCTCTCGAGGTCCACATCCGTTAGATCAATAAATTTATACCATTTATATTGCGACTCATGATTTTTTAAACATTGATGAATACTATTTATAAGATAATTTCCAACATTTATGTCCCTAAAAGATATGATTTTATGTATTGAGATCGTGTTTAATGAGTCTACTCGACGGTCATAATTTGTTTGAGTTAATTTGGATAAATTTTGATTATTGTTTTATTTCAAAATGTGTCATTTGTTTTGTTTCAACAACAACGGATCTTGAATATTATTATTCGAATTGATACGTTTCAGTTATATGCATTGGTACTTATTGATAACATAATAGTTTTTTAAGAGGATATTTGAACCATTAAACATCGTATTAGTTCACATACATTTGAATTTATAAGTAATTTTAGAATCTAAATATTACAAGATGAAATAGAAGATAGATTTTTGGATGAGATTTATTTTTTAAATTTAATAACTCTCTAATGGCTAATTAATTATGATCAATCACTTTTGATCCCTTTATGATCTCGAGAAACCCCTTTCATATGAAAGGACGTCACGAAACGCACTCACGCGTGGATTTTTCTCTCTCCTTGAGCTCCATCTGCTACGGCAATTTCGGAAGGGGCGTGGCTCGCACCCTCTTTGCTCACGCCGCCGGGGGTCCTGGAAGGGTGGAGGAGAACATGAAGCTTTCCTATGAGGTGGAAAGAGGAGAGGGAAGCGGGGAGGGGTTGTAGGGAAGAGGAAGGCGGGGCAGTTAGGTACAGCTGAGGCGGAGTAAACCAGTCATGGATCGTCTAGGTTTGGCGGCTGTGGTTCCAAAGTGCTGGCGAAGGCGACCCAACAACTGGGACGAGGAAGAAGGTGATTAAACTGCTCTGCATGTGGTAAGAAGGGCGGCGGGTGCAAAAGCATATAGAAACAGGAGAAGGTAGGAAGTGACCTTGAGCACTGGAGACACCAGAAGGTGGTCCCGTGTGGAAGAAGGTGACACAAGCGAGTCAAGGCGGAGTGGTACAGCTGCTCCCAAGCAGAAGAGGACAGTCAAAGGCACAAGAAGTGGACCGCGAGGTTAAATCCCACGCCCCAAGAAGTAGAAGACACCACAGGAGGAAGCGATCCCACAACAGGCGAAGAAAGATAGAAGACCAGCCACTAAAATCACCATCAAGTTAACAGTAAAAGCAGAGAAATCTCGGAGCTCCAAGGGGAAGAGGAAGAAAAGTAAAAGTCGGAATGCCAAGAGGTTGAACAGGATCAAGTAGAAGACCAAGAGGAAGAATAGGAGAGCACAAAGACTGAGGATACGGGGAAAAAGGAAAAATAGGAAAGAGAAATGCGAAAGAGAATTGGAAGAGGAAGAGGAAGAACAGGAGGAAACACATAATTCAGAAGAAGTACACGAGACTCCAGAACAAATACACCGACAAGATGCCCAGGAAAAAAAATCCCATTTGGTTAGGCTGTTTAACCTCTATACAGGGCGAATGAAGAGGCCAAACTATCAACAAACATCGGAATAAAGGACAAAAACCAGGTGGAGAAGGGAGAGGATAAGAAAGGAAGGGATGGGGAAACCACTCAGAACCAAGCGCAGAACGAAAATTCACGTGGAGTGTTAAGAGGATTACGATGAGAGGGAGCAACTTCCAGAAGGAGGATCGCCTGGAAAATACAACGAAAGAAAGGGCAGAAGGAGATGAAGATACGGGAGAAGGTAAAATCGAACTCCGCTTCTTATGCAATTCCTAGTTTATCATCGTATTTACTGTGTAGTCCTGTTAATTCTGGGGAGAATAATCAACACGCAGTGTGTGAGAGTGGCTCCATACCAGTGGGAGTCATAGAAAGACAAACTGAGGGATGTGATCACCAACCGAGTGAGAAACACCAGGGATCCCAGCCCAAGAACAAAACATAAACATGGATAGACAAATGGAGGGGGGTGATCTACAACAAATGGAAGAAATACTAGGGGTCTAAATTCAGGAACAAAATGACAACATCGAGACTCTAGACAAATCTAGAGGAGTTAAGAGGCCACCCCGTACATTATCTTATGTAGTAATTATTAGGAACGACCACATCAGACTTAGATATGTGGAAGTATCCCTGCAACAACAAATCATGTGATCTAATTCATAGAAAAACTGTGTGTGCAAAAGAAGTCAGATTTGCACCAATGACCAAGGTAGGGATACCAAGTAATTCAGTGTGAAAATAGCCAATGATCAAGGTCACTAACTAGTCTGGACCATACCAAGTAATTCAGAGGAAGGGAGGAGGTAAAAGAAGAGAAGGAAAGGTAGGGATTTGCACGGAGCTGCATGACTAAGTGTTCTGAGTAATGAGAGGTCTACTAGGTCAGGGGGCCACTGCTCAAAGCCAAAAAAAAAAGAGGGTGTGAGGGAGAAGAGAAGACGGGTAAAAGATAGGAGGTGGTGTGCAAGTGCCAAAAGTTGGCCATCCCGTAAAAAAAAGGAGGGGGGGAGAAGCTGTGAGGAAAAAGTTACCCACCTCAACTAACAAAATAAAAAAAGGGTCGGAAAAGAAGAACCCCAAACCCCAAACCCCAAACCCCAAAGGGTCGGAAGGCACAAGGCGTTGGAATGTGTGGCCAAGGTAAGTCAGGATTTCTTTGATCAAAGGTAGGTTAGTGAAGCCCAAACTTCACCATTCCGACTCAGAAAGTGTCACCTCCCAATTCTGAATTGTAAGGGATGCTCTGGACGGATAAGAGAGTCCTTATAAAATAACCAAAGATCAAACATAAAATCGGCACACTGGATACCAAACTGGATGGAAGAAGAAAGGTGAAGCCTTGTACGATAACTAATGGTGAGATCGAACGAAAAAATGGAGTGCGGTTTCATTTTGTAAAGAACAACGATGATGATGTACGAGGGAGAGGGCACATGAAGGAGAAGGAGAGTCAATGCAAGATCAACAGAAAGTCAATGCATAAAAAATGGAGGGCCGAGCATATAAAAATTCCAAGCACGTAGCACATCAATGAAGATGTTGAAAGCAGCAGTCCAGATGGACAAGGAAACTATGATGATGCTGCCCAGCATCCAAGCACAAAGGAGGAAGAGAGAAAAGCTATATATGGTCAAAGGGGAGTCAACACAGAAAGGTAGAAGGGGAGCCTATACAAGTCATTACGTGTATACCCCCCACCCCTCCACCCCCAACAATTTGATGAAATTGTTATTTTGGTATGCAAATCATTTAATGATATGCTTTTTTTGTTTCCAACAATTTGAATTTACAAATAATTTTAAGATTTTAACAATGTGAAATGACAAAAGGTTGGGGAGGCTTTGAATCAAAATTCTTAAATTTATCCTCTTCTCAAGAGTTAATTAGTTCATAAAAATCATCAATGACTGTTTATGATCTCAATTTTTTTGCTTATATTTTATGTAGATAATTATAGAGAAATTGGGCAGTTTTTGTAGCTTAGTCAAACGCTAAGAAGATGACGAGTTGATGACCAAAAAAATGATAAATATAAACATCCTTGATTGAAGCATAAATATCTTCCACATTTAGTTAGATTCTTCAAATGAAGAGGACAACAAGAAATCATGTCCAACTCAACATACTTTTCATTAAATTTTTGGAAACATATCAAGTCAAAAAAACAATTGAAAATATCCTACGATGAAATTGTTCCCTATTTTATGTGGAAAAAACTTGTGAATAAATCTTCATTCAATCACTACAAGACATTGATCTCTATAATGTGCAGTTAACCTTTCAAAGTCATGAATATAAAAGAGAAATTTATGGTGAAATACTGTGAGAGTCAAACTTAGTAGTAGTCATGTTGCTAACTAGTTGATTTAGTGGAACCCAAGATATGATATTTTGTTGAGTGGACCTAGGTAAGAGGTTGAACCACTATAAAAGTTATAGTGTCAATTAATTTTAAGTATGTGCAATCATTTAAGATTTATAATGCAAAATTAGTATATGATCAATTCAACTTTACTTTCTTGATCTAAGTGCACTCTAAAATTCAATATTACTTAGTCATCAAGATTGCTCTTATAAGCCTTATCTTTGCAATTTCTATTAGTTGTGAATGATCTACAAGATAGGGCGCTTGACACTTTTCTCTATGATCATCTTAAAGATATAATATTGTATTAATTGGTCACTAGACTTTATCATCTCTTTTCATATCATGTTAGTTTCATTCATAAATATTTACATGAGATATGGTAGGATCTCAAAACAATTTTATTAAAAGAATGTTGCAGCAAAGTAACATCATTCATTTGTGAGTTAGTGTGGACAGAAGCATCTTTGGTTTCCCTAGGGTGACCATTTAGAGGAGGCCTTTGGAGTTGACATTAACAAGAATGATGTTCAGAAAAAAAGAGGAAGGGAGCGTGGGTTAGAGGCTATATAATTGTTGGAGCTGTGTTGAGGGTGTGGAGTTATAGGTTCCTCAATTGGTGATTTATAAGAGCAGGTTGAGATGAGAGAGAGAGAGAGAGAGAGAGAGAGAGAGAGAGAGAGAGAGA